AACATCTTGCGCGTATTTTTCGCAACAAGGAGGAGAGGATGCGGTATGACTTGCTTATGTATTTCTGGAAAGATGGTATCCCGTTCAACAAAGCGGATTCTCCAGATTTCATTTCGTTTCTTGCTTCATTTTACCAGCTCGTCGTTCAAGAGACTACAGATGATCATCGCATAACAGGTTTAAGACAGGAAGCTGCCAAATTTTGTTTCAAATACCTCCGAAAAAGCAAATGGATTTCGAAAATGGCTGACAGATCTTATGATTGCATGAAAGAAGGAATCGCTCAACTACTAGCAACAAAGAATGTGTCCTTGTGCGTGGACGTTTGGAAAAATTACAATTCTAGATACCTAGGGGTACTGATATACAGCGATTTTGGGCACGTTTTACTCGCGTTCGAAAACTTCTCTGACCGACGTGAAACAGCAACTGAAATAGCCAATGCGATTGGTGAGGTTATCAAATAGCACAAGATTGAAGAAAGAGTTTTAACACTAACGTTCGACAATTTTAGGGCCAACCCAAAAGCTCTCATGCACATTAGTGAAATGCGCAGGGAGAAAGACTTAGCACCTTTATATGGGGTCGGGTGTGTGTCTCACAACTTGAATCTGATTCTCGGGTCAATAATGGCCAATTCCACTTCCAAATCAAAACCTCGGACATAACTACAGTACGATAATCAAAGAAGAAGGGAGCTAGGAAAGATGCAGACACCACGAAAGAATCTTGACTCTACAAAGCTTGCTTTGATTTCAGCAAGATGGTACGAGGGGACACCGTGCTTTCCTCCTTTTGGAAAAAATGTATTGGTGGTAAAATTCCCGCTCTTCCAATTCAAACCAGATGGACGAGTGCTTACTCTACGGTGACCACCATCCTCAACAAACGGGACGAATTGTGTTTTGTGTTCGGTAAACTAGCGGGCATGGGCTTCTCTCACAACCACCTGGACCCTGACAAGATTGAAGTTGTCGAAGAGTTTTTTGATGAACATAGAATAACGCTGGATCAAAGTCAGATGAACACGGTTCACGCTCTCTTGGAATACCGAAAAGATCTGAAAGAAATAACGGGACTGAACTTCATAATGGGCGAGTTCAAAACCTGGATTGAGTCGTCACAGAAGAATGAGGATAATACTTTAATGAGCTACTCTAGAACGTTCTTGAAAGTACTCAAGTTTTTCACAGCAGTATCAAACCTGCTTGGCAAAGAAGAAGGTTCGTTTGATTACTTTGATATTGCAGATCAGCTTTATGTGTATCGTGATCATGACGATCCGACAGTTGCTTATTCACAGAAAGACTCAAAGGTTTAAATCCAGGCTTCCTCAACGCAATTGGTTTTTCCTACTCGAAGTTTTGTGAATACTTCACTCTTGCTTTTGAAGATGAATTAGTGATTGCGGGATCCTTCTTTGATGTGAGTGATCGCAACCAGGTACTGTTTTGGACCATCAATTGGAAACATCAAGACATTCGACAATTTCCGTACAAATTCAAGTCTTTGGAACTTTCTAAGATAGAGACTCTTTTTGAGTTGTATAAGCGCACAGATTCATTCCGAGAGATGAATCACCTCGCGTTGGAGGAATCTGCAGCAAAAGCTCTCGCATATGAGAATTTAGAGAAGAACGTTATCATTATCGAAATTGATGCATACGAAAAGGATAGGCTTTACAACGATGACAGTAGTGAGTGGTCTCTCGAAGCTAACAACGAGTTCTGATCCTCTTTCCGATCTGCGACATTTCCAAGGTTGAGAGCAACATATCAGCTCCTCAAAGAGATTCCTTGTTCAAATGCTGCTCTTGAGAGTACGTTCAGCCTCGCCAATAACGTGATGGGATCACAAAGGGTCAATCTCGGCGATGAAAAGCTTTCAAAATTAATGTGTATTCCCTCGTTTGTCAATTCTATCCCGGAGCTGCAAAAATTGGAACATCAATTTCGCTTTGCAATTGAAGATCCAGACAACGAGTGCTCTAGCGTGGAGATTGAGCGTATGTCGGACCGGTGAAACCATCTACTGTTGATTATATAATATGCAATGTCGACTAGGACTCAGACATAACATTTTGAAAATTAGGCTGTGCAATAGGTTATGGAAATGTAATCCGAAGACCATCTTTGAAAATTTGCAATGACCTCTCAGGACCTCATAACATTGGACTGCGGTGCGACCACTATTACTTTAAATAGCACTGGGGAGAATGCAATTAAACAAGCTTATTATTGTGGGCAAAATAGCGGACAATATGCGCAAGCAAATACTACCACTAAGACTTCAGCAGCTAGCCACTATGCAGTGGCTAATACATATACACTGAGAAAGTTAATGTACTTACTGCTTATTGTGGCACTGCTTCCTGTTACCTATGCCGCAGACTTGAAGATTGTTGAAATGCCTGAAACGAAGTCAATATCACCCATTTGGCCAACACCTATGCTACTGGTGAGGGCGTTGACTTCGTTAAGGTAGCCGGTTCCAATATTTCTATCGACGTTGCATCTATCGAACTAGCCCCCCAATGAACCAAAGCAATACGCATCTATTGAAGAGGGGTCAGTGTGTTGTGTCGTCATACACCAGAACCCAGGCTTCACAATCAGGTACGTGGTGGTCACCGTGGTACCCTATCTCGTCATGCTACTACTGTGACAAAACTAGCAACGACGTGTCTTGTTCAGAGGCACTGAGCTACGGCTACGAATACAGCTGGAGCATTACAGCTGGCGCAGGTATTAGCTTTGGAGCAGTCTCGGCAACTACTAGTCTGACTATTTCCCAGGCATACACACGTGACTCTACATTCACATGTCAATGGGGGTCAGGTGACGGAAACAGACTTGTTACCAGGAGGGCACACCGCAGCTCATAAACAATATTGTGCAATGTATGCCGCAGGGTGGTTCCACATGCGGGGCTTGGAGCAAGTACTACAGGGCTAATGCACCAATCGATTGGCACGAGAACTATGGTTGCAGTACTGGAAGTAGCAATGTCAGATGCTGAGGCCGATAGTGCCTAGTGTCGAGGTTGTCTGAACGATAATTATGGCCAAGTTGGTGAGATTTAATGTACAGACGACACCTATACTAATGTAACATTTAGACTAAATAGATAAATTCAGTAAGATAAGTACTAAAATAAACAGGGATGGACCAAAACTAATTGTTACAGCCAAAAAAAAATAACTTATAACAAACTCTTCATGGTGTAAGGTTGTATAAAAGATTAGGTAATATAATAGACGCCCAAAAATGCCAGCCTCTCAATATGCCTTTTGACAACGTAAGGCCAATTAAACTCACCGTTTCAGATGTTGAATCGGCGCCTACCTTTTCAAAGGAATCGGAAAGTACGTCACCAGTGACAATGAGAGCCGAACACATCTCGTCAAATGGAAATTTTTTTATCAATAACTTGAGCGGAAATGTTCATACGGCGGATCCGACCCAAGGTAGGAAAGGAAGTATATTGAAGTAAAGATTGAGATATAGATCTCGTTAGTTATCAGAGAGCAACAGTATCTTGGACCGGATCCTTATAGTAAGAATGTATCGTCTGTGGACTATACCGAGATGTAAATAGCTCTTTCTGGTCGATCGACCCGACACGCTTATTTTTCATCGCGTCTACCTCCAACTGTTTTTCCCAAGCGTTGCGATCAATGAACGTATTGGACTCCTGGTTGGTTCCAGACTCCAGAAGCTCCAAGAAGATGAACACGCCGGCCGAGATCTTTAAGTTTTTTCGCGAGAAGGACAGTAAGACCGCGCAATTGTCGGACATTTCAAGTGATCAGTCAGAGACTCCAGAGATTATCAGCGAGACTGTGGTGGAACCTCCTTCGTCGGGTGTGTCCATTGCGTCGGTGTTGATGCCTCAAAAGACGCAACAGGTCAAACAACCTGAAACCAAGCCACTGCACGATCCTCATCACGTTGTTTTAAAATACAAAACCAAACAGCCAAAGTCGTCACAGGACAGTTTGTTGAAGAATGGTCGGTTCCCGATCCAGTCCGCCCGCTTGAGACCGGACTCGTTGGTTGTGAAGTTGAAAATTAGTCCGGCTAAATTGAAATCGCTTGATAAGCCCGAGCCTACACAAATAATTGATCTGGAGGCAGAGCCAGTTCCAGAGCCGGTGAAACGACCGAAACCGATGAACTCTTTCTTTCAAAGCGTGGCGGACCGTGCACGGAAGGCCGAAATTGCAGAAACGTCAAAGAAACAGCGCGTTCAGTCGATGGAGCTTCCTGTCTTGAAAAAGGACGATTTCATGGTTTACGACAACACAATTGATACAACAGACACAATCAGCATATCCGCAGCATCGTTTTTGCATAAGACCAGTATACCACAGGACATAGACGAAATGACGTTCACGGACCAGGAACACTCGCAGTTTGTCAACCATTACAACACAACTAAGCCCAAACCTTTGAATAGCAGCTATATTTACTCGCAATCCGCAGACACCATGGACCAGGTGGTTGCCGAACGGTACGGCCGTCTCACGGATCCGGCGTTTGAGAGGTTCTTCAACACCTCGTTTGACGGGCCGACAACTCAGTGGTGTGACCTGTTCAAGCCGGCTGGATACCGCGACATTCTCCAGCCAGAGAGTCTTCGCACGGACGTTTATTTATGGATTAGGAACATGTTTGCCAAACTAACCCGGGTGGATATCACCAAACGAACGAGTCTGCTGCGCAAGAAGCGGATCAGCTACGAGATGGACGACTTCTTGGTTAACGACTTTGATTCTGGTGAAGAAACCGAAGATGAGGTTTTCCTGCCATCGCTCATCATTGAGGGACCTACAGGTTGTGGAAAAACGGCAGCCGTGTACTCCATTGTGAAAGAACAGCTGAAAGGCTATGTCTACGAGCTGAACTCAGGCCAGAACAGAGCACGCAGAAACATCAGCTTCCACTTGAAACAGATAGGAACCACCAAAGACGTGAAACATAGCCAGGACCACGGCCTTATTCTGTTTGACGACGTAGATCTGATCGATCCCGAGGACGACAAGGAGTTCTGGACGGCCGCGATGGAACTCCTCACGTACTCGTACCGGCCGGTGATCTTCACCACGAACGACATCGCGAAAGTTCCAGCAAATATTGTCCGGCAGAGCACAGTGTACTGTTTCCAGAACGTGGACAATCAACTGAAAACGACATACCTGGACCTGGTTGCACTCAAGATGAGACTCAAGCTCGATCCGCTCATACTCCAGGACCTGGCCGCACTGGATCTCCGCCATGCCCTGATGGAGCTGCAGCTGTGGGGAGACCGATGTGCGATTCCCGAAAACGGACTTGCCGAGGTACAGAAACGAGCCCACACAGAACCGCAGCAGAGCAAGTCTCTACGGAGTCTGGATCTCGAGCACGATCTGGAGTATTGCCGCTCTTTTGCCGAGCCGGAGCCTGAGAACTTTGAAAACGTGCTGAACCGGCACACACTGGACTTCTACTCGTCAAAAATGCTGATCAAGGGTTCTCGAATGAGAGCTGCCAGATACGTTGACGGAGACGATTATTTGCAGCAACACCCGGGCTGTTCACTGAACCGACTGAGTAGCGGCCGATTCGCAGCCGATGTGACGCCGTTCATCAAAGAAATGGCCCGCGGCGAGATGGTGCGCGTCCAGCTCAACCAGCCCCGCGTGTTTGGCCTCGACCCGATGGAGTACTTTGATAAGCTTTTTTGACGCGTCGATCGACGCGCGATATTGACTAGCGGACAAAAAAATTTTTCAAGATGACCAAACTGAAAACAACTGTTGGAGCAGAGATCTCTTCGCTTAGCGCCAGAATGTTAGCTTCACGGACTAGAATACAGGGATCCAGACGTCTGAGTCGGGGTCTGGCCACCGCTTTGGACCAGATCAAGGCTCCGGCTGGGTTCGAGTCGCGCGCTCCTCCATATGGAAAATTGGTTGATAAGCTTTTCAAGGTCAAACACATTCTGAATGATCAGCCGCTCACTTTGGCCGAGAAAATCCTGTATGCGCATCTTGTGAACCCAGAAGATCTTTCTGGATCGGGATCTTCCAAAAACATCAGAGGATCCAAATACTTAAAGTTGAACCCTGATAGAGTCGCTATGCAGGATGCTTCTGCTCAGATGGCTCTTTTGCAGTTCATGACGTGTGGAATGGCTTCCACTGCTGTTCCTGCTTCCATCCACTGTGATCACTTGATTGTCGGTAAAGAAGGAGCCGATATCGATCTCAAGTCTGCCATTGCAACCAATCAAGAAGTGTTTGACTTCTTGCAGAGCTGTGGAGAAAAATATGGTATCCAGTTCTGGGGACCTGGTTCCGGTATCATCCACCAGATCGTGCTTGAGAACTTCTCTGTTCCTGGTTTGATGATGCTCGGTACAGACTCGCACACTCCAAATGCCGGTGGTCTGGGTGCCATTGCTATTGGAGTTGGTGGAGCAGACGCTGTTGACGCACTGACGGGAACTCCATGGGAATTGAAGGCTCCAAAGGTTTTGGGAGTCAAACTGACCGGAAAAATGAACGGCTGGACTTCTCCGAAGGACGTAATCACTCATCTGGCTGGTATCTTGACCGTCAGAGGAGGAACAGGATACATTGTGGAGTATTTTGGTGAAGGTGTCGAGACTTTGAGTTGTACCGGTATGGCCACCATCTGTAACATGGGAGCCGAGATTGGTGCCACCACGTCGACTTTCCCTGTGCAAGAGGCCCACTACAGATACTTGGCTGCCACTAACAGAGGTCCTCTTGCGGAGCTGGCCAAACACGTCAACCAGAACTACCAATACATGACTGCTGACCCTGGCTGTGAGTACGACCAGATCATCGAGATCGACCTCAACACCTTGGAGCCAAGCGTGAACGGACCGTTCACTCCTGATCTGTCTACTCCAATCTCCAAGCTGAAGGAGACCACCAAGGAGAACGAGTGGCCAGAGAACATTACTGCCGGTTTGATTGGTTCGTGTACCAACTCGTCGTACCAGGACATGTCGCGTGCTGCCTCGATCATCAAGCAGGCCACCGAGGTTGGACTGAAGCCAAAGATCCCCTTCTTTGTGACTCCTGGCTCTGAGCAGATCCGTGCCACCATCGAGAGAGACGGTTTGATCAACACCTTCGAGAAGAGCGGCGCCATTGTGCTGGCCAACGCCTGCGGTCCATGTATCGGACAGTGGGACAGAGGCGAATCTGCTCCAAAGGACACCAACGTGATTTTCTCCTCGTTCAACAGAAACTTTAGAGCAAGAAACGACGGTAACAGAAATACCATGAACTTCCTCACCTCTCCAGATATTGTCACAGCCATGATCTACTCTGGAGACATGGGCTTCAATCCCTTGAAAGATGCCATCACGCTCGAAAACGGCGAGGTGTTCAAATTCGAGCCTCCTCACGGCGAAGAGCTTCCTTCTGAAGGTTTCATTGCCGGAAGACAGGAGTTCTATCCACCATTGGAGCCACAGCCGCAGCCAGAAGTCGCCGTGAACGTTTCTCCAGAGTCCGACAGATTGCAACTTTTGGAGCCGTTCGATGCCTGGGATGGAAAGGAGCTACAGACCACTGTTTTGTTGAAGGTGGAAGGTAAATGTACTACGGACCACATTTCTGCTGCCGGTGTGTGGCTGAAATACAAGGGACATCTGGAAAACATCTCGTACAACACGCTGATCGGTGCCCAGAACAAGGAGACTGGCGAGGTGAACGTTGCTTACGACTTCGACGGCAAGCCATACGGTATTCCAGAGCTCATGATGAAATGGAAGGACGAGCACAGAGAATGGTGTGTGGTTGCAGAGCATAATTACGGAGAAGGTTCTGCCAGAGAACATGCTGCTCTTTCTCCAAGATTCCTTGGAGGCAAGATCATTCTGGTCAAGTCGTTTGCCAGAATCCACGAAACCAACCTCAAGAAGCAGGGTATGCTGCCGCTGACCTTTGCCAACGAGGCCGATTACGACAGAATCAGCTCCACCGACGTGCTCACCACCGTTGGTCTTCCAGACATGGTGGCCAAGAAGGGTGACAACGGCGGAATTCTCAAGGTCAAGGTGACCAAGAAGTCTGGCGAGGAGTTCGAGATCGACTGTAAGCACACCATGAGTGAGGACCAGATCGAGTTCTTCAAAGCCGGTTCTGCTATCAACTACATTGGTAACCAGAAAAAGTTGAACTAAATTATAGATAGATTTAAAAGGATATAATAGAACGTCCGTTATTTATTCATCTCTTGGCTGGATTTCGCAACTGAGTTTCCAACTGCGGTCGTCTTCCTTCATGTTGATCTGTTTGACTTTCCAGATCTCCAGCAGGATCAGCTCCTGAAGACATGGAACGCCGCCAATGTCGAACATATCGTCAAAGCTTTGGTCCTCGTCCTGCAACCGGCTTCTGAGGTTTCTGATGGTGGCACTTCTGATCAGGTCGATCTTCGGGTCCTTGTTGTAGACTTTGCCTAGCTCGCCAACGTCCTTGTACGGAATCTGGAGAGTCTGCAAGTCCAGGATGATCTTGGTGATCTTGGTGTATTTGTCCACATTGATCAGTTTCTGGTTCAAGAAAGACTTGGTGTTGTCTCTGTAGTTTGGATTTCCGTCCACAATGAACGTCAGGTCCTGCAAAAACAGCGAAACGTACGGAACAATAGGAATGTCCAGGTCTTCCTCCAGGTTGGACACCAAAAAGTCTTTGAGTTTGGTCCGGTACACCTGGTAGTTCTTGTCTGGGTGGATGATCGTAGACAGGTAATGAAACAGCTCTTTGTACTTGTCGGACAATCCTTCCCATATTTTGGAGATTCTGGAGATCAGGAAGCTCTGCAACGAGGTCATGATCGAAGCCAACGAGTTGAAGTTCCGGAGGTACAAACACGAGATGCCGATCTTGAGCCAGCATTTGACCGCGTGAGTACGCTGTCTCATGGTGAGCTTTGGTTGAAGAATACTCTCAATCACATAGTCACTCAACAGGTTAGTGAACAGCACAGACCGCTGGATGTTTGGCGAAAGATTCAGGTGCAGCTTCTTGGACGTGAAGTTCTGGTTCAACAGCTCCTCCACTTTGATGGAGCAGAACATCTTGGACTCGATCATGGTAAGCTGCTTGGCAATCTCCAATCCGTTGAAGTTGAGCAACGCCAAGTCCTGGTTCAAGATCTTCCAGCTCTCCTGCGCGGTTCTCCACCACGAGTCCAGCAACGTTTGGGTGTCTAGCGGAACGAATCTGTCCAGAACCATTTTGTTTCTTTGCCAATGGTCGCGAAGCATGTTTCTGTACGACAGAATCACCTTCTTGATCGAATCCAGCTGTCTATCGTCAAGCAAAAGCACGTTGGAGCCGGTGTTCTTGAGGTCAATGGCAAGACCCAAGTTGATCGATTGACGGTTTCCAACAGTGTCCATTCTTTCGAGGTCATAAGTGTCAATATCGTCCAACAAAGAGTTGTAGGTGTCGATATCGTTCATAATACCAGTAGGATCAGAGAACGAGAACGTGGAAAGGTGTCTGGATATGTGTTTGTGCTGGAGCTTTGGCGAGATTTTCCGTGGAACCAACTGCGAGTCGTTGTCAATGTTGTTATAGTAATTGAGTCTGTCCTTGATGGTTTCCACCGGGGGCATGCCAACCAGCTTGGACGCGGTCTCAATCAGCTTCAGGGCCTCCAATGGCAGATACTCCTTGACGGCCTCATTGAAGAAGTTGATGAGCGGCGGCAGCAGGTTGTAGTCTGTCTTTGGCTTCCAGTAACTCTCGAGCCAGAGCAGGAACGTCTTGCAAACAAGCTGTCTTCTGTGTTTGATCTTGGATTCCAGCGACGAGTGCATGTGCAGGGCTCCGCTTGCTTTCTTCTTGTCGTTCTCGAGCAGCGTGTTGTTGACGTCGAAACGTTCAACCAGCTCCTCCAACAAAACAGAGCCGTGCGAGAAAATACGGAACGTAAGGAAGAACGTTGAAATGAAGAAGTATTCTGGAGGATGGTTCTCGTCTGTGAGCAGACACACCAGCGACTTGAACGAAGCTCCCAAGATCTCGTTCTCCGAGCCTCTTAGAATCTCGTCCTCGTGGTTGAAAGTGGAAGACGGACCGTCAAGCAGCTGGTCAAAAGTGCCGTCGTTCTGGATGAACGGGGTGTCGTTGCCAGGAGCAACCTCGGCCAGGTAGTCCAGACCGTCGGTAGACATCTCCATGTTGGCGGCGTCTCCAGCACGGAACATTGAAAACCGTTTCGAGGCTCTTCTGTCCGACTTGAGAGTCTTGTGCTGTTTCAACTGTTTAGTGATTTCTTTGTCGGAAACCAGTCCCTTGGAGCAGATCTTGATGAAGTTCTTTGGCGACACGTTCATCTGCATAAAGTCTGGGTACTGGCGAGTGTTTGGCAGCTCAAAGTCTTTGGTAGCCACCAAAAACGTCTTGAGAACTTTCTGCGACGTGCTCACCAGGTAAACCAGCTTACACCCGGTGTTGATCACGGCTCCTCCCTCTCTGGAGTAGAAGTACGCGTCCCTGACTGGCCATGCTCCGCGGGAGTTGCTGGTGGCTGTTCTCGAAAGAGCAGGCGAGTTCACCGTGCGCTTGTTGGCAGCTTCCACCAGCACCCTCACGCTGTAGTTGAACTTCTCCAACGTCATGGACAGGTCCTTGTTGTTGGTCTCAAGAAGCTTGAGCTGGTCCGCAGTCGACATATTTGTGCGAGCAACAGCAGGCAGCTTGTAGCCTTGCGGGATAGAAGTTTTGATCAACAAACTGATGAACTGCAGCTCCTTGACTTGGAGGTTGATCTGGTTGACAATGTTCTCCAACAACTGGCCTCCCTTGATGTTGTTCTCCACCAGGTCCAGACGACCGGAGATCATGGCCAGGTATCCCATCAGATGGTTGTACAGCTCGTTCACGCGAGGAACAGCGTGTGGTGGCATTGGAAGGTACGTCACTGGAACCAGCTGCGACGAGCTGATCAATTGCTTGTCTCTGTTCATGAGATCGTCGCTCTCCAGGCCCCAGACGTCTAGGAACGTGATGGACTTCTGAACAACCTGGAACGTGAGCAGTTGCAAGTACTCGATCTTCTTAAGGTCCATGGTGTTTAAGAAGTCTTTGGCCTTGAAGATGAGGTCCGACCAGTCGCGGAGCAACTTTTTCCGCAACTTGCGCACCACAGGCTTTCTCTGGACCACCTCGCTCGTCCGGGAAATGCAGTCCGTCTCGTTCAGCAGCGTTCTGATTCCCTGGGTGATACCGTTGATGTACTTGATGTCGTAGGTGTAGCCCTTGAACTCGTTGTTGATGTAGAGCATCTTGTTCTGCGGGTTCAGAAGGAACATGCCTGCATTCCTGAACAACTTGCGGAGCGGCATTCTGGAAGCTGCGAGCTTGGCAAACTTGTTAAGTTGCTGCTCGTCCTCCAGCTCGTCTGTCAAGGTGGCGCGGAAATAGTTCATTGGAACCCATCCTCTTTTCAGCGTGCTAAGCAAGGTCACCTCGCCCCAGCCGGAGTCGTCCAGAGAATACGTGAACGCGATATCGTTTTCGTTGAAAGAGAGACAGATCGAGGCGTCATTCTTAGACTCCAGAGTGTTGGCGTCGAACGGATACAAAGCAGTCACAAACAGCGCGGACGCGTCCTCGTCGTCATTCTCCAAGATCGACTCCGACTCGGTGCTGAGCTGGTGGATCTGTCTTGCAGACTCGGAAGCTGTCACCTCCGAGTTAATTGACGTGAGCGTCTTTTTCGGATAGTTCCCGCTGTACAGCGACTGTTGTCTCACGGAAACACGCGTTTTCTTCGGCGTCGACGACAGCTGGGGCATCTCCGACAGCATGTCCGACTCTGTCTCGCTGGAAACGGCCGTTAGTGTGGTCATTGGGTCCAGCGACTTGCGCTCGAAACTGTGATCGTTGGCTGTGCTTTTGGAGCTTCTGGTGCTCCGCACGCTCTTGCTTCTTTCCAGCTGCTCGTTCAGCAGGTTATCGGACAGCGAGAGTCTGTTGAGCGGCAGTTCTGCCTGCTCCTTTGGTTCTTCTGGATCTCTTGGCTCTGTTGGCTCCTTAGGCTCCGTAAGCACGTACTCGTCAGGCTCGTTCAGGTTTTCCAGCGTGCGCGCAGGTGCCGGGGCCCTGGAGGCGCCAATTGGCTCGTAGATGCTCGAGGAAACGCTTCCACGGGCAGCCATAGCAGGAGCAGCTGCCACCACAGCCGGGGCAGCTGCAAACGAGCCGTACCTCGACTCTGGTTCCGAGGCCACCTTGGGGCTAGGAACGGGGTCTTCAACGGTCTCCGGCTGAGGAGCGGTCTGAACGGCCGGCTGGTCAAAAGCCTCTGGAACAAGCGGCGACATCAAGCCAGAGCTCTTTGCAACCTCACGCGAACTGGATTTGGGTGACAACAGAAACGGTTTGCTGAACCTCTGGTCCTGCCCCTCGGTGTAGATGCTCGAGGTGACGCTCTGGTACTTTGAGTGGCGCAGAGGAATGCCCGAATGGCGCTCAACAAGCAGATCCGAGGTCTCTGCCTCGTTGGCAGCCTCGTCATTCTCCTCCTCTTCCAAAATGGGGGTCTCCACCAATAAAGGTCCTGCTCTATTAAATGTAGACATTCTCATGTCGGACGAGCTCAGCGGGTTGGTGAACCGTTTGCTTTCGTCCTCGACGGGCGTCTTGTCACCCTCCACAAAGGCAAAGTTTGAAACCACCGGAGTTCTCTCCGAGTCCGACCCTGGAGGAACGTACTCCTCCTTGTCCGGGTCGATGAAATAGCTTTCCGACACCGATGAGCCGTCCTCACTCAGCGTCGTGTCATTGCTCACGTCCATAGTGTTGTCGATTAGGTCTGTGCTCTGGACACTGTTGACCGTCTGGTCGAACGGCTCGTCGTCCCCATGGGGCTTTCTGGAGATCCCCAAAGACTCGGACAAAACCGAGCCCAGCAGCGAGATCTTGCCAAATGCACTCAACCGGTTGTTGTTTTCCTCGGAGTCTGGCGCGTCTGGAATAGGACTCGAGATCGGACCCTGTTGATCAATCTCTCCTCTGAAAGACCCCATCGTCAGGTCCTTGTGGCTCCCCGGCGAACTGGCCGCAGACCCAACATACTCGTTCAAGTCCGGCTCCTCGTTATCCTGGCCCTCGACCCAGGTGCCCGGCACCGGCGACAGCTGGTTCAGTATGTACTTGAAATCTTGTCTATCCTTAGGAGTCTCTGTAGACGGCTCGATTTTTGGCTCGACCGCGGTGCTCAACCGGCCCAGTTTTAACGGCGAGGTAGCCTTCGTGTCCGGGCTATCGAAATTGTGGTTGTTGTTGGCCAACGGAGTCTTAATCCCCACTAAAATCACATGTTAGTATCCTGGCAGACGCGTCACAAATGATATGTCTACTTACGCTTCACGGGCCGCGACTCGAAAGTGAACGCGTCGTCCACGTTCTCATCGTTTGGTGTAATCACAGACATCTCAAACGCGTCGTAGCAACTGCTGAATCAAATTAAAACACGCTAGCTATATCCAAATCTCAAAGAGTTACACTTTTGGCGTTGCATTTTTTTTTTATCGAGAAAAATACTAACCTCGACCGCGAACTGAAATCGATGACATAATCAGTATTTCTCCAGCAGCTTGCAAACCCGGTTGCCCAGCTCAAGACAGTCTGTCTCGGAAGCAGCTTCAGAGTACACACGCACCGCGTTCTCGGTCCCGCTAGCACGCACAAACGACCGGCCTTGCGGAAACTGCTGCACCAACGCGTCGATCTGTTCCTGAAGACCTGCAGGCTCCACAAGTTGTCTCTCCGCGTTGGCGGTTTTGAATGCAAATCTGTCAGCAACGAGCACTTTGAACAGCTTGTTGGGCAGCTCGGTGTACTCGTCGGCCCAGTCCCGGCACGATTTGTTCTCGATCTTCAAAGCTAGCAGAACAGCCAATAGGTCCGAGATCGAGTCTCCAACTGTTTGGTTGATCACTTCCACAAGCAATTGCAGAGTCTGCAGCGCTTTTTGTTGTTCCTCGGTGGTGGTGTTGGTGGTCTTGAGTAATTTAATATACTCGTCAGAGAACAGCACTGTTCCGTGACCGTTGGCCTCAAAGTACACTCCGATATCGTACTCTTGGGCCTTGTGATGCAGGTGTTTCACGCCGGTCGGGGTGAATGCAACAGGAACTTTCAACTGTTCCTCGATGTATTTGGTGGAGCTACCGTTAGCATATGCAGTTTGAATGATGCCCAATTTCACCTTCAGCTGGACTTTCTGGAGAAGAGTGTTGAGCAATGATGCGAGCAGGGTGGCAATCCGATCTCCGTCTAGCAGTCTGAACTGTTGGCCTTCCATGTAGTAGAACACCACTCTGTCTGCGTCTCCATCAAACGAAGAGTATAGAGTGTCGGGAGTAGGTTGCACGTTGGCCGGCAGTTTCTGGTTGGTTTTCACGAAATCTGCACCGCAATCAACATTAAGTGCTTGCTTATCTCTTGTATTATCGTTGATAACAGTGATGGCGATCAGGCTGCTCTTGAGTTTCTTCAGTTTCAGTGCACCCACACCATTGGCAGCATCGACTGTAATCTTGATTGGATCGGTGATATTCCACAGGTTCATGATTTTCTCAACAGCTGCGACAGTCTTGTCAATGTATCCCTGTTCTGTAGGCTCTCCAAATTCTGGATCATTGTGGGATCTGACCAAATAATGCAGCTGAGGAGTTGTGAGCTCTCCAAAGTCTTTGGACTGTGAAAACACGTTGATACCGTCCAAAGCAGCGGTCACAAGTTCGGGTCCCGTTTCCCTTGTGTCTCTTCCAACGATCACGAGACCTGCTTTTCCCACATCAATATTTTCCTTGGCCACGATGTCCTCCACATCAGCCAAGAGATCCTCGCTATTTGCAAGTTGTGTAGCGTACGGTTCCCACACCTGGGGCAGCATCTCACCCAACGGGTCCACAAGCTTGACTCCGTTGTCCTGTGGCGGGTTGTGCGAGGCGGTGATCATGACTCCAATGGTCTTTCCTTCTAGTTTGGCAGATCTTAGTGCGGCCAGAACCCCAACTCTGAACACGGTGGAGTCCAATTGCGCGCCCAGTGTTCTGAACCCGGCGGTTCCATACGCAAACTGGGCGTTTGGCGGCTTTGGATGGGATTTGCTGGCGGCTAAAACTGGATCAAGGGACATTGTTAAGACAAATAAACAAAATAAATAAAGAAAAAAAACACCTGCATCAACATTTTATGGCTCCTTCGTTACCGGTGTATTCCAGACAAGAACTTAAGGACAATTATCCGCACTTATTCCCCGAGGTTGTGGAGGGCGCTGACGGGAAGAAGACACTTGATTTGGAAAATTGCAAGCTCTGGTCGTTGACACAGAACCAGTGCACTTTTGATGGGGACCGTACGGTTTGCATACCTTTTAAACGAGTTTTCGCTCGGTGCAAAGACACAGAGTACTCTTCAAAAAGAGAATTGACCGGATACAAGCTTTTCCCGGAACATACCCAGAAAAAATCCAAAGAGGTGTACCGAAACATAGAGATCACCACCGAGAAGGATAACGACTATACGACCAAAGACAAACTATTAGAGGAGTTTTTCGAGGCCGATAAGGTCTTGAAACGGAAGATGGACCAGTTTTACGCGGAGATCATGAAAGAATCCGAAAGGTAATATCCAAAGAGACATGTAATTAATGTGACGATTGCAAAAAGGAAGAACCGGGATCAGAAAGTCTCACCTTCAGACGGTTGTATAAGCTTTCTGTTGGCACCATTTGCCATTTCCTTTCTGAGTTCCAGCAACAGGATTTCCATGCTATACGATCTCTTCCAGGCCCCCAAGGTGGGGAATTTGCTGGCTAGAACCAAACCGGTGGATTGATCAACGCATGGGAGATTAATTTTGGAAATAAAGCGGACAACAGGCGGACGTTCTGGGTACTCCGGGCCACATTCGATGGTGAGCGAGTAAATTCTGTTTTCGTGCGACGAATTAGGAGGTCCCAGGATGGTTCCGTTCCAATGGGTCATGCTGATATCGTCTAGGTCCTGGAGACCGTACGAGCACGATTCGGCTCCTAACCCCTTTTCGCCCTTTTCGAGCTCCTCCAGCAGCTTGAAATTTCTAGGACTGATTGTTAGAATTGGTGGTTCCTTGCACACTTACACTTTGGACATGGAGTTTTAAAGGTGTTAGATTAATTTTGGGAGTTTTTTCCCTTTGCCACTTTTGCTGGCATCAGCCACACGTAGTTTGAATAAATTGTTCGCGTTTGGTAGATGTCCCATTCATCAGGGTTTAGCACTCCGAGTTCTCCGTTCATTGCGAATCCGCAAGACGACGGCACTTCGCGTTTGAAGAAGAAGCTGGCCTCCTTGGATTATCAGCACGGCCAGTTGAAGGATCTGTTTGAGATCGAGAGGACAAGAAACTTGACAAGAACAAAGGATCTGGAACGAGATCTGGAGTCCAAGAGTCGTGCTTACGACGCAAATGTTAGTGATCTGAAATTTGTTCATGACGAGAACGTTCAGCTGAAGGAGCAATTGAGGCTGATGAGCCAGCAATTGCAGTCTTCGAACCAGGAGAACGAGTATTTGCGGTCGGAACTGGGTACCAAGACTGGTTTGTTAGATAAACATCTGCAGGAGTTCCAGGAGATTGAGAAACATCTGGAGGAGGTTGTTGCTTTGAAGGATCAAGAATTGCGTTACAAGAACGAAGAGTATAGGAGTTACAAAGAGGCCCAGACTCGGGAGCTGGAAATCAAGACGGCGCGGATCGGCGAGCTTGGAGAGCAGCTTAGGCTGAAAGACGTGCAGATTTCTGAGCTGACGGACCGCAACTTGCGTTCGGACGAGTCGAATGCGCGCAAACTGTACGAGAAGGAGTGCAACAGCCAGCTGGAGTACATTCGGGAGCTGGAGAAGAAGAACTTGGAACTGAGCAACAAGCTGCGCGAGCACCAGTCGCGTCACGAGAATTTGCAGATTCTGAAGCACGAGAAAGACTCGATGATGGTGAAACTGGCCAATTTGCAGAAACTGGACCTGCAACGACAGCAGCTTGTTGTAGAGCACGACAAGTTGGCCAGGAAGGTGGAACGGTGGACCGACAATGAAAAGCAGTGTTCTGAGTTACGCACTTTGAACCAAGAGTTGCAGACGAGGCTCGAGTTTGCGAGCCAAGAAACGACGCAGACAAAACAAGATTACGTTGCATTACAATCCAAACTTATAGAGTCCAACAACAAGTACAATGAGCTGAAGAGTCAGCTGGCACAGAAAGATACAGAAACAAGAAAGCACGAGAACAACATCAAACTGCTTCAGCAGGAGATTGTGTTTTTGAAAGACCGTCTGGACAACGTGACGGAAGCAAACACCAAGAGAGGTATTGGGTTGCAAAACACCGAGAGGTTTGATAAACTGGTTGGTCTTCTGGACAGCTACAAGCAGCAACTCCAGCAATTGAAGCAAGAGACGACTGGTCAGAAGAGAAGACGAACGAGCGAGGTGGAGAAGCCGGTTGTTCGAGAACGGGTTTTAGAATTGCGCGACAACCCTGCTTCCAACCACGAAAGAGTGACACGCAAGATGATTACCAGTCTACGCGAGGAAAACGAGCAATTGAAGGCTGTCAAGCTGAACGACGAGAACCAGGTCCCACGGGCTGTTTACGAACGGCTGGGAGCAGAGCTGGAGCAAGCACAGCAGGAGATCAGGAACCTGACAAAACGGATGAAACGGCTGCGGGAGATGTTCAGCTCAAAAGCGGCGCGGTTCAACGAAATCATCCACCTGCTTCTCGGGTACAAGATCGAGATGCTGAGCGACACCAAGCTGAAGATGTACCCAAAATTTAACAATGCCAGTTTTATCCAGGTGGATCTGAGTCGGAGCGGCACGGAAAACGGACGGGTGTTGGACGAAAACGGAATCCGAGTGAAATTGCCGTCGCAAGGGGGTTTTGAGAAAGTAGATGTTGACAACCTGATTCGGTTTTGGGTGCTGGAGAAGCAAGAGCCGTGTTGTTTTTTCAATTCTCTGAATCTGGAGTTGTATGACAAGGCACCGGCCGGAGTGTGGGGAAGAAACACGGGGTGAATCCGGAGCTCTAGTTTTTAAAAAAACAACTAGCCATAGTGGGGCTTCGGACCCGTTGTCGCAGGACTCCGAATTTACTGGGGGAGTATGGGAGGGCGGTGTAAGGGTGGTGAGCGATAAATAGCGAATGGCAGCTGCACGAAATGTAATTGAGTCTACGGGACGAGGCAAGGGCCTGGAAACGGCGTACAAATTGGTCTGAAAGAAGACCTCAATAGTAGAGCAGGTTGTCAAAACCGATTCGTCCGGGGACCAGGGGGTGTGATGCGGGGGAGGAAAGGAGTTTCGGTAACGATTTTTTTAGGAGCAACGCGGATAAAAGATAACTTTTTGCACGGGGTAATGAAAAAATCCATGACCTCAAATGCGCGGATATAATTGGCTATTTGCACGGTAGAACGAGGTCGCAAGCGAGTAGATGCCGAGGGGGGCAGATCACGAGGACGGTCAATTGGGCGTTTGGGATGGGAAAATCGCCGTTTCAAGGGTTCAATGTTGTTTCGTAGTACGTAGATGTGTCAAATACGAGTTATTAGATATTCCAGGCCTGCTATTTGGTGGATATTTACATACTAAAAAGCTGTGGACTTACGGACGGGCGAGAGTAAGAAAAAAAACAGTGCACAGCCTTGTTTTTCATGATGGGGTGTCTTTCGATTATGGCACTATCTGGTACACAATAGAGTTTCTGTAAAGGATGACCAGGGCCTTGGATATAAATTGAAAGTGCAGGACGCTTTTTTTAAATAAATTGTCTTTTCGAAACACCCATCAGTGTAATAGAACCATGAGTGCATTAAGAACCGTGACAAGATCAGCATCCAGAACATCTGTGTTGTACAACAGTGTTCGTGCTTACTCTACAAAGGAGCCAGTAAGTTTTTTTGCGGTGTATGGACAACTAACGATTTCAAGACTCTTAAGGAGAGATTTGCCGAGCTTTTGCCTGAAAAGCAGGCCGAAGTTAAGGAACTCAAGTCCAAGTATGGTAAAACCGTAAGTAATATTGCTTCTCCGAGATGTGGCATTTGTTTACTAACATAATCAGGTTATTGGAGAAGTTTTGCTGGACCAGGCCTACGGTGGTATGAGAGGAATCAAAGGTTTGGTTTGGGAAGGATCTGTTTTGGACCCTGTTGAAGGAATTCGGTTCAGGGGAAGAACCATTCCAGACATCCAAAAAGAACTCCCTAAGGCCGAAGGTGGTGAACAGCCACTTCCAGAAGCATTGTTCTGGCTCCTGTTGACCGGCGAGGTCCCAACTGCCGCCCAGACCAAGGCTTTCTCCGAGGAGCTTGCTGCCAGATCCAAGCTGCCAAAGCATGTGGAAGAGCTCATTGATAGATCTCCAGCTACTTTGCACCCAATGGCTCAATTCTCGATTGCTGTCACCGCTTTGGAGTCCGAGTCGCAATTTGCCAAGGCTTACGCTGCCGGTGTCAACAAGAAAGAATACTGGAAATACACCTACGAGGACTCCATCGAATTGTTGGCCAAGCTGCCAAACATTGCTGCTCGCATCTACAGAAACGTTTTCAAAGACGGCAAGGTTGCTTCTGTGGACCCAACTTTGGACTACGGTGCCAACTTCGCTCACTTGCTTGGCTACGGCTCGAACCCAGAGTTCTTGGAGCTGATGAGACTGTACTTGTCGATCCACTCTGATCACGAGGGTGGTAACGTTAGTGCACACACCACCCACTTGGTTGGATCTGCTCTGTCGTCGCCATTTTTGTCTCTCGCTGCTGGACTGAACGGATTGGCCGGCCCATTGCACGGAAGAGCCAACCAAGAAGTGCTTGAGTGGCTCAAGGGCATGCAAAAGGAGCTCAAGGGTGACATCTCCAAGGAGAACATTGAGAAATACCTCTGGGAGACCCTGAACGCCGGACGTGTTGTTCCAGGTTACGGACACGCCGTTTTGAGAAAGACCGACCCAAGATACACTGCACAAAGAGAGTTCGCTTTGAAACACATGCCAGACTACGATCTGTTCAAGCTTGTTTCCAACATTTACGAGGTTGCACCAAAGGTGCTGACCAAGCACGGTAAGACCAAGAACCCATGGCCAAATGTCGACTCTCACTCTGGTGTGCTGTTGCAGTACTACGGATTCACCGAGGAGTCGTTCTACACCGTGCTGTTTGGTGTGGCTAGAGCGTTTGGTGTTCTTCCGCAATTGATCATCGACAGAGGTATCGGTCTTCCGATCGAGAGACCAAAGTCTTTCTCCACCGAGAAGTACAAGGAGTTGGTGCTGGGTTTGAACAAGGCATGATTATTTATTGTTATTTATGAGGTGGTAAAAGTCATATTCGAAACGGAAATATATCTAAATTTTTCAGCTTAAGTAATACAACCGGGGCACGCAGATCTTGCAGAGCCAAGAATTCATTTTGTCAATTCGGTTTCGTTGTCAAGATGGTGAACCCTGTGAGTGTTATATGGGATAGAACTCCCATTTTGCAGCATTTGCTGATTGTTGGTGCTTACACGTTGTTGTTGCAATTGCCTGCTGTGTTTTGGCGGAAATATGTCGCTGTTACCGCGTTGGCTGCACTGATTTACCGTTTGACGCTTGTTGAACAGCATCTCACTCCCGGCAGCCAGTATTTGCAGGCCATCAGCTTTGCGTCTGCGTATGTCTATGCTTTAGACCTGTTTTTGGTGAACGAGTACCCGGAAACAACCGATTACCAGCCGCGTAAAGAGACGTTGCAGAAAGTCCAAGATGCACCGCCCTTTTCTCGTGCCAAGCTCGACTGGGCGTTCAGACGGTCCTGTTACGTGAATCGTGGCACAGGCTGGGTCACCGCGTCGAAAACAAAGCTCCGTGCGTTCACCCCAATCAAGTCCAAAATACGCTTCGCTCTGGGTATTGTTGCACAGACCGTTCTCCAGCTCGTGGTTGCTGCTCTCGGAATGAAGTATATTTCGAGATACAACTATGTCGCGCAACGGGGTCGCGACGCAGACTTCCCCTCAATCTTCTCCGAGGTGTCTGGTCCGCTGGAACTTGTTCTGGTTGCGACATGCATGGCCTTTTATACCTATGCCGGACTGTCGCTGTTTTTCAACACCGCCAGTCTTTTTGCAGTGCTCTGCAACATTGTCGACATCGAGGACTACACGCCATTGTTCGACATGAGCAAGATGTTCACGTCCCCGCCGCTCAAGACGTTCTGGAACGAAGCGTGGCACCAATTGCTGTACAGATCGTACAGTTTGTGTCGTGCCCTGACCGATAAACTGTTTGGCACTTCGCCGTCTGGCAAAATCCTGGCTGTGTACCTGACGTTTCTGCTGAACGGGACGTTACATTGGTTTGCCAACACGAAGATGGCATGGTACCGCACTTCTGGCGATGCAGCGTACCGCCCGATGTTTCTTTTTCTGTACTGGTGTGTCACGTTGCGCGTCGAAAACAGATGGAACAGGTTTCTGGCAAAACGGTCTATCCAGCTACCAAAACCAGTGTGCGTGGCCACGGCTATTGTGTGGTTCGTTGTCGTGCAAACCCCGGCCGCGATCGTATTGTTCCACGACCAGCTGCGTGCCGATATGCCGATGTTTATAGCTAGATCCCAGTAAAACCAGGCAGTGTTTCAAATCGGCCACAAAACAGATCCGGCATGTAGTAAAAATTACCTATCCCAATGTTTTCCCTATTGCCAGACCTGGCCGTGGTAGCATACCAGCGGGTACCAGTATTCCAGCACGTTATTGCGGTGGCCGTGCCCGTGCTACTGCTTCAGCTGCCCCCGGTTTTCTGGAGAAAATACGTTGCGGTCGTAGTGTTGACTGTCGTTTACTATGCTCTCTCCCTTATCCAATTGGACCTGCATCCAGCATTGCTGTACTTCCAGTCAGCCAGTCTCGTCGTGGCGTACGCGCTGTTCCTCGATCTGTTTTTGGTCAGCGAGTTCCCAGACAAGACAGACCACCAGCCAAATAAAGAGTCCCTCAGATACGTGACAGAACTTAAGGCGTTCTCCTGGGAGAAACTCGACTGGGCCCTCCGACGGTGCTCGTACGTGGTCAGGGGCACCGGCTGGACCATATCGGCCAGATCAAAACCGACATCCGGACCAACCTTCACCTCCAAATCAAAGCTCATTGCTCACATCCTCAAACCGTATTTGTGGCAATTGGCTGTGTGTGCCTGTTGCAAACAGTACCTCTCGTCGTTCCAGTACGTTCGTCATTTCGGTCGCGACCCAGACTTCCCGTCCATTCTCCACGAAACCACAGACCCGGTGCGGCTGTTGCTGGCATGCGCGTGCATGGCATTCCAAACGTACCTGGCGATCGGGTTCTTCTGCAACACGGCCATTGTCGCGGCCTTGCTCGTGGGACTGTACGGCCCCGAGGAGTACGCTCCGATCTTTGATATTGGCCACTTTTTCAAAGACCCGTCGTTGCACGCCTTCTGGAGCCAGGTGTGGCACCAGCTACTGTTCCGCAACTACAGTCTCTGTCGTGGCATGACAGACAGACTGTTTGGGAAAAACTGCTTGGGTAAATTTGTTGCAATCGGCCTCACGTTCGCTTTAGGTGGCCTCAGTCATTGGTTCGGCAACTCCAAATTGGCATGGTATAGGGAAACCAACGATCCTGCATACAGAACGTTCTTGGTCTTCATCTATTTCTTCGCCACTCTCGCCCTAGAGACCGGCTGGAACCGGTTATTCGCATCCCAGATCTCCTGGCTACCAAAACCAGTGCGCAAAGCATGCTCGATTGTTTGGTTTCTGGCAGTTCAGATCCCGGCAATGTTCGTGATATACCACGACGTTCTCCGTGGAGGACTGCTCGGCGGTGAAAAGCTAACGTGGCAGTCACTTCTGGATCAGATGAACGAAGAAGTGGATCGTTTCAGGAAATGATTTCGTCTGATTTATTATTTGGAGGTGTCCGAAAACCAAAAACGACGTTTTTTTAATGCCGAGATGTTCTCTTGGTACTTAAACCACTGTGGATCCCGGTGGCAGACAGCTTTTCATTCATTGGCATTCAATGGACACGTTTCAAGGACTCTACCATGGTGTTCCCCTGGTGCAACATGCTATTATGGTCATCACACCTGCCCTGTTGCTGCAACTGCCCCCATCTTACTGGAGAAAGTACGTAGCTGTACCTGTTCTCACAGCGGTGTTCTACTATGTGTCCACCATTGCGGTCCACTCAAGCCTGATTCTGGCGTATTTCCACGGTCTCAGCGTCACGGTGAATTACATCGTCTGTCTGGACCTTTTCCTCGTCAACGAATATCCGGAAAATACAGACTACCAGCCCAAAAAGGAGACGCTCGAGTCTGTCCGTTCAGCACGCAGCTTCTCGCTGAAAAAACTCAATTGGGCTCTCCGCAGAAGCTTCTATGTCATTCGCGGCGTCGGCTGGGTCACATCTTCCAGAACCAAACGGAACCAGCCTGCTCCGCCGGTCAGCCGCACAAGCTTTATTCTGAGGCAGCTGAAACTGTTTGTTTGGCAATTCGCAGCCGTTGTTGTGGGCAAGATCTACCTGCGGCAGTTCAAGTACTACAAATTTGAAGGACGCGACTTGGATTATCCCAACATTCTTAGCGAGTCTCCCAGTCTGGTTGATTTTGTTGGAAACTATGTTGCTTTGAGTTACAACATTTTCTTTGGCCTGGACTCCACCTACAGGGTGGCCGTTCTGTTTGCTGTGGCCACCGGTCTCTCTACACCCGAAGAGTGTCCTCCTTTCTTCAATTTCAGCAGATTCGGAGAAAGTCCTCCATTGAAAGTGTTTTGGGGAGACGTCTGGCACCAATGGCTGTTCAGAAACTATAGTCTGTGCAGAGGACTCACTGATAAACTGTTTGGCAACAGCTCTTTTGGGAAAATCGCCGCGATCTACCTCACCTTCGTTCTTGGGGGCCTGCTTCACTGGTACGCAAACTTGAGTTTCCCGTGGTTTGCACAGAACGGCCGCCAACCGTACCATGTGGTGCTGGTCTTTGTCTACTGGTGTTTGACCCTGCGTCTGGAAGACAGATGTGGCCAACTGTTGGGCCCCCAGCTGGCCAAGCTGCCTAAACTGGTCCGCAAGGTAGCTGCCATCGGATGGCTTCTAGTTGTCCACTTCCCGGCCGTTTTTGTGTTTTTTGGCGAACTGCTCCAAGGCGGTATCGACGAGCCGCCAACTCCAGAAGAGGAACAACAACTGGCCCAGCTGGCCACCTCGGTGACCAACACCATCTTTGGCTGGATGACGTAATACATTTTTCTTTTCTGTTGAGCGTGCAAGGCACACATTTTTGGAGGCCAGAAATTAGAACTAAATAAACCAACCATACAGCAAATACATCTTCCCCCAACAATTTTAATATTAACCACATTACCATTCTCCAACAGTGACAGAGAGTCAACAAAGCTTTGTTTAAGCGTATCACCAACGGTATAAAATGAGCTATTACACTACAAATTACGGTGGAGATACCCAAAACCCGTCGCAAATGAACTTGAATGCCCAGCAACAAACGTCACTGGCCTCGTTGCTGGCCAACGCAGCCGCTGCTCAGCAGCAACAACAGCAGTCGTCGCTGGTGTCGCCTGGCCAACTCTACAACAATAATTCCAACCTGGGAGGAGCAGGACCTGCTTTGTCGACGTCAAACTCGTCAACAGCCTCGTCGACGTATCAATCGCTGCTTCTTTCCTCTCCACAGACATCTGTGGCCTCGCTTTACTCGACACAACGTGCGAGATTCATGTCTTCCAAAGGATTCGATCTCGAAGACGACATGGAGTTCTGTCCGGAGATTGTGCATGTTTCTGGCAAAAGCAAGTTCAACCCGTACACGTCGCAGACTTTCAGTCCTCACACGTCGCCAGAGGCATTGCCGCACGCACAAACGTCGCCCCAAAGTCCGTCCGTTTCTTCTATGACCCCTCGTCCGTCCACTCCTCGGGTCAAGAAGGTTCTGGAGATCGTCAACCCGCACACGGGCGTCAAGATCTCCCAGAACAACGTGTCGGTGAAATGACCATGTTATGATTGAACGATTTGGCTTGGAAGACTAGGTATTTGTAAGATAGAGTAGACTTTAAATATAAAGTGTTACCCGGTACTGGATATGGTAGTATATGGAAAAAAACACCCAAAGAAAAAGTTTTGTTCACCATGGCTACCAGATTCAGACAGCCTCAGTGGCTCGCCGGCAACGGGTTTGCCCCGCACGTGTACCTGTTCCGCAACATCGAGTCCGGCCAGGTGCTCTATTCGCAGACCCCGCACATCACAAAGTACCAGATCAAACAGCAGAGTTTCAGACCCAATTGGGAGAACAGAAAACCGTCGAAAAGAAGAGACCTGTGGCGGCCGATGGCCGTGGCGCAGTTCCAGTCGCACGAGACCGCCGTCGAGGCGTACAACGCGCTGGTCGAGCTCAAGTACATGCGCCAGGTGACCAAGAGAAAAGAGGCCGAGGCCCTTAGAAAGAGAAACCAGTACGAGCAGATTTGGTATTTCGGACAGTACAGACCAACGTGGGCACAGGAGTCGGTGAGTGACCTGAACACGGTGCTCGACCATTTCAAGCTGACGTCGAAAATTTACTGGGACTCGCTCTGGCGCAAAGGAGACGACAAGCATTGGGAAAACCTTTCTGTTGAGCACGAGGAGCTCGACAAGGTCAATCCAAGGGAAAAGTTCGTGGTGTTGAGCGAAGTGGATCAGAGTTGGCGCGAAGAAACCGCCCAGGGGGCCCAAAAATCTGCAGAGACCCAAACAGCCGTGTAAATAGACACTCGAGATAGAATCTCTAATCATTATCATACATATCATTTAATTAACCGCAATGGCGGGATGTCGGTGCGTTGTGGTATTATTTACTCTTTTTTCAAAGTCCTGGAGGCCTCCTTGGCCTTTCTCTGTGCGTTCTTTTGCTTGCGCTCGTGCAAAAATTGCTTGTACTTTTCCAGGGTGATCTTCTTCTGCTTCTCCGCGTACTCGTCCACGCCGTGGAACGTGGTGTCGAACACAGAGTCCCACATGGTGAAGAACGGCTGCGAGAAGTTGTACTTGATTCCGAAATGCTGGTGGTGGATGTCGTGGTAGATCGAGTTGTTGGGGAACAACAGCTGGAACGGATCGAACGGGAACGAATACCCGCAATGGTCGTCGACGGTCTTGAGCGTCGAGAACGTGTACAGGAAGATCTGCTCGCGTGGAGTCAGTCCTGTCACCAGACTGGCAAGCCCGGCTCCAATGGTATCCAACAAGAACCCTTCCACGGGGTCGTTGAACAGAGCACCGAACGCGTACGGCACGTACAGCTTGTGGTGGCGCGAATGGAACCGTCTGTATAGCCATTTATTTAGATGCATGGCCCGGTGCAGCATGTACTGCCAACTATCGATGATAACAAATGCAACGGCTATCTTTAGCAACGACAGCCCGTACCAGTAAATTAGGTACAATGTCCACGTTGGAACGATTCCCGGGACATTCTGGCGCCACGTCCATAGCGTGTTGTTCTCGAATCCGGTCGTGGGGAGCGTATCGTACTGATAAAACACCAATGCTGCAACGGTTTGGATGATGTGCTGAAAAATCACGTCCCGCACCACCACCGCCACGGTAACCGTGTTCCGCGTCAGCATTTCCTCGGAAGGATGGATGCGGTACTTCTCGGCCAGCTCGTAGACGTCTATTATATGGTAGAAAGACGAATACACCCAATACGCCACGACAGGCGCGATTGCGGCCAAAATCCCGTCTGGAAGTCCTTCGACCAGATCGGTCTTGGGCACTTGCAAGAAGGCAGGCTGAACAGCGCCGTCGATTGTTTGCAAGTCGGTCCAGTTTATAAAAGAATTCATTGCGGTCAATTAATTTTGTTCTGGCCGGGCTTGTTATTTATAATAATACAAAAAGAAAATATACGAGCCAGAAAAATTTTTGATCATTGGGGGCGGGCAACGGCGAAAAATACGCGACGCGTCGATCGTCCGCGTGCTCAGCTCAGCTCAGCTCAGCTTGCCCCTGTTCTCTAGCAGGGCCTCCTCGTCGTAGACGGAGGCGTCTAAGTAATCGTCGTCGCGGTAGAACTTCTCTATTTGTTCAGACACAACCAGTCCGACTCCGCTTACAACACAGCCGAGTCCGAAACACTTGTCGAACCACACGTCCACAAACGAGGTGTCGTGGTCGAAATCGGGCAGCTCGGTCGACAGCAGCTGTGTGTGCAGCAGGAACGTGGTCGACAGTAGGTACACGCCCGTCAGCTCGCACACCACCAGGTCAAAGAAGAACCAGGACCTTGTCAGGCTGGAAGACTGGCTCTTGAACGGTAGCAGCTTGCCAAACTTGTGGAACGTGATCACCACGCTCTGGAACGAGCAGAAGAACAGAAAGATCGAAAACACAAAGCTCACGTTCGTGGCCAGACGATCTGTGTCGTAGGTCGTGTTGTAGAAGCGGGCGATCAGCTTGGCGATGGTCACAGAAAGTGTGTCTGCGGTCTGGGTGTCTGGTTTGGCAGCCTTGAGCTCGAATTGTTCCAGATATATCACAGGGAGCTTGATGAACATGATGTTGATGATCTTGTATAGACAGTAGAGCGCAAACCCCAGTTTTCCTACCTTGGACACCTGGCCCTGGATGGTGGTTGCAAACTGTTGCGACTTGTAGTTCGACACCAGCCCAGCAATGTCCTGGAGCAATTCGCGTTTGATTTGGTTGAGCGCCTTGAGTTCGTTCTTGAGGTCGGAATTGGACGGTTCTTGTTCCAGCTGCTCTGTTCGCGTGGTGAGAAGAGCGTCGGTGGTATGCAACGTTTCGACGCTACGAGCAATGCCGGTCTTTTTAACCACTCGATGTTTTTTCAACAGCAAGTAAAACAGCGACGAGATGGACCCCATGCCGTTCAAAGTGGCCAAACAGGCTACTCCTAGCAAAGTCAGCTCCATCAACGAGCTGGAGAAAAACTGCGAGTACTCGGCGGCCTGCGTGGCCGACGTTGCCAGAACGTTAAACGCACGAAATATCACCACCCAGCACACAAATATGAGCACAAACACAATCCCCCGGTTGCGCACGCTGATGAGATTGGTAAGTCGAGCAAGTAGCGGGAGCTTGAACGTGGTCATGAATAGCATCAGGCTCGGAATCAGGTACGTGAGCAGAAATACCAGCACCATCAAGGTGAACGCCCAGTCCATACTGCGCGAAACGGAGTTGCCAAACTTGACGATCTCAAATAGGACAAGGTCGATGATCTGCAACGAAAAAGACACTGAAACGTTGAATAACACTCTTGTGGTCCGTTTCAGCACAAGATCCATGGAAGTCTCGACCTTGTCGCCCAGTAACGGCTTCAACGTGGTGTCTAGCGGGTGTGATCCGAGAACAACTGGTTTTTGAAGGATCTTGGCAAGGTCTCTGCTTAATCCGTCTTGAATCGACTGGGACGACTGAAATAGTCCCGTGGTGGCACAAATGTAGGGCAACGCAAGCCTGTAAATGAGGCGCTCGGAGATCTGGTAGTTGACAACGTGCGCCACAGCCAATGGGAACACTCCCAAAGTTTCTTTCCACATGGTTAGGACAACTAGTCAAAATTAAAAAATGCACGCTAAATTGTTGTGTGTCAATTACGACTTGGAGAGTGCACAGCCCGAAATCAAGCGTTTTTCTCGCAGTTGGTTAATTGACGGCCTTTTCGTGGAGCCAATTGGACACCATTTCGATGGATTTCTTGTGCACGTTTCCTTGAGCAAACTCTGTGTTGCCGTCCAGACGCTCAAACAAAAACTTGCCGTCACCAAAAGTGGTTGCAAGCAAAGAACCTGCGGTGTCGTCGGATTGGTCGTCCGAAGAGCTGATCTGCGACAGATTGAGCACCTGGCGTTTGCAGATCTGGGTGATTTCTGTCTCCAGCAAGGTCTTAATGGTGGTCCATTTCTTGGACGTGAACAGATCGGACTTGTTGCAGAAGAGCTGGAAGTCCACTCCGTTGGGCACCGATTCTGTGATCTCGTACAGTTTGATCAGGTCGGTGGCCACCTCTGTGCAGTATTCGCTGGAGAATTGCGACGCGTCGATCATGTAGATCAGACCTTTGAGCGACGTTGAGTTTTGTTTCAAAAATGGGTACAAATACAAGGACTTGAGTTTTTCGTTGCCCGGGAAGTCGATCACCTCGTACGAGCCGATCTGGGAGCCCAGATTGAGAACGCCCTTGTTGGGCTCAACAGAAGTGACGGTCAAGACAGGCAGTTCCTTTTTGGTGAGCAGCTCGAACAGACTTGTTTTTCCACTTGATTTGGGGCCAGAAATGACGAAAACCGACTTCTTGGCGCTAAACAGGCGTTTGCGGTCAAAAATAACCGCCGTGACGACCAGCACAACAAGCGCCAGCGCAATCGACACAATAAATTTCAGGTAATCCGGGTCTTTGTGCTCAAACATGACTGTGAGGAAATTTGAAAAATTACTCAAGTGCGCAAAAAAATATCTCAGTATATATATAGCTGGTAGTAATTACGACTTTGTCGGCTGGTCGATTCTATTGGAGTCGTCGTCGCTGGCCTCGCCAGAAACGGTTTCCAGGACGGCCTCGTATCCTTCGTCCACGTTGGCCACAGGACCCTCGTACCATCTTCTGGCGTCCACCATGTACCAGATCAAGGAGAAGAGCAGCACAGCACCGAGCATCAAAACGGTGTAGTTCATGTTCTGCGCGGTGACAGGCATGTAATTAGGGAAGATGAACACGATGGAGACAAAAACAGTCCAAATGCATGCGTAGAACATGATTGGTTTGGTAAATTTCTTGAGGTTGTAAGGACCCGGCTTGACACCCATTCTGTCTGCGTTGATCATGAAGAAGAAGATCACCAGCACGTACGACCAGTCGGTGGCAATGGCACAGGCAGAGAAGATGGCGCTCATGGCAATTGACGAGCCCAGGTTGATCAAAGTCAGCAGACAGTTGACCAAAGTGGTGAGCCACACAGTTCTGACCGGCACTCCTGTTCTTTTGTCCAGGTGGTACCAGATCCACGAGAACGGCACTCCGCGGTCTCTGGAGAAGGACCACAGAGTTCTAGAGATGGCGCAAACAGCCACTGCTCCGCAGAACCACAGGACCACGAAACACAGCGACAGATACGCGGTAGCTGCTTTTCTGCCCATGGCGTAGTCAAACACTTGCACGATCGGCTGGCCCGAGGTGGTGTTGATGAGCGCGTCGATGTCGTCACCCATGCAGAGCGTGTACACCACGTTCAAGATCCAGCCAAGGAACGCGGTCACTGTCAAAGCCAGCGAAATGGCAACCGGGGTGGTGTAGCCAGCGTTGGACACCTCCTCGGACATTCTCGAGGTGGAGTCGTAGCAGGTCATGACCCACGAGACGTTCAGGAAACCAAACAAGAACGCCCATCCGTCCTCGGCCCAGCCGGTGTTGTTGATCACCTTCGAGAAGGTGAATTCTCGGGTGTTGATCTTTGGACACTTGACCAGCATGGTGATGATCAGAGCAATCACCGAGCCGATGTTGACGAAACAGTAGTACTTTGTGATTCTGGACAAGACGGACGAAGGCAGCGAGTTGATGATTCCGTGCGAGGTGATCACCGCAATGGCAGCCCCGGTGATGTGGCCGTTTGTCGGCACATAGGTGTAATCGGAAGCCATCGAGACGGTTTGCAACAACAGGGTAGCAGCACCGAAATCGGTCGAGCAAGCGCCGGCAATCATTCCAATCAGGTACAACCATCCGTCGATCCAACAAACAAGCGGCACCCACTTCTTCGGAACAACATGGGTGATCACATAGTACATACCTCCACTTGTTGGGAAACAGGAGGTGATATGGGCAACCGAATAAGCGATTGCCAAACATCCAAACATACCAATAAACCAGGTCCAACAACAGGCTGCTGGTCCTCCAGAAATAAGAGGATACAGGAACGTGATGGCAACAGTACCCATCAGACCGGAAATGGACAAAGCGAACGAGAAAGTGGACAAAAACGAGTAGTTTCTTGAAAACTCCTGTTTATAACCCAAATTGGCCAGCCGAACAGCATCGGAGTCGATGGTGGCTCTGGCCGACACCACTGTGTGCAAGTTTGATTTCTCAACGTCGTTAACCATGTTTTAGGAATGGACAACAGCACAAGAGGTATAATATAAGTAGGGAAAATTTTTAAGATATGACCGTCCTGCTAGATAAAATGGAAAAGATACGAATCTCCATTTGGTTGATCCATCAAATTACTACTTGATTTGTATAAGATACACATGCTCTGCTACACGACCAATAAACGCCCAGCACTACGTAATAGAGTGACACAATTTTATCCGAGTCTGTAATGGAGTTATGCGCAATCTTATCGACCGCCAAAAAAGCTTATCTTATCTAGACAGGGAGCATCTGCGCCTGATGCAAAATGCCGGTGTAGGAGTGCACTTATTGTAGGTTTTAGGGCAAAGCTTTGTGGAGCTTGGTTTAGGTGCACATGTAATTCACCTTCCCTGTTTGGCACTTTTTTCCGCACGGAAAAACCACGGTTCTTTTGGGAGAAGAAGCTCACGTGACTTGCACGTGACTCGGTGAACGGCAAGGCGTTGCTAGCCAATGGCAAGCGGTGTGCATTGTTGTCACGGTGTTTGCATTGTGGGACACTATTGTTCCCGGTTTGCATTATCTGTCTCCCAAGATAAACATCTGGATACAGCACTTTGGATGTTCAGGGGCGGTTTGGCGATTTCTTCTCTTCATATGGACAACTCCGAGTTCTCGTTCAAGAAGAAACCCATCTTCCGGTACAACTCGCAGTCGCGGATCAACGTGATCAGCGACTATCCGCCGCAGCAGTACGACCAGGTGGACCACGACTTAGACCACCATCAGTTCTATTCCAAGTATAAAGGCGTCTTAAAGGATAAAGACGAGCTTCCTGACGAGGTTTTGGACGATCTGGACTTTGAATACAATTACGATGACAAAATCAGAGCCCCAAGAGTGTCTTTGATCAACCCAACGTTCAAATCGGAAGCAAGCAACGATAAGGATCCTAAAGATCCGTCACAATTGGAGATGCAGCCGGAAAACAGAAACTATGTTGCCGGGGAAACTGCTCGTCAATACCGACCAGCGAGTTTTGATCTTTCGAAACCAACAAGACAGTATTCGCAATCTACAGAGTCCAAACCGTCTGTGTCAAAGTTGCGCGAGTTGAAACTAAAGTTACACAACGAGCAAAAGATAAATTATGTTCCTCCTGTTCTGCGGCCGACGCTGGTTGGGATCCAGAGCCAGAGCCAGACGGACGTGATGACCACGTCGGACGCGGCGAGCGGACGTAGCTCTGCGAGCCGGTCGAGGTCGTCGCAGGCGTCGGAGTCGACAGAACAGCCCAGTATAGACATCCCGCTCACGCCTGTGTTTTCCAACTCTTCCAGCTCCTCCAAAGGCGTGGAGCCCTCGCATTCGCATTGGAAACCAAACAGCTCGTCGTTCATGTGTGCCGGATGCAACGCGCAGTTCTCGTTGGTGCGCCGCAAGCACCATTGCCGGCACTGCGGCGAGATCTTCTGCTATCAGTGCGTCCACAACCGCGCAAACTTGAACCTGCTAGCCAAGTTCGAGAAACCAGGGCTCCACAACATCAAGCACGGCAGCCCGGAGACCGACGCTTCGAAGAAAAACTCGTACTGCAAGTTCAGTAAAGTGTGCGAAAAATGCTTCAAAGATTGGCTCATATTCCTGCAAAACGACAACGACCACGAACTAGACGCCCCGCTAGAAAACATTGCCCAAGAGCAAGTCTTAAACAGAGACCGCATGAACTCCCAGTCCAGCAAAACTGGGGTCCCCAACGACTGGAACTGGAGCTCGTTCTAGCCTTAGGACACCGAGTTGTTCACCACCAACTTGGCAAGGTGCTGGAAGAACGTCTTCAAACTAACATCCTCCGTGTGCACAACAGTGCTTCCCGGATCGCTATCGGCAACGTATCCCTTCATTCCGCCGCCTGTCGCCTCGCTGTTGTCGTTTTCGGATGGGTTCAGCTTGGAGTACAAAAATCTGGCTTGAGACTTGCCCTCATCGCATGTAACGTATCTAGGAAGAGGGAACCGGTCCGCAATAAGCGACGCGGCCTCCTCTTTAGACTTGTCAATCATATCATAAACTCCAGGATATTCGTCTCTTGGATATTCTCTGTCTCTCCAGTCGGCAGCGATGTTACCAAAGTAAATGACAGTGTAGAAGAATGCATCGAGTAACAATACAGCGTCCGGCTTGAGAGATGCAGAGTCTAGCAGAACCGGCTCCGGCTCGGACCCGTCAGCCATGAATCTCACCAAAGTTGGCTGGATCATAACCAAGGAGTCTCTTACATCGGTTCTCAAAAGCGTGTGGTGGTAGAAAGCAGTCTCGTCCGGTGAGCAGTTGAACACCTGCAAGAACTGCGATCTTCTCAAATGGTAGATGAACTGCGGAAGCAGAGAAAATTTGGACGACAGTCTGAATGAGTTTGGATCGTTTCTAGAGTAGTCTCCAAAAACGGTACACAGTTTGACCAAAGACTTGTCGATCCATCTAAGTAGATCGGAATATTCACCACCGTTTTCAAGCTTGTGAACAATCAATCTTGCGTACAACACAGCAGCTGCCTCTTGGTCAAATGTGTTGGACAGCTCTGTGGAATTGGATGTCAATCTGCTCAAAGTGGTCACTCTCATCCGCACAGTACCGTTGGTGTGTCTATAGGTAGTTTGGAATTGGATGTGGACCTCAGGAACTGAGGAATTGCGCTGATCAGCAGCCCCAACAGTTTGCATATCGAAAAATATACCGTACGTGTGTCTTGGAGACACAGAAGGAAGACCCCATTTGTTGGTGAAACCGTGACCAACCTCGATATCGGCCACGTTCTTTCCTTCTTTCTTCAACGAGGTGGCAAGACCAACAACTCCGGCGACCTTCAATCTTTGAGAAGTGAACACCTCCAAAGACCCGTCAAAGTAGTTGAAAGGATAGCCCTCGTCGTCCTTGTTGAAGCATGCAAAGAATGAGTTTTTGAAGATCGAGGTCTGGAACGAGTCGGTCACCACAATGGTACCTCCAGTCTGGTTGCTCAACGATCTCATTTCGTAGATACCTGTCTGATCATAACATCCGGCAAAGATATCGACACTGAAGGTTGCTGATGATTGAGGGTCAAAGAATTTATCCTTAACGTCCTTCTTTAATTGGGTGGCCTTTGTGGTGAGTTTCTTGTAGAAAGCCACGGCCTTTTTGTAATGCTTGGCTGTACCCTTGTCAATATCGCTGTGGGATCTGATTGGTTCTTTCAACTCTGTGCCGACAATGGTTCCTGGTCCAAAAGTACAAGGACCTCCTGCGAAAAGTGTCACTTTGGCAGCACCTTGCAAGAAAGAGCCTTCCACCAAACACGAAGCTATGCTGAGTGCCGCACCGGTGACTCTGATAGCTCTGTGGCCTGGCTCGACGGTCCACTTGGAGATTTCCAAGGACTCGATGGCTCTTGTGATCTGGAACTCGGCATCGGGGTCGCTCAAAGGCAACAGGAACTTGCCGATAGTTCCTCCGGTTTCGAACTGTTGGATCCAGTTTTTAGAACCGTTTCCAAGGATTCCCAGCTGTTTCTGGACTTCCTGGGACTCGTACTCTTTGTTTCCGCTAAAGATGTATTTTTTGAAGCAGGAATCAAAGTTCAATTCGTGAACATTTACCACGGAATCGAAAGTGATCAAACCAATGAGAGATCCCGGTGGGTGCAGAGACAACGAGGTGATCAGCAGATCCTTCAATGCTTGCAAATCTTCTGGCTCTTGACACAAGTCGATAACGTAGATGAAAGCTGGAGGAGGAGGGGAAGGGGTCTTTGTAAGCACGTATTCGATGGACGAAGCCTGAGGGGTCAATTCAATAGGCAAGTTCTCAGCAGAAATGTTGGAATAATGCACAGGGAGTGGGTTGCGGGACATACAACAAGTACATGTCCACGTTTTGGATCCCAGGTCGATTTGGGAGAAAACGTTCAAAACTGCACGGCATCGTCTGCATAATTGCGGATCATAAGTGGCAATCGGAAGGTCTTCTCTGGCAAGCAACGGGGTATATAAACATCCCACTGGAGCAGCCATATTCTCGGCCTCTTGCCTGGTGACAGGAAATGCGTTCCAGTTGAAACGAACACCGTCGATGTCTTCGATCTCGTAAATGTCCGCCATGGTCAATTATAGTCAACAACTCGGGATTTGGCCGCGGAAAAAAGGCTGATTCACACACAAAAATACAAACGTCGATTTGGAGAGTTTCAAACCTGACGTTATATACCAATTAGTACAAAAGTTGCCTCTCAGTGTTTGCCCTTTCGTTTTGTTGTTGTCTTTTTTTTTCCAGCTCGATCTTGTCGAAATAGGGTAACGAGATTCGATAGGCAAAAAACAGGAGGTGCACGGGTGTGCATTGAAATTTCGCCCGAATTTTGTGTATCAACTATACATAATAGATATCAATATTTGCAAATAAAAAGCTTGATTGTAGTAACAAAAACAACCCCCGTCGTATCTACTGCTTGTTCAACAATTCTGTAAGACTCTCTTTGTTGAACGCGCGAGTGAGAACGTCTCCAACATCTTTTCCATCCACAACAACACCGACCTCGCTACATTTAGCCTTCATCTTGAGCTCGGAACAAAGTCCATCAATGTCAAGCTCGCTAAACTTAGGGTGGGTGGTGATCCGTTCCCATATCTGGGAACACTTCATCAAGTTTTTTGAAGTATCGGGCACAGTTTCAGAGGCATCGTTATCATTTTTATCATCCTTTTTATCGTCTTTTTCGTCCCAAAGCTTGAAAGACTTGCCGTTCAAAGAATTCAAGTTGTTTTGCGTTAGTTGTTGAGAGGAATTAAAGAAATCTCCAAAAGGATCGTCCTTTGATTCTTCGGTGATGAGTCCGTCTAGTGGATTGGTTTCCTGTCCAGCAGCAAGATCCACCTCGTTTGTCGAAAATATCAAATCTGATGGTGAAAATGCCGATGGATTAGACTGATCAAACACAAGAGAAGCATCGTACGTGGGCGTATCGAATAGGAATGGCAGATCGTTAGAATCCGACTTGGTGGTGCCATAATCGGCAAGCATTTGGAATGGAGAAGATGACGATATTTCCGATCCAAGATTCAACGAGGATCCAAAAGTAGATGTGGCTTTGCCGGAAACGCTTCCTGGACGCTTGGACTTTGGAACAGGATCCTCCTTGTTGCCGCAGACAGTTCCTAAACTGTCACAAAAGCCGACCTCTTCGGTGAATTCGTCCTTGTAGCTGCTCTGGTTGAGCTTATTCAGGTCGTTCTTCGCAATATCGTACGGTTGTTCGCTCTGTCTATACCATCTCTCCTTATCGGGCCATGGCACCTGCGACTCGGATCCTCTATCCACGGCAGAAGAGCACGAGGATGTTGGAGTATGTGTAGAATTATTCGGAGAAGAGGAATTGGATATGGATTTTTCAGAGTCAGTCGATGTGATTGCAGAAACAGACCCTGGGTTCTTCTGTCTAACATCTGCCATCGTAGGTAGCTTCACGGGAAGCTCTCCACCGCTCTGCCGCGTCAATTCGTTCATTAGCGTGTCCACTTGGATTCTCAGCAGTTCTGTCTCGTTGGTAATTTGCAGTTTCTCGTTTTCAAGTAACTGCACCTTCATTTCCAGTTCTTTCATCTTCTTCTCTTTTCTCTCTCTGAAAGCTCGCTGAGCTGCCCTGTTTTGTGCGGTTCTCTTGTTGGAAGGCTCAGTGCTGATGGGTTTGCGGCCCGGTTTGGTATGAACGCCATCATCAGGCGAGCTGCTTGAAACGGTCGAAGACATCGTGTTTTTACCCGGCTTTTACTAGCTTGCAAATGTTTGTATTATTGGCTGTCCGATTAGATGATACAACTAGTAAAACGGCAATTTGGTCTTCTTGTTAGACCCAAATTCTGACGTTAAGCTAAGTAAGAAATTAATTTACTAATTTGCCATTTGGAATTTTGTCTGTTTCGCGCACTCAACATTAAATTAGTAATCATCTGCACTGCACAGCCAAATATGGAAGCTCCAGAAAAAAGTCTATTTAGCCTCAGTTGTGGTGAAAAATTCCTATTGATCTGTGCTAAACAGCCACCATAGACCCGTGAACAATCTGGTGACCAGGGGTTGTTGTTAATTTCGTTTTTTGGTTCAAAAATGTCTCGTAGAAGGCCCGCAAAACCCGTGCTATAGTTTCTTTGCTGTTGATTAAAGATTGGGCTAGCCCTTGGCCAGAGCCCCATCCCTGCACCAGGTTCAGATTATGAAGCACCCCAAGACAGATTGCAACTACAACCAGATCGACCGCAGCCTGCTTCACAAGTCCTTTTGTCACGCGAAACAGCCGAACAATGGCCAGCACAACCAGTTGGCGGACCCGTGCAGAAACCGGCTTCCGGGACCTATCTTTCCGCGGTCTGTTTCTGTGGCCATTTGGAGACTCCTGGAGATGGGCACTAAGTCCGATTGTTTTCAGGCTGGCGATATCGCTGCTGAGGCGGTTCAAAGTGGAGTTGATATCGTTCTGCCACTTGACAAACTCGTAGTTTCTCGTCATTGGTTCGCTCGTCCCGTTCCCACTTATTGTCCGTTGTCCTATCGTTGGTGCGTGTGTCTTTTCCGTCATCTGTAATCCGCTCGCCATGGAAATCCGCGAAACCGGCCGCACGATGTTGGGGTTCGATCCAGAAGACGTTAGTCTGTACAACGACAGTGCCGGAGACTGTGCTCGTGCCGCAAACGGTGGCTCAGGAGCAAGATCCGCAAACGTGGGCGATAACTGCTGGTCTTTCACCTGGTCCCATAGATATTCCAGCTCGCTCAGCAGCTCCCGAGCCTCCACAGACTCGTTGGCATGGGTTCTCATCGTCTCTATCAGGAACGAAATGTACTGTCTTTTTGCCTCCGTGCGAGAAACGCCCTCTTCCTGTTTCCAGGCGTCCCATTTGCGTTTTGCGGCCTCGTCTTCCGGTCGCGAGCCAATGGGTCTGTCCATGAGCCCGGTCACATCTCCCTCTGTAGCTTGTTTATAAAGTCCGTACAACTTGACACGGTTGGACAGCGGCGGACGGGGAAGCGAACTCTTCGGAGACCGTGTGGACAATGTTCGGATGGTCGCTATGGCCTTCACAAAGACCCTGTCGATGGAATCAGACATCAGAATATGATTTTATTATTGTTTATTCAATTAGGCTATCAAGAATTAAAAACAAGATTATTGTGATGGTGTACGGATTACATGTACGTGATTACGCAAGCAATTACAATGTCTGAATCTGAAATGGACCTATGGAATCATGTAATCATTCATCCACGGTGAGTAGGAAACAGGTCGATCTCGTTTGCACCAAAATAGGAACCAAATATAGCAGCATTTGGCACCAGAGTGTTGGCAAACTGGGTCTAAATGAATTGGTTTTCTGTATTATTGATATATTCCACCTTGTACATATCTTCAGTTCTCTGGAACGTCAATCTCGCCAGCGTCGATGGCTTCAATGATAGCGTGAGGGTTCTTACCAGCAACTCTGCATCCAACAGATTGAGCAGTACCAAGGACCTCCTTGGCAACAGAAGCGAGGTTCTTACCGAACGACTTTTCTCTCATGGTTCTGGCAATCTCCCAGATCTCTTCAAGTTGAATGTTACCGGAGTGCTTCACGTTCTTCTCCTTCTTTCTGTCTCTAGGTGGCTCCTTCAAAGCAGTGATCACCAAAGAGGAGGCAGATGGCACAACAGAGGCCTGAGCTTGTCTGTTTTGGATTCTCAATTGCACAGTAACCTTGATACCCTTGAACTTGGTAGTGGCCTTGGCAATATCTTCACCAACCTTCTTTGGGGAAAGACCAAGAGGACCGATCTTTGGGGCAAGAGCGGAAGAGGCTCCCACTTCACCACCAACGGCTCTCAGGTAGATGAATTTCACTTCGTTAGGGTCGAACTTTGGAGGCATGTTAAAAGGGTGTGGTAAATTTTTTCTCACAACGAAAATTTGAAATATTTCTCCAGGTGCACGGTTGGAGTGAGTGTGGTCACGTGACTTTTGTTGCGGGTTGCGGAGACCTTTATGGAGAGCACTACATTGATTCGACTACAACACTCCATATCGGTGAGATACTCATCTTCCTTAGCGGATGCCGAAGCCACCGTCCGATAATGGTCTGTGTGATTTGGGGAGCGCGTCTGATTTATTTGGTGGTCACTTTTATGTTGGGATAGTACAGGTGGTAGCCGATTTTCTCAAAGGACACCTTAAACTCGGGCTTGGACGACTCGGTGGCAGCCTTGAGAACCTGGCTGAACGCCAATTGGACCGCGATGTTGGCCTTTTTCAGCAGCTTGACTTCGTCGAGAAAAGCCTCGGCCATGAACTTTGGGTACTGCAGTTTTGCAACCATTGCCTCGAATCGCCGCAAGTCCAGGTTGACTCTGTCTGCTCGTTGTTTCATGAGCACCCTTTCGTAGTTGGCTCCACTTCCTTGCAACGAGCCATGGATCCACACGTTTTGTCTCATGATGTGCTGGTATTCGGAGTATGGAAGCAGTTGAGGAATGCCGATGGTCTGATACGACTTGAACTGCAGATTGTAAAGGATCTCTTCAGACACCTTGCACAGTTTAGGGAGGCCCAACAGCCCAAATCTCTGGAGCAATCGGAACAAACAAACGCGGGACTCTGTAAGGTTTTTATGGATTTCGTATTTCACCAGTTGGAACTCGAAATAACGTTCCATCCGCTCAAACTGGGGCAGAAACTCCTTATCGATCTCGTACTGTTCTCTAAGCTTGTTCTTCTTGTCGCCCTTGGCCTTCTTGATGCGTTTCGAGTAGTTGTTGATCTGTGTTTGGCGGAGCCGGTTCAGGTCCAAGAGTCGGTGGATATGCTGGATCAGATGCTCCAGCTGGTTCCCAAGCTGCCAGTATCCCAGATGCAGCTCGCGGGGGTCTTTGTACAGGTCGAGTTCGATCGATTTGAAGAGCAGGTCGGCCATCTTGGACAGCTTCAAATAGTAGACGAACGAGGCAAGCGGCATGGCTGGGAGTTCTGAGTCCGGGAACACGTCGTTGAGCTTGGAGTTGAGTCCTGTTTCGAAGTTTTCTGTCTCCACCTGGATGGAGTCCCAAATGATTAGCTCTTTGTTGACAAACTGTCTTTGACGCGACGGGTTCTGCGAAATCGAGGTCAGAAAGTTGTAGAACGCCGGCTCCAGCTGTGTGAGTAGCTTTTCAAACCCTTCGCGGATCTCCTTGCTGTCGACGTCGGACAGTTTCTGCTGGATCTTGGAGTTCTGGAGCGAGATCTTGTTCACTATATCTATCAGCAACGTGGAGATATTCCAGTGCTTGGAGCCCAGGATCGACTGGTCGTCTCTGATCAGAAACAGTTGCATCAGAGTGCGGACCACGATATGGTTGCCGAGGATCTCGTCTGGGTCCGCGGTGAACTGTCGCCGACACATGAACACGTTCAAATAGTCGAGCAGTTCGATGCTGTCGCGCACCAGAAACACCTTGGTCATGAACCTGAGGTCCACAAACATCTTGGCGAAACTGGCAACCGACTGGTCGAACGACGCATATGCCAACGGTTTTGGCGGCGACCGGTTGTTCAGCGTTCGTTGCACGTTCGTGGAGAAACACGCAGTCTTTGGCAGCGAGTCCACGAGCTTGGCGGTCTCCGGAGACGCCAAAGTGTCCAATAACGAAACAGCTTTGTCGATATAGCTGAAATCGGCGGTCTTGGGTGTTCCCTGGTACAGTTCCGTGTTGATCTGGACAAGGCTGTTGATTTTGAGCGACTGGTCCAGAACTGACAGCAAGGCAATACACAACGAGGCCGATTCGGACTTTGGCTGCGTTTCGAGCCATTGAACGGCCCCATTGACCGTCTGCGAAACGTCCTCGGACTCAAACACGGCAAAGTCCAGATCCATGGTCTGGGTATTAAGGTCTTCCTCCTCGTAGATGACCCCTGCGACTCCCAGAGACAACACCTGGTTGACAAACTGCACCACGGCCTTCACAAACGGCACCAGGACCTTGTTCTCGATGGTCCCCTCAACAGGGTTCCCTAATATCAATTGCTCAACGTAATGACAACTTAGTACGCTGACGCTCAGCGAGTTGTTGTCGAGCCACGCACAAACACACCCCAGTAGCCGGGCCATGACCCAGGCGGCGTGGTCCAGCGTCGGAACGGCAGGGTCGATTTGTTCGGGTGTCAACAATGCGGTGTCGAGCTTGGGATTCATCACCTCCAAAGCGTGCGTTCCTTCAAGCAGCTTGAAGTGTTTGGACTTGGCGATATCACCATACTCTATTTTCGACGCTATGGAGAAAAACTCGTCTGTTATATCGTCATAATCGTGGATGTTTAAAACACCCAGCTGTTGTTGAACGTCCATAAAGAAAAATATTTGGACATTTCACGAAATCACACGTAGATTCAGATTTAAAGAGGAAGATTGGGCGTTTAATGGCGGATTTCAGCCAACAAACATGCTACACGCTATAAAAACACATCAAATTCACTGAATTGTCTCGTCTAATATTCATTGCTCTACATCTAAATAGTCTCCGATAAAACCTTGTTGAGCTTGTTGACCTTGGTGGCAAGAGAAAGATCAACAGACTTCTCGCCAACCTCGACAATCAAACCACCCAAGATCTCTGGGTTGACCTCGTTCTTGATCTTGAGGGTCTTCTCTGGACCAACAAACTTGGATGCAGAAATGGACTTGCTGAGCTTGTTGAGGATCTTGGAGTCCAATGGCTTGGCAGACACAACGGTGGCCTCCACCACGCCTTTGTAGGCGTCGTTCAAAACACCAAACTGCTTAGCAATAGCCTCAAACAGAGAAAGTCTGTTGTTGTCGGCCAACACAGAAAGCAGGTTTCCAACAACAGGGTCCAACTTCAGGTCCTTGGACAAAACGGAAACAACCTCCTGTCTGGAGTCTTGCGAAAGAGCAGGGTTGGACAGAATCTGAGCAAGTTTAGGGTCCTTGGAGATGGTGGAGTTCAACTTCTCGACAGATTGGAACGTCTTCTCAATGGACGAGTCTTTGGCAGATGCGGTGAACAATGCGGTGGCGTAGGTGCCGTCAAGACCAAACAGCTGAACTGGCGGCTTAATTGGGGCGGCCGATGCCAATCTTCTCACAAATTGACGGGATGCAAACATGAGTTGGATTCTGTTAATAGGTGTGTTTTTTTGGGGGTTTGAATTTTTTAATTCGTTGGGCATAAGTGCCACGTATGTGTGGCAGATATGCCAATTTCCGGTTGGTGGTTGAAAAAAAAAAATCCAAGACCAAACACACCCATGTCGTTCTTACTTAACGTGGCCAGACCGGCTTTTATGGCGTGCAAGCTGTCGCCGCAGTTTGGTGTGCGGAGTGCTAGTCATGTGGTTGTGAGTCAGAGAAGAATCGACCAGACCGAGCTGGAGAAACAGGACACTGTGACCAGACGTCAGTTGGAGCTGAGTAAAGAAAGGGTGCAATTCAAGCGGCTCAAGCCGTACTCGCCCAGTCTGAGATGGTGGAGACGGCCGATCTACCCTCACTTGTGGTCGGGCAAGCCGTACAAGCCGCTGACGGTGACCAGAGTGTCCCAGTCGGGACGGAATAGCACAGGAAGAATCGTGGTGAGACACCGTGGAGGAGGCCACAAGCGTCGTATTAGACTGATCGACTACGCCAGAAACACCCCGGGCCCGCACACGGTGGTGCGGATCGAGTACGACCCGAACAGAACGTCGCACATTGCGCTGCTTAAACACCAGGATACAGGAGAAATGTCGTACATCATCGCGTGCGAGGGGCTGCGTGCGGGAGACGAGGTGGAATCGTTCCGCGCTGGTATTCCAGAGCGGCTGATGAAAGAGATGGGCGGCAAAGTGGACCCTGCCATTCTTGCGGTGCGGATCTCCAGAAAAGGTAACTGTCTTCCGATCTCGTTGATTCCCGTGGGGACCATTGTGTACAACGTGGGCGAGCACAAAAACGGCCCGGCCAAGTACTGTCGTGCTGCCGGCGCGTACGCGCGGCTGGTGGCCAAGGATCTGGAGAAAAAACGTGCGATTGTGCAACTGCAGAGCGGAGAACAACGGTACGTGAACTTGGAGGCCTGTGCTACGCTCGGAGTGACATCGAACTCCGCCCACCACAACCAGAGTCTGGGTAAGGCCGGAAGAAAGAGAAACATGGGTATCAGACCCACAGTTAGAGGTGTTGCCATGAACAAGTGCGACCATCCATTGGGAGGTGGTCGTGGTAAGTCCAAGGGTAACAAGGTGCCTATGTCTCCATGGGGTGTGATTGCCAAGGGAGGATTCAAGACCAGAATCGGCAAACATGTGAATAAAAACAAGGTCAAGGACCGGCCTCGTGGTAAGCAAAGGTGAATGTATATAGCTGCGACATAGAAAAATGTTGTGACAGAGTTAAAAATTCAAGATTAATAAATAATGCATGCAGGTTAATTTTTTTCGTTTATTTTTTTTGACTTGGATTTATTGATTCCTTGCCATGTTAAGAGCTCCGTCCTTTAGAAGCGTGCGATTGCAACGGTTCAGCACGTCTGCTGCGTGGAGAGCGGCCCAGATTCTTTCTGGAACCAAGCTTGCTTCGCAGATCCGTTTGGACGCCAAACAGGCTATTGAGCAGATCCAGGCCAAACAGCCTAATTTTAAGCCTTCCTTGACAATTATCCAGGTTGGCGACAGACCAGACTCTTCTGCATACGTTCGTATGAAACTGAAGGCATCAACAGAGTCCGGCGTCGAGTGCAACATCGTCAAGTTGCCCGAGGACACCCACGAGATCACTCTGTTGAACAAAATTCGACTCTTGAACGAGGATTCCAAGGTTAATGGTGTTTTAGTGCAGTTGCCGCTGCCTAAACACATCAGCGAGGTCAAGATCACCAACAGCGTGGCAACAGAGAAGGACGTGGACGGGTTTGATAGATACAACGTGGGAGAACTGTCAAAGAAGGACGGAAACCCGCTGTTTCTGCCTTGCACCCCTAATGGATGCATGCGTTTGTTGGAACAAACAGGCGTGCAATTGGCCGGCAAACACGCCGTGGTGATTGGCCGTTCCGACATCGTGGGAACCCCCGTGGCTGCTCTGCTGAAGAAGGCCAACTGTACCGTCACCATCTGCCACAGTCAGACTGATAATATTCCACAGCTGGTGAAACAAGCTGACATTGTGATTGCTGCTCTGGGAAAGCCAAACTTCGTGAAAGCCGACTGGCTCAAGGACAACGCCATTGTGATCGACGTGGGCATCAACTACGTGGACGCTCCAGGAACCAAGTCTGGCCACAAGCTCACCGGAGACGTTGACTACGCAGGCTGTGCGGAAAAGGCCTCCTTTATCACGCCTGTTCCCGGCGGAGTGGGTCCCATGACCGTGGCAATGCTTGTTCACAACGTGTACCAGGCAGCCAAGCGCCAGCTCGAGCAAGAGTCGCGCCCGGTCGTGTGCGAGCCGCTTCCTCTGGAATGCAAAGAGCCTGTGCCGTCCGATATCGACATCTCGCGCGCCCAGCAGCCAAAGGTTATCACCGAAGTGGCCGAAGAGCTCGGGATCAAGGAGTCCGAGCTCGAGCAGTTCGGCCACTACAAGGCCAAGGTGTCGTTGGATGTCTACGACCGGTTGAAGGACTACAGAGACAACGGTAACTACGTCTTGGTGGCAGGAATCACTCCTACTCCTTTAGGAGAAGGAAAGTCCACCACCACGATGGGTCTTGTGCAGGCTTTGGGCGCCCACATCGGCGTTCCTGCCGTTGCCAACGTCAGACAGCCTTCCATGGGTCCAACGTTTGGTGTGAAGGGGGGTGCTGCTGGTGGAGGATACGCTCAAGTGATTCCTATGGACGAGTTCAACATGCACTTGACCGGAGACATCCACGCAATTGGTGCAGCCAACAACTTGCTGGCTGCTGCCATTGACACGAGAATGTTCCACGAGGCCACCCAAGGCGACAAGGCGTTGTACAAGCGTCTGGTTCCTGCCAAGAAGGGAAAGAGAGCGTTCACTCCGTCGATGCTGAAACGGTTGCAGAAACTGGGCATCTCCGAGACCGACCCGGACAAACTGACCGAGCAGGAGGCCACCAGGTTCGCCAGACTCGACATCGACCCGGCCACCATCCAGATCAAGCGCGTGGTGGACGTGAACGACCGGTTTTTGAGACAGGTCACCGTTGGTGAGGCTCCTACAGAGAAGGGCTTTGTGCGTAAGACCGGGTTCGACATCACCGTTGCCTCGGAGATCATGGCCATTCTGGCGCTGTCCAAGGACCTGGAGGACCTGAGAGCCCGTGCGGGCAGAATTGTGGTTGGAACCAGCAAGTCTGGCGAGTCTGTTACGGCAGAAGACGTTGGCTGTGCGGGCGCCATTGCCGCTCTCTTGAAGGACGCAGTCAAGCCAAACCTGATGCAAACGCTCGAGGGAACGCCTGTGTTTGTGCACGCGGGTCCGTTCGCCAACATCTCGATCGGTGCGTCGTCGGTCATCGCCGACAGACTGGCCCTGAAACTCGTGGGCTCGCACCCGGGAGCCGATCCTGCTACCAAGGGTTTCGTTGTCACCGAGGCCGGTTTCGACTTCACTATGGGCGGAGAGCGGTTCTTCAACATCAAGTGCCGCGCCTCTGGCCTGAAGCCAAACGTGGTGGTGTTGGTGGCCACCTCCAGAGCCTTGAAGCTGCACGGAGGCGCCCCAGACGTGAAGCCGGGCCAGGCTCTTCCTGAGGAGTACACCCAGGAAAACGTCCAGCTCGTGAGACAGGGATGCGCTAATCTGGCCAAGCAGATCGCCAATGCCAAGAGCTATGGCGTGCCGGTCGTGGTTGCCATCAACCAGTTCGTCACCGACACCCCGGCAGAAATCGCCGCTATCCAGGAGGAGGCCCTCAAGGCTGGTGCAACCGCTGCTGTTCCATCTAACCACTGGGCCAAGGGAGGTGCCGGTGCAGTCGACCTGGCCAAGGCCGTGGTGGAGGCTGCCAAACAGCCAAACAAGGGAGACTTCCTGTACGACCTGGAGAGCTCTGTGGAGGAGAAACTGGGAGCCATTGCTACCAAGATGTACGGCGCCGACGGCGTGGAGCTGTCGCCGCTTGCCAAGGAGCAGGTTGCATCCTACGAGGCCCAAGGGTTCGGCAAGCTGCCGATTTGCATTGCAAAGACGCAGTACTCGCTGTCGCACGATCCGAAACTCAAGGGTGTGCCGACCGGATTCACAGTCCCTATCAGAGAGGTTCGTTTGAACGCGGGCGCGGGATACTTGTATGCTCTGGCAGCACAGATCATGACCATTCCTGGTCTGTCGACCCACGCCGGATACATGAACGTGGAGGTCGTCGACGGCCAGATCGAGGGTCTCTTTTAAAACACATTAGAGTCTATAAACCACATTCGTAACTATTATCAAGAAGAATTGATCTTTTCGGAAATCTTTGCCTGCTTCACCAAATTGGCTGGAGCGTCCATCTCGTCCAGCATCAGCTCGATCAATCTCACCTTGTCGTTCTTGTTGAACGCCTTGTCCTCAAACAGAGTGTTAAGCTCCTCGACGGTGCTCACGCGGTGGTTTTCGTATTCGACCTTGTCGTGGAAAAGCTCGAGGATCTTGGAGTGGTCCCAGGTCTGGATCATATTATACTGGGCGTGTTCTCCGTGGATCAGCTTCTCGATGGTGTATCCCTTGTTGTTCAACACAAACAGGTAAGGCTTGAGGTTCCAGCGACAAACGTCAGAGATGGCCTGGACCGTCAGTTGCAACGATCCGTCTCCGATAAACAGGATGCATCTGCGGTTTGGATCGATCTCCTCAAGCGCAAACTGGGCCCCCACGGCAGATGGCAGCGAGTACCCAATGGATCCCCACAACACCTGCGAAATGGCTGTCACCTTGGATGGGAAGTGGGTCTGGATCACACCAAACGAGGAGGTACCTGTTTCGGTGACAATAACGTCTCCGGATTTGAGGAAGTACGATAGCTTCTTCCACAGGTAGTCCTGGGTCAATTTACCAGACTTGACGTTGACAACCTGCTTGTAATCATGAACAGAAGCAGGCAATGGGCCTGGAACGTAGTTCGAGGTTCCCTTCTTGATCTTCTCGTCCAGTTTCTCCAAAACGTACTGCATCTTGACGTTGGAGTAGGTGGCAGCCCTGACTTTGCAAAAGTCCGAGTGGAACTCAATCACATTAGTGGTGTGGTAGTTGTACGTGAACGAACCTGTGTTGAAGTCCGACAACAGACCGCCCACGCTCAAAATCAGGTCCGCGCTCTCCACGGCTTCCTTAACGTCCGGATTGGACAGAACACCAACATAAACTCCTCCGTATCTTGGATTATCCTCGTCGAACGACGACTTGCCCATAGGAGTCGTGAAAACAGGGAACTGCGTGGTTTCGGCAAACACAGCCACCAGATGCTTGACGTCGTGTCTGGAGGCACAAGCGTCCACCAGAACGATCGGGTTTTTGGCTTCCTGGATCTTGGCATAGATGTTCTCCACAATCTCGAGTTCGGCCTCCTTCTCGTTCAATGGCAGCTCGAGATCGAGCTTCTTCTCCAGCCGACTGGCGTCAACCAGCTCATTCACAAAGTTTGAAGGCAGACCCAAATACACCGGTCTTTTAAGAGTGAACGCAGTGACAATCAAGTCGTCCACAATGGCCTGAGCATGTTCAATGTCCTCAATACTGGTAGCCTTTTCTGTGATGTGTTTGGACATGTCCTCAAAGATGTCAAACCGGCCGTTACCCAAGGTGTGGTGCAACAACAACCGGTTCGAGATACTTGACAAAGAAGGAGTACCGACAATATGGAGACACCCCACATGCTCGGCCATCATTCCAGCAATTGCATTCACGGCAGAAAGATCACCCACACCAAAAGTGGTCACCAAACAACTCAATCCGTTGATTCTAGAGTATCCATCGGCAGAATAACCAGCATTGAGCTCGTTGGCGTTACCGGCCCATCTTAGCCCTTCAACGTCATAGATATGATCCAATAAAGAAAGGTTAAAGTCTCCAGGAACACCAAAGATGGTTTTCACGCCCACCTGTCTGATCCGCTCAAAGATGTAGCGTCCAAGTGGGATTTGAGAATCGTTTGTAGAAGTTGTCATTTTGTCTACAGTTCAAAGTCCATTGCCCCCCTATATATACGCCTTCTGGATCTGGTATGCAGCAAGCGAAATTAGACACACCACCTCAGGTGCATTTGTGCGCCGCACGGATAATAATTTTCCTCCGGGCAGTTGAAGCAATTGGCGGGCGGGGCAGTTTCGAGGTGGCTAATGCTGCCCCCCACCGTAAACATGCCAACATGCTCGAACAAACTGCGCTCTCGAGCGACACAGACAAGCCAACTTGTCATCGTTCCCGGACTTACTGGATAATCCGATGGGCAGATCAACTCCGAGCCGTTATTCTCCGTCACACCACCTGCTTAATTCCCTCCGCTTACATAACGATAACACACGACGTATCCCACGCGGGAAGCTGCTTAGGTAATCAATTTGTCTGGGAGACCCCAAATTTTTTTTATTTACCTTTGATTATCTTTGTTTACGCTTGTTTGACGAGTATGGAGTTTGGAGCAGGTAAGTGCATGCAATTGCCAGACTAACACCAGATTTTGATCCGAGCTTGCTGCGTGTGGTTGATCTGAAGGAGATCCTCCACAAAATGGACGTCGCAATTCCTCGCGGCGCTCGTAAGGCAGATCTTGTGAAGCTTGTAGCTGCCGAGGCAGACAAACGGGCCAAGCCTGTGGAAAAAACCGGTGGAGATGATAAAAAGGAGACTGTGGATGAAAAACCTACTGCTGAGCCAGAGAATAGTAAACCGGATGAGTCTGAGAAGTCCGAGAAGTCTGTCGATCTGGAGTCCAAAGCCTCTACTTTGAAAAAGATCCCACCACCAAAGGTGACCAAGCCCAGACCGAAGATCCCAAAGCCCAAGAGAATACCACTTAATCCGCCCTCAAAGCCGCAATCGCCACCAAAGCCAAAATTGAAGGATCTGCTCGAACAGACGGTTCCTCAAAAAAGAAGTTTGGAAAACGAGTCTGACGACGCAAACTCAACAACCGTCCACAAGGAATATTCGCAGATCCTCAAGAAACAGACGAATCACAAACGCGTTTTCTCGTCGTCCGCACCAACAACACCTAATAATTCGGTGATTGAGTCACCAAAGAAGTCGACTTTGAAGCTGGAGTCTAGTCCCCAGCAAGAGATCAAGGCCGAAACGCCTGAAGCTTCCAGAAAATCGTCTAGGAAGAACACTCCGAAGAAACCTGTGAATAGTTCTCCAAAGAGCCCTGCTCAGAAGGAGGTTTTCAAACACCCGGCCGATGACACCTCGTTTGTCATCCCCACCCTTCCTTCTTCAACACCAATGGCTCCCAAATCTCCTCAGAAACACCACCAGTCTCTCAATGTGTCTAATTTTGCAGCCCAGTTGGAGAAGCTGTCTGGACCAACAAAACAAATTTCTCCTGATAAGTTATCGTCTCCGCCCCCAAAGTCTCCCGACACCACAGACGACGATGCCATGCTGACACAACTTCAACATGAAATCGATATAACCCAGGAACAAATAGAAGTGCAGTCGAAACAGGCACTCAAAGCAATTGAAGCCCCTCCACCTTCCAATCTCGCCTACAGGCTGGGACTCGTATGGTTCTTGACATTGAGTCTCATGTACGCATTCACCTGCTACCGCGAACAGCGAATAAGAACAGGGTTTTGCGGGTTCGAGGTGTACCGGCCATTATTCAATTACGACCGCAGATCATATTCTGGACTCACTCCGTATCTGGACTCCATCGAGAACCTTCTAAGTTTGAATTGTGTTCCATGTCCTGAACACGGACAATGTTTCCCATACTCCAAGTTATTCTGTGACGCCGACTACACTGTGCACAAACCAATTAAATCCCTGTTTGGTCTTCTCCCCACGTTCCAAACGTGTGTTTTGGACTCTGCCAAAGTAAAAAAGATTGACAAGATGGTGAAACTGTCCACAGATCTGCTCAATAGACGCAATGCTGAGTACAAATGTGGTCGTGGAGAAGATCAGGATGTTGGACTCACTCTACCGCATTTGCAAAACTACCTCATTGAAAGACTGGATATCAAGGACGACGGATTCGATTATCTCTGGGAAAAGACTTTGAACGTGCTGGAAAACCGTCCAGAGCTTGTTATTACCAACGACTTCATCCGGTCCAACTCTTTGTCCAAACTTTCAATCAAATGCCGTCTAATAAGGATGTTTATGGACGTGTTTATTCGGTTCAGATGGCACTTGTTAGGATTGGTGTTCATTGCAGCCACGTTCAAATATATCAGCATTCGGTTCACGCGATACCGCACAGAAAGAAAGCTTGTCAACGAGCTGACTACCAAAGTGATCGAGAAACTGCACAAACAAGCAGAGTTGCACCGTCTGGGCAAATCGTCGTTGGCATATATTGGGAAGATCCAGCTACGCGATTACTACCTCATCGATGCGTCTTTAAGTGCAAAACAGAAAACTAAAGTTTGGGACCGCGTCAGCAAGCTTGTTGAGACCAACACAAACGTGAAAACATACATGACCGAGGTTCGCGGCGAGATGTTCAAAGTTTGGGAATGGATAGCCACCATCTGAGTCGCCAACTGGTGCAGAGATGTTCTCGAAACATGGGACAGAATTCTGCAAAAAAATTAGTCAGGGCATTTTTTGATTCTAGTTGAAACTTTTTCTAGTGTATCGAAGATCTGGAAACCACAGGCGTGTTTCGAAATCAGCATTTAGCATCATGTCTTCATTTGGAACCATTTTCAAAGTGACCACCTACGGTGAGTCGCACTGCCGCTCGGTTGGATGTATTGTGGACGGAGTACCACCAAACATGAGTCTTACTGAGGAGGACGTCCAACCTCAGTTGTCGAGAAGACGTCCTGGCCAGTCCAAGTTGACTACTCCAAGAAACGAAAAGGACAGAGTTGAGATTCAATCTGGAACGGAGTTTGGCAAGACTTTGGGTACTCCTATTGCGATGGTTGTGAAGAACGAGGATCAAAGACCAAAAGATTACACTGAGATGGATGTTTTCCCAAGACCATCGCATGCGGATTTCACCTATCTTTCTAAATACGGAGTGAAGGCTTCTTCTGGAGGAGGAAGATCTTCTGCCAGAGAGACGATTGGCCGTGTTGCTGCGGGGGCCATTGCTGAGAAGTTTTTGAAACAAGTTAACGATGTTGAGATTGTTGCATTTGTTTCTGGTGTTGGAGAATGCCAGATTGACCGTTCTGTTCAGAATCCAGAGTTTATGGAGCTGTTGTCGACTATTACCAGAGAGAAGGTTGACCAATCTGGACCTATTCGCTGTCCTATTCTCGAAAAGGCCGACGAGATGACCCGTCTTGTTGTTGATTGCAAAGAAAGAAACGACTCTGTGGGAGGTATTGTGACCTGTGTGATACGAAATGTTCCTATTGGTCTTGGAGAGCCGGCTTTCGACAAGCTGGAGGCCATGCTTGCACATGCTATGCTCTCGATTCCAGCTACCAAGGGATTTGAGATTGGGTCTGGATTCGAAGGAACCAAGATGAGAGGCTCAGAGCACAATGATCCGTTTGTGCAAAAGGGATCGAAGCTGGGAACCGCGACCAACAACTCTGGAGGAATCCAGGGAGGTATTACGAACGGAGAAAACATCTATTTCAACATTGCTTTCAAGCCTCCAGCCACCATTTCGCAAGAGCAACAAACCTCTAGCTACGAGGGAGACAGCGGTGTTTTGAAGTCCCGTGGAAGACATGACCCGAACGTTGTTCCTCGTGCCATTCCAATCGTGGAGGCCATGGCTGCGCTGGTTCTTGCTGATTCTTACTTGATCCAGAAGTCTAGAGAGTCCACGTTTGGAAGCGTTTACTAAGTTCAATAAGCTATTTACTGCTCCTCCTCTTTCTCGTTGCTGACTGTGCGTTTTCTTGGGCCGTCTGGGTCCGGGTTTGTGATTCTGAGCTTTGAGCGACGTTTGGAGCTGACCAGGATCTGCACGTCGAGATTGTCGAGGTCCGATTCTGGAGGAGGCAGGAAGTCCTTGGACCGCACGGGCGTTGAGTAGATTGGCAGTCTGTTGTGGAACACAAGGGAGGTTGTGCGTGCTGCTGGAGGTGGAGACGGAGGCGGCGAGGCCGAGTGGTCGCTTGGTTCGCAGACCGTTGAGTTTGAGAGCATGGAGTGGGCGTCGGCGCGTTTTTGATAGAACGAGTTGAGCGACGCCTCTTCCGGGATGAGGTTGAGGGTCGAGTTGGACGCCTCGACCGGTTTCAGGACGGGGATGTTGGCCATTGGCGACGGTGGCTGCGGGTCCTCGAACGAGGTCTCTGCTGTGAAGAACGACTGGATGCTGGACTGGTATGAGAAGTTGCGTTTGAGCGAGCGGCCCAGCGTCGTGGACAGCGTTGAGAGCGAGCGTTTGAGCGCGGAGACCGGCGGAATGGCGTCGGTGTCGATCTGGTGGACCATGTCCGACTCGAGCTGCCACCGTTTGCGTTTCCACGAGCTGATGGACAAGTTATCGCCGTCGTCGTAGTTGTTGACCTTGACGTTGTCGCCGAAATACGACTCTTTGATTTCCGGGCTGCCGCCGTGCGACGCGAACGTGGTCGACGACGAGTTGCCTGCTTGGTAGAACTCCATAATGTCCTTCAAGTCTTTCTCCTTCTGTTTTTCGTCCTCACGTGACCGGAATTTCTTGTAGACAAAGATAGCAACCAGTCCGAGCACCATGAGCGCGAGCGTGGGGATCACCACCGACAGCGCGATGATGAGGCTCTTGTTGGACTTGGACGACGACTTCTTGGCGATCGCCGAGTAGTCCACCTCGTTCAGCACCTCGAACGAGCTTGTGTTATACAGTGTAAGGGTGTAGTTTGCAGCTCCGTCCAGCGCAGATGCCACGATCAGCGTGTCGTACACCACTGCGGCGCCCGCTACCGACGATAGACTCAGCTGCGAGTCGTTCTGGTTGTTGGTTTTCGAGTTAGCCAGACTCACGCTGGTGTCGAGCGACGTCCAGGCCCAGGTCGACGACGTAACGTCGAGCCGCGCAAAGTTGGGCGTGCTATTTGACCCGGAGCTCGACTCGCCCCCCACCATCAGCACAGACTCCACGGAAAAGTCCGTGTAGTTGCTCGAGAGGTATTCCTGGGTAATCATGTCGCTGGAGAACACCGGGAGCAACAGGGCGTCGATTCGGGCGTTGATGGTATCTGCCTCGTCCACCGACACAGCCTTGAAACTCCAGGACTCGTACTGCCAAACAGCAAGCTGTTTCAGGCTGACCCAGCCTTCCTGGGTCTGGCCCCCGACGAGAACCATGGTGTTGTGGTTGATCAGCACGGACGCGGCGTTGTAGAAGCTCGATGGTTGCAACGAGCTGGCTGCCGTGGCAATTGTTAGCGAGTCCAGGTCCACCCGCACCAGCTGGTCCGAAAGAGCGTTGCTGGTCTTGTTGAGTCCGCCAAACACGTAGATCGCGTTGGGGTCGTCCGGAGTCGCCATGTACGCACTGCCGGTCAGATAGTCCAAGGACTCGTCGAAATCGAGCCGGTCCCAGCCGTGCGAGCTTGTGTTGTACAGAGACACTGCCAGAGCAGCATCGTCATCGTACAGGGCGTACAGGTTGCCGCTAATCGACAACACCTTGCAATCGTCGGCCGGAAGCGTCCAGAGCTCCGAGACCGTCTGGCCTGTTTTGTACTTGGAGTTGAACGGCAGCGGGATCAGCGAGCCGTCCACCTGCATATAAACCGTCCGGTTGTAATAGTCATAGATCGAGTCGGCCCGGGCGAGCGTCGCCAGCATCGCCAGCACAAGAAGAGCCAGTATCGTCATGGTGAAAGTTCTGTGCGGCGAATTTTTGCACGGAAAAAATAACCCCAGTATTTACAAATTGCCCAAACAGGCAACCAGATTGGCCTCTACAAGTGCTCGAAATGTTCCAATAAATCAGCATAGTATATCCAAATCAACCCATATCTAGCCTCCAAATGCAAATCCTAAAGCCACATGATGCAAACCCTAATTTAACTTCGTATTCCCTGTTTCTCGATCTTCAGCCTCAGTACCTTTAATCTATTGCCAATGCTGTTGATGAACAGCTCGATGGTCTTCTTATCCTCCACGTCCAGCTTCTCGTTGCCCGTCACCGGCTCCTCGTCGTTGCTTAGCAGCGCCTCCAGCATCCAGATCGCCGTCGAGTAGCTCAGCTCGCACCCTAGCAGGTCCTCGTTCTTGAGCTCGTTCATCGCCGCGGTCCGGCTCATCTCCAACGCACGGTCGAAGATCAGCTTCTCTGCAACAACAGGCTTGCTCAGACTGCCCGAGCTGCTAGCAACCTTCTCGTTCGCGTCCGCAAGCCGCAGACGCAGAAACTCGGCCTTCTCCAACGACTCGTTGAACCGCGACCGTATCCACTGCACCAGCTCGTTCAGCTTCGGCGAAGTGGCCGGCTTGGACGAATTCTGGTGCCACCAGTCGCTCGCAATCGACATAGCCTTCGCCAGTAGCGACAACGTCTCCACGTACAACGCAACACCCTCGCTGCTTATCGTCCTCACCATCTGTGGGGGCAACGGCTCGTTCTGGAAAACGTCGTCGTAGTCAGACGACACGGGGTTGTTGGTCGACGACGAAGATGGGGGCAGCGGAATCAGCTGGCTCGACTTGACCTCCGCGAAAAGCGATATTGCGTGGGCCATCGTCGCCAGCAGTTCAAGCTGTCTGATCACTTCAGAGTCCTCGAGCGACGCCTGCCCGGTCTGCAGAGGCCTCAACGTCTTGGTAGCCAGCAGGCTCGCAGATATATTCGTAAGTGCACTATCTGCGGCAGTATGTTGCTGTTGTTGCTGTTGTTGTTGTTGTTGTTGCTGTTGCTGGCCAAAAAGTCTGTTTGAGGTATATCCCAACGCCTTCGTCAACGCGTTGGTCGGACTGATGGAGATCGGCATCTTGCGGTCTCCTAAACTTGGTCTGCGGTTAGATCCCATAGAAGAGGTACGGCTAGAAGGCGAGAAACGACGCTGCGTGAAGGCCCCCATAGGACCTCCTGAGGCTGGACCGGTCTGGTCCACATTTCCTGACTTTGGCGTTGAGATCGCCTCTGCTCCGGTGCCTGCCTTTGCAAGCTCATCAGCAATAGCATTCACCTCCACAGTGCGTTTCTCAACGACAACGTAGTCTCGCTCGTAAACATAATCATCCTTATCTCTCTTGCCACCTTTTTTAAGTTGGCCGTCTTTCGCAGTCCCTGGCGGAGGACTGCTCTTATTAATTAACTTCTTTATCACCTCGTCGTTACGCGAACTCTCCATTGGCTTTGGGATCTTGACGTTTTGTGCTTTTCCGATCAACAAAGATTTTGTAGGAACGTTATCAGTGCTGTCTTCCTCCTCCGCCTCTTCTTCTATCGTTTCCGGTGCCTTGTTGACAGGAGACTGTGATTTTGGGTTCGGGAGGTATTCGCTAATGAAAAGCTGCTCATCCACGTTGGAGCACTCGAGTGGTTCGTCTGCACATTGAACATCGTACACGATAAGCGGGTCGTTGAAAAATTCACGGAATCCCATCCGCTCCGTTGGATTGGCCTTCAGCAGACCGCAGATGAGCCTGACAAGATCGTCGGGGACCTCTGCCGACACTGGGAACGTAATTTCATCCTTGGACTTTTCGATCTTTCTCAGCAATTCCACGTGATTTGACGCTCTGAAGGGAGGTTTGCCAACGGCCATCTCGTAGATGACGGCTCCAACAGACCAAAGGTCTGCTTTGGCGTTGTACTTCTCGTACCGTAGGATCTCTGGGGCCATGTATAGCGGCGAGCCACACAAGGTCTCGGCCATGGAGGTCGAAGGGAGGAATCTGGCAAAGCCAAAATCAGCGATTTTGAGAACCGGTAACTCCCATAGTCCCGAGTAGCCCTTCTGTTTGAACTCTTCCTTGGAGTGCACAGGAGGAGACAACAACAAGTTCTGGGGCTTTATATCCCTATGAACCAAGTTCTGATCTCTTAGAAATTCCAAGGCGGACGCCAACTGTTTCAAGAAGTTGACCACCAGAACTTTATTCAAGCCATGGCTGTTTGGTGGCGAGGGATATCTCTCCAAAATAGAGCTTATAAGTGGATGAGTGTCGACCAATTGGTCTCTTCGACGGATAAAGTAGGACAAATCACCCAGGGAGCAGTACTCCATAAACAGATGGAAATACTGGTCTGTCTTGACGCAATCCAGAAGAGCCACGATGTGTGGGTTCTTGAGATTCTTGAGAATGGATATTTCGATCTCCAAGTTCTCAACCAATTTCTGGTTCTTTAACCGACTTCGAAACACAGACTTGACAGCCACCGGACTCTTGGTCTTGTTGTGATATCCCTTATAAACATTGGCAAACGACCCGCGTCCTATCTCAGGACCGATCGTGAACTCTCCAACAACTTGGAGTTGGTTTTTAGACATCGGGCCAACTAAGCTGTGCTGTAGTGTCCCTACTGCCTGTGGGGTTGTTTCGTATATCTTTCGTGTTTCCGGCACAAATAGTTGGGATCAAACGTTCAAAGAGTGTGCCATCCAATTTGCTGCGTAGTCCAACAATGATTCACCGCTAAATCCACCGTTCTACGCAAATAAAACTTTGTACCCAGAATAAATCTTAACAAGGTCTGACTAAATTGTTTTGCCCTTGATAAGAGGGTTAAAACGGGAAGGGAAAGCTATGGTGCACTTATTTTTTTTGAGGAGGCTTAGGTAAGCGTCATTTTCCGATGAGTGTGCGATAAATATTTTTCTGCCTGTCAAGCCTTATCGTGTCAAGAGATAACCAATGTACGTGTCTGTGGAACTGGTTTCCACCACGCTATCTGTGATCTCGACGGTGTGCTGGATTATGGCACAGGTGCCGCAACAGTTTGAGAATTACAAGAACAAAAGCACCGATGGAATCAGTGTCGAGTTCCTGTTGTTATGGTTTTTGGGCGATCTTACCAGTTTCCTAGGCTGTTATCTAACCGAACAGCTCCCATTTCAACTGTATTTGTCATGCTACTTCCTGTTTAATGACCTGGTGCTGTTGTTTCAGTTCCTACATTACGGCGGACGACTAAGACTTCATAGACCTGTCTCTTGGTGGACGCTCCTTTGGACAAGATTCGTGCCTGTGAGCGCTGAACAAACAACCACAGGCGTCCGGTCGGCGTCAGTGGGGTCAATCGTGGCCTGGATGTGCACGTGTATCTATTTATCGTCCAGAATGCCGCAATTGGTGAAAAACTATCGCCGCAAGTCGGTGCACGGCATCTCTCCATTACTTTTCGCGTTCGCCCTCATGGGCAACCTCACCTACTCGCTATCCATCTGCTGCAACGCGTGGATGCTGCCATTTGCAGAAAGAAGCGCGTTTCTACAAAAAGAATTACCTTACATCCTGGGTAGCAGTGGAACCGTGCTATTTGATCTGCTATACTTTTACCAACGTTGGATGTATGCAAAGCCGCACGATTACCTGGTCCTGGTGGAGGAGTGAGTCAGTGTCCGGTTTTTGTTTAATAGAATCCCTGCCCCGGCTGCCCCGTCGGCTGGTTATACATGGACATCACCTGGGCGTTGGCCACCTGTCGTTGTTGGGCCATTTGCATCTGTTGCATCTGTTGCATCTGCATCTGCATTTGCATCTGGGCCTCTGCCTCTGCCTGGCTCGGGTCAATGTATTGTTGCCCGTTCGAGTCAATATAGTACACTTGGCCGGTGTTTGGGTCCACATACTGATAGATTTGCACGTCCGAAACTCCCGGCTGTGCAACGGCCTGTTGCACTGGCTGGTCTCCGCTCAACCAGTCGAAATCGTTGGCTCCTGTTTTCGTGGCGTCCAACAAGGCACCCGAAGCGGACTTGCGTCTTGGAAGTGGCGGCGGAGCCTCTTCTCTCGTCTCTTTCTCCAAAAGATTGGCCGCACGCCTAACGTCTCCGTGCGTTCTTTCTAGAGCATCAAGATTCCGTTCCTCGTCCTCAAACCCGTAATCGTATTTCAGTTTCCGCGAAAGGTCCACGTACCTGCGCCGACGCGGACTTGTTCCTCGCGAGTTCTTGTACCCTGAGCCTCCCGAGTAGGCAGAATAGCCAGAATGTCCAGAATTCACAGAGCCGACGGAATGGCCCCTTCTTCTGTGTCTTCTCGACTCGGACCGCAAGTTGTAGTCGCTTGGGTCGATGGGAGTCGTGCGAAACTTACCGCGGATGTACTTGTCGCGCAAAAACAGCGTAATGGCGTCCTTATCGTCGTCGTCGTACGGGAACGGCTCCTTGCGATTGTTCCACAGCCGGTGGTTTTCCTTGTTTCCGAGCGATTCCAGCATGTCCAGTTCCTGCGAGCTCCAATTATCCAGACTTAAAGACTTGACCTGGGAGATGTCGGGACCAAAAGTCCGGTGGATAGACGCACACCGTCCGCACAGAAAAACACCCAAATTCCACGACGCCCACGTCGGATACGACGCCCCGCACTCGCCACACCGGTTGTGGTTCCCGCGCGCGTTCAGCATCTCCAGAAGCCGCTGTTCCTGCTCTGATCTTTTTGGCATTTGCAATATTCCGTTAAACAGACACCAACCATCTTTTTCACCTCGCCATCTTGCGACTACAGGGACGACGCTGACGTCAGCAGAAAATATCAGACGGTGTGCCCAGGCTGTGTTAATTTTTCACAATCCAGGGCAGTCGGAGTACGCATCGATATGGCTGGCTGGCGGCGACTTCCAAAAGCGAAAGTGCACACTCGCAGACGATCCACAATCCCTCTGCTTTTCGACGGAGCCGAGTCCGACCATCGATACATTGTAAGGTCTCCGTCTGGCGAGCATCTGCACGACGTTTGTGCGCTCAAGGACGCCCGTTTGGTCGATAAGGTTTGCGAGAGCTCGTGGGACGGGTTTCTGAGCTGGCGCAAGATGCCTGTGAAGGAGAAAACTGAAATCTACTCGAATTTGGCCGCGCAACTCACAAGTCTAAAAGACGAGTACATCCAGGCCCATTTGGAGATCGGGGTACCAGGCTGGATGAGCGGGTTCAATTTCCAGGGATTTTTGGATAACGTGAACCAATACAAGGCTTTGTTGACAACCCGGGCGGCTGGAGTTGTTCCTGTACAAAACATGGACATGCAACACCAAAACGATCTCTCCATGGTGGTCCAAGAGCCTGTTGGCCCGGTTTTGAGTATCGCTCCATGGAACGCTCCGGGGATTCTTGCTGCACGGTCTGTTCTGGCACCACTGACGGCCGGATGCTCGGTGATTGTCAAGTCAAGCGATCTTTCCGCCCGGATCTCGTATTTAACCGTCAAGGCTTTCCACGAGGCAGGAGTTCCTGCCAACGCCGTGAGTCTTGTGCATTGCGAGGCAGACCACGCCCAGCAGCTCGTGGACGCTCTGATTGCGCACCGTCGTGTGAGGAAGGTCAACTTCACCGGGTCCACGCAGGTGGGCTCGTCCATTGCTGCGGTAGCAGGAAAACACCTTAAACCAGTGCTATTGGAACTAGGCGGCAAGAACTGCTCTGTGATCACCAAAGATGTTGCGGACCTCGAGACAGCCGTGCGCACAAGTCTCTGGGCAAGTTGGGCCCATAAGGGCCAGATCTGTATGTGCACAGACTGGATTTTTGTGGATGAAAGTATTCAGACCAAAGCTTTTGAGTATATAAGCAGAATCGGATCAGAGATGATTTCCAACGATGCGGACTTGGAAATACCTCAAAGAACAACCAACCATGCTCTCAACGCCAAGAATTTGGTCCAGGACGCTCTGGAAAAGGGAGCCACCTTGCTTGCTGGAACGCCAGACTTCTCTGCAACCAGCAAGTTCCAGCCGGTGGTTCTGGCCAACGTTACACCCGCCATGAAAGTGTACTCGACCGAGACTTTTGCGCCGATCGTCTGTGTTGGCACCTACAATACCACCAACGAGGTTGTCAACACCATCAACGACCTGGACCACGGCCTAAAGTGCTCTATATGGAGCTCGAACCATCTCCAGGCATACCACCTGGCAGGCCAGATCGACGCCGGCTCAGTGCACATCAACTCGCCCACGGTCATGGACGAGGCGCATCTCCCGCACGGTGGCGTCAACAAGTCAGGCTACGGCCGGTTCAACTCCCATTGGGGCGTGCAGGAGTTCAGCTACCCTAAACTCGTCACTTTGCGCGAGTGAGCTTTTTGGCCTGCACACCCGTGCACCAGCAGCAAGAAAAGTGGTGTTAGTCGATAGTGAAATAAAATTATACCTAGACAAATGCTCTTGAGAAGTTTGGCACGCGGGGTGTATGGCAGTCGGGCCGTTCGGCCAATGACAGCCGTCAGAGGGTTCCAGTCTATTTATCATGCGCCGGTTCCGATTCTGGACGAGTCGAAACTCGAAACCAAGATCCTGGCAAAAGCGTACGACAAGTATGTGCCGGAGCACGGGTTCACGCAAAAATCAGTGGATCTTGCTGTTTCTGAGCTCCAATTAAAGCCCGACAATTTGTCTGGACTGTTTGGGATCGGATTACAGGTCCCTGACGTTGTGAACGAGCTGATTATGTACCATTTGAAGTATACGAGAGCCAAATTAGCCGACTATAGAAACGAGGCAGACAAGTTGGGTACGGAAACAGAGAAAGTGCGGTTTTTCCTCACAAAGAGACTGCTGGACAACAAGCCGATCATCAAACATTACCATACGGCGCTGGGAAGAATGGTGCTTCCATTGAATGTGAGTACATTCTTGACAGAGCTACATAATCTTTCCGACGACATCACGTATTATTCTGGAGACCGGTCGAACGACTTTGCGTGGTACTCCAAACGGTTTGCATTATCCGGGGCCATTGTCCAATCGGAGCTGTTCATGCTGGGCGACACATCTGCGGATTTCTCGCCAACCATCGAGTTTATGAACGACAAGATCACTCATATCGACACTCTTGGGTATGCATACAATTCTGTTGAGGAATGGGCGATATTCAACGGGATCAGCGTAATCAACCTGATCAAGAGCCAAATAGCAAGAGGATGACCAGCTAGACCAGCTAGGCCGTTTGCGCGTTCACCAAAATACTCTGTATATTTTCAAGATCTTTTTGATGTTGTTGTATTTTCTCCTCCACCCGAGCAATATCGCCTGTGATAAACTCGATTCTCTTGTCCACGTTCAAATTCGCCTCGGAGTTGTCCTGCGGCAGCAAAACAGGCCCCACAAGCTTGTAGATCTTGGCGTCGTCGTCGAGTCTATCGAACTCCTCCTTGACGATCTTGTTCTCCTGGAACTGCGTCTCGAGCTTCTGTCTGGCCCGCACCAGATCAGACAGATCCGACTGCAGTTTCGTGTACTGCTGCGAAAGTTGTTCCAAATTCACCTGACTGGCCATTTGCAAGCTTGATGAAATAAAATGGAGGAAATATTTAAAGGCCACTCCCTACACCTTTTCGCCTTTCTTTATTTAAATTATGGTGAGTATTTCTTCAATTGGTGCTAATTCCGCTAGTTACGTCCATTTCAAGAGCTTCCTACGCCACGACACATTGTCCAGGACGAGAGTCTGGACCCGTCATATGAGAAAGAACCCATAATACCAACAATCTCCGTGGACCATCACGTTGATACGCACAGTGACTACTTCATTGTTGTTCCCGAGGTGTTGAAACCGATATACGAGGGCTTTTTGAAGACTGTCGAGTCGAAAGTCGTTTCCTCGATCAGTGTTAAGTTCCCAGAACTAGAAGACGAGGACGAAATCGACGAGTACGACGAACAAGAACAGCTCTACAAGTCGTCAAACGCATTTCTGGCCAAACAGGACTCCAAAACCATCGAGATTCGTCAGTTCGTAGCTGCCGGAAACGCAATTAACGTGCTGTTGGTGCCCATCTTCAAGAACAAACTGGTTTACAACCTGTTTGCGTCCGCATTGTTCACTCATTTTGCCGTCTCCAAGCTGCTCTGTCTGGGAACCAGCGAACTGAACGGATCAACTATCAACAAACTGGTCTCGGACAATTACGAGAAGTTCTCCGAATCGTCGCTGGTCAGCCAGGTGCCGACCATGAGACCACCGAATTTCGTCACCGGAGCAACTGGTGCTCTGATTTCCCAGGCAAACACACGCCAGGTCCCGGTGGCAGCACTGGTTGTTTCTGCAGAAGGAGCTTTCCAGCTGGATATGGAAAAATACGACCTGGACTCGCTCTCAGACCTGTCGCACGTGCTCGACGACTATCTCAGTCTCAAGGGCAAATACATCAAGACCGTGCAGGACCTTTCCAAAGCCAAAAGAGCCACCAGTGGTAGCAACGCTTTGTACATATGAAAAACCTCAATTTACCCTACTTGCACTCCACAGCCTGGAGTTAAAAAAAATTTTCCCAGTAAATATTTTTCAACTTTAATTAGGATCTATTCATCATGGCCGGACTTGACTATCTTCTTTTCGAAGAGGCCACGGGATACGCCGTCTTCAAGGTGAAGATGCAACAGGACGAGATTGGCTCGAGACTCAAGGAGGTCCAGAGCGCCTGTAACGACCTGGCTGCTTTTTCCAAGCTTGTTGAGCTTGTGTCCTTTGCTCCGTTCCAGGGAGCTGCCCAGGCTCTTGAGAACGCCAACGAGATCAGTGAGGGACTTGTTTCCGACTACTTGAAGTCTGTGATCGAGTTGAACCTGCCAAAGGCTTCCAAGAAGAACAAGATTGCTCTTGGTATTTCTGACAAGGCCCTTGGACCTTCGATCAAGGAGGTTTTTCCATACATCGAGTGCCACTCCAACGAAGTTGTGCAGGATCTGTTGAGAGGTATCCGTGTTTTCGGTGCCAAGTTGCTCAAGGGTCTTCAGGAGGGAGACTTGGAAAGAGCCCAGCTTGGTCTTGGACACGCCTACTCCAGAGCCAAGGTTAAGTTTTCTGTTCAAAAGAACGACAATCACATCATCCAGGCCATTGCTTTGCTCGACCAGTTGGACAAGGACATCAACACTTACTCCATGAGAGTCAAGGAGTGGTACGGATGGCATTTCCCAGAGCTGGCCAAGATTGTTCCAGACAACCACCAATACGCCAAGCTTGTTTTGTACATCAAGGATAAGACTTCTTTGACCGAAGACAGTTTGCACGACGTTGCTGCCATCGTCAACGAGGACGCTGGTGTTGCGCAGGAGGTGATCGACGCTGCTCGGATTTCTATGGGTCAGGACATTTCTGAGCAAGACATGGTGAACGTTTTGGCATTTGCCGAGAGAGCAGTCTCTATTTCCGATTACCGCAAGAATCTCTCTAGATATCTGACAGACAAGATGCACACTGTTGCGCCTAACTTATCCGAGCTTATCGGAGAGGTTGTTGGTGCACGTTTGATTTCGCACGCTGGTTCGCTCACAAACCTTTCCAAACAGGCTGCTTCCACGGTGCAGATTTTGGGAGCCGAGAAGGCTTTGTTCAGAGCATTGAAGACCAAGGGAAACACTCCTAAATACGGTCTGATCTACCATTCTTCTTTCATTGGAAAGGCTTCTGCCAAGAACAAGGGAAGAATCTCCAGATACTTGGCCAACAAGTGTTCGATTGCTTCTCGAATAGATAATTACTCTGACGAGCCAAATAATGTTTTTGGCCAGATCCTTAAGAAACAGGTGGAGCAAAGATTGGAGTTCTACGACACCGGAAAGTCTCCGATGAAGAACTCGGAGGCTATCCAGGAGGCTCTGCAATTATCCGGTAAGGACCTGGACTCTGTTTCTGATATTATTGAAAAGCCAGAGAAGAAGGAGAAGAAGGAGAAGAAGGAAAAGAAGGAGAAGAAGGAAAAGAAAGAGAAGAAAGAAAAGAAGGAAAAGAAGAGACACGCTGACGATTCTGAGGATGGAGAGAAGAAGAAGAAGAAGAAGTCTAAAGATTAGATAGTTAGATAATTTTCAACAGATAAAGCCGATTTCGAACCAGTATTAAATAATTATGTCAGCTGCCACAGCAATTGTGTCATAAAAAAAGGGTCGATTTTATAGATTACCCGTTTCATCCCTTATCTCTGGAGCAAAATAACTTGATTCAACAAATTATCTTGTGACAGGTTGGGGATTCAGGAAGGCTGGAACTTAAGAGCTACAGAACTACAGAATCTCAAACTTTTAATCGCCAGACTTTAGATTGATGGATTCCGGTTTGCTACTCATTGTTCTATAAATCAGGTGCTATAATTGTCATGTCTTCCCCAACAATGTTTAAACCCAACTACAATCTGGAGTCTGCTAGTTCCGAGCCGCAACAGCATTCGCCAATCAACATCTCCAAACAGCCGCTGACTTCCAGAAGACGCAAGTCGTCTTTCACCACTTCCTCTTCTCCGTACGCCAGAAGAAGGTCTTTTCTGTCCAAGGCCATGCTGGAGAACGACGATTTCCAAATCTACGAACTGTCTTCGTTCTCCCCTTCATCCTGCTTCATCTCGGTCGATAGCCCGTCCCGAGCCCGGATCCCGTCCTTCTCCATCAACCTCACACAATCCCAGGGGTTTATATGGAACCAGGACCTGTTCGCCTCGTCGTACCAACAGGCCCGCGCAGGAATCGACCCGGACGAGTTCCAGGAAGGCTCCGCCAGCGTAGAGGTGGTGGACATCGTGCTGGAAGAGGATTCCGACCCAGAATCCAAACCAGTCCCCGGAGATAGCTCGGCTAACCCTGTGCAGCCGGAACACACGTACCGGGACACCGTCTTCTCGGCAGACTACTAGTTTAGCTTTGTATACCAACGATCTTATGACTCATTGCAATTCTTGACCAATCTCCACGCGGGTGACGTACCTAGTGGCTGGCTGTCTCCGCCCCAAATTCCTCAGGTCGACCGACGCGTCGAAAACATTACCACCAAAACAAGTAGCGGAAAAAAATTTCATAACCAGTTGAACGTCATGCTAAGATTGCTCGGGTCCGCGCTCCCGCGCATGTCCAGACGGCTCGCGTCGACGTGCGCCGTCGCCAGACCTGTCACGATGGTCCCTCCCGCTCCGCTGGCCGGCTTCAAATTCATCAGTCCCGTGCTGGCAGGCCTTTCACAGTCCACAGAAATGGTTCTTTCGTCCGTTGTTAGAAAGAGACGACTCAAGATGAAAAAACACAAGCTTAGAAAGAGAAGAAAGGCACAAAGAGCCCTCCGAATCAAACATGGTAAATAACTGTACATATACACAATCAACTACAAAGAAGTGTCGATTCCGTCCGGATGGTCCTTGACCCAATTTTCCACCCATTGCGCGAGCCTCGAGACGTTTTCGTCGAGCGAGTCCACGTCCTCGCTCGCTAGTTCGATTACGATGTTCTCGTCGTAGTTGTCCTTTGCCTCTGTCAGCAACACCTGCATGATCTCCACCTCCACGTTCTCTCGCACCTTGGATTCCTTGTATCCTCTCTTTGTGAGTCTATTGTAGAGCATGGTGTTGTTGCATCTGAGCACCACCACAAGGTCGATCCAGCGTTCTGGGAAGATCTCACAGCAATGCCAGTCGATCACAAGCCCACCTTTACAAGCTAGCGGCTCCAAGGCGTCCAGAAGCTTGTCTTCGTCAACTATAGCAGAATCTCTCTCTTTGTCGTAGCCGTCGATACAATCGTTGTTTTTGGCGAACTCGCTCACATTAATGTGGGTCAGACCTTTCACCTGTTCACAGAGAAGTTCAGCATGGGACGTTTTGCCGCATCCAGGCGTTCCTGTGACAATTATGTTGGGGAGTTTCCTAAACATGGGATCAAATAATTAGATTAAATATTTTATCAAGGGTTCCGAATTTGGAAATACAGTTACCCGGACACAAAGAGAAACCGGTTTTGGTGTGTTTTTCAGCAATATTGTGAACAAGAACAGACTCCAAGAAGGAACACTAGATCGACAATTTTGGTGCGTTCAAAGTTGCGAAATTGCATGAGACCATTTCTGGATGTGTAAGTTGTGTTGTTACGGGATTTCCCGGTCAAATTTGCTAACAAAAACCAGCTGCTTGGGGAAATAATACTGGTGCCGATCATGGCATTCAGAGTAGTACAAATACCGAGCAATTTCCGTCTTTCAGCTCGGTAGCAGCACAAGCACAACAGCCACAGCCACAGCCCGCCGACGTGGTGGACCTACAACAGCAAATCAGTCAAACACAGGCGGTGTTGAACGCAATTCAACAGGCCAACAGAAACAAGGCCAACAGCGGCGTGAATGGCGACGGACTGGGCGAGTTCGCGCTGTCGGACATGGACAAGTACGGTCTGAACGCTTTGCTGCCCGTTTTAAAGATGCAAAATAATGAATTAAATACCATCACCACAGGACTGGATCTCAACATGTTGGGCCTGGACATGACCAGAAAAAACGAAAACGTGCAGATCTCCAAGACGTTTGCGTCCCCATGGCTGGAAACGAGCCGTTCCGAGGTGGAACCGATCTTTTCTGTGCCAAAGTCGTTTGAGATCAAAAACGACGAGCTGGCCAGCGTGGAGTCGCGAATCAGCACGTTCAACGACGAAACACTGTTTTTCATATTCTACTCCAAACCAAGAGACGTTTTGCAGGAATTGGTGGCCAGAGAACTCAACAGCAGAAACTGGAGATACCACAAGGATTTGCAGGTCTGGCTCACCAAGGACTCGAACGTCGAACCGACCGTCAACGGCCCGGCGTCCGAGAACGGCACCTACGTCTTCTTCGACCCAACCTCGTGGGAGTACGTGACCAAGGACTTTGTTCTCTACTACCAGTCCATCATCTAATGTATAATAAGTATTATCGGTATGTGCACGACCCGTTATCAAAAAAATTGTAGATAAATTAGAAGTGGAATTAGGCCATTTTATAGAAACGGTTTTGCGTATCGGGCAAGACTACTCAAACGAGCCGGTGAACAGTCTAAGTGCGCTATTTGGACGAAGAATGACACAAACCCCAAACATCAACACACAGTCGCGGCAGCAGGACGAAAAATCCGCAAGTTTGGGGCCCCGGAAACGGTCCAAGGCAGGGTGCATGATGTGTAAGATCCGCAAGAAGCGTTGCGACGAGGCGAAGCCCACCTGTGGCGACTGCTCTAGACTCAATAAAGAGTGTCATTATGTCACGGACGAGATGTCTACCGAGGAAATACGCAGATTGCGCAACGAGTGCAAACGTATTGATGCTGGCCGCAAGTGCCGGAACCGCAAGCCCAAAACTATCACGACGCCTGGCCCGATGCGGACGGAGTCGGAGAGTCCCAAAGTGGTGTTCAACCCGCTTTCTGTGCGCGGTCAGGTTGGAGTCGATTTTATTGGAAAACAGGAGGGAGTCGATGCTTCCAACACTATCTGGAACACTTTTTACGAGAACATCATGAAGTCTGTGACTATGGAGGCGCGCACAAGGTCTCCGTCGCCTGCTCCGGACGATTTGATGCCCATGGCGTTCCCAGAGACGTTTTCTCCCAACATCACGAAGTTTCTTCACGACTTGCCCGACGCTGAGATCCGCGCCTCGCCCAGCGAGGAGCTGACGCCATTCTACCCCGAACAGGTACCTCGGATCTCCATCTGCATGAACCCGTCGCTAACAGCCAACTCGCCTGTCGCGTCGCTGTCGGACGTGGGTCGCAGGTTGTACGACTATTTCCGCAACAATCTGTGTCACGTGGTCTCGCTGGTGGACGAGGAAAAAAACATGTATCTGCGGACGTTCATCCCGATGTCGCATGTGGACAAGAGCGTGCTGTACGGGATACTGGCCTGGAGCGCGTTCCACCTGGGGGGCAGCCAGATGGAAAAACAGGGCCAGTACTACATCAACAAGGCGATTGGCGAGATCAGCAGCCGGCCGCTGCTTCGTGGCGAGTCCAAGGAGAACTACGACCGGCTGATCGAGGTTCTGGACGAGGACGACGAGAAGGTGGTCAAGGAGGAGCAATTGAGTGACTCGGCGGCTCTTTCTGGGCTCAATTACTCGGACAAACTCAACCTCAGATTGGCTGCTTACCTAATCCTGTGCGGAGTGGAGATCTGTAAAGGAGACGTTACCAAGTGGTTCCAGTACCTGAACTACGGCGCAGACCTGATCAAGATGAAGGGCGGCATCCAGACGTTCAACGACAGTCGGGACGAGCATTTTCTGATCACCAACTACGCTTATCACGACATGACGTCTGCTTCGGTGGTAGAAGACCGACAGCTACATTTCGACCTGCACGAGTACGAAGACATGTGGATGGCGTCGAACCGGATCGGGTTCTTGGACCCGCTGCTGGGGCTGTCGTCGCCGGTGTTCAAGGTGCTCGCGGAGATCAACCAGCTGGTGATGAAGTCGAGACTGCTTTTGCGGCACTATAAAGAGATGCCATCGCTGGACGAGGAGCTGGGCGGGTCGACGATGTCGCAGGACTGGTACAAGAAGCAGCTGCTCAAGGCGGTGGAGGAAAACAAGTATACGAGCGTGTCGGAGGTTTACGAGGAGGTGATGAAGGAGTGTTCGTCGTTGGACTCGAAGCTGAATACAGCCGCACCTAACTATATGCTAATGAACGGAATGGACGCGACGAACTTCGAGCTGCAGCTGACGATGTTCGAGGCATTCCAGCTGGCGGCTAAGATCCATCTGCGGCAGTCGGTGATGAAGATGAACTCGTCGTCGTTGGAGATCCAACACCTGGTGGACCAACTGGTGGCCTCGCTGGATATTCTGCTGGGCTCGAATTTGGAGGCGGCGTTGTGCTTCCCGCTGTTCATCGCCGGAATGAACTGCATCTATACACAGGATCGGAAACAAATGGACGACCGCATCGACGAGTTTGTCAAGCGGTACCGATGGCGGAGCATTGGCAGATGCCAGCTGGTGATGAAGGAGGTCTGGGCCATGAACGAGTGCGGCGAGAGATGGGTCGATTGGTACGAGATCGTGCGTAAACTTGGATGGGACCTCAGTTTTGCTTAATCTTGGTTTATACCGTTTGCAACGAATAAAGTCTGTCCCGGACAGAATCCATCACGTAGCGGAGTCCTTGACGGGATCGCATGAGGTTTTCGTCGAACTTTGTCTTTGACCAGCTTTCGATTCTGTTTTTGATACCCAGTCCGCGAAATCCGGATGAGAACTTGACGGTGATTTTGTTGGTGGTGTGATTGGAAGTTGGGTCAAACGTGTACTGGTTATGTTCTTCGATCTGGATGATTTTTGTATGGTCAAGGTTTCTTGTGTATGTTTGCATTGTCTTGTTCTTTGGGTCAACAACGGTTCGCTCGATGATCCACGAGGTGGAGATTTTGCCCAGAAACGGCTTGACCCACTTCGGAAGCCGCCCTGCTTTCATCACCAGTTTTGTCTGGTGGAGTCGGCCTTCGGAGTCGATGTGTTTGTCCAGAGTGTCTGTCGACAGAACGTGCGACGAGTACGGGTTCGGATACCGGTTGAAGTAGGCCAGACTGACCGTCTCGAAGGTGTGCGGGTAAGTATGGGAATTATGGAAATAAAGCACCATTGGTGGAGTAAAAGTCTTGTTTCAAACTATTTTTTTTTTCTTGTCATTTTAAATTAAAGCCAATGAAAAATCACCTTAAAATAAGCCGACAAAGTTTCGTTAATTATATAGTCCTAAAAGTATCATAAAAACGTCCAGGTTCACTGAGTTTTGACTTTATCTTTGCGCTTGTAACTGTCGATGTAAAAAGCAGCAAACAGAACGGTCAATGGCGTCAGATAGAACACATTGATGAAAATAGCAAGAGCTTCCTCGCTGGTGGAGATACAGCTCTTGTAGGAGCCGCTTAACACGTCAAAGTACTGCACAAACAAGTGGACAACGGCCAATGAGCCACCGAACACAAACTGGCAAATTTGCAACGTGGTGAGCGTTTGCTTGAAGAACTTGCCCAGTCTGACACCAAGACACGACAGACTGAAGTAGAAATACATGATGGAGTGGATGAACGAGTTGAACACCACAAAAATCCAGATTGGCGGCGAGGCAAACCGCGTACCGGCCCACATCGACAAAATGGCCCCGGAATGGTGGTAGCTCTGCAAAAGCGAGGCCTGTCTTCCCTTGAGCAGGATGATCACAGTATCGACGATCTCGTAGTATTTCGACAGATAGAACAGATACGAGTAGAACGACAGACCTTTGAGCGAGTCGCCCTGGTTGTACCAGATTCCATGGTCGATGTCACAAACGCTCTGCCAAAACAGATCAACAGGAGACAGTTTGCTAGAGAGCGAGTAGTATCTGCCAATCAAATTAGGGATCAGTTCGTGAGACGAGACATAGATCGTCCAGGTCATCCCCACTAGCGACCAGACCGAGTAGGCACACAGAGCAACGTTGTGCAAAAACACAAACACCTTAAAGCTTTTCCATTGGGCAATTGGGTACGGAGCAGCAGGTAGTCTTTTAGGAACGGCTTTGTTCGGGTTCTTTGACAGAAACAGCTGCTCCTGTCTTCTCGCCACAACCTTGTTGATTGCGTGCACCGTGATGAAGTACACAAACGCCACTGACACCGGCGTGAGGTAATGCAGAGACAAGGGGAAAAACTGCTCGGAAATCAGCTTGCTATCCAGCTGGAAAGGGAACCCCTTGATCGGGGTGCTGGAGATGCTAGGGATGTGGAATACGTTGGAGTTTGGGAGCAGATCCCACGACACCAGCTTGTACGGAATGCTATTCTTTATGGTTTCCATGATGCAGCAACTCGATGTCGACCCTCCAGAGCGGGCAAGCAGAATATATAGAAGAGAAACTTGTTGGACCGAAAATTTCCTAGTCTAGTTTTGTTGGAGTCGGCTTACGTCAGCGCTGATGATGGAAGTTTCGGCACAGCACAGAAACACTGGGCCGAACACACGACGCTGGGTCGGACTAAGCACCGGATGAGAAAAACACCGTGCACCGTCAAATCAAACGCAAGGCCTGCCGTTTGCGGCTGAAGGGACCAGCTGGTCCCAACTCGCCCATGACTAGCGGTGCTGTAATTCCGTTCCGCCTAGACCCACTGCAAAAACCCGGGGTCTGGGGTAACAAGAGACAAAGTTGCAGCGCAACATTTTGTGCACGCGCGCCAAAATGGCTGTACGGAAACCGTTCTGGGAAAAGCAGCGCCAGAAAAAGAAACACCTAAAGGCCAACTCAACGGAAAAATTTCCTATTGTCCTGACCGGAAAAACTTTTCTTCTCCTCCTACTGCAGTGCAGTGCCCCGGGGGATATCCGCGCGGGCCAACTTTTTTCTTGCGTGCCCCCCGCCGTGGGAAAATTGTGGGTTCTTCGTGGGGTTCCGTTTTTAAACCATTAGGTGTTGCCTCCCAATAAAATTTTAACAACCTACTAGTTATCCATGGAAGACCAGAAAAAAGATACAGATCGGCCGTACAAGTGTCCGATGTGCGAGAAAGCCTTTCACCGGCTCGAGCACCAAACCAGACACATCAGAACACATACCGGAGAAAGACCCCACCATTGTTCGTTCCCCGGCTGCACCAAGAAGTTCTCCAGGTCGGATGAGCTGACAAGACACCTTCGAATCCATACAAACCCCACCGTGCGCAAACGGCGGTCCCAGAACTCCAACATGAAGAACAACGTCCAGATGACCCAGCAGCAGGCCCCACAGCTTATCATGCCGATTGGATACGACATGATGGGCCAACCTATTTACCCACAGCCGGTGCCGATATATGTGCTGCCCCAAGGGGCCACGCTCGGGTCGCCGCAGATTCTTGTGAACGGGGCCCAGTCCACGCCGATGCAGAGTCTGCATAGCCTGCAGAGCTTTCCTCCGCACGCCGAGTTCCACAACAACTCCGACCCGCGCAAGCTGGCTAGTGTCAAGTCGAGCCCGGCCCTGAACTCGTACTTCACGATGCACTCCGACTTCACGCCGCCCCACTCGTCGCTCTCGTCCCGCACCAACTCGTCCACCTCGCTCCGCTCGCTCGAGTCCGCCCAGAACAACAACTCGTCCTCCACCACGCTCGCTTCCAACAGCTCTGTGCCGCCGCTGTCGTCGCTGTCTTCGCTGCAGCGCATGACGCCGATCCGCGTGCCGTCCAACGGGTCTGTGCCCCGTGTGTCGTCGCTGCTCTCGCGGTCGGTCTCGTCCGCGTCGCTCTCGACGCTCGTCCGCGACGACGGCCAGGCCAAGAAGAAGTCACGGCCAAACTCCCCCGTGCTGCTCAGCAACAACAGCTTCAACTCGGCAGAGTCCATCGACCGGTCCATGGCCATCTTCAACATCACCTCGCCCGTTGAGACCCCGTTGACCACCCCAATGCAGTCGCCAACACTCAAACCGACCTCGATGTCCAACAGCTCGCAGCAGATCCACCTGCCCCCAATTAGCTCCATGGTGCGAGGCATCGCAGAGCTCGATGAGGAACTGCTCCACAGAAAGCTCCGCAAAAGCCCAGACGTCCCAGAAAAACCCGTGCTCGACTCGCCAGACCACACGGCCCCTCCTACGCGGCCCCACCTGACTAAGGACAACTCCAGCGGATCCGGAATCCTCACCATCGAGAACCTCGTGAATAAGGAAGCTCCTCAAACTAATTAATCTATAGACATATTAAAAGTTTCTATCATGACCGTCTTTTACTTGTTTCCACCGATTCCCTGCTTTGTAAGCTTGACCGTCGCCTGGACGGGCTCGATGATTCCCTGGTTGGCCACTCCGAGCGCAATGCCCTTGCGCCAGCCCATTCTCTCCAGCAGCTGCCGTCCCACGTTGTCGACGCCAATCTCCGGAGCCGCGGCTGCAACCACCTCTCCTTCGCGTGGGGCCCATTTGCGGCCCTGTCCGTGCTCCTTGCTGCTCTTCTTGCGCTTGCCACGCAGCTCCATCACCTCGTCTTTGGTGAAGTGCACGTCCGTGCGCTTGAAGATCGGCCGTTGCCGCAGCACACGGCTCACCTGCCCGTAATTCGGCTGTCGTTTGTAAGTATGCTTTGTCTTGATGGCTACCAGATGCGTCTTGGGCCCGTTGCCAAGACTGCGCGGCTTCAGATTGTAGCACTCGGCCAGTTTACGAAGCGTCCGCAGCCCGTGCGGGTCCAACGGCGGCCATTGCAGCGTCTCGCGCGAAGCGTCGTGGTAAAACAGGTCGTACTCGGTCTTCATGTCGCGCACGTGCACCTCGTACGGGTACTTGGCCAGCAGCTCGCCAGAACCGTTGGAAACGCTCTTGGCCTTCTTTTTTCCCCGGTTGCGCTTCGAAAATTGGTCAAGCAACGCCTGTCGTATATCCTCGTCCATCTCCTCGTTCAAGACAAGCCGTTTCTTGCGGCCCTTACCGCTCGTCTGCAGCGACTGTGTTGGCTCCATCATTATTGGGTCATCAATCACCCTGTTCGAGTAAAAGGCCACCATATCCTCGACGCCAGGCCCGTCCGAGTCGGACTCGCTCTCGCTGTAGTCGTAGTCAGGCTCGGGCTCGGGTTCCTGGCGCAAATGTTCTGTCGCATACTGGAAAAAGGCCTCCAGACGGTGTTCTGGCAGCCCGTTTTCCACCAGCACGTCGCCGAGGTCCTCGCTGTCCCACCAGCGCGTCTCGTCATCCACGAGGGCGCAGTGGGCGTAGTACTGTGTGGCCGCGGCGCCAACACGCAGGTTCTCGATGCGCACGAGGTTCACGTTGAACGCAAAGTCGTCCGGGTCGTATCCAAACGGTGGAGTGGACTCGTCGGTGGGGGCAGAGTCGGAAAGGGAAGAACTAGAGCTATCGGAAGAGTAGCTGTCTTCGTCCTCATCGTCGCTCTCTTCGATTTCCTGGATTTCCTGGACTTCCTCGACTTGGATTTCGTCAACTTCGAGTTCTTCCGATTCTGATTCAATTTCGTCAACGTCTTCTTGTTCTTCTTCCTCTTCCTCTTCCTCTTCCTCTTCCTCCTCCTGCTCCTCCTCTTCCTCCTCCACCTCGCCCAAACTGATCTTCTTCACCCCACGCAACAGGTCCTGCGGGTCGTACACCTCGGCCGCCTTCACAAACGCTATCGGCATCTTGCGCAGCGCCCGCCGCATCGTCTCCTCGCGGTTCCGCCCCGTGAACGCCACCTCCATCGCCATGCGGCCGCTCTCGAGATCCATCAGCTCGCCAAACTCTGCCCGCTGTGAAATCCTCTGCCCGCCTCCACGGCGACTACGAGACCCGCCACGCGACCCGCCACGAAACCCTCCGCGCGCATGGCCTCTTCGCCCGCCCCTCGAGCCCCTGTTTCCTTTCTTTCCCATACTGTCAACTAATTTCCGTGACAAAAAACAAGGGCAAAGTAGGAAATATTTCTCTTGTCTATGCTATCCTTTTTATGGCTTCCCATAGCTTGAACACCCTCCACACCGTGTTCGATTACATTTGGGACCGCGATCCGGCCAATGACGACTTCGTAAACAACCTCGTCGTGCTCGGAAACACCTACGCCCCCTCCACCGCCCCAAAAGACGACAAACCATCAGACCTCAAATTCCTGTTCCAGCGATTGAAACAAGAACCCCCGACACCAGAATCGTGCTGGCCCATCGATTTCCTCCAGGACGTGTACACACGTATCTGGCTCACGTACCGCACAGGGTTCCCCATCATAGACCGCGCAGAAGACGGACCCAGTCCCCTTAGTTTCGGCTCGCTAATTAGAGGAACAATCGACATCTCCACGGTTACCAAAGGTTTCACCACCGACGCAGGCTGGGGATGCATGATTCGCACGTCTCAGTCGTTGCTGGCCAACAGTCTACTCAACCTCAAGCTGGGAAGAGACTGGAGATACGCCAAATCGCAAGACTCGCCGCAACACGAGCAGATCGTGTCGTGGTTTGTGGATATCCCGTCAGCTCCGTTCTCGATCCACAATTTTGTTGAACAAGGGACCCTGTGTTCGAATAAGAAACCGGGCGAGTGGTTTGGTCCGTCCGCAGCAGCACGCAGCATCCAGGTGCTGTGCGAAGAAAACTACAAAGACGCAGGAATTGAGGTGTACGTCACCTCCTCAGGTGACCTGTACGAAGATGAGCTGTCGAAATTGGCTACAAAAAATGGGGAGTTCCGGCCGGTGCTGATTCTCGCGGGTATTAGACTCGGAGTCAAGAACGTCAACCCGCTGTATTGGGACTTCCTCAAGAAAACTTTAAGCTGGCGTCAATCTGTGGGGATTGCCGGTGGCAGACCGTCATCGTCGCACTATTTTTTCGGCTACCAAGGCGACTACCTATTTTACCTGGACCCGCATCTTCCTCAGAAAGCGTTGTTGGTTGTGTCCGAGTCTGATCCGTCAGACTCGCAGACTTTTGTGGAGGTGGAGTCGCATTTGAATCTCGAGTCGGTGCACACAAACAAGATCCGCAAGCTGCATCTGGACCAGATGGACCCTTCGATGTTGATCGGGCTTCTTGTTGAGGACCAGGACTCGTTTGACGACCTCAAGCGACAGGTCAACGCCCACGACGCCAACTCGCGGTTCTTCAACTTCTTTGACTCTCGTCCGCTCATGATCTCCAAAGACTCTGGAGTCGTTGACGAGAGCGAGTTTGTGGACCTGGGGGTGATGTCGATGAACGAGTACGACGCGATTGAGGACGGCGACGAGAGCTGCATTGGAACTCTACGCAAAGAGCGCGCGTTTTCGCACCCGGTGATGGTGGCCATGGAGTCTGAAGAGCCGGAGGAGTTGGAAGCAGCTCCAATCAACTTCGACAAGGAGGCCTCGATCCTGGAAAACGACAAGGCCAACGACACGTTTGAGGAGATCCATCCGTCTGAAACGGAAAGCCGGCTGGATGCCGACGAGCCCGTGGTTGTGAGTCACGACGACTCCTCGGATCCAGTGTAGATTACAAAAATATATTTATTTTTCTGGCTGTGCATTTCCTTTTTTTTACGCGTTATGGATTCATCATCAGATCGAGGAGTTGAGGACGATTTGGAGTTTGAGGTTGAGGAGAACAACACTCCGTTTTCCGAGGTGGAAGACGATGACGGCGAGAAGACGTCTGTGGCGTTTGACGCGTCCAAGTTCGAGGCCGAGGCCCAGCAGGCTCTCAAGTCTCAGATATTGATTCTGTGCACAGCGTTGGGAGGAGCCGATGTTTCGGGCAAGTACGTGCTGGGTACCGACGCCCTGGCGTGTCTGAAGGACCTGAAACGGTGGATCAAGGTTGTGGACGATGCGTCGGACAACTGGAACGTGGCGTCTGCGTGCGACGACAACGGGCTTGTGTTGAACGACCTGATCCCAATTCTGGTTGAACTGCCTTCCAGGATCAACGACGCGAACCGGTCGTTTTACACGGGCATTTTGCTTTCCGTGCTGGAGCTGCTGGTTGCTCTGACCCGGCCACTGGTCTTGGACACCGAACGGGCCACTGCGGCCAAAGTCGATCTGTACATCAAGCTCAAGAAGTCGCACGTCAAGTACAAAGACAGAATACTTAACTACGAGAATGGAAAGTGTCTAAAGAGCGTTGTTGGACTGGCTATTCCTATTTTCCGCACCAGAAAAGACCAGCGCAGTTCACGAGACATAATTATTTTAAATCTGTGTCTGAACCTGTTCCGGAACGTGATTCGGATCGAGCCAGCAGATGTCACTATTGGAACGCGTCGCGCGTCCTCGAAAACACAGCAATTGAACGATAACATGCCTCCTGGCGTGGATAAGGACGACATCAGTTTCTCGCGTCTGGTGGCCGTTTACCGCAAGAACAAGGTACTGCAGTTCATCCAGACCATCACGTCGGGGCTGGAGCGCGAGTTCGAGCCGCGCGTGCTCGGCAGTGTGTGTCTGGACGTGTACTTCTACCTGCTCTACGGACTGGACCCAGCCACGGTGGCGGTGAAACGAGAGCCGGAAAGTATAAGTGGCGGTGCAGCTAACGGGTTGAGTTTGGGAGCCGCTTTAGATCAGGAAAAGCTGATGAAGAAACGGCTGTTGAACAACAACGTGACGCGTCATGCGAATTTCGGCACGTTGTTGAGTATTCGGCAGAATGACGACAGCCAGATGACGGTTTCGGGGCAAAAGAGGCTGATCCATTCGGATTTGTTGGAACAGCTCGACGCGAGCCGGTCCAAGAAGACTGTTGGTTCGCGGTGGACCACAAACAAGAACGAGAGCACGCGGTCGGACTTTGACCGTCATTTAAGCGGCGAGCCGTCGAAATACGTCGACACGGAGACGCGTGCCACGTTTGGCGAGTTCTGCCACGATTTCGTCGAGGCCGGGTTTGGCCCACTGTTAGCAGCCATCCGCAAGTCGTTTATTGGCGAGCACACACGGTTTGGCGCGTTCCTCGAGTTTCATTACTTCTACGTCGTTGGATGGGTGCTCAAGTTCGAAAGGTTGTTGAGAGAAAGCAGTCGGGAAAACGTGTTCAGACTCGGGTATTTGCAAGAAGCTCTGTCGCAGGACATGGTGCGGTTAATTTTGAAGAACAACATTCCATTGTACATGCAGAATCGCGAACACAATCTGCTACGAATTGCAGTTAACTGTTTCAAAGAGATTTTATTGACGGTGGTCGATATGCACAAATTGGAGCCGCATGATTATCCCGACCTGTCTCCTGAGCAGAAGGACGAGCTCGACATGTACCAGGGCATGTCCGAGCAAGTTTTGCGGCTGATTTTCTCGAGCGAGGACGAGATTGAGGTTTTCTTCCATGTTGCACAAGATGCACATAAAGTGTCGTTTTCCTACGCGCTGGACATGATCGACTACACGCATGTGCTGTTGAAGGTGTTGCAGTATCTTTCTGAGCTTAAAACTCCCGTTGCTATGGGAAAGAAGCGCCGTGGAAAGGCCAAGGAAGATCGGGCCGGTTCTGACTCCGATAGCATGGGCGAGTCGCATTTGAAGCGGTATTTGCAGTTTGATCGATCGCGGTACGAGTTCTACGAGCGCAAGCTGATGCATGAGCGGGTGGTGAACTGCTACGTTTCTGTTTTCGCGAAATTTGACGAACTGAACGAGGTCCAGGTGCGCAAGTGTATTTCTTTCTTCAACAGATTAATGTTGAAGAAAGACGAGCATTTTCTAAAACTTGTGCGGTTGGATTTCATGCTGGCGTTACATGACATCAAGGACAGCGTTTTCGGGTCGTCCGTGAAGCGCGATCTGGGCAGACTGCTGGGCTACTACATGCATACGTTTGAGAAGAAGTATCGTCAAACCGACGCTATTTTGCTAGATTTGCTTACTCTAGGCCAGGATTCTGACCGCGGTTTACGGGAGTTCCTTCAGACGGGCGACCGCAACGAGCTGGAGGCCCGCGAGCACGCCAAACGGTCGAGAGACGTGTCGTTTGCTGCTGCTGAGATGTCGTACTCGCACAAAATCAGTGTTTTGGTGAGCGCTCTGGTGTACAGAGACAGCGTGGAGATCCTGGAGTATCTTGTTTCGCGGCTGCGTGCGCGGGATGGCGAGCTGGTGTTTGAGAGTGGTCGCGAGACGTTGCGGAACGGGCATTACCGGTTGCTTCTGGAGACGATTGGGTTTGAGGTTGCAACCAACGGCCAAGCTGTGCTTCCTGGAACAGTTGAGGACTCGCACGTGACCATGACGGCCGACCTGATCGAGGAGTCGAAGCTGCGGCCGCTGGAGACGGACGAGTTCGAGCACGAGCTGATTGAGGAGAGGAGGGAGCCAGAGCAGGAGCCAGAACGCGAACAGACGAGCAATTTCGATGATTTTGGCTCCGACAACGACCTAGAGACATTGAACCGTGTTTCTGAGCGTCTTGACCGGCTGGACGTTCTGGAGGCCCGGCTGGAGAAAAAGACCGGCCGCAAACGTGTGCGTGACCCGGAGGACGACGAGATCCGGTTCAAGTCCAAGGCCAAGGCCAAGAAGAAGGGCCATGCCAAGAAAGTGAAGCGAGTCGCCAAGGAGAAGGCTTCTGTTGAGCCAAAGGTGCATCTCTCGTCCAAATACGTTGACTCTGAGGACGATCTTTCTGATGCAGAGAAAGAGGCCGAGTTTTTCCGCAAGGAGCAGGAACTACAGGCTCTTATTCAGCGCAATGGCGGAGCTATCAGTCCAGAACAGTTCCAGCAGCTTCTGGGCGGCGGCGAACAGCGCCGAGACAAGATGGTGACACTCAGCGATTCTGAGTCGGAGCCCAGCTCGTCGCCGCCGCCGGTGAGACGTGCACGGGCCGTCATTGAGGATGACGATGACTAATATTAATGGGCCTATATACGGGTCAAGCCACACAGTGGTCGTCTCCCGAATCATTAAGCGCGCTGATGATAGTTTGTGTAGACGACAGAAACATGATACAGAACCCGAACACGACGCACGCGTAGTAGGGGAGCCGCTGGAGCAGCGGTTTCTGTTTGGTCATTTTGAGATAACATAATGGTGGCAGAATGAACGCGAGCAGCGACGCGGACGTGGCCCCGACAAGTTCAAGCACCGCGCCAAGGTTGCACGTGAACAATGCAACGACCATGGGGACCGCCGCGAGCACGGCCGTGATGATAACGTGGTATTTTGTGCCGAGGTTGCCAATCTCGCGTTTTTCGTAGATCTCCATCAGATCGCGCACAACAGCACGCACAACAAACAGTTCCAGCGGGTACGTGGTGAGCATGTTGAGTCCGAAACACAGCCGAGCTATGTTGACCACCCAGTCGTCGGACGGGAAGTTGTTGAGGATGTTTCCTTTGGTTTTTGGGCCAAAAGTAAGGTAGCCACACACACCCATCACGCTGCACACCACTCCGGACAGAACACACGCGATGTGAGTGACGCGATTGAAACGGTCGAGCGTGGGTTTGCGGATCGAGTCGTAGATGAACGTGGTGTTGTGGTGGCACACCAAGGCAAAAGAGATGACACTGATGCTCTGGAAAATGTTTGGCTTGAAGAACCAGCCGGATCCGGAGATGGAACCTTTAAGATCGTCGTCCATGGCGGGTCCGCGAAACACCACAATCGACAGGATCACGCTCATGCTGGCCAGCGCAATCCCACTGGCCTTGGCCAGCTTCGAGATGTCTCTTGTGAGCGACAGCGGGAACGAGACGCACGTGATACAGATCACGATCAGCGTGTTGCGCGACAAGAGAAAGTCCACTGCGGACGACGAGGCCACCTGGCTGCTAAACAGCGAGCGCAGCACGTGCGGAATGGTATCACCGATGATCACAGCAAACCCAATGTTGCCACCAAACCCAAATAGTCCCTGGGCGAGCAAAATCGCAACTTTCCCCAGATCTCCCAATGCATGGCTAACAAAAGCGGTATAAGTCTTTGCACCGGACAATTTCGTGTTGACGATGATCAGCCGCAGCGTCCAGTCGTTCAACACGGCCAGAACCACCATCAAGATCAACGAGGTGAGCAATCCCGAGTTTCTGAACGCTCGAGGTATTCCAACCACTCCAGCTCCGAGAATCGAGTTGGACATGTTGAAAAAAGCAGCCTGTAGATCGCTTTTCCCGTGCTCGGTCATCATCAAATGGAGATCGTTGTCAACATCTGTGCGCGAGTCCGGCTCGGCCACAACAAGCTGTTCTCGTTGTTCCTGCTGCTCGACGGTGTCAAGAGCCATTACCACGGTTTAAAATTAAAAGTGTATGTGTGTTTTTCTATCTACAAGGTCCCGCCTGACACCTCTCTTTTCAGCGCAAATCTGTTGTTTCTTATAATTCTATAATTATGAAACCTTCCAAGAAACAAAGCGAGGGCGCCGGGTCGCGGGTCAGCTCGTTCATGGGGCTTCGTAGGGCGTCTAAGACTGCGGATCCGGGATCTGCAAACTCGCCGTCGGGGACTTTGTCCAGAATCAACACCAACACGTCCATGTTCTCCATTTCCGAATCGCCCACGAAGAACGGGCTGTTTTCGCGTAACAAGACTCAGCAAACCTCCGACACAAGCAGCATTGAGTCTCCTCTTTCGCGTATGACCACAAATACCAGCGTTGGCGGACCATCCAGTACGTCCGTTTACTCGTTATCGTCCTCCCATACAAAGAAACTCAGCAATGCAAACTTTAAGAAATCGCATCGACATACTATCTCGGACGACTTCGAGCTCGAGCCGCCACGCACGGTTGAGGAAATCGACCAGATGTTCAAAGAAGTGATGATCTCCAGAGATTTCAACAGTCTCCCCGAAAAAGCTCGTAAAGAGATGGAAAACTACCCAGCAGACCGCAAATGGATGCTCATTCGACAACACAAGCTGGCAGAGTACAAGAAACAGCGGATCATGCAGCAGCAACAGCAGCAGAACGTCTCTGTTCCAGCACGAAGCGCGTCCAGTGCCAGCACAATCGTCACAGAAAGATCGGTAACTTCTTCCGGAAAGGTTTTCGACGCCCAATTCTTTGTGGTGCAACTTATTGGCAACAAAATCAACAACGAGCAGCTCAAAGAGCTCGACATTTGTCTCAGTTCGGAGGAGTTGCATTGGACAGAGCAATTCCTCAATTTGCAAGGAGCAGTGGCTCTTTGTAACGTGTTGATGCAACTCTACAAGACCAAGCCACTTTTGAAACCACAAACAGGACTCAACCGTCAATCGTCGATTGGATCGGCACAACAGCACTTGTTCACAAACCCAGTGGAGGACTACGAAGTCACCTTGGACAAGGAAACCAAACTGTTCAGATGTATCAAGGTGATTGCAGATCTGACAGTTGGAATTGAGCATCTGCAAAAAATAGACATTTTCATTCCTGCCATCTTTGGCGGACTCTATTCCACAAGACCCCAGGTCCGCAAATGGGCTACCGATATCATTACTTATTTCTATCATAAGACCAATTGCAGTCCTTTGATCTACAAAACTATCCACAAGCCTGTCAACGACAATGTCCATTTGGCCTACATCAAGGAACTCTATCTTCCCAAACCAAACCTGTTGGACCGCAAGTCGCAGTACATTCTGTCCAATGCCGAAAAAGTGAAGAAGTATGAGGCGTGGTTCTGGTCTGTGAGCCGGCTTTTCGAAGGCCGTGGTAAAATGGGCAGTCGGGTTGGTTCTTACGAAGAGTTCAAATTGACCGGCTCAGTCTCCAACAGTTTCCTGATCGAGTACGGTCTATCCACCCTGTTATTGATCAATACCCTTTTGCAATACTCCAAGGATTTGGGAGACCGTACCAAGCTCCGCCGGCTATTTCAAGTTGCCGGCATGAACGAATTATTCGACCATCTCCGTCCGTTAGAAAATAGTGATATTGAACACAGCATTGCCAGCATCGAGAGCTCTGAAAAGGCAGATCTGCAAGAACTCAAGCAGATGGAAGAGTTCAAGAACCAGCAGATCGATTTCAACGACCCGCTGTCACTTTTGAACGCCATGATCCAAAAATCCAGAGGAACAGAGGCAGAGGCACATCTCACCTCTATGATCCAAAACATGTTTATCAGTCAGTCGTCCAATTTGCATACTCTTGATCCGGGTCAAGTGAACAGAAACCTCAAGTTGATGGACACTTTTGTTTCGAATATCACAATGGCTTCGGGAGAAGACGACACTGACATGAACATATCAATCAACAGATTGATTTCCTCATACAGAACGGACGAAATTGCACGGAAAGCCATGCTGGAGGCACGCGAGGCCAGAAAGCGCGTCGAAGAGGCAGAGGCCGAGCGGGACAATGCTTTACAGAAATTGAACGAGGATTCCGGCGGTTTGATCGACCAGTTGTACAAAGATCTCGAGGAGCGCGATGAGATCTTGGAACGGCTGCGGGAAAAATTGGATATCAAAGAGAGCGAGGTTGGGGAGCTTCGCCGGATGAGAGTGCTGGATAAGCATCAGCAGGAGACCGAGATGCGTGAGATGTTACTTCTGTTGCATAGCCAGCAGCTTTTGGGTAACGGTCCATCATCGAGTGCGCCAGTGTCTGCAGAGTCTCATTCGCATTCCTCATTGAATAGTGGAGGTTCGTCTACCGTTGAGGAGTTGCGCAAGAGACTGAAGTCTCAAGTTGACAAAAATAAGGTGGAGTCGAAGCGGATCGGCACATCTGGCGTGGAGCCAAGCTCGCGTCTAAGAGACCTGCGTTTCAAGATGGATTTGTTGGAGCAGGAAGCCAGAAACCTGGAAACAACCGAGTTCGACGATATACTGAACGAGCCGGCTGTTGATCCGAAGGCGGACGATGTGAAAAATCTGAACGATTTGAGAGCCAGGTTGGAGTTCTTGCAAAAGGATGCAAACAAGGTAATCAAGGTGCAGACTACTATGAGTTCTAACGAAAAGCTCGAGAAACGGAAGCTTGAGGCTTTAAACAGACTCAACACTTTGGAAAAGACCATGCAGGATCTGAAAATCAAGGAGTTGGAAGAGATTGAGGCTTCGGCTGATACTGGCCACCGCACTTTGGATCCAAAGCAAGGTCTTTCTAAGAACGAGCGTGCTGAGAAGTTGAAGAAAGAACTGGCAGAGCTGGAAACCATGTGCAGCAACCTCAAGTTCCAATTCAGTCTTGACAACGAGCCAATCGACAGAGATGCTCTTCTCGAGAAGTTTGAAAACCAGTACTCCAGAGGAAAGAAGGAGGTCCCAAAGGCGACGTTTGCCAACTCTGCTCCGCCTGTGATGGCCGCTCCGGTTGGCAAGATCGACACTGCCGGGATGAGACCGTTCCTTGGTGAATTGGAAAAGACTGTGTTGAAGAAGCCAGCAGTTGGAGACGAGCCAGATGAGACCGACGAAAAGAAGGACAGTCCTTCCAAAGTTTCGAAGTCTGCTCCTCCTGTTGTGGAGACTGCTATTCCTGCACCACCGCCTCCTCCTCCCGCACCACCGCTTCCGAACTCTGCGTCTTCTGAAGGGGCTCCACCACCACCACCACCACCTCCTCCGCCTCCTGGACTATTTGGTTCCAGCGGATCAATTCCACCGCCACCTCCTCCACCACCTGCTCTTGGCGGTGGTATCCCTCCTCCTCCGCCGCCTCCTCTTCCTACGGGAGCCTCCAAGGCCGACCCGACTCCACAGCCTTCGCCGTTTATGGCCCCCGGTCCGTTTGACCTGCTTCCACGACCAAAGAAGAAGCTCAAGCAGCTCCATTGGGAGAAGATCGACGACCCTGTTGGTTCGTTTTGGGCCAACAACGGGTCAGAAGACATGGCCAAGCAGCTGTTGGAGAACGGTATTTTCGACGAGATTGAGGTGATTTTTGCGGCCAAGGAGGCCAAACGGATTGCTCGTAAGAAGAAGGAAGACGCCAAAAAGATCTCGTTCTTGAGCACCGACGTTTCTCAGCAGTTTGGCATTTGTCTGCACTCGTTTGCTGGTTTGGAAGACGAGCAGGTTGTTTTGAAGATTCTGCGCTGCGACAAGGACGTGCTTGATAAGAGCGCGTTGCTTGATTTCCTGGCCAAGCCGGAGTTGAACGAGATCTCTACCACGTTGGCCAAGAACTTTGAGCCGTACTCGACGGACTGGCAAAATGATAAGGATGCCAAGCTCGAAAAGGATCCAAACGAGCTCGCTAGAGCAGACAGAATATACCTTGAGCTGATCTACAATTTACAGCATTACTGGAAGTCGAGAATGCGTGCTCTGAATGCCATTTTGAACTACGAAAAGGATTACGAGGAGCTCGTCAACAAGCTCGAGACGTTGGAGAAAGCTCTGGAGAGTATTGGCAATTCCAACACTCTACGGAAAGTGTTTGATATCATTCTGGTTGTTGGTAATTACATGAACGACAAGTCTAAACAGGCACAGGGATTCAAGCTGAGCACTTTGCAACGGCTTGGGTTTTTGAAAGACCACAAGAACATCATTTCGTTTTTGCACTATGTTGAAAAGATCATCAGAGAAAACTATCCTGAACTGATCACCTTTGTGGAGGATTTGAAGCCAACGATCGTGGCAGCAAACATTTCTGTGGAACAGCTCAAGAGCGACTGTCAGCAGTTCACTCAGTCCATTCGGAACATTGATGCTTCGTTGCAGGACGGAAATTTAAGCGATCCGTCCTCTTTCCATCCGATGGACAAGTTCTTGCACGTTGTTTTCCGCGGTCTTCCTAACGCGCGCAGCAAAGCAGAGCTGTTGGGCGACCGGTCGAAACTGGTGATTGAGAAGTTCGACTCTATGATGCGGTACTTCGGTGAGGATCCAAACAGCGACGAGTTTGTGCGGAACACTTTCCTGCGCAAGTTCAGCGAGTTTGCAGAGAACTTCCAGAGAGCCTCGACCGAGAACAAGGAGCTGGAGGAGCGCAATAAGAAGTACGAGTTGAGTAAGAAGAAGCTCGAGGAGATCAAAAAGGAGAAGGAGCGACAGCAGGAGGAGCCCAAGATCAATTCGGACATGGACAAGTTCCTGCAGCAGCTGCGACAAACCGCTCCTCTGCGTTCTGAACCAACGTCTGCCAAGATCAAGCAATGGGCAAAGAAACACTCTGCGCAGTCAGGGTCTCCGCTGGAGTCTCCAACGAAAAGCAGTGCTCCGGACGAGGACGACGATATCCGGTCCAAGACACATGATCTGCTGATGAAGCTGACGCAGCAGTCTGCGGACGACGCTCCGTCGTCGTCGAACTCGTCGCTGGCTACCAACGGCTCGGAACTGAAGCTGAGCGAGAAGATGAAGAGACGGCTGCAACAGAGCTCGCGCACGCCGTCGGTCAGCTCGCTGGACTTTGACTCTGCGTCGCGCCAGGATTCGTTCAAGACCAGCAAGTCGCGGCTGGACCTGAACAGCGCGTTGTTGAGCAACCCGCTCCTGGAGCAGGAGGCCGACACCAAGTCACCGAACCCGCTGATGGAGGACGACGACCAGGCAGAAGAGCCCGACAAGGTCGACGCGGCCTTGGTGGATACAGAAAACGGTAACGGCGATGTGTTTGAGTCGCCGGACGAATTCCAGGATGCTCAGGAACATTGAATACAGTACATACAGATATATTATTTACCTTGGAGCAGCTCCAAAGCCTGCTGGAGTTCCTTGATGGCTGTTTCGACGTCCTCGTAGTTGAGCGCGGAGATGGCGAACTTGGCACGTTTCTGTGCCTGCGAGATGACCTCGTCTGTCTTGATCATCTCGGAGATGTCTTCTTTAGAGAGTGGGGGGTGTTCAGGGGCCTTGGCCTGGGGTGGGGACGGTTTCGGCAGCTTGACGGGGGCCTTTGGCATTCCCAGTTTATTTGGCTCCTCCTTGATGATGGCGGGAGCTGCCGGCAGGTTCAGCGACTCGTCGAGCGAGTCGGGCGCAGACGGCAGCAGCGGAGGAGAAGCGACAGGCGATGCGTGTTCCGACTTCTCGGGCGACCTGATCTCGGACGGTGGTTCTGGAAGCGACACCGCGTCGTCGTCGTCGTCGTCCTGCGGCTGGTCCTGCGACCAGCTCCCCACCTCGCGCTCCTCCTCCGGGGTGACGTAATCGTTGGGGTCCTGGTTGTTCTTCAACGCTTTGAGAATACGCATTGAGTGGAACTTGGCGTACTTTTTGCTTTTTTCGAGCTCTTCGCGACGCGAGTCGAGTTGCTCGGGCCACAGGTTGAGCACCTGGTAGAAATCGAGCGCTGCTTTGAAGTTGTCGACTGTTTTCTTCGAGGCCGTATGGTTTGCTATTTCGTTGAACGACCGGTTGAAGATGGACGTGGCGAATCCCCAGACCAGCTTAAAGCTCGATTCCGGGTCGTTTATGAGGTTGTACGACTTCTCGGACGTCTCTTTGAGAGCCAATTTGTCCTTTTCGATCTCGTCCAGCAGTCCCAGAGCGTACGTTTCGATATCCTTTGCCTTCAGGTGCAATTGGTTGTTCAGAATCAGCTCTGCCGCATACAGCTTGCACAGATACGCCACGGTGGGCTGGACGGCGGTTAATTCGGTTGAGCGTTTAATAAATGGAGCAATGAGTTTCAAATCGGGAGGCAGCGACATGATAGATAAATTTAATTAATTAGGCAAGTTTTTTTTACCTTTTAATTAAATTTCTCTTTTGGGGACGCGAAACCGAATTCTGAACGATGGACGAGAACCAATCGAGAGTGGGTGATTTGCCGCGCGCGAAGACTTACGGAACAGTGGAGGTGGGGGAACTAGAGGTGGCGCAGTGCGTGGTGTCCAAACGGGTGTCTGACTCGTGGGTGAACGCGACACAGCTGGCCAAGCTTGTTTCTGTCATCCGGCCCAAAATCTCGGGCTCTTTGGAGTCACAGGCCAAGCAGGGTGCGCACGAGATCGTCCAGGACGGTCCAGCAGAGCTCCACGGCGTGTGGGTGTCCATTGAGCGGGCAACCAGCCTGTGCAAAGAGTACGACATCTACACTCCTCTGGCCCCGCTGTTTGCCTACTCCGGCCAAAAAGACCTTGCACGGACCGTTTCGAGTCTCACAGAGCCGGACGAGGTCTCCTCCCCCGCAAAGAAAGTGAAAATCGATACAAACCTGCCCGCCCTGGAGGTGTTCAACCACGACAGCCCGGCACAGAACACCAACAGCCCGTACGCCCTGGCCCCGGTGCCCGACAACGAGGTGGACGAAAAGAGTAAAGTGGCATTGTCGTCGCTGTTCTTGCCCAACCAGAAGGAAATGTCGCTCGACAACGTGGTTATCGACGCCCCGATCGACGACAATGGCCAGACAGCACTCCATCTGGCAGCCACACTCGGCCGCATCTCGCTGGTGAAAGATCTGGTTTCTCGCGGCGCTAATAGACTGCGTGGCGACAACGATGGCCAGACCGCGCTGATCAGAGCCGTTCATGCTACAAATTGTCTGGAAAACTCGTGTTTCGACTCGCTTCTGGACTATCTATACCCAGCAATCACTATTCTCGACCACAAGGGCCGGTCCATCTTGCACCATATCGCGTACACGTGTGGCCGCAAGGGCCGCAACGAGGCCTGTAACTACTACCTGGAGACGCTGCTGGAATGGGTGGTGAAAAGAGGCCCCTCTTTGCCAGAGGGCCAGCAAATGAGTCTGACTTCGTTCATGCAGGAGGTAGTGAACATCCCAGATCGCAATGGCGACACTTGTTTGAACATCGCAGCCATGGTGGGAAACAAGCAGATCATCCAGCAACTGTTGGAAGTTGGGGCCGACCCTAATAAACCCAACAAGGCCGGCGTGCGGCCGGTCGACTGCGGAATCAACGTCAGCTCTGCCAGAGCCCCGCTGCACAACCCGTCCGTGTCGCAGACGGTGCCAGAAACGCCGAAAATGAGCAGTTTGAAGATCCTCGAGTCGTTGCAAACGTTTGTGTCGCAGCTCGGAAAGGACTTCAAGGACGAGCTGGACTCGAAAACCAAGCAGGTCGACGAGATCCACCCGAAACTGCGCGAAAAAACGTACAAGCTGTCGGAGAACCGCAAGCAGTTTGACGAGCTGCACAAGCTGGTGCGCAAGATCGGCGACTATAAAACCAAAATCATCAACCTGGACAACGCGATCCGCGAGGAAGAGCAGCGGTTCAATGAGGAAACAAAGGAACTTCCTATCAACTCCAAGACCTTCGACGGGGACTTCGACGCCGACGAGCCGTTCACCGTGTGGTCTGTGTATAACGAGGTCGAGAGACGTCTTCAGGAAGCCAAGCCGCAGCCGACTTCGGTTGCAGACTTTATCAACAACATCGACGCTTCCACGCTGTTGGCCTCCGAGCAGCTCGACGAGCTGCCACCGTCGGTGATTCTGGAAGCCAGAATCAACGCCTATACCAAGAACAACGCCATGCTGATTGAGAGAACGAAGAGCCGCCGCTCTTCTAGTCAGGAGCTCGAACAGCAGTTCAAACGTGTCATTGGGCTCTGCATTGGAAGCGCGGTCGAGGACATCGACGAGAAATTGCTGGGCAGTTTGTTACTGAGCGTGGAGAACGATCCGGATCCAGAAATCAGCCAGATCAGAAAGGTTCTCAGTATAGTCAACGAAATAGAAAAATGATTTTTGTGTTCATCAGTTGGCGTATGGATTTTTGTTGTAGTTGACTTTGGAGTCATTGGCCGCTTTGGCCAAGGAGTACGGATTGTTCTTGTCTCTGATTGGCTTCTGTTGGGCCGGGAACGCGTGGGGGCTCTTCATACTGGTAGGACTGGCTCGTGGGTACTGCTGAGTAGGTGGGGGCAGGTTCATCGGCTCAGGATACGGTCTGCCATACTGCTGAGGAGCAGGCTGCTGGTATTGCTGAGGAACCGGCTGCTGGTACTGCTGGTACGGTGCAGGCTGGTTGTAGTGAGGAGACCCAGGCTGTGGGTAGTACTGTTGGGAATGCATGAGCGGAGGCGGTGGTCTTCTTGCGCGAGGAGACCCCGTGTTCTGCTTTGGCTGTCCTGGAGGAGGTGCGTATCCATTTGGATTGGCACCGTAAGCTCCTGCTGGCGGACCCGCCTGACGAGGATGTCCTGCTGGAGAGTATCCTCCTGTTGGCGCTGGGGCCCCGTACGCTGCGTTCCCGTTTGGAGAGTATGGAGACTGCAGTTTCTGGCCCGGAGCAGCCTGCATTGGAACCAGATGCTGCCCACTATTGTAAGGAACCTGCTGGGGAACAATGTTGTCTGGTGGAGCACGCTGGAAGTTGGAGTTCTTGTACGCTGGTCTGTGTTCCACAGAGCCTGTGGAACCGGATCGCGAGCCACCCCCCAGTTCGTGCGGCTGCAGGTATGGATTGTGTGCCCGTGGAGGATAGTCCCCGTACGAAGGGGCGTCGTAGAACTCGCCGCTGTCGTTGCTGGCACTTCTATAGACGTCTTCAAGTGGACCTCCGACGACTCCTTCGCGGTCGGCCCTCTGTTTTGGAACGTTCAGTGTGCTTGCACTTGAAAGTCCGTTTGGATGCTCGTACGCAATGTTGGGCTGCATGGCCTGTTGGTAAGACTTGTTGAACTCTGTGAATGGCGACATGACTCTTTCTTGAGAAAGCACTCTTCTGTCCACAGGAGTGTGTTCTCCCGAGTCCGACGAAACCAGCGACGTTTTGCTATTGTAGTTTGGATTTGGCTGGGCAAGAGGCGACAGGTGGTTGCCGTCAGGAGTGGTGAACGATCCAACTGATTGCGACGATTTCATCATCGTCTGTTTGGACGACGCAGGATTGACAAAGTTGATATCGTAGTCGTCGTCCTCGTCGTCGTCCTCTTCCTCTACTTCGGATCCCTCTTGCGGATACAAATCGTCGATGGCAGATTTCTCCTTCAAGTCCATGTCGGCCAAAGAACTGTCAATGTGGTCCAGATCAGGCAACTGGGCGTATTTGGAGTAGATGTTGGACAGGTTTCCTGGAGACCTGTGTATTCCCGGTGGAGGGTTGCGTAAACCTTGTTTCTCGGGCGATACAGGTCTCGAGATCTGTTCAGGCTGTGCAACCGGCAGCTCGTCGTCGCGCTTTCTGAACCGAAGCTCAGAGTACAGCGATCCCTTGTCCTCCACAGACTTGTGGTCGACCTCCGGCACCTTTTTCGGTGAGGTTTGCGAGTTGATAGTCTGTGTTTCCAAAGCAGGAGACCGAGGCTCTGCTCCGAACGCGTTCTTTGGATTCGGAGCAAACGTTGGCGATTGAGGATTCGAAAAGGACCGCACTTTACCAGAAGCAAAGTCTCTAGAGAAATCCAGCATACCAACAGCCCCAACTGTTCCTTCTGTTGAGCCGCAACCGGTGTACCCGTTGCTGACCTTTGGCTGTAGAATCTCCTTGATTCCTCTTGTCCATTGGTACGAGGTCCACGAGGCCGTGGTTGCGCTGCCCGTGAGCTGCATCAGGTCGTCGACCTCCAAGTAGTGCAGTTTCGGGAGGACGGGGAGAGCAAATAGCAACGAGTCGATCTCGGACTTGTCCGCGTTCAGCCGCTTTGGTCTTCCATAGAGATGGTAAGCGTCCAACAATGGTATCAAAAATCTAATCAGAGTATCGTATCCAGGAACAGACGAGTGTTGATCTGGCATCAGGAAGATGGAACAGTCCTTTTCTCCTTCATCCTTCGAAAAAACGATGGATCCGTCCAATTTGATCATGGTACTCTGATCGATCACGGAATAGTTCTGAGGATAAACGGCATAGATGGAGTTGGCGTTGGTAATGGTAGCCATGGCCAGCTTTTTTCCCTTCTTCTCCGACTCGTAGAACGTGACTTTCCCAGGAACAAACTTCTTTTTGTGTTTTTTGGCTGGTGGCTCAATCTCTGTGAAACATCTTTTCCAAGGCATACCTGCTCCGAATCTGACACTGGTCCAGTCCTCGTGCACAAACTTTGTCTCTGCAAGAACAACCTTGATATCCGACAGAAGCGATCCACGTGCACTCAATAAGGCACCAGTGTACGCTTCCTGGAGAAGTTTGTACTCTGTGGCTGCGAGTCTGAAAGCCGCATGCCACCGGCGGAACTGCTCAACGGAGGCGATCTGGATCAGATATCTATTTTTCAAAGTTGTCGAGACGATGATGACGTTTTTCAGGTCTCCGTTGCTGGAAGGCAAAACGTCGACGGCTTTGAAGGTTGCATCGGTGAAGTTGATGTAGGACGGTTTATTGTTTGTTTTGGTTTTGGCTTGGAGTTCCTCCATCAATTCGACGCTGTAGATGGCCAGCTGATTGCCGATCAGCACTCCGTACACTTCCGACCACTTCCGATCAGCAGCCTGGCCTTCGGAATCGAGGTCTTTCAATAGCATGAACACACCTTCATTGTATCGGCGATGAGTTTGGGCAGACAGCAGAGTGACGATCGGAGATAAGGCCGGACTCAGCTCACCGCGAGACTCGGCTGTGACCACTCTCTTGGGCAGTGAAGAGCTCTCTTTGGGCGAGGAACCCGACTCTTTTCGGGAAAAAGCCCGTAGCTTGTTCATCTGGGGGATAAAAGATAATGTTTATTATTTTTTGGGCGATGTTGAAAAAAATCAAAACCGAGCGCGCGAGCCACGACCGTTGCTTGTACAACGGAGAGGCGCAATAGCGAAAAAAACCCAGCGGGCCTACAATTGCCAAGAATCTTGTCAAATTTGCCAGAGTCAAAACGTGTATTTTCAAGTGTATAAAGGTGGTCCTGGCGAACGATGCGTTAGATGCGGTGTACACTCGGCTAGAGCTGTGCGGCTGAATGGCGTTCCAGTTTGAGCAGCGGTTTTTTTTTAACCGAGCTGGTCAGACGAGCAGTGTCGTGTCGATCTTGGTCAGGGTCTTTGGATTTCAGGTTGAACGAGCGCAGAAACATCGGCGACTTAACCCCCACCGGGGAGTTTGCCACAATTGCCTGTGTACTCTTGCGGATCATGCCTTTGAACGAGTCCAATGGGGTGCTGATCCACTGCGGCTCTATGGGGCCAAACCTGACCAAAAGCGGCGAATCCATCGAGATCTCGTCGCACTCGTGCGAAACGGACTTGCTGATTGACATCTCGGTGCTCGACCTTGACATGGTGTACTTGTGGAGCGTTTCTGTGTCTGTGGTGTTTGTGGTGTCTATGCTGCGGCTCGAGACCAGTTCTGTGCTGAACCGGCGTCTTTTGCGCACCGTGTGCCACACGTACGCGGCAATCAGCAGAAATACGATCCCGGCTAGCGGAAGTGTCAGTCCCAGCACTAAGGGCAGCTGTGACGCGGTCTGTTTCGCCTTAGTTTGCCGACTGACAGTGGCTACCGAGTTGGCATACTGGGTCATTGTGGCCGTTATTGTTGTGGTAATGGTGGTGATATCGTCGTCCGCCACCATGCTGAACTCAGTGAGCGTGAAAGACATGCTTTATTCAGCGAACACACTAAACTATTTATACCTTTACATCTGTCTAATAATTGTTTGAGACAAATCTGACGTATCACCACCCACGAGGCCAGACCGTTTAGCGCGAGCTAGAACCCTGGTCTAGATTCCGCATAGATTCCATGCATATGCTGAGCATATGTGTCGTCTTGGAGCTGTGAGTTTCTTAGTACTAAACCCAATCACAACGACCTCGTCACGCTCACCCCATATTCGGCCGAACTTGCTTCACAAAAAATTAACCATTTTTCTTTATGATTACCGTTATTGGATCTCTCAACTATGACATGGTGACGTACTCGTCGCGCTGTCCCCAGGGCGGCGAGACAATGCAAGGCATCCAGTTTGAAGAACATCTGGGCGGAAAGGGTCTGAACGAGGCCATTGCGTCGTCCAGACTGTCGATCCATAAGGGCCATGTGCGGATGTGGGGCAATGTTGGGGACGACGAGCACGGCAAGAAGATGCTTGCGGCATTGCACGACGCCAAAGTCAACACCGAGCTGGTTTCTGTGCTCAAGGACGTCAGTTCCGGTAGTGCAACGATCATTGTCGAGACAGACTCTGGTGAGAACAGAATTATAATTATTCCAGGAGCAAACGGCGAGCTGGACCCGACCGAGGAGCAGCTAGCGGCTAACTTCAAGGACGCAGACTCCAGCGACTACGTCGTTGTGCAGAACGAGTTCCCTGGTGTGCGCAAGGTGATTGAATGGTTGCACGCTAACAAGCCGCAAATCACCATAGTTTACAATCCGTCTCCAGTCAAGGCAGACCTGTTGGACGTTGAGATGTTGCAGAAGGTGGACATTCTGGTTGTCAACGAGGGAGAGGCCCAGCAGATCGTCAACAGCGACAGCTCCGACGACAAGCTTCTGCTTGCTTCTCTACACAAGTTGTTACCTAAAACCACCGTCATTATCACCCTTGGAGGCCGTGGCTGCATTCTGCAGAAAGAGGAGACCGTCGAGCAGGTTTCTGGAGTCAAGGTGGAGAAAGTGGTGGACACGACGGGAGCAGGTGACACGTTTTTGGGCGGAGTTGTTTCACAGCTGTATTTTGGAGCCGACCTGGTTACTGCGGTCCAGTTTGCTACAGCCGCAGCGTCAGAGGTGATCCAGAAGAAAGGAGCAGTGGAAAGCATTCCAGAGTACTCTAGACACGCATTGAAAATTTAGATATAGACTATAAATTAAGATTTATCTTCACTCAATAGGTCTTCGGGTAGGTTTAGTTTGAGTGAGCGTAAGGATGGTAGCTGAACGGCAGACTTTGAGCCAACGGAGTTTCCCAGCATCGAAGACGAAAGTGGGAACGAACCACTCAGATTGATACCGCTCGGAATAGAGGTCAACGAGGTGGACGGATGCAGTTTGGGAGACACGGAAGGAGTTTGTAACGGGGTTGAGTCTGGGGTTTGCTGTCTGTTTTGCGTCATGTGGCTGAGTCCCAGGAGATGTAATGCGGCCGAGGAATCCTTGCTGGGGACCATGGTGGCAGTTGGCGATGACGGGATTCCCGGGGAGTTTGGCCTGGACTTCTTGAACTGCGGTTGGGGGGCCTTGGACCCGCCCGTGAACAGATCTGTGCTGGAGAATGAGCGTGCTAGACCAGACAGATTACTGGACGAAGAGGAGTCTGTCAGCTGGACCGATCCAGACGACGCGATCTGCGGCACAGAGCCCGCAGACGGTGTCCGCAGGGGAGTGAGTCGTAGCGTGGAAAGAGAGTTTAAAGCAGGTGGTCTGTTGTGCACCGCTGGTGGAACAGGATGGGGCTGGGAATGTTGGAAGTATTGCGATAGACTCGGTAACGATTTCACGTATTGGATGTCGGAGGCGCCCGACACCAACGCTGCCGCTGCCAGTTGGGTCTGCTGGGCCTGCTGGGATTGTTGAGCTTGTTGGGCCTGCTGGGACTGTTTAGTATGGTGTACATGGTGTTTCTCCTGCTGGAGGTTCTGTAGCTCCTGTGAGGCGGCCGTGGCGAGAATATTGATGTCCAGTGCAGATTTCACGGTAGTGAGCACGGGCTTCCCGGGGGACGACTCCTCGGAGCTAGGCTCCTCGGTCTTTTTCGGTTCTGTTGGCGACCGTTTTGGGATTTTGGACGTGGAACTGGATTTTTTCAAAAAGGCCGGTCTCGAGCTCTGGCTGATGGCGTCCGTGAGCTCCCAGTCTGGATTATGGAGGTTTTTCCGTCTGGAGTTCGGATTCTTGTGTATTCTGGAGTGTCTAGTCAGCTCGTCGGACCTGGAAAACCTTTTGAAACAGCCAGGAAAGTTACATTGGTGGGGTTTTTCTCCGGTGTGTGTTCTGATGTGTCTGGTTTGGTGTTCGAGCCTGTGGAACGCCTTGTCGCACATGGGGCACTTGTACGGTCGAGGCAGGTCGCTGGGAGGAATCTTCTTTCTCAAATTGCCGTTCGCACTGGTGTTTTGCGCAGCCGGGGTAACGGCAGACCCGTTGCCAGAACTTTTTTCCGACGCCGTGCCCGAAGAAGACGAACTGTCCACTTCTGACGAGCCAGTCTCGACGGTCTCCAAGGGAGTCTTCAAGGCAAGGTTAGTTGCCATTCTGAATGTGGTTTGAGACTCTGGAGGAATTCTGGAGGACATGTAATAATTTTTTTTTTTTTTTTTCACCGAAGGAATATGGGGTAGTGGGGAAGGAGTAGCAACACCTCGACAATTTGCTCTAGACTTAAAAGTTGAATTATGTTAAAAGTTGCTCACGACAGATTCCTGGTCGAGTAAAATTAATGTGTGTTGTTTGCAAACAGATATCTCCTCTTTTTACCCGTTTCTTTTGTTACAACGGCTTTTACTGGCCAATTGTGGGGAGAGAGCACCTGTACACCGCGGAAGAAAAAAGCAAAAAACAACAGAGAAAAAAGTCACAGCCCGAGTTACCCTGACGTGGAAATCAATGTTTACTCACCGGTCGAGGTCACCCCGACATGGTCGAGCGGACAGCGAAGGGGATGGTTGAAAAACGCTTCTGTGGTGGCAAATACATCTATATACACTGCAAATAAACGTCTATCAATTGGCCGGACCCAGTGGCCATGTCCGGCCGAACAGCTGCCCCTCTTCCGGCGAAAGTCCGAAAACCCACACCCCAGTATTCGCCCCGTATAAATAATACTGCTCTGGCACTTTTTTAGAGCAACGTATAATTTAGTACTCTTTCCAAAATGTCCAAGGAGCTAGAAACAAAAGCCATTAACACGATCAGAGTGCTTGCTGCTGATGTGGTTGCCAAGGCAAACTCCGGTCACCCTGGTGCCCCAATGGGAATGGCCCCAGCTGCCTACGCTGTGTTCACCCAAATGAAGTTCAACCCAAAGAACCCTAACTGGATCAACAGAGACAGATTTGTTCTCTCGAACGGTCACGCTTGTGCTTTGTTGTACATCCTGCTGCATTTGTTCGGATACGATTTGTCCATTGAGGATTTGAAGTCCTTCAGACAGCTCAACTCCAAGACCCCTGGTCACCCGGAAAGAGGTCTTCCAGGTGTTGAAGTCACCACCGGTCCTTTGGGTCAAGGTATTTCCAACGCTGTTGGTTTAGCTATTGCTCAGGCTAACTTTGCTGCTACCTACAACAAGCCAGGCCACACTCTGTCCGACAGTTTCACCTACTGTTTCTTTGGTGACGGATGTATGATGGAGGGTGTTGCCTCTGAGGCTATGTCTCTTGCTGGTCACTTGCAATTGGGTAACTTGATTGCTTTCTACGATGACAACAAGATTTCCATCGACGGTAGCACCAGTTTCGCCTTCACTGAAGACGTTACCAAGAGACTTGAGGCTTACGGCTGGGACATTCACGTTGTTGAGGACGCAGACACCGACCTTGCTGCCATCTCTGCTGCCATTAAGGAGGCCAAGAAGTCCCCCAAGCCATCTGTGATCAGAATCAAGACCACCATCGGTTACGGTTCGCTCAAGGCCGGTACTGAGTCCGTTCACGGAGCTCCGCTCAAGCCAGATGACATTGTCCAATTGAAGAAGAAGTTTGGTTTCGACCCAGAAAAGTTCTTCGATGTCCCACAGGAGGTTTACTCTCTCTTCCACAAGGTCTCTGAAGCCGGTGCTGCTGCTGAGGCTGAGTGGAACAAGGTCTTTGCTTCTTACCAGAAGGAGTACCCAGAACTTGGTGCCCAACTTGCTAGAAGACTCAAGGGCGAGCTCCCAGCCGACTTGGAGAAGGTTTTGCCTGTGTACAAGCCAGAAGATGCTGCTGTGGCCAGCAGAAAGCTGTCCGAGATCTGCTTGGGTAAGTTGCAGGCTGAGTTGCCAGAGTTGATCGGTGGTTCTGCCGACTTGACTCCATCCAACTTGACCAGATGGTCTGGTGCCACTGACTTCCAATCAGAGTCCTCTGGTTTGGGTGACTACTCTGGTAGATACATCAGATTCGGTGTGAGAGAACACGGAATGGGTGCCATCATCAACGGTATTTCTGCCTTCGGTGCCAACTACAAAGTGTTTGGTGCCACTTTCCTCAACTTTGTGTCTTACGCTGCCGGTGCCGTGAGACTTTCTGCTCTGTCTCACCACCCAATCATCTGGGTTGCTACTCATGACTCCATTGGTTTGGGTGAGGATGGTCCAACCCATCAGCCTATCGAAACTCTGGCCCACTTGAGAGCCATTCCTAACTTGATGGTCTGGAGACCAGCAGATGGTAACGAGACCTCTGCTGCCTACATCAAGGCCATTGAGAGTACCAAGACTCCTTCCATCCTTGCTCTTTCTAGACAAAACTTGCCTCAATTGGCTGGTTCTAGCATCGAGAAGGCCTTGAAGGGTGGTTACACTGTCTACGAGGTTTCTAATCCAAAGCTCATCTTGGTTTCCACCGGTTCTGAGGTTTCTCTCTCCATCGATGCCGCTAAGGTTCTTGCTGACAAGGGTATTCCAACTGCTGTTGTGTCTCTTCCAGACTTCCACACCTTTGATGCTCAATCCTCTGACTACAAGCTGTCTGTTCTTCCAAACGGCGTGCCAATTCTCTCTGTTGAGGTGATGTCCTCTTCGGGATGGTCCAAGTACTCCCACGCCCAGTTTGGTCTCAACAGATTCGGTGCTTCCGGTAAGGCAGGAGATGTGTACAAGTTCTTCGAGTTCACCACCGAGGGTGTTGCCAAGAGAGGTCAACAAACCTACGAGTTCTTCAAGGACAAGCCATTGATTTCCCCATTGCTGACTCCTTTCTAAATACATTCTAAATAGGTGGCTTTTAACTCCAAACGTTTTTGAACGGGTCTTCGGACGTTGTGTAGTTGTATTGCGGTTGCACAGGCTGGCTGAACGCCTGAACGGACGGATGCACCTGTGGCTGTGCAGTAGGGACCTGGGTCTGTGGCTGGGGCTTCGAGTACAGACTCAAGATGGACTTCTTGAGGTCTGGTCTATTATTCTGGACCGGTTCTGGTTTTGGCGCCGCTCCAAACAAACCTGACGAGAACAGGTCGTTTGACGAGAAGGTAGCGGCAGCGGCCGGTGCTGGTGCTGGCGCTGGTGTAGGGGTGCTGCTCAGAGACTCCAGCAGCGAAGGTGTTTGTTGCACCGGCTGTGCTGGCTGTGCTGGCTGTGCTGGAGCAACTGTTTGGGCAGACTGGGCAACTGCTGGAGCCTTAGCGTCGGGCTCGGTGGCGCCTTTCCATTTTTTCATCTCGTACTTGGTGCGAATGAAGTTCTCAATCTTGCTCTCGTCGGGCACGTAATTATCGGGCAATTTGTCCTCCCAGTACGTGTTTGCCCGCAGGTTACCCCACAGCACCATGCTCTTGACCTGCTCGTCGGTCCACGAGTCCAGGTCCACCGACTTGACCCGCGAGATGTGCGTTCCCATGCTCCTGTGGATCCCTGAACATCTGATGCAGACGAATATGCCCAAGTTCCAAGACGCCCAGCGCGGGTTCTTGGACACTTTACAGTCTGCACAGTTCTTGTTGGCCGGCTCGCGCAGCAGAGTCTTCAAGATCTGCTGGTTTCTCTCGTTGTGCTTTCTCTGGCCAGACATGAAAACAATTAATTTCGCTCTTTATTGATTTGAAATATATATAGACAGCAAACAGACACACCTCGCACCGGCTTCTTTTACTAGTACACGAGTCTGGACCGCATGTCGCTGATACGTCTGTCAATGTCTCTGGGGAGTCTATCCATGTTGGAGGCGATGCGGATCCGCTTGTCTCCCGGCAGGTGGTAGTATTCTTCCATCAGGTCGCCGTCGATGCAGTTTTTCGGTGGGTTGTAGTAGCCCCTGAATTTCATATAATCTCGCTCTGTAAGAGAGCAGAACTCTCTGATCATCTGTTTTTGCAGTTCTTTGAAGAAATTGATCTCCGAAACGCTGGTCAACGGATGTAGACAGCCAATCTGACCCTGTAGACACCCGTAGATGATCGACTCGGACCCGCCAATGGTGAGAGTTCCTTTCTGGAAGAACGTTGGCATGTCTCCAACATAGAAGTTGACCGGGTTTTCCAGCTTGGTGCGCCGCATCTTGACCAAAAACCCGTGATTGTCCTCGTCGCTCATCTCAGAAACCTGCTCGGGACACCGCAGAATCGAAATGTTGCCGAACTTGTCGCCAACAACCACCGTGTCGTAGTCCAGTTGCAACATCCTGGTCACGTGCCGCTGAATCGAGTCGTCGATAAAGTCCACAAAAACGTTTTCCAGCGGTTTGAACACGGCAAACCGCACGCTATCGCGCACGTCGGCCACCACCACGCGGAATCCCTGTGTTTTCAGGTCGACGATCTGGAAACAGTCGAGTCTTGTGCTCGACCGTTTGACCAGCTGTTTGAGTCCAACGTCGTACAGGATCAGCTCGTTCTCGCATCCAGCAAGCAGTCTTCCCTGAAACGGAGTCAGCGCACAAACAATGTGGTCTGTTTTCGTCCTCTGGAACAGCTCCAACGATCCGTTCGAGGCAATCTTGTACAGACTGATGAACGCGCCGTTGTTGTTCCGCGAAGGCAGCTTCAAACCCTGTGCAGACGAAACAGCAAGGAAAGGTTGGCCCTCCTTACTGTCAAAGTTGACCCAACACGCGCGCAACACCGTTTCGTTGGCCATCTCCACCGTTTGCAAAACTCTTTTCTCTGCCACCGAAATAGCTTGGATACAGCTTGCCCATTGGCCCTCGACCCTGTCGTAGCCAAACTGCTGGTACTCCTCAGACTTGTCTTCGTCAATATGGCCCTTGGTGTCCATATCGTTCTCCAAAATGTACATGATCCCGTTCTTGTCGGTGCAGTCACAAAGATGTCTTGGGGTGTACCGCAGACCGATATTCTCTATCAGTGTGTCGTTCTCCAGCTGATCAATGGTCAAGATGACCAGGTTGTTCCCGTAAACGGCCAAAACACCGTTTTCTGGGATATCCTGACTCTTCAGCGAACAAACGTCTTCGAAAACCGGTTTGGTCAGAGGAGTGATTTTAAACTCGGACGGCCGAGAGTATCCCAGATAGGTTCGCGACGACAAGATACAAACAGCGTTCTGTCCTGTCACTTCCAGCTTGGACAGCTGCACTCCACGGGGACCGGTGTACTTGTTTCTTGGGTTTGAGAGATCACCAGACCGGAGATCCATTTGCAACCGAGCGTAGACTCCACTCTCCATTCCAATGTGCACGTATAGCACGGAAGTGGCCAGCTCAGACTCCTCGTCGTCGTCGTCCGCATCTTTGCTCAGAACAACTGCTGTGTCGCGCATGTAGCAAACCATCAAAGAAGAAGCGGCCGAACTCAGAACTTCTTCGCTGATGGTCGCAAGTGTAGACTCAAAGTCAGTGGACAGAACAGTCAGCGACTTGTCCTGACACCCAATTAGCAGATATGGGAACCTTGCTTCTCCGGACTGGAGTTCTCCCAAGGCGATAGATGTGATCTGCGACCCAAACTCCTTGTGCTCGTTGTACTCGATAAGTCTGTCAAGCTCATCCAGCTCGAAATAGACAACCTCGCGGTTCGACAGTGCCACGGCGAGTTGCGAGTTTGTTCCTGTACAATGCAAAATGCGGATACCCGGTGGAGGAGCCCAGTCTGTTGTCTTCTGCGGGGAATCGTCCTGGTAGAAGATCTGTCTGACTCCAGTTGGATGGACTTGCACCAACGAGTTGTTCCCGATCTGGAACACGCCGAGTGTATTAGAGCCCAGGTTCAGACCCGAGTTCTCCACCTCCTCGACCTCCTCTCCAATTCGAAGAACCAACGTCCCATCAACAAAGGAAAGAACGATGTATTTGTCGTATTCGTCGTCTCTGCTCAATTTGCATGCAAATACTTTTTTCACCGTAGACGGCAGTTCTTGTGCAACCAGCTCACTGAACGGCAACTCGTGGTTCAACACTTTTAAAGCAGACCGCGGTCCGGTGCCACAAAGAGAATAGATGACTGGAAGACTGGTGGTTTCATTAGAATTATGCAGTCTCGCGTCCACCATGGGGTTGATGTTTTCGACAATATTGACGAGATTCAGGTTCTCAAACGGTCTGGTCTCGATCTCTGTGTTTTCATCGCTCAAAACTGCAATCTCGTCGGGATAATCTTGCGAATTAAACTTCCTGGCGTTCTCGTCGCCCAGCTTCTCAAATTGGTACAAATATTGATCGCCAGACTCGCAGTTGGCGTATAGGAATCCTGCTCTGAAAATCAGCAACGAGCTGCAAATCGGCATCGTGTCAAAATACTGGATCTCCACAGAGTTCACCAACCCTGCCTCTCCACGAGACTCGTCGCTATCTTGAACAATATAGTCAAGCGTCACCTTGAACAAGTCACCAAGCTCTGTTTGTATCAGAACAAAAAAGGTATTTTTCAGCTTGTGAACAACTCCACAAATTGCCCGACTGTGTTTCTTCTGGCCATTCCGTCGAGGAATCGGAATCGTGTGTGTCATTTTCGACAAACACTTATACTGGATAATACCCTCTGAACATAGCAAAACCCCAGAAGGTCCCTGGCCACCACCAGGCAATGCAATCAATAAATTAGATGAGAAACTCACGTCCTCGCTGTATCTTTTCACCACGTGGTTGAGACCAATGTCAAGCTCATAATAACACAGAGTTTTGAATAGCTTTTTGTTCGAGTCCTCCAAGTCGGAGTAATCGCACTCCAAAGAGGCAAACTGCGGATTCTCAAATCCAACATCCAACCCACAAGTGGCGAAAGTTATAACTTTGGATTTGTTGGCTTCCAACGGAGAAGAAACTTGTAGATTGTGTTTGTGATCAGCAGTGAATTTGTATACGAACTTGTTTTTCTCAATGGCCGCAACCATTGCCGCCCGACTAAGGCCATCAACAGCAATATATTCTCCCGGCGAGATTCTTCGAAGCCCCGTCTTGAAATACGGCTCGTTAGATACGCTCTCGAACCGTCCCTTGGCATTGTTCATTTCCAATACCGTCAGATTTCCGCTATCTGAAGTCACAATCAACAGGTCTTTCTCCGAACCACTGCTCCGCAAACATTCGATTGTCCGAAGATGACTGAAAGTATTCTGAGAAACGACTTTGTAGAAGTCTCCGTTGTTTCTATTAAGTTTCCATAGCTCTATGCTTGTCGCCGTCGCTCTCACAACCTCCTGCTGTTTCTTGTTTCCCGTAAAATTCCCTATACAGCACTTGACTCCCGTCACGGATGGCCGGATCGTCAGACTGTATACAGACAGATCTGGGTTAAGCGACATCTTCTGTACAAGAGAGGAATAAAGTTGATAATATTTTTCAACGACGCGACGATTCTAGCGCGAAACGTCTGTGCTTTATTTTGTAAACAAACTGAAACAATTATTATTTATTAATCATGGCTGAAGTGGTCACCAAACCAGCAGTCTCTTCGCGAACGTATCTTAAATCTCTTCATGAGTTATCTCAGCCTGACCAGATTGAACGGGCTATTCGTCAAAGCTTTCAGGAATCCCAACAAACCGTGTCTTCTCATGGGAAACAGATCGCTATTCTGAGAGCTCTCCAGTTGAGGTGTCGCGAACTGACCTTACAATCCCAGTTTAACGAGCTGTTTTGCAAGATGGTCAACAAGATCCTCGTGGTGAAACGTAACGAGCCCGCTGGTGACCGGATTGTCAAGTTCATTTCCTCCTTTGTCAACTCGATCAATCCTGAATCAGACGACGACAACGCGATGGTTGACGAACAGGACGAAAAAATGTACAACAGATTCATCGACAGAGTTGCTCGTCATCTGCTAAGAGGCCTGGAAGCTACAAATAAGAATGTCCGGTACAGATCGTGTCATATTCTATCCCATCTGATGAATAACATGACCTCCATCGATAGCTCGTTATACGAAACATTGAGCGAGCAGTTGCTGGCCAGGATGTACGACAAGGAGCCGCATGTTCGAATCAAGGCAATCACAACATTAGCAAGTTTCCAAGAACCTGACGGTAGCGACGAGCTCAGTAACGCAGCTCAAAAGATTAGATTCGTGATGCAAAACGATACAAACCCAGAGGTTAGAAGAGCCTGTTTGCGTCAAATCGAGAAAACAAAACATACCCAGTCGTACATTTTTGAACGGGCAAGAGATACTAATTCCATCAACAGAAGATTATTATACTCAAAGGTCTTACCTGGTTTCAAAGATTTCCGCCGCATAGACTTCAATTCAAGAGACCAATTGTTGAAATGGGGTCTCAAGGATCGCGAAGAGTCGGTGAAAAAGGCTGCTGTGAAATGGCTGTCTGAAAACTGGATGCAAACTCTGAACAACGACGTGATGGAGCTTCTTGAAAGACTGAAAGTCACAAGAAGCGACATTGCAGAGCTTGCGGTGCGCAATTTCCTGGACAATAGACCTGACATCGTGGCCAAAATCACTTTCGACGAACAGGTGATACGCAGTCTTACGCCAGAGACCTCTTTGCTTCTGAGGGTGTACTTCCAGCATTGCAACGATACCAACAAACTGACTCAGCTGGAGAAGTTCTTCCCCGAAGCGGCGCAGTTTTCCGATATCTTGGGTGCCTACTTTACTAAAAGAAGAGAAATAATGAGCCACATCTCACAAACAAAGCCGATCTTGGAGGCTGAGAGCTCGGTTGACATGACTGAACTCGAAGAGTGCAATTTTATGCTTCGCCAGCTGCTCATAGTGGCCTCAGAATATGACTACAGTGACGAGTTTGGAAGAAGCAGAATGCTCAACACGCTCAGATTCAACTTGACTAATGACCATTTGTCTGATGATCTGATCGAGGTTATTATGCTCTGTATTCACAAGTTGTCCATAAGTGAAAGAGATTTCACGCAGATGATCGTCGAAATCATCAACGATTTGAAAGATTCCGCTTTTGAGAAGCAAGACGCTGCCAACCAAGATATCAACGGTGAAAGCTCCAGACTGGAAGGTGCTTATGAAGACGAAGATGAGGACGAAGACGATGAGGACGGAGAGTCCAGTTTCCATTCTGCCAGAGCCAATCTATCCAAATCATCGATCGCGAGCGCTAACAGATCGATGCAGCAGGAGCTCAGACAGGTTGAGGAGCTGAGTCCAGAGATTCTGACCGAGTGTCTTTCTATTGCACGCAGAATGCTGGAGCTGGTTAGTGAGCCTTTGAAAAACAACGTCACGTTAATGTCCATTCTTGACAGTTTGATTCGTCCATCGATTCGTCGTTCCGAAACAGAGATCAGACGCGTTGGTTTGATCTGTCTGGGTCTGTGTTGTATTCTGGATAAGGACCTGGCAGCAGACAGCATATTTGTGTGTGCTATCTTTGTGACAAAGAGTAACGAGGAATCGTTGATTGTCACAGGTATCAAGGTGATTTCTGATCTTTTGGCAGTCCACGGAATCGGTGTTTTGGAAGCAGAAACTGCTAATAGTGTTGACGCTATTGCCATTGCTAGACTGTTTTACAGAACTTTGAGAGATACTACGAAAAAGGAGGCCCAGGCTACCTCCGGTGAGGCACTGTACAAATTGTTCCTTTGCGGTGTGATCACAGATGATGAGCTATTTGAAACCACGTTGTTATCCTATTTCAATCCTGCTATCAACGACAACGAGCAACTGAAACAATGTCTGTCGTTCTGTATTCCTGTTTATGCTTTCTCGCACGAATCTCACCAGGAGAGAATATCACGGGTCACCTCTGACACGCTCTACAGACTTTTCAGCGCATGGGATGAGATGGCTGAGGTTGAGACGGTCTCGCAACTGTCGCCTCAGTCTATTATCCAGCAATTGATGTACTGGACCGACCCGTACAGAGTTGTCAACAAGAACTCAGATGAAGCTCTGGCAAGTTCCATCCAGGTTGACGTTGGTCTTCAACTGCTTACATTATTGGGCAGACTCGAGTATTCAGGAGCCACCAAGCCGTTTTTCAAGGCTATTATGACTTCTTTACCAAAACTGACATTTACAGAGCATTGCGACGCTGTCAAATTAGCACAACTGCTGGATGCTCTAGAGGAGGTTGAAGGGAAGTTGGAGAAGCCGTTGAAAGACCAAACGTCGAGAAATGGATACAACAGGTTCAAGGAGTATGTTGAAGATTGTTTGGAGAAGGCTGGTGGCAGAAGGGAAGAAGCTGCGGAGGAAGAAGCCGGGGAAGGCCAAGTCGAAGAAGAGGACGTGCAGGAGGAGGAGGATGAAGGAGAAGCTGACGAGGAAGGGTCGGAGCCTGAAAAGCCTACAGAGACTGTTGATTTTGAAGAGCCTGTTTTGAAAGAGGACCCTGAAAGCCATTTAGCCGAATTGGGTGCTGATTCGGGCACCGATGAGGCAGAACCAGTCGCCAAGAAAACCAAACCGGCAAAATCTGCCAAAAAGGGAAGAAATGGATCTCCGAAAAACGAGCACAAATCTGACAAGAAATCGAAAAAGCCTAAGCGAGGAAAAAGAGTCAAGAGCGAGAGCGAAGATTTGTTGGCTACCAAGGTGACAAAACCTAAGAAGGAGAAAAAAGTTGTCAAAAAGCCAAAAGCAAAGAAATCAGCAGCGTTTTCGGATTCCGAAGACGAACAGCCTATTTCTTCTTTCCAGCCTGCCGAGGACAGTGACCAGGAAGTTGGCGATACTTCTGCAATTGTCTTTTTGTCTGATGACGAATAAAATTGGAGTATTTCTCTATTGTTATGAAAAAAAAAGTTTCGGGTGTATTCAATGCGATTCCCAAAGTGTGAATCATATGAAGAAAAAAAAAATTAGTATAAATACCCCTCCACATTCCTTGCTCTTTTTGTATAATTCATTTAGAAAATGCTCTCTTTTCAAGCATCCAACGCCATAACATATTTAACTTATGGATTCTTGTTAGTTACAGGACTGGGAATCGCATTTTATTGTCATGATAAGAAAACCTACTTGTCTTCAAATGGTTCAAGAACCGGGATTCCTTTAGCTTTGAACTTTATTGCAAGCGGTTAGTATGCTAGCAGCCAAGTTTAACATTTCCAATCAAGTTCAATCCCCCAACTCAATATGAATCAAATCAACTTTCCACAATATTGATATACGGGTGCCTTTAAAGGTGATTCTTTTTTGGCTGAGATTATACCGTCAAACTCGAACAAGTTAGTACTTGCGTGAGGATTATTTGATATTGATGGAAATTTGTTAAATAGGAGCGAATTGTTGTTCCTTTTTTACTAACCTTTAGCGATGGGTTGTGGAATTCTTACCACATACACCCAAATTGCCAACATCGCCGGTATTCATGGTCTGATGGTTTACACTATTTCTGGGGCCATCCCAATTTTCCTTTTCTCGTTATTTGGTCCGCTCATCAGAAAAAAGTGTCCTGACGGCTTTGTTCTTACCGAGTGGGTGTTTCAGCGTTTTGGTCCCGTCACTGCGTTGTATCTGTCGGCCTTCACCGTCTTCACCATGTTCCTTTATATGTTGTCTGAATTGACGGCTATTGAGTATGCGATTGAGGCTCTTACGGGTCTTGATGCTACTCCGGCCATGGTGGTGCAGTGTGTTGTGACAACCATCTATACTTTCTTCGGAGGGTTCCAGGTGTCGTTTGTCACCGACAGTTTCCAAGCGGTGTTTGTCTTGGTGTTGTTGGTTGTTGGTGTTATTGCGTATGCTACGCAGATAGACATCAACCTCGACATCAAACACGCAACTCAGGACCAACTCATGCATGCCAACAAGCTGGGATGGATGCTCATGTACATCTTGCCGGTTGCTATCATCACCAACGACTGCTTTATTGCCGGTTTCTGGTTGCGTACTTTCGCTGCCAAGACGAATAAAGACCTGGTTATTGGTTCTTCCATCGCTGCTGTTGTCACATGTATCATCTGTACTCTTGTTGGACTTCCAGGAATCATTGCTGTGTGGACTGGAGATATGCAGATTTATGACGATGAGGGAGCCAACGCTTTCTTCATCTTAGTTTCCAAGATGGATAATTGGGTCATTGGTGTGATTTTGATTTTCTCCATTGGAATTTCGACAGCCACCTTTGACTCGTTGCAAAGTGCCACTGCTTCGACTATTTCGAACGATTTCTTCAGAAATAAGGTGGCCATCATGTGGGTGCGGTTTTTGGTGATTGTGATCATGGTGCCGTCTCTTGTTGTTGCCATCAAGGCTGCTACCAACGTTCTGCAAATCTACCTGATTGCAGATCTTGTGTCCGCGTCGGTGATTCCGATCATCTTTCTTGGATTATCTGAGAAATTCAACTTCTTGCGTGGGCTGGATGTGATGATTGGGGGTTTGGGAGCCTTGGTTGCAGTCTTCATCTACGGTACCATTTACTACGGCAATGCCAAAGACGGAGCCAGATTGCTGCTTGTTTGGAACGGACTTTACTCCGACCAGGACTGGGGTGCGTTTGGAGCGTTTGTGATTGCTCCTGTTGGAGGTATTTTGATCGGATTTGCCAGTGCTGCTATTAGGATCAGTATACGGGGAATCACGAGAAGAATCCGTGGTACCAGAGATGACGAATCTGTGGAAGTCCAGCACGAGATGATCGACACCGATGATAGTATCAAGAAGAGTCGGTTGCAGGCGTTGAGTGTTGGACTTTTGTGAGATTTGATGAACAATCGTGTTCAATTATTGTACGACAAGATATTTGTTGTTGAGTATAGTTTATAATTAAGAAAATTGTTAAATTAATTTTTCCATGCCTTATTACTCACTTGGAATCGAAGGCTCGGCCAATAAGCTTGGAGTTGGTGTGATCGAGCACCCGCAAGAGAAGCTGGCTGCCTACAACCACGCAAGAGTGCTATCGAATGTGCGAGATACGTATGTTACTCCGCCGGGCGAAGGGTTTTTACCAAGAGACACAGCAAGACACCATCGTAACTGGGTGGTAAGATTAATCCGCAAGGCTTTGGACGAATCACAGATCCCGCCCGAGAAGCTGGACTGTATCTGTTTTACTCAGGGACCCGGGATGGGCGCTCCGTTGCAGAGCGTTGTTATTGCTGCTCGGACAGTTGCCCAGATGTGGAGGTTACCGTTGGTTGGAGTGAACCATTGCATTGGCCATATTGAGATGGGCCGCGAGATTACGGGGGCCACGAACCCGGTGGTTCTGTATGTGAGTGGCGGAAACACACAAGTGATTGCTTATTCGCGGCAGAGGTACCGGATTTTTGGCGAGACGCTGGACATTGCGGTGGGCAACTGTTTGGACCGGTTTGCGCGCACGTTGCGGATCCCCAACGATCCGTCTCCGGGCTATAACATCGAGCAGCTGGCGAAAAAAGGCCAGCATTTTGTCGAGCTACCGTACACGGTGAAGGGCATGGATCTGAGCATGAGCGGGATTCTAGAGTATGTTGACGGGCTGGCAAACGACCTGTTCAATGGAAAAAAGAACAAGCAGTTGGTGAAGCCGGACGGTAGCAAGATCACCGTGGAAGATCTGTGTTTTTCGTTACAGGAGTGCATTTTTGCAATGCTGGTGGAGATCACCGAAAGAGCGATGGCTCACGTTGGGTCGAAGGAGGTGCTGATTGTTGGTGGGGTCGGTTGCAACGAGCGGTTGCAGGAGATGATGGGGGTGATGGCCAGAGACCGTAACGGCAACATATATGCCACAGACGAGCGGTTTTGCATTGACAACGGCATCATGATCGCACATGCCGGTCTTCTGGCATATCGGACGGGAAAACGCACCACTTTGGAGGAAAGCGTGTGCACACAGCGGTTCCGTACCGACGAGGTATTTGTTAGCTGGAGAGATGATTAGATAATCTTTTTTCCTAAGAAATATTTATTTACCTTTCTTGTTTGTTGCTAATGAGTGTATTGGAAACGAACCTGAGACGAATCAACGAGATCAACCAGTCGATCCAGACGCTTTACTACCGTGCGGGCGGAATTTTCAGCAACTCGCTGCTGGAATCAGTGGACACGACGCAACAGATACGCGACATACAGGACGACGAGCTGATGATCCTGAAAGGGTACTCGTTGCCACAGCTCGATGTGGAGGAAGGGGCCAGTGCGAACCTGGCTGCGATCAAAACGACGCTGGAACAGATCAAGGACGACGCGAACGAGGACCCGATGGTCAGACTGAGTTTGATGTACCAGAGATTGTTACAATACGCGGCCATATACAAGATCGAGGAGACACAGCGACTGGCGATCCAGCAGAGTCTGAACGAGGCGACGAGCGCGGTGACGGCGTTGAACGAGTACCGGGCCACGTTGGAGGCGATGCAGGACGAGCTGGTTGTGTGGAACCATTTGGGGGTGCAAGGAGGTGTTCGAGAAGAGATGGTTGTTGCTGAGCAGGATGCCAGCGGCGAGAGCGCAAGCGCGTTGATCGAGGCCGAATTGCGCGAGATCGAGCGTTTGGAACAATCCACCACAAATTAGGCCAGTCGCACTGGCGAGTCAATGTAGAGGAAAAAAAAAGCTACCCGTAATTTTCCAACCTAAATATTTCTTGACTTGTTTCTTCCATGTCTGACCCGATCAAGTCTCTGACGACCACGGCGTCGGTTCTGGTGAGCAAGAACCAATCAGGGCTGCTCAACAACAAGACGTACAAGGAGGCGATGTCTGCGCTGAACGGCGAGACGGGCCAGAAGCTTGTTCAGAAACACCTTGAGAACCCCCAGACCAGCGTTTCTTATGTTCGGCGGTCGAAAACCACACGCAGCGACGGGCTGGAGCTGGTGAGCGACCAGCTGCTGACAGAGATCCCGGCGCAGTCCGAGGAAGACACTGTTTTTTCGCTATATCAAGGGTTCAGTGCAGTGTTGCCGGACCTGGAGCAAACTGTTGCTCCTTCCAAACGCATAACCAACACATTGAATGCAGACACCATCCGGTCCACTTCCAACATTGGCCAATTGCTGGAGTACAAGGACGAGGTGAATTACAAGCTCGATCTGCTGGAAATCCGCAAGGGACTGGCCGAGAGCGACATAAAAGATATCGACGCCAAGATCGAACAGTTGTACCGTCTTCGCAAAAGAATGTTTGATAGAGTTGCAGATTACGAGAAACAACAGACAGATCTGGAAAAACTGCTGGGAGTGGTGGAAAATAGTCTCGAAACCAGGGGCCACCAGCAGCCGGAGCAAAATGGAGACCAACCTGACTCGCCGGTTCTGTTGGCCTCGACGGCCCCGTCCAGGAAACACACGTCCACTCTGAACCAGTACTACACTCCCGGGAGCGAGATTGTGCGACTGGACGCCCACGAGGACGGCGTGACGTGTTTTGCGTTCGACGCTCCGTTTGGAACGTTGGTCTCGTCGTCGCTGGACAACACCGTCAAAGTTTGGGACATGAACCGTAACGAGTGCATTGGCCGGCTCGAAGGCCATTTGTCGAGCGTGGAGTGTCTGGAGATGCAGAACAATCTGGTTTTAACCGGCTCTTTGGACGCTTCTCTCAAGCTCTGGGATTACACCAAGACAGGCGAGCCAGATAGCCTGCTGCACTCGTTCGAGAGCCATGTGGACGAGATCACCGCGATTAGCATGGACAACACGACGATTGTGTCTGGGTCGGCGGACAAGACTATTAGACACTGGGACATGAACACTGGCCAGTGCATCCAGACGATCGACGTGATGTGGGCAGCTTCGCGGAGCTGGAAACAGGCTCCGTCAAGGATGGAGACGCCGTACATCGGCGCGCTGCAGTGTTTTGACGCTGCATTGGCGTCGGGGTCGGGCGACGGCGTGGTGAGGCTGTGGGACCTGCGGAGCGGCGAGATAATCAGACAGCTCATTGGTCACACGAATGCGGTGACGTGTTTGCAGTTTGACGAGCACAGCATTTTGACCGGGTCGCTCGATCGGTCGGTGAGGGTGTGGGATTTGCGGACAGGCACTTTGATGGACTCGTTTGCGTACGAGAACGGCATCAAGTCGCTCCAGTTTGACGAAAAACGGGTGGTTTGTGCCACCGGCGAGGATACCGTCAAGGAGTACGACCGGATCGACCAGACACATCAGGATGTTGCGCAGAGTTCCGGGGCGGTGACTTTTGCGCGGTTCGCAGACAGCTACTGCGTCGAGGGCCGTGACAACGGCAGCATTGGTGTGTGGAAGCTGTGAATGTATATAGGACGATCGACGCGACTGTAGGACGAGAAATCTTTTCGTCGACGCGAAGAGAGGAAAGAAATATTTGTTCGATATATTCGCCATTTTTCGTTAATGTCTACCCCGACGATTGTTGTGCTGAAAGAAGGAACGGACACGTCTCAGGGCCGTGGCCAGATTGTTTCGAACATCAACGCGTGTCTGGCTATCCAGGACACGTTGAAGGCGACTCTTGGTCCTCTTGGATCGGACATTTTGATTGTGAACAATGGGCGGACCACGATTTCCAACGACGGAGCCACGATCCTGAAGCTTTTGGACGTGGTTCATCCTGCTGCGAAGATTCTTGTTGATATTTCGCGGTCGCAGGATGCAGAGGTTGGTGACGGAACCACTTCTGTGACGCTCCTTGCGGCAGAGTTCTTGAAGGAGAGCAAACAGTTCATCGAGGAGGGCATGCCTTCGCATGTGATCACCAAGGCGTTCCGCAAGGCGTGCGATCTTGTTTGCGACAAGATTCTGGAATTGCAGGTGGAATTGGACACAGACCATAGCGACGCTGAAATGAGACAGTTACTCGAGAGATGTGCACGCACAGCCATGTCTTCCAAGATTATCCAGAACAACGCGGAGCTGTTCACCAAGATGGCCGTTGACGCGGTGTTAGTGCTGGACAGAGACGATTTGGACGAGAATCTGATCGGAATCAAGAAAGTTCCTGGTGGCTCGATGGACGAGTCGCGGTTGGTGAACGGAGTGGCTTTCAAAAAAGCGTTTTCGTATGCCGGTTTCGAGCAGCAGCCCAAGAAGTTCACCGACCCAAAGGTGTTGTCGCTGAACGTGGAGCTGGAGCTGAAGGCCGAGAAGGACAACGCGGAGGTGAGAATCGACAAGGTTGCAGATTACCAGGAGATTGTGGATGCCGAGTGGAAGATCATCATGAACAAGCTGGACGCGATCGTGGCGACGGGGGCCAACATTGTGCTTTCGAAGCTGCCGATTGGCGACCTGGCCACGCAGTTTTTCGCCGACAGAGGCATCTTTTGTGCGGGTAGAATCCCAGCAGAGGACATGGAGAGAGTGGTGCAGGCTGTTGGAGGTTCTGTGCAAACGACGGTCTCGGATATCAAGCCGGAGAACCTGGGCTCGTGTGCCAAGTTCGAGGAGGTGCAGATTGGAGGAGAAAGATACAACGTTTTTGAAGGGTGTCCAAAGGCCAAGACGTGTACGCTGATTCTGCGTGGAGGAGCGGACCAGGTGATTGCGGAGGTGGAGAGGTCTTTGCACGACGCGATCATGATTGTAAAGCGGGCCTTGAAACACAACGCGGTGGTTGCTGGCGGAGGAGCCATCGAGATGGAACTGTCCAAGCACCTTAGAAACTACTCGAGACAGATTGCCGGCAAGCAGCAGCTGATCATCGCAGCGTACGCCAAGGCGTTGGAGGTGATTCCTAGACAGCTGTGCGAGAACGCTGGTTTGGACGGCACAGACCTGCTCAACAACCTGAGAGCCCAGCACTCCAAGGGAGAGGTCTGGTACGGGCTGGACTTTGAGGAAGAGACCATCAGCAACAACTTTGACAAGTTTGTGTGGGAGCCGGCGCTGGTGAAGATGAATGCATTGCAAAGTGCCACCGAGGCCGCCATTTTGGTGCTGAGCGTGGACGAGACGATCAGAAACGAGCCGAACGAGCCCCAAGCACAGCAGCCAATGGGAAGAGGCAGAGGAATACCCAGATAGGTGGCTACGTAGAGTAAAAGAAGCTAATTCATTAACTATTTAGCGTGCGTTTCTTCCTTAAGAAAGCACATGAGATCCATTTTCGCGTTACCGTCGGTGGAGGAGGTCTTTGCGCTGTATGCGCTGCCTTTGCGGCCTGTGGATTTTTTGCGGGCCTCTTTATGTTCGTCTGAGCCGTACGACTCGGTCAACGAGCCGCGGAGCGAGAACGTGCGCCAGCTGAACTTGGAGTTCTGCCGCGTGGACGAGTGCACGTTGGACGGCACTGTTTTGGGCGCGGACGAGTTGAGGAAATCCGCCAGACTCAGAGAGTTGTCCTGGTTGACGTCCTTGGGGTCAATTTGCGAGCTGGAGCGGGACTTTATAGCGCGAAGGTGCGAATGGCTGGTCAACGGGTCCTGGTGCGACGGAGCCGTGATCTGCGGCGAAATGGCGTCCGGGTTGCCCAGACGGTAGCCGGGAAGAAACCCTAGTTTCTTCCGGAGCCAGGAGTACTCGTACTGGGCAAACGGGTCGACCTGGCTGGCCCTGAGGTTCCAGGGCTGCTCGCGGATGAAGAACACCATGGTGTCGATGAAACAGTTGAAAGCCTGGAAAAACGCGGCCAGACAGAAAATCGAAAGGTGGTAGTACGCCTTGCGGCCGCGGTGCAGCTGGTAGCACTGGGCCACGAACGGGAATAGCCACAGCAGCATGTACGACACCGGGTAGATGAAGATGACTTTCATCTGGCGCATGATCTGCAGCTGTCTGTACCGGAATTTCTCCATGGCTTCTTCGTGGAGCAGCTGCTGGATGTCGAGTCCGACCTCTTGGCGGGTTCTTGCGGCCTTCTGCGAGGACTGATAGCCTGCGAGCTCGGGCAGCTCGGGAATCCCTGTAAGTTCCGGGTCCTGGTTGCGCAAGTAGTCCAAGTTTTCCATGTCGGCCTCGGTGGTGAGGTCCTTGCCGTGCAACTGGGCATTAATCTGAATATCGGGGAACACCAGCATCAGCAGCATCTGGCCCACTTTGTACATGAACGAGTCGCCGAGCACCTCGGTGACCATTCCCCGGCTCTTGTGGCCCATCACGTCCATCTTGGAGCTGACTGCGGTGTACTCGCGCATGACGTGGTAGTAAACCGAGCCGTAGATGGTGACGATCAGCACGGCTATGCAGTACCGAATGATCCAGGTCAGATACCACACTGCGGTGAGCGGCTCCATGTAACTCCAGCTGATCTGGTCGGTGTAGTTGTTGTTGCCGGCAAAAGTGAGCGAGCTCAGTATCACGGGGATGACGAGCGCAAGAACATAGATGTAGTGTCGCACCACAAACAACCCACCCTCGGTGTTTGTTTTGGAGCCCAATGCCGGACGGAATATGAGCAAGGCGATGTGAACGGCAAAATAAACAATCACCAAGTCTGCGCCCTCGATGCTGAACGAGGTGAGCCAGCCAATTGCGTTCAGGAACCGCATGTTGGTGACCGAGCCTTCGGAGCTGTTTTCGGAGCTCGCAGGGTAAACAAGCAGCATCACGGCCTTGAGGAAGTCGAACGAGATCAGAATCGTGATCAGCGTATGGCGGAACATCCGTTTGGCTGGGTGTAACATCCCCAGAAAATAAAAGGCCATTAGTCCACTCACTATGGAAACTGACGACGAGCTCAAAGAACATATTCGCACCAAATGTCGCTGGTGCTCCGAGTATCCGAGATTCTCTCCTTCGCCGCGCTCCATCAACAGCGGAAGCCGTTGGGAGTCGAACAGAAGAGCACTCAAATCCATGTGGAACAAAATAAAACAACAGCTGAGCCACAAGTATTTTTTTCTTCAGCTCCGGCACACCAGCCACTATTTGACATACATCTGGCCCTTGGTGGCAGTCTGGGCTTTGGGCAGTTTGCTGAACAGAAACTCGCTTTTGAGCGACGTAGAGTATCCAAACACAAACGTCTCGGTTGTGTGGAAGTAGAACACACACTTGAGGTTGTCGGGAGCCTCAAAGTAGCCGCATACTCCAACATATAGGCGTGGCTTGTAATTCTCGTCTAGTGCTCGTAACTCCACCTCCTCTGCGGCTGTATACGCCGCCTCGGCCACCAGATCGCAGGTCATGCGTCCGGAATGTCGATTAGATAACAGGTGGCGGCACACTGTCCGCGCAAGGTCCATTTGAATGATGTCTTCTCCGTTCCCCGAGCAAAGAACGTTGGCCAGGAACCCTTCCTGCTGCGCAGTGTAGCAACCGGCCCCAACCACGCCCGAACATCCTATCCGTCCCGGTCTCTTGAACAGACTGCCCCCCGACGACACTCCAGTCGTCACCGTGGTGCGGCCCACCAACGACACCCCGATCGTGTCCGAGACGATCGACGCGACGGTTTTCCTGTCCACGGCATCGATCTTGCACAGAGCCGGCTTGAACTTGTCGTAGAACTGTTTCATGGGTCCATTCAGTTCCAGCGTGCGGTCTGTCTTGCCCACCAACGCCACCGGGGCTGTGAGCCCGAGATCGTTCTGGTTCTGTTGCAGAACGTACTGGATCGCACAGTCGGTGGTGGGGTGAGCCGACGTGTTTGCCAGCAGCGACGACTGTGTGTGTTTGAGCGTTGTCCGGTTGTACACAAACACGCTGGAATCGCATTGGATCGACCCGTCGCGCGCCACCGACGATGTGAGCCCGGTATTTGTCAGAGGGCTTTCTTCGATGGTTTGAGAGATAGACACCAATTCCGCGAGCTGGGACTCGAACAGCGGCCGCGAAGCAGGTGTCGACCGAATTGCCCTGCGAAAGAGCCGCCTGAACTTATCTGGCGGGTCGGTGTGGTTGCCAGCGCCGAAATGCACAAGCGTCAGTTTGTCGGACATAATAGATCAAAATTTTGAGATTATAGTTTGTTTGAAAAGATAGGGTGCGAACACAATCGTCAGAGCGGAGATTGGACACAACTACAAACATGTCGTGGACATGCGGTGAATTAGCTCTATATCCTCACTTTCTTCAGTTTTTGCAGGTACTCGTTTCTGGTTGTTTCGTCCTTGATCTCTGAGGCCAGGACATCAGAGATCCGCGACCAGGCGGCCGACGACAGCGTGGTGACCGGCACAGACGTTGCAGGCTCTGTGACCGGCTCTGCAACCGGCTTGGCCTTGGCCTTGACCATAGCATTCAGTTTCAACTCGCCGTCAACAGCATGTTTCCCCACCAGATCCTCGTCGTGGATCGTCTTGGTCTTCACCATGAGCGTGATCTGGTCCACATCAGCGCCGATCTTGGCTGCCAGCTGTTCCTTCAGCTTGTACACCGTGGTAGAGGTAGACTCTTCCAGCTGGTGTTCGAACTTTGGCGGCCGCAACGACTTGATGGTCACCACCACATGTGTTGTGTCGCCCGGCCGGCGGAAAATCGGGGTATTTATATGCCCAAACCCGCACTGCAATCGTTAGTGGGAACACTTTAAACAATACTCACACTCTGATAATTAATTTCCCTGTTTATTCTTTCCGGACAAACAAAGTTGACCAGGTCTTGGAATTTGTTGGCAAACTCAACCTCTGAAGCAACGCTCATGATCAACTATCACGTGTATTCTCTCGGACAGGCCAAAGTAACCCACTTCCCAAACGTTTACTCTTCAGATAGAAATTTAAGAGTGGTAAGAATTGCCCGCGTCGCGACGGTCGACCACCCCAAATTCGAGCTTGACGAATACTTGGAATTCACGCCGAAAATTGAGCAGGACGGGCTCTGGTTCGATACCGAGCCGTCCACGCCGCTGGCCAACCATCTCCCGCGCGAACAGGCCCAGCAGATCGTCGACACCGTCAACAAACTACTGGAAAACCAATACTCACCATTATGGGGGCCCTACATGGTGCTCGACACGCTCACGTTCGGCATCCTCAGAAAACTACGCTGGGATAAAACGTACGCGGACGAACTCGAACAGTTCATCGAACAGACAAACGAAAGTTTGCGTGCCCAAAATATACCGGTGGTCTTTGTTAGTCCTCGAAGAAGTGGCTACCTAAGTTTGGACGCGCTGGTTCCAACCCCGCGCTAGCGTATCCTCTGCTGGATACGCCGCATACGGTTGTTGAGCCGGCCGTTCCAGTTCATGCTCTTGAGCCCGATCTGCTTGTTCTCCGGTAGAACAGCACTCTTCATCAGTTCGCGGCGCTCCTGCTCGTCCATGCCGACCGCACTGCGCCGCTTGATCAGCTCGTTGTACCGCGTGCGGCTCTCCACCACGTACTTTTTGCAGTTCTGCACCTCTTCCTGCGACAGTTTGCTGAAGCTCGAGAACCGGAAACATTCCTGCATCAGCACGTTGGCGTTCAACAGCCGTTTCGGCGAGTTCTGGATCAGCTGAAACAGCTCTGCGCTCAAAATGCCATCGTCGTCCGATCGTATGCTGCCCAGTTCCAGCATCTGCGGCTCTAGTATCTTGAAAATAGCCAAACTCACCTGGAATATCGCTTTCGAGTCCTCGTAGAACAAACAGTCCCACACACGTAGCGTGGTCTCGATCGGCATCACGCCGACAAAAATGCTCATAAACCAGCTCGTCGTGCAGAACGACAGCGTTGGCAGTTCGTACAGAAACGAATTGTTGTTCGAATGCGACGTCTCGTGCATCAGCGACCAAACGTTTGGCAAGTACTGTCGAAGACACAACATCAGCACCCCCTGATGCACATTGACTCCTTCCAGATTGAACTCGTGGATCCCTGGAAGATATCTTTCTGTGATTATCACGAGCATCCAAAATGCCCGCTCCTCGTCTAAAAATATAAGCAGCAGCCCAGCAATGAAATTCAACGACTGACAGTACCCGATCGTAGGCTTGTATTTGGAGAAACACTTCAAAACACGCCGAAGTGTCTGCAACAGCGCACTTTCCTGGTCGGTCCCCTGCTGGGTGATATTGTTGAAATGGACATTTTCCGGGAATGTCCGATGCAAATCCTTTTCGATGGCCTCAGTGTTCTCATTAATCATGTCCATGGTCTCTTCCACCAGCTTGTCGTAAACCCCCTTGTTATCCTTGAGCTTGTCGTGGCCCCTTGCGAAAAAAAACCAGGCATTGCCTCGCCATTCGGCAGGGATGCCCTTTCGAACATAGCGACGCAGTTCCTCGGACCGAGGAGGAAACCGTGTGGGGCTACCGTTCTTCGTCACCAGCAACCCGTTCTTAGCCATCAGCTTGGCCCATTTCTTTTTGCGCCGCGCAAGATATGGCGCATACTCTATCCACCACCCATTGTAGTCCTCGAGCTTGACGTAATGGTTTGCCTTGCGAAACCCATACCGGTCGCGGTCGCTGGCCAGAATGGCGTTCAGCCGGTTCGGCTCCTGATGGATCTGCTCGCCGATCTTGGTTTGCACCTGTTCTAGCGACGTTCGCGACTTCTTCAAGGACGCTATAGATTCCGTCCGTGTCAATGTCTTTCTGTTTGGAGGTTCCACCAGCGTGAACGGCTCCTCCCGCCGGTTCTCAACATAGTAGTCTATCATCCGGTAGCCCCCGTCGGAGTTACGACACGCCAGCGCGTCGTCGGCTTCCTCCACCAAATTTGGCGTTGAAAACGACACATCCGTGTTCATTACAAGAGGAAAAATAAATCTTTAAAAAAAAAAAAGCCTTTCCCATATCTATTTGTCTTGTTTGTGATGTCTGTCCATCACAAAATTGTTATTTGGCGGTATCCGCAAGAAGCCGTTGAATATTCGATTTGCAAGGCTTTTTCGCTAAGCGATGGGCTTTTGGTCACCGATCAAGGAGTCTTTCAGGTCGATAATAGCTCCTTCTTCCAACACCTCTGTGTGGACGACACCCCAGTGCTCTACTCTACCAATCTCAAGCTTAATGAATGGAACATACCAAGACTGCCGCAATTCGAGTCGTTGTGGAACGAATATCTCACTGGTTTCGCCCCGAAAGAGTCCGCAGACTTCAAGGACTCCATCTACCCCGTGATTTACGTCATATCTACAGCTGCGGTTCTGTCGGTGTTTCTGACAGCCATTTTGCTGAAGAAACATCATTTGCGTCTACTTAAACCAACATGGCTCATCAAACTGTCAACTCTTGTCGCAACAGGCCAATTGGTCTCTTTCTACATCTACGCCTTGATCCTGCTGGCTCAACAAGCAAGAATGGGCGAGTCCTCAGCAGAACGGTTCCTAGACACAATCACAGACTCTCTCGGATACAATGTCGTCTACTTCATCTCGTATTTGCTTCTTCTGCTCACCCAGGTCGAGGTGATCCGCAAAATGTTCTCTCGGAAACGAGAGCAGCAACTGATCCTCATTATCGGAATAGTGCTCGCTATTGTGTCGCAGGTCATTTGGGGAGCGTCCACGCTGGCGTCCAATATCGATAACTCTGACGTCGAGGTCCCTGCGCTTGTGATCCTGCCGGTGGTGATGTACCTGCTGCGAATCTCGCTTTCGGTGCTTTACGACTGTTTGCTCCAGGTCTACGCCTTTTCCAAAAAAGACCTGGTATTCCAGCCCAGTGTTCTGCCCCTCACGATCATCATGCAGCTCACAGCAAACGCAACAGTCGCCTTCTTCATCGCCGACCTCGCAAACACATGGGTCAGCCAGCTGTCGGAAGTGTTCAACATCACATGTTCTCTAACAGTCAACGTGATCAGCTGGGAATGGCTCAATAGAATGTACCGTTTGGAGAAACAAAGACAGAAACAAGGAGTTCTCGGACGCCAGCTGTTCGACGAGACTGGATCCCGTCCGCGCAAACACTTCAACTTGAAGCCGGACTTTGTCAAGCTGAAGAAGTCTATGAAAGCCAAAGAGATTCTCAACCCGCTCGCATCCAACGACGTTTACGTGTACACGCCCAAACAGCTGGTTGTGCCATCGGTGTCGAGCCACCAAAGAAGAGACCCGGTGGTGCATGTTGTTAGACAGCTGTCTCACCACGAGGAAGAAGACTCCTATTCAGACTCGGGCTCTGAAGAAGAAGCTCTACTACAAAGGGTACAGGCGGAAAACCAAGAGGTTTGACTCAAAACTTATTTTTCGGCTATCAACACCATAGAGTATCCTATGCCCTCGTTTCGGATAGGATCATGCTTGGCAGGAAGATCAGGGAAATGTTTTTGCACAAGCTTTCCCGCGCACCCGTTCAGCTTGTAATCGATAAAGAGCTTGATCAGGTTCAGAGTCTCCTCATCGCCCAATTTGGTGGTTTCCTCCGTTGCTGCCTGGTATTTGAGTGTTTCCATCAGCTGGAAAATAGACACAATTTTGGAAAACATAAGGAACTCCACATAGTTGGCGAAGAACTCGAAAAAGGCGTTCACACGCAGGTCTTTGTAACCCAGATGCGCGGTGGAGGTAGTGGACTCTGTGCGTCCAGAATCTGACGATGATGAATGTGACATGTTCACCAGGTCTGGGCTTTCCGAAATAGTGGAAATGAACGGATGGCCAACGTACGAATACCGGATCTTTCTGAATCCCAACTGGCGCAAGGTAGGTACGATTTTTGAGCTGGCCTCGGAAACCACACACTTGCGGTCAAAGTTGAACTTGGCTATTTTCTCCCAAACCAAACGACGAAGATTTTCGTCGTCCGACTGCGGCTTGAGGTCTTTCTGCATGGACTCGAGGTCCCAGATGAACAGCTGCAAGTATCCCGATGGCCTGAGTGCGCGCTTGAACTCTGCCAGCGTGGAGACAAAGTTATCGTCCGTGACAGCCAGCGTGAAGTCTGGACAGCATATGCAGGATTGCGAGGAGTCAGCGAGCGGCAGCTGGTCGCTGGAGACCGTAGTGAACGAGGAGTAGTCTTTGACAAACTTCTTTTCGTCGTTACTAAGCTGGAAGCGGTAGAAGTCGTCGTCCAACACAGGGTTGGCAAAGTTGGGGTATTCTGACTCGAGCGATTTCGGTATCACGCCCTTGTGCGCGTAATCGATGAGCTTGCGCATTGTGCCTGTCACACTGACAAAGTTTGTGTGGAGCTGCGGATTGTCGTGTCTGATTTGCCAGCCATTAAGAAACTCGACATGTGCGCTTAAGATCGAGTTTTCGGCTGCGGAATGCAATTCCTTGATCGAGGACTCCATTTTACTGGAGATCATTTTGTTGCTTGTGACGATGCAGACTTCATTAGGGTCTTCCTGTTTGGACGGGTCCACGAACTCGGGTCCGTTGCCAAAGGCCTCAAGGACTTCCTTATGGAACATGGTTGGCTGGTTGAGGAGCTTCTTCACGATTTGTAGAAACCACAGCAAAATAAGAACCACACGTTTATCGTTGAACATGCTATTTTGCAAGTTTTGAACAGCCTCTGGTTGCGAAATCGACGACAAGTCGTGCAGCTTTGTCTTGAACTTGTAGTCTGCTTCGTGTTTAATGTCCTGGTAGGCGGAAGAACCGTGTGTGTGGAGAGTTTTGCGCTGTTTGACAAGATCCTCATAGTCCTGGACCTCGTCGCGCATGCTGATGAGCAGTTTCTTGTACCAAGACAACCAAAGGTCTCTGCGAGTGATGGCATAATCAATTGGATCATCCAGCTCACTATGGTCCATATATTCCAGGAAAAACCGCAGATGCTCCAGATACGCCTCTATGCCCTTTTCGTTGAGGTTCTGACGAACAAGGTCGAGTTCTTTCTGGGACTTGGATTCGCGCTCTCGTAGCCTCTTGGACTTGAACTCTTCGTAGCGATGGTCGACATGACCGTCTTTGGTGGACCCAAACGCAAGATCTCCAGCCAATTCGGTGGCCAGACGACTCGCCTTCTTAGTTATCTTGACAAACCGGGAATGTTGCTTGGACATCGGGATTGCCTCTGCATCTTTTGGCAAACTAACTTGTTCTGTCGGCGGAGGCGGTGTGCTGGGACGATGGAACGGCGATTTGTGGAACTTGTTCAACGGTTTGCGAGCCTTGTGAAGATTGTCCGACGAAGCAATGTGAGAAAGAGAGGACAAAAACATATGCCCATTACCATGCGGCAAATCGGAGGGGGGCTCCGACATGTATATTTTCCTAAAGAAGATGCAGTAGCGTTGTGGAGAAAATAAGAAAAAAAAATAATTTGGGGGAGGTGTCTGGTGTGCAGGGGTGCATCACCAGCAACTGTACATACCATGACTAAAAAGTCTGGAACGGGTCTTTGTCTGTGGTCGAGATATCGATCACGATTTCTGGGTCTGTGGATTGGAACTGTGTTAGTAATTGTTGTTTGAGCACTTTGAGGAATCCTCTTTCTGTATTGGAATGGTTGCAAACGATCACACTGGAGTCTGTTTCTTTGAAATACAGGGCTTCGTGGTGGGACAGCTCCCCGGTCAGGTACAGGTCAGCTTTCACTCCTCTGAATACAGATCCACCAGAGCCTGCACAAAGGGCGACCGTGGAGATGGTTTTCTCTGAATGTGACTTGTTAGTAGCAACCTGTAGATGGTTGATTCCCAAATGGGACTTGATGGCTGGGATCAGCTCGTCTAAACTAGCCGGGCTCGACAGGGTCAACAACCGGCCCATCCCCACGTCCTCAACGTCCGGGTTCTTCTCTATCACCGTCTTGGTGTCCACGTTGGCCACCGCCTCGGCAAGCCAGTCGTTCACACCCCCCTTGGCCGCGTCCACTGCCGTGTGCGGACAGTACACGGAGACGCCGTGATGGATGAGTTTAATCAACGAGGCCTGCTGCGGGTCCTTCGGCGTGATGCTCTTGAGTCCCCGGAAGATGAACGGATGGTACGCCAGCACAAGACTCGAGCGGGCCCGAACAGCCTCCTCCACCACCGACTGGGTCAAATCAACAGTGAGCAAAATATGGAACTTGTCGTTCTTGTTCACTCCAGACGCATCCACCAGCAGTCCCGTGTTATCCCACGCGCCGTCTGCGTACGCAATGGGATACAATTTCTGGATTCCAGCAACAACCCTTTGAAACCTTGTAGAACAAGACATTTGGAAAATAATAAATAAAAAAAAAAAATCCACATATACTCCTCCTCCTATTAATGGAACTCACCACAGACAAACTGACAAATATCATCAAAGATCGGCTGCAAGCAACCGAGGTGGAGGTCCAGGACATGTCGGGCGGTTGTGGCCAGGCGTTTGCAGTGATCATCGTGAGCGACGTGTTTAAGGGAAAGAATAAGTTGATGAGACACAGAATGGTGAACGGAGCATTGAAGGAGGAGATCGACAACATCCACGCCTTCACGCAAAAGGTGTTTACGCAGGAAGAGTGGAACGAGCAAAAGAAAATGTTTGGAGTGTAGGTTTTATAGGCGTCGAATAAATTCTGTTCGTTACAAATAATATGGAGGCGGCGAGTCGTAAAAGGGCGAGGACGGCTGATGGGCAGCAAGAAGCTTATCGAGCTTGAGCCGGCGGGACTGGATCTTGAGGTGTTCCAGCTTGTCGATGTGGTGGGTGGGCTTTTCAGGGACTTTGAACGCGGTTGGGGGGCCGGGCTCGGTCTTCTTAGCCAGCTTGAATTGCAATGACGAGAGGTAGTTGGGCTGCGGGAAAAGAGGACGTTCCGGAGGAGTTTCTGTTTCCTCCTCGACCAGGGTGGATCCCGTGGACGGTGGAGAACTGGCAGAAAGCGGCGGAGACTCGACACTCGTTTCGGCGAACGAGCTCGTGTCACCACTCACACGCTGTTTCTTGAGCTTCACCACCCGTCTCTTGGGTTTGACGCCGTCGTGTGCGTTCTTGAAGAACGACCGCGCTTGAAGATCCTTGATGATCTCCAGCTTGTTGCCCATCGAGCCGATCTGGACGTCGGAGTTTCTCAGATGGATTCTATTCCAGCTCAGATTGTCGCTCGAGGCCAGAATGGCATTCGCAAAGCTCTTGGTGACCACGTCGTCGTTCATTCTATCACACGACAACGCACCTCCCAGAGCCAGCGTCTGCCGCGAGCTGGCCAGTCTAGTGAGTCGCATCAGGCTCCCAGGCGAGATTCTCAGTGGGAACTCGGGGTCCAGGTCCTTCAGCAGAACCCGTTTCTCCTCGATGTCCTGTTCCTCGTTCAACAGGTCCTGGTGGAATTGCAGCAAAGACTGTGTTGTGTACTTGAGACTGAATTTGTACAGATAGCTGGGCAGGAACTCTTTGAACAGTTCGCTGATTTGGGTCTCGATTGTCTTTTGCAAAAACTTGGCAATCGGCTTGATTCTATCGAAAGTAGAACTAACCTCGATCGACTCTAATGGATCGTTCTTGAACACCAACGTCAATCCCTTGGTCTTGTTGAAAACAATGATAATAATCGAACTCAGCTTGAACTTGCCCAGCGTCAAGTTCAGCGGGATGTCAAAATCCGAGTCCGATCCGTTAAATTGCGGCTTCACAAATTCCGCCAACTGTTGACAATCTCTTTTGTAACCTTTGTTTTTATCCACAAGGTCGTCATAAATATTGTCGTTGTATATTCTCAAAGGGCTCGCACTGACCTTTGTGTTGACCGTCACAGACGCGTCGCCGTCGTACTTGAACTTGAAGATGCCCCTAAACCGGTCGGGACCCAAATCGCCGATCTCCAAGATCTCAAAGTCTGGCGAGATGTGCCCAAAATTAAGGTCCATGATTTTGATGTCGGACGAGAGGATGTTGGGTCTTTTTCCGGAGTTCAGGGCCTCGTTCAGCAGTTCGCGCGTATACGACGAGAACGACTGCTTCTCGATGGCCTCCCAATTAATCTGAAAAGACATTAGTGAAGGAAGAAACCAAACAAATCAAACCAGCCTTTTTTTGCCCGCGGGGAAAAATTTTATTTGCCCAAACGGGTAGCCAAAATACGGCAAAGAGTGGGATGATTTTATTTATTCACATAACTTCGTTATTACTTGTCTATACGCATGCTGTCCATGTCTTTTAGGGCAGAAACCACCTCCTCCTTGGTCAGACCGTTGCTGGTCAACATAGAGTCGTCTCCGTGGAAAAACGGACCGTAATTGTACCCGTCTTGCTGGAACTCAAACACTTCCGCTAGTCCTGCTACCAAAGTCGTGTCGAGCCGCAATTTGTCCACGTCGACCTTCTCCAGCACCCCGCGTCCGCCGCTCGCGTGGTCAAACGCCTCCCGGTAAAACTCGCCCGCCAAGTTCGTCACATCCGGGTCTTTCTTCACCTTCTCTCCAAAAAGTCCCGGAAGTTCCAGAAACTGCTTCAACCGCACCCCGCGCGTGATCTCCTCGCTAGAAGAGTACAAGTACTCAAAAATGTTGTCCGCCTCGCTGCCCGCCAGTGCTGGGTACAGAAACAGCATCGCGTCGCGGAACTCGGGCTTGTTTAAATACGTCTTGCACCCGTGGTCAAGCTTCTCGAAAACCATCTCTATTTGGTACAATTGCACCGAGTCCAGCTGACTGTCGTTCTTCAACTGCTCGAAAATCCGCTCTTTGCGATCAAACTGACGCTCAATGAACTGTAGCTTGTCCACGATGATGTCGCGGATCAGCTTGATGCGAAACTTGAGCTCCGTTACCTTGTACAGCTTCTCTGTTTCGTGGTAGCCAAAAGTCCCCTGAAACTGCTCTATCTGGCGCTGAATATCGTCTTTAGTCTTTGTAAGACTCTCCTGTAACTTCTCCACGTTCGAAAGAGTGCCCATGATCTCTGGTAACTGGTCAACCTGTTTCTCGGCAGAATCAGATAGGTCCAGGATTTCAGCTTCCACCATGTCCAATCCGAGCCCGACACCCTCGATCAGGTCGTCCAACCGCTTGAACGACTTGGCGCGCCAACTTTCGATCATCTCACTCACCAGCTCACTCATCTTATGCTCGTTGTCTGTGATTTTCTTGAGAAGTTTGGTTGCAACTGCAAGACTGCGTTCTTTCGACTCGCAAAGCCCGCGCAGTCGGAACTCGACAAGAAGCAGGTTGATCTTGCTGCGCAGAGACTCTAAATGCGAATAGTCTTCAAGAAACTGTAATTTTTCAGTGGCCAAAGAGTCCAGGTAATCTTTGGAGGCCACCAGGTTGTCCAAGTTTTGAGGCTGGGTCAACAACTTGTCCATTTGCAAGACAGTATGCTCAATCTGCGGAATCAGATTATCAAGTCCAGCACGATAGTCTTTCTTGAGCTTGGCTATTTCCACCACAACACCCAAAAACGTCTCGACGCGAATTTTGTAACCTCCCGTTCCCTTCACCTGTTCCTTGGAGAACTTGTCATAGTACAAACTCACATAAGCAATGATACTCTTTTCGTCTGGACGTGAACAGTTGATGTTTTCAGGGTCGATCAGCCGCGTGATCCCTAAATTTTCAGCCACTCCCATTGCCAGCTCGAGTCTTTCCAGGTCTTGGAGCGTTGAAGTTTTCTCATAATCTAGCAATTCCGGCCGATAATAGTTGAGAATCGCACAAAAGGCCCGGCCGTCGCGCCAACCGGACCCGAAATTCGTCAGTTTCAGCTTATAGTTCTGTGTCACTTTCTGACACCATCTCAACAACAGGTCTTTCTTGGTGAACCCGCAGTCCTCCTCGTCCTCGAAAACGGTGTAATTAAGCAACAGCAGCCATATGAGACCGAGAATCAGTTTCGAATTGCCGTCCACGATGTCCTCGGAGCCGATATTGTGAATCTGGAGGTTCTGACGGTGTTTCAGGTAATCCAGCACTCTGTTGAGGTTTTCCATCTTTTGAACTTTCAAATGAGGGTTGGTGGAAACAGGTTTAAGCTGGAAATCCGGGTCCAAACATTGCAACAGCCGATACAATGCGATTCCGGACCCCAAATCTGTCAAAGAAGACAAGGGAGCAAACTTGCTGTCCTGTAGTTTGGAGTTGATCCAGCGCAAAAACGTCTTTTGCTGGACCTCCACCCAATTCTTAACAGACAGCTCGTTTGACGAAATGGACTTGATCAAAAGAGTGTCCGACATTGGTTAAAACAAACGCCAAGTCTGTGATATTTATAACAGTTTTATAATGATTTTTTAGGGACAATGTTTCAGACGCAAAGTGGTGTTGACATCGACGCGTCGATAAATGTTAAAAGATCCGGAAAACAGCTTCTACTGTATATTAACTATATCATGAACCTTGGAAGAAAGGATGAGCCATGGTCTCCTTGGCAGTGAGTCTCTCTTGATGATCATACCGAACCAAATGGTCGATCAAGTCGATCACGGCCGGGTTCTCACTCAAATGTCTGTTGTTCTCATTAATAAAGTGTCTCCATGGCTTTCTAGGACAGTTGGGCAGGATTTCGTCGTAATCGCTCGAGAGAATGATTCCATATTTGTCGCAATATCTGTGAAGATCGTCGGTACCCAACACTTTGGCGATCTTGACGAGCTGGTCGGTGTTGGAGTCTCCTTTGAAAAACGGCTCTTTTTTGAACACAATGGCAGCAATCATGGCCCCCACCGACCACAGGTCCAAGGAGTAGTCGTACTGTTGCAGGTTTATTAGCAATTCCGGACCCTTGTGGTATCTGGAAGCCACCCGCACGTTGAAGTCCATTCCACGGTGGTAGAACTCGGCCAGACCCCAGTCGATCAGTTTCAGCGTCTTTGTGAGCGGGTCGATCATGACATTTTGCGGTTTCACGTCTCTGTGGATGATCCCCATCGAATGCGAGTAGTCCAAAGCCCGTAAGAGCTGGGTGAAGTAGAATCGGATGTCGTCAAGACTGAATTTCGGATACAGCACCCGGAAGTCCACGTTGTTGATCTTCTCGAAAATCAACGCCGGGATCTTGGAGTTCTGGTCCTGGATCAGGTCGTACAGGCGAATGATGTTGGGGCCTCCCGTCAGGTTCTTGAGAATCTTGATTTCTCTATGGATCTTTTTCAACTTCACCGGCTTCAAAACCTTGATCACACATGGCTGGTTGTTCAAAACGTTCACCCCGGTGAACACCTCTGAGTATTTGCCTCTTCCGATCTTGGACACGATCTCGTAGTTAGCAATGTTGCCCCATTCTATCTTGTAGTTTTCGTAGTCCCAGTACTCGCGCGGACGGATCTCGCACGCGTCCGCGTACACCCTGGCAACCGAGTAAGGCTTAGACGTCATTTTTGATCCAATGGACAGTGGATGGCGTTCCGGTTGCTATGTTGTTGCGAAACTAAACAAGTCGGCTGTGGATTAGAAAAATTTGAGACACCACACCGGCGAAGTGCGAGCGTGAACATCTTTGCACCGCAACTTATTGGTGCGATTAAATGAGGTTTGCAGGACGGTACGCTGTTGGCAATGCGTTGCAGGGCGGCGCGCCGTTGGACGCCGTCGAACTGTACCAGGAGCAGGGCGACGCCGTGCCGGAGTTTGGACGCCTGGTCGCGTGCGAGCTGGTATCTCTCAACAGTCTGCCCGTATGGCTGGTGGGGAGCACCAAGACCGCAGTGTTTGGCGTTTTCAGTGCGAATTTGGACACCCAGGCGTTCTTTGCGGACATTATGATGTACAGCGACTTTGCGAATGACGAGATCGTGGCGGTTTTGCTCGAGTCGGACAATCCCAGTCGGTATCTGGTGGTTTATCCGGAACTGTCTGGCCAGGACGTGTTGATGAAGGCGGTTCTGGTGGACCTGGACAACGAGTTTGTTCGGCGGGCGCACCAGGCGGCTGCGATGGCGGGAAACATAACGGTTGGGCGCGACGAGGCCGTTTTCGTGGAGCCGTCGCGACTAGGACGAGAAAATAGCGTGTTGGAACAGCATCTACAGAAACGGGGCCAGTCGCGCAAGCCGGCCAGGCTGGCCAAGGAGCCCGCGCTGATCGACCGGTTCAACAAGACGCTCGAGCGGCTGATTCTGGCCGGGTTCGACCGGTTCCAGGTGCAATCCACGCTGTCCAAAGACGAGTGCAAGGAATTGTACGGCATAGTTTTCAAGTCTGCGCGGTTTCTGTTCCGCAACCAGCTGCGCCAGCAATCGGAGCCCGAGCCCGACAAACTCACCAACGTCGTCAACAACACCATCCAACTACATCTCGGCGAAATCTAATTGGTCTATGCATTCATTCATAAATATCCTACACCATGGAATACGTACAGTCGAAGATGGTGTCTCCGACTATGTCTCTGCGGGAAACAGACTCTGAGAAAGAGACCTGTTTTTGTTTGCGCTGGCGGCGGTGGCGGGGCTGGAGATTGGGTCTTTTGCCAAAGTCGACCGACGAAACAGACGACGACATGGAGCTAAACCGGGAGCTGGAGAAATCGTCGTCGGTGTCGTCGTTGTCGGAGCTGTCTTCGTCCACGGCGTACTCAGGGTCGCCCATGAGCGGGCCGTATAGCGCGGTGATGTCGTTCTCCTTGTGCCAGTTGATGGCGGCCGGGTCGAGCTCCGGAAGCTTATTTCGCTGTTTTTGCCAGGCCCGCCAACACGCGTTCTGCAGCCGCTGCGACGAGGTGCACGGCAGGATCAGCTGGATGTCCTCCACCTGGCCGTGCGACTTGAGCGTTCGCAGTCGATAAACGCTCGACAGCTCGCGCGGCTTGACAAACTTGCTCTTGCTGATAGTGTTCCAGCACCTGAAATATTGCTCTTCCGACAGCGCCACGGAAAAGTAATCCACCGCCTGCAATGGGGCAGATACCACCTCGAACGACTGCGACGGCACGCCTTTCAGACAGGTAGACCAGGCCTCCTGGAGAAAGTTGTCGTCCATAAATTGATGCGTCAAATTGGAACGTTTGGAAATCATGTAATAGAAGCCGCTAAGGCGAGGAAGACTGCCGTATTTATAGATCCACCCCGGGCACAAGACTACAAGGCTTGGTGTCAAATTCGTGTTCCATACATACAGATCTTCACGCTTGCTGCATGGCACCATACAAACACGCAATTGTTGCTGCACCTAAATTGTACTAGGGAAACAATTGAAAGCTAGGCTGAGTTCTTTACAACACAATAGGTGCAGCAAACATATTGTTGCTGGTATATAACAGAATCTGGGGAACCATAATAAACACCGTACAACAACGTATTATCCGCTTCCCCCTCATGAGCAAACCTCCTGCATCATCGTATAAAAATGGGCCCATTTAGTGCTCACAAACCCCTCTCGCCGACTGGAGTTCGCGAAATAGCAATTATTCGGGTGAGGAGGCAGCTTATGCGGGCCACCGGAATATCATGTCACCTCGCAATTTCGAAAATTTTCCGGATTATCTTTTTTTTTCACTGACCTTGGGCCGCAGCGCCGCGACACGTCAAAAAACAGCAGGCAGGAGCGAAAAACCGTGCTAAATCGAACGCCCAGATTCATAATTTGCTCATAGGTCTTTCAAAAGCTCCCGCAGCGCAAAACGGGCGTCACTACGTAATCGTGCAGCGTTACTCAACTCCTCGGCCATCATGTAAGGCGATTTCATCTCCATTTCATTGGCAGATATCCCAACAACAAACGGATCAACCCCTATTTTTAGACCCGGAGGTGGTTCCATGCTGTACATCGTATCTCCTGCGAAATGCGTCCCATACATTGCGGGGGAAGGCACAGCCGTTACACGTCTTCTCTTCTTCACCACCATTGCCTTGCCTTTACTGTCCAGCTGGACAGTGACTTGAAAGTTGTGTTTGTCGGCCCCTATATCGTTCATTGACTGTGTTTTGCGTAACTTGTTTTGTAGCTGTACGATCCCGGACTCCTGTCCAAGAGGCATCGACTTATTGCGCATGCCCAAAATTCCGAGACCCGCATTCTGCGTTGTGCCAGGACCCTGTGGTCTGAGCTCTTCAAACCGAAGAGGCTTAGGCACTAGACTGTTTGGGGTCGAGGCCACGCGACCGTGCGGGGTCTGTGCATACCAGTGGGTATACATCGGTGACGAACTTAAAACGTGCGAAAAGTGCGATATAGGAGTCGATGGGGGCAGCTTCAAAGACGGCGTAGCGTTCGATCTTGGAGTCTTTGGTGCAAGGATGTCTGGCTGCAAAAGCGAAGGGTTCAAATCTGCGGTGCGGGAGTCATGTTTCATGAGCTGGTCGGACGAGTTGAGCGGCGATGTGTTTATTGGCGAGCTTTGCAGTCCCGAGGCCGATGGCGACGACCCGGACGACGAGGTTATTGGCGACGAGTCCAAATAACCCTTTTCCCTCTGGGTTATGGATGCCAGCTCCTGGTGGGCTTTTGAAATTCCTGTTTCTTGTATGGTAACCAGACCCGGCGCTTGTTTCCGGCGCTTGGGCGTTGGCGTGTGCAACGACGAGCCGCTGGAGCCCGATCGGCGTTGCCCAGGACTCACTTTCATCACGGGGGTTGAGCAAATGGCACCTTGGCGGATAGTAGCTGCTGAATTGTTGGAAGCGCTGATATTAGAGCTGATGGCAAAGTTCAGCGTGCTTTCTCCCACTCTGTTCTCCTGTTTTGGCTTTGTTGGAGGTCTGCCTCTACGTTTTTTCTTGGTGGGCGACTGGTCAATAAATTTCTCAGACATGGTGTTTCAGGTTGGGCAATTCTTGTGGGTGTAATGTGGTGGCTGTGTTTAAATAAAGTGTTGGGGCTGGTGCTGGGGATGGAAAGCAATATGGACGTAGTAAAGCAAGGACGATGTAGGTGTTTGGACACAGAAAGGATTAACAAGAGTGAACGAATCGTTTAGTGGTTGAAAATGGCGAAAAATCTCTAAGGTCGTGCATATGCATACAATTTGGCCCGATTTGGCAATTATCTATATAAGGCAAGCAGGACGCGTGAGAGAAAAAGACTGGGGCCATCCGTGTGGCGAAGTAACATTGTGGCGAAACAATTATTAAAAGTTATCATATGTCGTTGGCAGATCAATGGCTGTCTGTGGACGTTAACCCTGAAACACGGGCAGAGATTCAGCGTCTGGTTGACGCAAACGACACGGCCTCGCTGCACGAGCGTCTGGGCGGCCGAATTGTGTTTGGAACCGCTGGTTTGCGCGCCAAGATGGAGGCCGGGTTCACCCGAATGAACGACGTTACCGTTGTCCAGGCAACACAGGGCCTAGCCGAGTATATGAAGACGTGCCACGCAGAGCTGTCGGTCGTGGTGGGCCACGACCACAGACACCACTCTCGGCGGTTTGCCGAGCTCACGGCGGCGGTGTTTTTGCTCAAGGGGTTTAAAGTGTACTATCTGGGCAAGGGGCTTGCCGCGACGCCGTTGGTGCCGTTTTCTGTGGATTATTATAAAACGTGTGGTGGAATCATGATAACCGCGTCGCATAACCCCAAGGACGACAATGGGTACAAAGTTTATTGGAGCAACGGATGCCAAATAATCCCTCCGCACGACCACAAGATCCAGCAATCGATCCTGCAGAACCTGGAGGTGGTGTTTGACGACCCCACCTGGGACACCGAGCTGGTATTCCGCAAACACGCTGACAGGCTTGTCTTGGTCAGAAACGAGGTTATACATAACTACACACAAAGGGTAAAGCAAAGTTTGCTCAAGACCCCGTCTTTCTCCTTCAAGGCAGTGTATACAGCAATGCATGGGGTCGGCACTGAGTTTGTGAAACAGGCTGTTCCTCAAGACTGTCTGGTTTATGCTGTTGAGCAATGTGAGCCAGATCCAGATTTCCCCACAGTGACGTTTCCGAACCCGGAGGAGAAGGGCGCGCTTGATCTGGCTGTTCAGACGGCAGAGAAGGCCGGGCTGTCGCTGGTGGTGGCCAATGACCCGGACGCAGACCGGTTTTCTGCGGCTGTCAAAGTTCCCGGCGGATGGAAGCAGCTGACCGGGAACGAGCTCGGGTTCCTGTTTGCACAGTATGTCACGTCGCAGATGGACGATGTCAGCAACGTGTGGCTGGTGAATTCGACGGTGTCGTCGCAGATGATTGCGTCGATGGCCAAAGTGGAAGGGTTCCAGTTTCAGGACACGCTGACCGGGTTCAAGTGGATTGGAAATAAAGTTATCGATTTGGAATTGCAAGGTTATGTTTGTCCGTTTGCATACGAAGAGGCAATTGGGTTCCTTTTCTCTGTGGTGCACGACAAGGACGGCATTTCTGCACTCGTGGTGTTCCTCCAAATGTACCAGCACTGGCTCGACACGGGCAAAACTGCCGTCGACGTGCTGGAAGAAGGGTACCAAAAATACGGTTATTTCAAAGAGTGCAACGGTTATTACGTTGTTCCAGACCCGGAGATAACCACCAGCATCTTCGAATCAATAAGACACTCAGCCAAACCGTACCCGGCTACCATTGGCGAGTTTAAAGTCATATCTTGGCGAGATCTCACTGTTGGCTACGACTCGACCACACCAGACACCAAGCCTCTGTTGCCCGTGGACAGCTCTTCGCAGATGATCACCGTGGTGCTTTCGACAGCCACCGCGGACGAGGTGCGGTTTACGGCCCGAGGCTCCGGCACAGAGCCCAAGCTGAAGGTGTACATTGAGGCGAAGAGCGGCACGGAAGCCGGGGCCGCCAGCCTGGCACGCCGTGTGTGGGACACCTTGCGCGACGAGTGGTTCCGTCCCACAGTTCACGGACTGCTCGAAAAGGTGTAAGGCCAGTATGTTTGTATAGTCGTGCACCGCCCAAAACAAGGCGAGAAAAAATAACATAGTAAAGAAAAAGGGTCACCCAGTGTTATTATACCCAGTCACCGGCAAAGGCGAGATGTTACGGTTTGGACAACATCCGAAAAAGACAGATTTGCCTACGTAAGTGGAAATTGAAAATAGACGCCGAGTTGTTACTGACCTATAGGACGAGTGCGTATGAGATCAAGCCCAAGAAGAAAAACCATGCTCGACAAAAGTGGTACACGGTGGTGGGCGCGTTGATCGCGCTTTTATTGCTGGTGTTGATTGTGAGGAGCCACAGACCGGCCAAGTTCACGCTGGAGATTGAGAATTCGGAGCCAGCGCCGCCGGAAACCAGTCTGGGGCGCGAGGCCACGGGCGTGGACGAGGAGGACGCGTTGCCCGACACCGTTGAGTTGTACGACCTGATGGACTACCAGGGGACTCCGGAAGGGAACAAGAACGGCGAGATTGTTCTTTTGTTAATTCCGTTAAGAAACGCCGCCAAGGTTCTCCCGTTGATGTTCCGCAACATGATGAACATGACCTACGATCACAGCCTAATAGACATTGCATTTCTCGTGAGTGACTGTTCAGAGGGAGACACCACTCTGGAGACGTTGTTTGAATACTCACAGGCCATGCAGAAAGGCGTTCTTTTGGACTTGCTCGACCAAAAGGAGAAAGAGACCCCATCGACAGGTATCATTGGGTCAAGCGACCTGTATCTGCAATACATGCCGTACGATTATGTCGAGAACGTGCGCAAGGCTTACTCGCCGCCATACCATTCCGAGTACCTCAAGCCGTTCCGTTCGGTGCAGATCTACCAGAAAGATTTCGGACAAGTTATTGGACAAGGGTTCAGTGACAGACACGACGTGAAGGTCCAGGGGATCCGCCGAAAGTTGATGGGCCGTGCGCGTAACTGGCTTGTCAGCACCGCGCTGAAACCGTATCATTCGTGGGTCTACTGGCGAGACGTTGACATTGAGACCTCGCCGGGAGATATCTTGGAGAGCATGATGCGGTTCTCGACAGCGTTTGACGTGATTGTCCCCAACGTTTGGCGACCGCTACCGACGTTCTTGGGCAACGAGCAGCCTTATGACCTCAACTCGTGGATGGAGTCGAAGGAGGGCTTGGAGCTCGCAAAAACATTGACGGAGGACGACGTTATTGTGGAAGGGTACGCGGAGTACCCGACCTGGCGCGTGCATCTGGCATACATTCGGGAGCAGGACGGAAACCCAGACGAGATTGTCGACTTAGACGGCGTGGGAGGAGTTTCGATCTTGTCCAAGGCCAAGGTTTTCCGTCAAGGCTCAAACTTCCCAGCATTCACGTTTATGAACCATGCCGAAACGGAGGCTTTCGGCAAGTTGAGCAAAAAAATGGGATTCCGCGTTGGTGGGCTGCCGCACTACACGATCTGGCACATCTACGAGCCATCGGAAGACGATCTGATCCAAATATCCCGCATGGAAAGGAAAAAGAGAAGACACAGAGCTAAGAAAGGAGGTCGGTAATTTATTATGATATAGAGGTTGGAATCAAATTAGAGACAACAGGGAGAGCAGCAACAATGGAGAGGCGAGCTGGAGCTTTCCTGCGAGGTTGGACACGGTTGCCGAACTTGCTGACGACAAGCTGGCCGCAGACACAGACGAGCTGGCGGACGTGGCCTTCGAGGTCGAAACAGAGCTGGTTTTCGTGGACAAGGTGGATGCTGAGGATGCTGAGCCAGTGGAGGCCGTGGAAGATGCTGAGACTGTGCTTTGTGTTGGGGAAGCAGATGACATGGATGCCACGATCTCGACAGAATTTCTGTCGGCGAGTCCGAGTCTGCTCTGGTCGAGGTCGAAAGAGACATAATAGTTTCTCAAAAACAACGACCCGAGGATCCATGTGCCGTTGTCCAGCGACGACGAACCAACAATGTTACTCACGCAGTATCCGTCGTACTTGCCGGACCCGTACGCGTTTCCCAGATAGTCGTCTGGTCCCAGCGACCAGGACGAGCCTGCTATCTTGAAGTTGAGTGTCAGGGTGGAGTTGCACAGAATGGCAAAGTTGTCGCCGTCTGTGATGGAGTCGGAGAAGAACGAGTGAATTTTGGTGGCATCTGCGGACGCCGCCACGATCGACGTTGTGCCGCTGTCCACGACCGCCAGCCGTTTCGTTTGTGAGTCCTGGCCGTCGATCTCTGCTTCGTCGAACGAGATCTGGTAGCTGTCTGCGGAAACAGAATCAACAACCACCTGCCAGTAATTATTGGTGTTTTCCACCACCGAGGAGTAATGTATAGACCCGTCATAGAGTTCCTGTATGTCTTTTCCGAGCACTAGGAGTCCGTTGTTGGAGCCGTCAAGAGCCGTGTCGTACGAGCCCAGACATAGGGCAAAGGTCCCCTGGCTGATAGTTTCTTGGTTCTTCAAGAAAGTGACCAGGTTGGTGAGTCCGTTGGACGAGTTGACGGCAGGGAGACCAAGCACGCCGCTGAACGAGTAGTCTTCAAACAGATCGGGCACGCTGCTGGCGGCGCCGAACTCGAACTCGTCTGCCGAGAGACTGCCCAGCTGCAACGTGTCGGTGACGACCTTGCCCGAGGCTGAGCCCGAGCTGTACGCAAGCGAAAAGCTCGAACTCGAGTTCGTGCCCGACGAGATCGGGTACAGCTGTTTGCCCGAACATGAGGAGTCTGTGCAATTCGAGTCGTAGATCCACAGGTAGGCGCTTCCGGTATCGATCAGCAGCGGATACTCCGAGTCGCCGATGGTGACATTCACAGTGTAGGATTCGTTGTTGGAGTCGGAGTCAATGAAAGACATTCCCGACTGCCATGGTAATGTGGTGCTCGACGAGTTGGAACTCGCCAGTACGGATTGTTTGCGGGTGCTGGTGGCTTTGATGGAGAAATCAGACGGGGGCTGCTCCACGGTGTCGACCTTGTACACGTGATCTGAATCTAGCAGTGATGTGCCGGACACACTGAACGCCCGGGCAACGGCGATTGTCGTTGCTAGGGCCAACCAGCTGTTCATTTTTCGGCAGCTTGCTATAAATATCTGTGCGAGATGTGGTTAGGACCCTGCTGTGAGCGGCTAGAAAACAACGGGAAGACGCGGAAATGCAATGGGAGTTGGCGAAAGCGGACAGGAGCTAGAAAACGCGTCAATTGCAAAGGTCCCTTGTATCCAGTAACGTCCAGCAAGCTTGTCGGCGCAGAAAGGTTCACTTTTATAAGATGAAAAATCCTTGCATTAGATTTGGCTTCGGTGCACAGCGTGTTGTCATATTTCCGCAAAGAGTTTTATTTCAATTGTTACCCTGGTAACCATCTATTGTCTGGGAACTCCTGTTTTTCCGCATTGGGTTAATTGTATACCGAGCCGCACAGCTTGGTTTATTTTTTATTTAACTTATCTGGCACGCAGAGATCGCAGCTCCCAGGGCGGTGCTGTGGTCGATGAGCCTCAACAGGAACCGTGGGTTCCCATGCGGGTGTGTATAGCTGTTGAGTGCGGCCTCGCATTTCTGCCGGTACAGCTCGAAATGCTGGAAAAACGACCCAATGTACCCAACACACACGGTGGCCGACTCCGGGTGCTGTCGTTGACAGAACGCTAAGATCCAGGCCGCCAGCACACGCGCGGCCCGCGCAACGAGAAATTCAATCAACGACCGTATGACGCAAATATCTGCAGGGGAACATACCGCCTTGAACTGTTTCAGAATTTTGACAGCTTCTTTTACATTCCCGTGGTAAATGCGGCACACCATTTCTCCTGTGAGCTCGTATTGCCTCGTAGCAGCGATTTCTGTATCTGGAAACAGTTTGTTTTGGGAATGCAAGTCGATTATAGCCAGTCTGAGTAGTTCTCCGATATATCTTCCAGAACAGAAGTACTCCAATGGCTGGAACAGGGGTGGCTGGAGGTGTGCGTCTTTGCACTGGCGGTATCCAGGCTGCATTTCCAAATCCCACGTGGTAACGAGTGTTTTCAGACTGCTGCCAAAACAGGACATTTCTGTGTTGATAACGGACTTTTCGTAGCTGGCCGAGGCGTTCAGTCCTGTGCCCAAAACCAGCCCCAGCTGGCAGTTGTACAGGTACGCGCCCGCCACGTAGACGGCCACGGCGTCGTTGATCACTGAGCGCACGTGCACGGGTTTGTTGGTAGCCGTTTCGAGCTGCTGTTGCAACAGCCGTGCAACGTCCAAGCCGCGGATCTCTTCCGCCAGCACAAAGCCTTTGCCCACGGCGTCGAGATACGCGTCGTTCGAGCGTGTCTGCCTGAACGGAAAACAGATCGACAGCCCCACGGTGACAGAGCCGGGGAAATGCTCGTCCAACGGCAGCGTCACAGCGTAGTGCACGAGTTTCTGGAAGAATGCCGTGTTGATCTCCTTTTCTGCGTCCAGCGACCACTCGCGCGAACAATCCAGCACGTACTTGCCGTCTCCATGCAGCCCCATGATACACGCTCGGAACGTGGACCCGCCCAGGTCCAGGATAAGCGTTTTGCCGTGAGTGTGCGAGTCTGGCACCGGGGTGAGCGTGGGAAGCATGGTGACGGCTCTTGAACCAAACGCGGCGTCTATTTCGGCGCCCAATTGCAAAACAAGCGTCTCAAGAGACGGAAGGTTCCAGTCGGAACGGCCAGCGTCCAAAGGAAGCGTCCCCACAGTCATCTGACAGAATACGATAAGATTCGCAGCGCGCACATCCATGCACCGCCAACGACGCGTGTGTGTCTACTCCTTGCACCGGGTGTGAGAAAAATGTGTGCCAGAGACGATGTACCAGTTTCTTGACGATTTGAACGCGGACCAGCGCGCGGCGGCGACTGCTCCGCTGGACGGCGTGCTGCTTGTTCTTGCGGGTCCGGGCACGGGCAAAACGAAGGTGATCACCGCGCGCGTGGCGTACCTGATGCTCCACTACAAGCTTCCTCCCGAGGACATAGTGGTGGCCACGTTCACCAAGAAGGCCGCGAACGAGATGGTTGAACGGCTGGACGTGCTGCTTGCGCAGTTTCCGGAGGTGGACCACAAAAAACTCATGATCGGGACGTTCCACTCGATCTGCGTGCGGATTCTGCGTCGGTACGGTCGTCTGATCGGGCTCAACTCCGGGTTCAAGATCGCCGACGAGGCAGATTCGCGTCATTTGGTGAAGAAGGCGGTCAAGACTTTGTCACAGGAAGGCGTTGATCTGGCGTCGAAGGAACAGGACGTCAAATCGTACAAGAATTATATTTCATCGCATAAAAATAAGGCCCAGCTACCAGACGATGTTCCGTCTGCCAAGTCGGCCAACCACCGCAACAAGTATCTCGACATTTACAGGGAGTACCAGGAGGAGCTTTTGCGGAACAACGTGATCGATTTCGACGACTGTTTGTTGCTGACACACACGCTTTTGAAAAAACATCCGTATTGCATGGGTCGGGTGAAACACGTGCTTGTTGACGAGTTCCAGGATACCAATGCTGTTCAGCTTGGATTGGTTTATATGCTCTCGGGCTACAACGAGTCTCATTTGCATAACGTGACTGTGGTTGGAGATCCGGACCAAAGTATCTATGGCTTCAGAAACGCAGAAGCAGAGAATTTCTTCCGGATGGAGGACTACTACCGCCAGAAAGGTGTCACTGTGTCCAAGGTGTCGCTAACACAGAACTATAGATCAACAAGCAACATCTTGAACCTGGCCGAACAGCTCATGGGACAGCAGTTTGGCAAACGGGAGCAAAAGAAGCTGAAATCCAATAAAAAGGTGAATCTGCCTGTTGAGCTGTTCAGCAGCGCCGACAACAAGGTGGAAGCCATCAGTATTTCAAAGAAGATCAAGGAGCTCGTGGACGGTGCGGTGTTCCGGTGTTCGGACGTGGCTATTTTGCTTCGTGCTGGTTTTCTATCGCGGGTGATCGAACAGGAACTTATCCACTCGAACTTGCCGTACCAGGTGGTTCACGGCAGATCTTTCTGGGAGAACAAGGAGATCCGTTTAATGATGAACTTCATGCGTGCCGTTGCCTCTGACATGGACTGGTTGGGGTACAGTCGGTGTTTGGAGTTCCATGTTGCTGGACTTGGGCCGAAATCGATGCAAATTATTGAAGACTTGTTTATGGAGCAACGCGCCCACAACGAGCCGGGAAACGTGTTGGCGATCCTTGAGGGCATTGCCGAGGGCCGTGTGAAGGGCATTATGGCGAAATCGGTGGCTGGAATCAAGGAAGTCTTGGACATAATCAAATCCTCGCGGAAACTGCTACTGGACGACAAAACCGAGCAGGAACAGCTTTCTACAATGTTCAACAACATCGTCACCAAGACCAAACTGGTTTCCATAATTGCCAAAGAGCGTGCAGACAAACACGACTCTCCGGAGGAGGAGATCGAGGCCAATTTGAACGAGTTGCAAAACCAGCTTGTCAGTTTCAACATCCAGGAAGAGACGCTGTTACAGGACGCGTATGAGACAGAGGATTTGATTGAAGTGGCAGATGAGTCGTTTGATGCTCTGGCAGAAACAAGCGCCAGTCTCGACAAACTTACGCAGTTCCTGGACTCGGTGTATCTTTACGAGGAAACGAAGGACGCCAAAAAGACAGCTCCCAAAATCACAATCACAACTGTTCACGGGTCCAAGGGACTTGAGTGGCCCGTGGTGTTTGTTCCTGCCCTATGTGACGGCATCTTACCGTCGCAGTACGCGCTCAATACGTCTTTGGACGAGGCCAAACGACAAGCGGCTTTGGACGAGGAACGGCGGTGCATGTACGTTGCTGTGACCAGGGCCAAGGAACGGCTATTTCTCAGTTACCACCACCGCGCGCTTGGGTTCAGCATGGGAGACCAGGCGAAGACCAAAAGCCGGTTTTTAAATCTGCCCAAGGGATTCGTGCAATCGTCCAAAGCTGCCATGTTGAAAGGACCGCCTTTGAACCTGTCGCAGCCGACTTCACGCTTTGCTAATGTTATGCGCTCGTCTCCAAGCCTGAACACCACCTATAAAGGGTTCCAGCCGGCGTCTAAACTGACGGGAAACGCCTTCACCCCAGAAGGACTGACGAAAATCTCCAAACCAACGAAAAAACGACTCGGCATGGGAAGACCACTACGCTTTTTAAAGAAATAAGTAGATATTAGGCATTATTAAGCCCGCACCGGGTAGAACAGTCTCGCAAGGTACGCTCCGGCGCCCCGTTGTAGCAGCGCCTCGTACGTCTCGCGTCTTTTTTCAAACTCCTGCGAGTCTTTTTGCTGGTCAAGAACTTCCTCCAAAGCCTCTTGTCGCGCATAAAGCATCTTACGGATCTTCCATTCTCTGATCGGAACAATACTGCAGAACCCAGCAAACGCAAAACATCCGCAGAAAATCTGCGCCTTGATGAACGGTCTGTCCAGACTCATATCTCTGAGTTTGAGTGCCACCACCTCGCAGAAAACGGTAAACACGCCCATCCAGAAGTTTTGAAAACTCCATGCGGACGGAAACAGCTCAGGAGCAACCGAGTCTGCCAACAGCGGCTGGTTCAGCGTGGAAGCCACGCCAAACGTCAGCCCTGAAAGCACAGCATAAGCGAAAACCACCGGGGCCGTCATGGCGTTGATCCACATGGCAAAGATCAGAACCACCATGTTGAACGTCAATACCACTGCCAGGTTCACGCGGCCCACGTAGTCTGCGCTTATTCCAATCATAAACCGGCCTATTGCCTGGCACCCGTTGAAGATGGCTGTCACGTGACTTCCCTGGGTCGAGGTGAGGCCGACAAAAGTGCTGAATGCAGACAGCGAGAAGAGCGCCATGATGTAGCAAGAGAGCACGAGAACAAACCACAGGGTCAGCAAGTGCACCTGGGGCAGTTTCACCACCTTGACGTTGAACAGGACGTTGAAACGGGTGATGATCTCGTGGCGGGTGCGCAAACGCTGCGACGGCACGCGATATTTCAGTACAAACGCTGCAGCTGTGTTTGCAACCACGGAAAAAATCGCCAGCATTCTCTGAGCCCACGCGGGACTGCCTGTTTGGTTGATGATCTGCTGGGATCCAAGCGAAAAAGCCACACCTGCTATACCGCTCGCAGAGACGATGATTCCCGAAGCCAGGCCTCTACGCTTGTCAAACCATTGCGGGAATATGACGATGGCCGGATTGAACACGAGAGCGAACCCGAACCCGACCAAAACGCCCTGGGTGAGGTATAATTGCCAGAGCTTTTTGGAGAACGATGCCAGCAGGTAACCGGCCGACTGGAGCACAACACCGGAGAGCATGACGACTTTCTTGCCGAAGATGGCAGAGGCCATTTGTGCAAGGGGCGCCAAGGCCTGTGCGAGCGCGAGGACCAAACTGCCAATCAGAGCAAAATCTGTGGCACTGGACCCGGAAAACGTATCGTTTTGGAGCCAGAAATTCAGGAAAACTCCGTAGCAACCGTTGGCTCCCCAGGTAGCCAGCATCATGGTGAAGACGGCTCCGCAGATGGCCCAGGAGTACCCTTGATCCAAAGGCGGGAGGTCTGGTCTTTCATCACGGGGTGCCAATTGCGCTTCGGGACCCGCCCGTTCGGACCTGTTGGTGGCGATCCGTATGGCGTCCTCGAGATCGACCGTGTCGCAGCCCTGCAGAGCTTCCCGAGGCGTCTGGAGGTCGTCGAGCCGGGCCTGCTCGACATATTGCCTAGCACTTCTCACACCCCTAGAAACGGTGGAAGCCAGCGACGTGACTGTTCTGGTGCGTGTAACCGTGGCAGCGCGCGAAACAGCACGAACCGAGTCCGCCCGCTGCGCTGCTTCAAGACCCTGTGGCGTGTCGGAGTCGAGCGACGAAAGAGAACTGGTATCCATGGAGTTACGGAAAAATAAATTGTTTCGATTCCTAATAGAGTAATTGACGATAAGATAGTTAGGGGTGCGAGGTGTGCTCAAAGAACTAAAAATTGCCGTGCTATTAAACCTTGACTGGGTAAACCAAACGGACAAGCGGACCAACGGGGTCTTTTCTGAGGAGACTGAGGTAGCTGGATTTGCGGTCTATTAGCACCTGGTCCGATTTTTCTATTTCGAGCGCTTCTTCGGTGATCTTGAGACGATTTGTCAGCATCTTTCTGATCTTCCACTCTCGTATTGAAAAAACACAGAGCACACCAGCAGCGGCAAAACAGCCGCAAAAGATCTGTGCTTTGATGAACGGCTTGGACAACGACATGTCGCGGAGCTCGAGAGCCACCACCTCACAGAAAAGAGTGAAGCATCCAAGGACAACGCTCTGAAAGCTCCATGCGGCAGGAAATAATTCTCTAGGGATCGTGTCAGCAAGAATTGGTTGATTCAGCACCGAGGACGCACCGAACGTCAAGCCCGAGAGAACAGAGTATGCAAATACACTTGCGGTCGTGGTTGCGTTGACCCACATCCCCAGTACCAGGATCAGCATCGTGAGTGACAAAATGCAGGCCAAATTCACACGGCCCCCGTAATCTGCAACCAGTCCGATAAAGACTCTTCCTATTGCCTGGCATCCGTTAAATATGGCTGTGACGTGGCTGCCCTGGTCACTGGTGAGTCCAATAGAAGAACCGTACGCAGAAAGTGAGTATAGTGCCACCACGTAGCACGACACCACGAACGAGTACCACAGCGCAATGGTATACAATTGAGGAATAGCCAGCACGTTTTTGTTGAACAGAATGCGTATTCTCAGCTTCACATCGTGCCAAGTGGACAGACGTTTAGCTGGGATTCTCTCCTTGATGAACAAAGTTGCTAGCAAGTTCAGGAAAAAGGTAATAATTGCCAGTGCTCGCTGAGCCCAAGCTGGAGTACCTGTTTTATTAATCATGGCCTGACATGAAAGGGAAAAAATCACTCCTCCAACACCGCTTGACGAAGCGATGATTCCAAAGGAGAGACCTCTTCGTTTGTCGAACCACTCGGGAAGAATTACGATCGACGGGTTGAACAGAAACGAAAATCCAAACCCAACAAGAACTCCCTGTGTTAAATACAGCTCCCATTTTTTGGTAGCAAATGAGGCCAATAAATATCCAAGCGTCTGAAGAATCAGACCCAGCGCCATGGTGGGCCGCAGTCCAACAATGGCCGAGGCCGTTTGTGATAGTGGAGCAAAGATCTGGGCCAGACCCAGCACACAGCTTCCAATCAATGCAAAATCGGTGGCTCCCGTGTTGGGGAAAGTTTCGTTCTGCAGCCAATAATTAAGAAACACTCCATACGAGCCGTTTGTCCCCCACGTCGAGAAAAACACAACAAACATCATAGCGCACACCACCCACGCGTATCCCGTATCCTTCTGCGGATACTGTGAGTCATCTTCAACGGTGGTTGTATGTTCGGATTTGTTGGTTGCAATGGTTATGGCCTCCTCCAAACCTAGCTGGTCGGCGATTTCGTACGTACGCGGTCTTTGAAGATCCTCCGACGCCGTTTGCATGTTGTCGTCTCGAACTTGGTCCACAATTCGACGGACCCCGCGAGTCATCGAGGAAGCGAGCGAAACTCCTGTTCGAGTGCGATGCATGGCGGGAGAAGGCGACCGCGATTGCTCGTACGTTTCATATCCGCGTTCATTGACCTTGTAGCCGTCAACCACCGACTGTCGCTCCGAGTCCAGCGACGAGATTGAGTCTTGGTCCATTAGAAAAGATCGGGAAAAGATTTTCGGGTCTTTCTCCAAACGGAAATTTGCGATAAGATCAAACGGCTGTACCTTTGAAACGATTACCCCAATTTTCCAATTCATTCGTGGAGACGCGAACCTTTTATATTTTAGATCTGTTTCGGGAAAGTTCGCTATTGCGCATGTTTTAACCTCCAGTTGGCCCCCATGTGCTTATCTCAACGCCGTTTGGTTTAGTCAACGCGGTGTACGGGTGTGTAATTTTCCCTGGAAAAAAAAAATATTTGAATTTTTTTTGAAATATTTTACTAGCATGGCTACGCTGATCCCTCCTCCGTCCAAGAAGCAGAAGCGGGAGGCCCAACTTCCGCGCGAAGTTGACTTGGTTCCTACAGACCTTCCCGATGTTCTGATCAAGTTCCAGGCGTCCGATTCGGGCGAGAATGTCGGTAGTTCCGTGAGAGTGCCCGGCGGGATCTCTGAAAAACAGCTCGAGGAGTTGCTCAATCAGCTCCAGAACAACAAGGACGAGCCCGTTGCATACTCCTTTGCCGTCCAGAACGGTTCTGATCTCATAGACGTGAAGGATAATATCTATTTCTCGGTGTTGAAGCCAGGAATAAAAACTACCGAAGATACACTCACTTTAGTTTTCACCCCGCGAGCAGTCTTCAAGGTGCGGCCTGTGACGAGATCTTCGGGCACTATCAGTGGACACGGTGCCACTATCCTTGCTGCACAGTTCCCGCCCAACACAAGCTCCTATTTCGTCACGGGAGCAGGCGATTCCACTGCCCGACTCTGGGATTGCAACACCCAGACCATCAAGACGACTTTGAGCGGCCATTCGAACTGGGTATTATGTGTTTCGTACTCTCCGTTCGGTGATGTTGTTGCCACTGGATCGATGGATGGCAGTGTTCGTCTTTGGGAAGGGAAATCCGGCTCGCAGATCGGAACTCTTTCTGGCCACTCCAAGTTTGTTTCTTCCTTGGCCTGGGAACCTGCGCATTTGGTTTCTCCGGGCGACTCTCCTCGTTTGGCGTCTGCATCGAAAGACGGAACCGTTCGTATTTGGAACACTGCCTTGCAACGCTGCGAAATGACGCTCTCTGGACACGCTTCGTCTGTCTCGTGTATAAGATGGGGCGGAACCAACCTGCTATACTCTGGGTCCCACGATAAGACTATCAAGATCTGGGACCCTAAGGAGGGAAGATGCATTCAAACACTCAAAGCACACGGACACTGGATCAACCACATTGCTCTCTCGACCGATTTTGCGCTCAGATCCGGTCCGTTCGATCACACGGGAGCAAAACCAAAGGACGACACAGAAAGACAGAAAAAGGCGCTTGCTAACTATGAGAAAGTGGCCAAGGTGGGCGGCAAGATTACTGAGAGAATGGTCACCGCCAGTGACGACTTCACGATGTTCCTGTGGGAGCCAGCCCGGTCGCCTAAACCAATCTGCAGAATGACCGGCCACCAAAAACTGGTCAATCACGTGTCGTTCTCTCCCGACGGTCGCTACGTCACATCTGCGTCTTTTGACAACTCCATCAAGCTTTGGGACGGCCGCGACGGCAAGTTTCTGGCCACATTCCGCGGTCATGTGGCCGCCGTGTACCAAACGGCCTGGTCCTCCGATAATAGACTCCTGGTCAGCTGCTCCAAAGATACAACGCTCAAGGTCTGGGACGTGCGCACAAAGAAACTCGTTTCAGACCTTCCCGGCCACTCGGACGAGGTCTACGCGGTCGACTGGAGTTTGGACGGTGCCCGTGTGGTGAGTGGTGGTAAGGATAAAATGGTGCGTATCTGGACTCATTGATTAGGTAATCGTACTTGAATAAATTGATAAAATTAAGAAATCATGACCAAAGTGTCGCTGATAGTAGCTGCGTTGGTTCCAAAGCTTGGGATCGGGTACAAGGGTCAATTGCCATGGGCTCTGAAGGAGGAAATGAAATATTTCCGCAAGGTGACTACTCAAACGGTCGACAAAAGTAAAAAGAACGCGGTGATCATGGGCAGAAAGACGTGGGAATCGATCCCTGCGCGGTTCAGACCGCTCAAAGACAGAGTGAACGTTGTGTTGACGCGAAACGTGGGCGCGTTTTCGGAGAAATACGCCGACGAGCTGGCTACACACGGCGAGAACGTGAAAATCGCTGATTCGCTGAAATCGGCGCTCCAGAGTCTGGATACGAAACAGATCGAGGAGGTGTTTGTGATTGGCGGTGCCGAACTGTACAACCAGGTTCTGAAGAACGACCCCGAGCTGATTGAGCGAGTGTTTTTGACCGAAGTCAGCGCTGAAAAGGAGCTCGAAATGGACGCCTTTATCGAGCTTTTGGAGCCGTGGAAAAGACAAGAACCGCACGTCTGGACAGCATACCTCGCCACAAAGGGCCTCGACGCAGAGTTCGCCCAGCACAACAACGAGGCCGGCTTCCGCTTTAGCTACCAAATCTACAGTCCGTCTCGGTCTTAGGTGTGCTTGAGGGTTGCTCACGTGATGTCGCAAACAGCCCTGGAAAACTTTTGCCTGAGTAAAATATTGAAAAATTATTTACTATAATTCTCATCAAGATGGCTGAATCACACAGACTCTACGTCAAGGGAAAGCACATCTCTTACCAAAGATCTAAGCACGTCACGAACCCAGACACCTCTCTCATCAAGATTGAGGGCGTTGCCAACTCTGACGAGGCTAAGTTCTACCTCGGAAAAAGAATTGCCTACGTCTACAGAGCTTCCAAGGAAGTTAGAGGCTCCAAGATCAGATGCATTTGGGGAAAGGTCACCAGAACTCACGGTAACAACGGATTGGTGAGAGCACAGTTCAAGAACAACTTGCCAGCAAAGACTTTCGGTGCTTCCGTTAGAATCATGTTGTACCCATCCAACATCTAAGTGGTTTTCCAAAATCGAAACTTTGGGACCCTAATACAGAGGCAGATACAGAGAGGAGTGAGGAGTTGAAGCTGTTATAAGTAAGACTAATAAACGTCTTTATGTTAGATATATTCCATGTAGTGTTTGGTCGCAGTTTTCCAGCGGTCGACATGAGTAAATACACACCTCTACACCAAATATCTCGTATGGGTAAATATTTAATACATTCAAATATGGAGCCAACTTGCTCCCGTATAAATTATGTCTTAGATCCTCACACTCCGCCGTTTGAAGAAGTCCATCACTCTCTTGGCCGTCGAGTCTTTTTCTCTGCGAGCCCCCATGGTCATACGACGCTCGGCCACATCGTCTTTCTTGTTGCTTGGTTCCAAGATCTTGCGTGGAGGCTGGGCAGACTGAGCAGACTGGACAGACTGCGACGATGGTGGTGGACGTAGCTCCTGCGACAGATTGTTGTGGGAATAGAAACTTAACATGCTGAATCTCTTGAATTTCGGTGCAGGGGCAGAGGTCGAGGTGGAACTTTTGCGGCTGTTCCGATTCTCTTTCTCGTGCTTGCTGCGCTCGGAAATACTCGACTGGCGGCTCGGCGTCGACGCTCTGCCGGAGGACCCCACGATCTGAGATTTGAGCTGCATCAGATCGTCGGCAATTGGCAACTCTCTGATGGTGTCGTCCTTGACTGGAGAAGACACGCTTTGCAACTCTGGCTCTTTCTCCTGTTCCTGGGCTGGCACAGTAGTCTCTTTTACTTCCTCCTTCTTGACCTCCTTCATAGTCTCGACCTTGGCAGTAGATTCGCCCGACATCAATGGCGAGTTTGGAGTCGTCGTCGTGGACGAAATGGAGAAGATATCGATCGCGTTGGAAAGTGAGTCCAATGCAGCACTTCTGCGTTTCTCGGAATCCTTCATTGGCTCGGCAGCCTCCTCTTTTTCGGCCGCATCCTTCAGTGTAGTGAGAACACCACTGGCACTAGCCATATCAACAATAGGCTCAGTAGGTTGACACCACGAGTTTCTATGTTCCTTCACCGGAGATGAAGAGCCGGAACTGGCCTTCTCAAACAATGGTCGGGTGAGACTAGTTTCAGACGAAGTTGCTGGAACAAGGAATGACAAGTCAGGTGATGGGAACATGTAGCCGGAAGAAGCACTGGCAGGATGGTACGACATGGGCCGTGGTCTGTTGGACCGCGTTGGAAGCTTGGAGGAGAAAGATGCCGTTGTTTGTGCCGAGGTTGGGCTCTGAGAGCCACCCGATCTTGGCACTGGTGGGAGCAAAGGTGGTGGCATGGGCGTGTCGCCGACAGACATGGGTGTTTCCGCAATAGGTTCGAAGTTTGGTGGTGCGCTGCTCGAAATCAAACTGCTGCTACGCGAAGGTCTAGTACCCTCTTGGAATGTGGCAGATCTTGGGAAATTAGGCTTGTCACCTTGGACACTGTTTCTTCGAGAAACTTCGAAATTGTCAGCTTCCACAACGGCCTGTAGCACCAGGCTGGCGGAAGAGCCAGCTTTTTCGCGTCCAGTACGGTAGAACTCGTGTGGGGAGGTTGGAGAATGCAAATTGTCAGGACCAGATGAAATAGCGACAGCGCGAGAGGTCTGAGGTGCTGCAGGATTAGAGTAGAGTAATGCGGAATTAGGTTTCGAAGCAAAAGACTTGCTGTGTGGTCTGTTGAGCATGAGAGACGCCGAACTTGGGTTTTCCATGAGCGATAATCTTCTGTTAATCTTATCCTGCGATGCGACAGGCTGTCTTGATCTGGTGTAGTTTCTGTCCCACTCTGCGGGCGTGACAGACAAGAACGGAGCGTGTGGAGCTAGCCACACGTGAGCCCTGACTTGCTTGAGATCTATACGTTTCTTCGGGTTCGGCACGATGATTTTGCGGAGCAGATCTCTTGGCGTAGGCTGGATATATTCGGGGAACGTCAATGGTGAGTTGGTGATGTAATGGTATAGTCTGGCAATATTATCACCATCAGGGTTCTGAGGGTCATCGTCGAAGGGAAGGTAACCGGCCAACATAGCGTACAAGATCACACCACAGGACCACACGTCGACTTTGCGTCCTTCGTACGGGTCGCTGCTGACGACCAATTCTGGTGCTGCGTAACAGGGGGAGCCACAACTTGTTTTCATCAAGTCTGTGGATCTGAAAGTGTTGACAAACCCAAAGTCTGTGATGATGATATTTTTGTGTTTGTCCAACAAGAGATTTTCGAGCTTCAAGTCTCTGTGGATGATCCCCTTTGCGTGCATGTAGTCGACTCCGGAAACCAGCTGAGCAAACAGCCTACTGGCCATAGATTCTTTCAAGTACCGGTGTTCGAGAATGTAGTCGAAAAGTTCACCTCCGGAGGCGTATTCCAGCACAATTCCGATGTATTTGTCGTTCTGAAGCACCTCTTCCAACCTCACGATGTTGGGATGTGCCAGTTTCTTCAAAGCGTTAATTTCGCGGTGGACCTTGTTTTCCTTTTCAGAGCCCTTGGGTATGGAGTCTCTACGGATCAGTTTGATGGCAGCTTGGGACGGCTGTTTGCCATCTTTGCGCCATCCGAGTTTGACTTTGCCAAACTCGCCTTCACCAACCGTAGATCCCAACACATAAGCTCCAAATCTAACTTCCTTGGCAGTTCTTCTCTTTGTTCCGGAACTCATACTAAGTCGCGAGCTTCTCGTTGAGGGAGGAACGCTCATTATGAATGGTGCACGGGATAGGTCTGGGATGATATAGGAACGGGTTGTTATGAGTCAGAAACAAGTGTTGTAAAGCAAATCAAGGACGATCGACCGACAGAGGGAATATACAGTGTAGTTTCAAATTTTTCGAGAGGGAAAAACATAAACATACGCCAAATCTTGTTTATTTTTTGCCCCATAGGGAAGAAAAAAGGGGGTCACCCGTTTTAGAGATACCAATCTTACATTTTATCTGCAATAGGAGTGTCTGCAGGTTGACAGAGCAGGGACGTGTCATTGCGTCCATGTAAAATGTTCAAAATCCGTCTCCAAACCTGAAACCACACATTGTGTGTCGACGCGTCGATCGGCGCAGGAGTCCTTACGCGTCTCATTTCCCGAAAAAGGAAACCTGCACGACATTTGTAACAATTTCTTCTATCCCTCCTTTCTTTCTTCTCATGGACGGTATAGTTGAAGCTGCTGACGCCGTCTTTGGCGAGCGTGTGAGAGTATTTCAGGAGTTTTTGGATGCCGATGTTGCCACTCAGACAGATTACAAAGATGCCATCAAGTTGATGCTTCAAAAGGGACAACGTCGTTTGGCCATTTCGATCGACGAGTTACGTGAATTCAACCTGGATTACGCGAACGGGTTGTTGAACCAGCCCGCAGACTATCTTCCTGCTGCTGAGACAGCTTTGAGAGAAACAGTGCTAGCACTTTTCAACACGTACGAGTATTCTCAGATGGACATCACTCAGGATTCCGACTTTTATTTGGCTTTCCGTGGAGCCTTTGGGTCTCATCAATTGTCTCCTCGGTCGATCAACTCGTCTTTCCTTTCCAAGATGGTTTCCATTGAAGGAATCGTCACAAGGGCGTCTTTGATCCGTCCAAAGATCATCAAGTCTGTTCATTACTGTGACGCGACCGAAAAATTTCACGCTCGTGAATATAGAGACCAAACTACCAGTTTCAATCCGATCACCACCTCGGCGAATTACCCCACCGAGGACCCGGACGGGAACAAGCTGATCACAGAGTACGGTTATTCCAAGTACAGAGACCACCAGACCGTTGCTATCCAGGAACTGCCGGAGTTTGCTCCAGCGGGACAACTTCCTCGGTCCGTGGACGTGATTTTGGACGACGACTTGGTCGACAAGGTCAAGCCTGGTGATAGAGTACAGATCATCGGTGTTTTCCGGTCGCTGGGAGGAGGCCAGAACAACAGCTCGGCTTTCAAAGTGGTCATCTTGGGTAACTCTTTGTATCCGCTGCATGCTCGGTCGTCTTCGGTGCAAGCGGTGGAGAAAATCACAGATTTCGATGTCAGAGACATCAATAAGCTGGCCAAGAAAAAAGATGTATTTGACATTCTGTCGCAGTCGCTTGCTCCATCTATTTACGGCCATGACCACATCAAAAAAGCAGTGCTGTTGATGCTTCTTGGAGGAACAGAGAAAAACCTGGCCAACGGAACACATCTTCGTGGAGACATCAACTTGCTGATGGTGGGAGATCCTTCCACTGCCAAGTCGCAGATTCTTCGGTTTGTTCTGAACACTGCTGCTCTGGCTATTGCCACCACCGGACGTGGTTCGTCTGGTGTCGGTTTGACTGCCGCAGTTACCAGCGACAAGGAGACGGGAGAAAGACGGCTGGAGGCCGGTGCGATGGTTCTTGCGGATCGAGGTGTCGTTTGTATCGACGAGTTCGACAAGATGAGCGACGTCGACCGTGTTGCTATCCACGAAGTCATGGAGCAGCAGACCATCACCATTTCCAAGGCCGGAATCCACACGTCTTTGAACGCAAGATGTTCTGTGATTGCAGCTGCCAACCCGATCTACGGCCAATATGATACCTTCAAGTCCCCACAGCAGAACATTGCTCTTCCGGACTCGCTTCTTTCGCGTTTCGACTTGCTGTTCGTGGTGACGGACGAGATTTCCGACGATAAAGACAGAAAGATCAGTGAGCACGTTCTGAGAATGCACAGATACCTTCCTGCTGGCTACGCGGAGGGCGAGCCGATCAGAGAACGGCCTGCCGTGACTTTGGCCGTTGGCGACCGTCCGTTGGAGCCAGAGACCGAGAACAGCGAGGTTTTCGAGAAGTTCAATCCTCTGCTGCACGCGGGAGCTGCCGAGGCCGCCAAGGGCAAGACTCCGAAGATCGTCACGATCCCGTTCTTGAAGAAGTACGTGCAATACGCCAAGCAGAGAATCCACCCCGTGTTGACCCAGAACGCTACCAACATGATTGTGGACATCTACGCAGAGTTGAGAAATGACGATAACACCAAGAACAACAGAACCACGCCGATCACGGCCAGAACGCTCGAGACGCTGATCAGATTGTCCACTGCGCACGCCAAGGTGCGGCTGTCGCAGACGGTGGATTTGAAGGACGTCCTTGTTGCGCAGGAGCTGCTACGGTTTGCTCTGTTTAAAGAAAAGCTGACCAAGAGAGAGCCTCAAAAGAAGAAGCGTCGTGTTGAGCACGACGTCCTCGACGAAAGCGCCGACGAGAGTCTGTCTGAGTCCGAGACCGAGGGAGACGAGGTGATTGGCAACCGGATTCTGACCAGAAGACAGCGTGCGTTGCAGCAGATCCACGAGGACCAGCAGGTCGACGAGCAAGTGGACGAGCAAGTGGACGATCTGGCACGGACCGTTGAGTCGCAGCATCTGGGCGAGACGTCTGTGTCGCGGGCCTCGAACACGGTTGGTCTTTCGCCGGCACGGTACGAGCTGTTCAAAAAGACCGTGTCCAAGGTGTTTATCGCAAACGGCTCTGTGGAGGAGTTCAAGAGCGACGGTCTTCTACAAATGGTGAACTCGGAGCTTTCTCAGGAAGATCAGTTCGGCGCCGACGAGGCCACCAAGGCTCTGGAACGACTCGAAAACGAAAACATCATCATGGTGAGCGATGGAAGTATCTGGAGAATTTAAATGTTAGTTAGCCCCGAAATAAATATTTCATCTAATTTGTATTAGTCATGTCGTTTGGGCCGTCTGGAAAGAAGATAGTTCTTGACGAGAACGGCAAGCCGTGCCGGTCGTGCAACTCTCTGCTGGACTTCAAGGCGGTGACCAAGTCTGCCACCAAGACGGTGGCCGAGGACTGTCCGCCCGATGTTGAGCAGCTTGGCCGGTCCACCTGGACGTTTTTGCACTCGGTGGCCGCCAAGTACCCGGAGGTTGCCTCCGAGAGCCAGCAGGACGACATGCGCACGTTTCTGCGGGTGTTTGGAAACATATACCCGTGCTGGGCGTGTGCTTCCGACTTTAGAGCACACATGGAGAAAGACAAGCCCAAGGTGCGGACTCAAGAGGAGTTTGGCCAGTGGCTGTGCGACGCGCACAACGAGGTCAACGTCAAGCTCGGCAAGAAGAAGTTTGACTGCAATCTGTGGAAAGAAAGATGGAAAGACGGCTGGAAAGACGGCCGTTGTGATTAACTGTAAATACCTGTATATAAATTTGATGAATCACGTATATAACGATAAATTAAGAGGCACCGAGCTTCCACGGCCTGAAGGGTACAGTTTCTGTTTGTTTTCGAACCGCCGCGGTTTTGGGATGTCTGCCTCGTTTGTGAAGTGGAACCGCGACTCGTCGATCTGCACTTTGGCAGAGGTGTTGGTGGCTCCGATCGTGTAGATCGACGCGTCGATTTTTCGCAGATCCGAGCCCACGGCCTGCTGTGTGTTGATCCGGGCGTCGTCCGGCACCTTGGACCGCGACAGGCCGAACCTGTGCTTGGTTTCTGCTGGCGGAGGTGGTGGTGGCGCCTTTCTGGCCGTGCTTGGTTGCACGGCTGGCGCAGACACCTGGGGCGGTGCTGGCGGTGCGTGCGGGGCCACAGACGGGGTGTATGGCGGCGAAGGGGGCCGTGGCGCCGGAGCGGCTGGCAGAGTCGGTGCGCTCGACGCTGGTGCTGGCGGGGCCTTGGTGGTTGGGATCGACGGAGCCGGTGGAGCCTTGGTGGTTGGGATCGATGGGGCCGATGGGGCTGGTGGAGCTTTTATTGGGATCGAAGGGGCTGGAGTAGGAGGGGCCGCCGTTGGGAGAGCCGGGGCTGGTGGTGCCGGCGGTGGGGTAGGTGCACTGGAAACCGGGGCTGGCGGTGGAGTAGGTGCACTCGATGCTGGGGCCGGTGGGGCTTTCAACGACGGGATAGGAGGCGCCGATGGGGGCATTGACGGAGCAGAAGGCGCCTTCGTCGATGGGATTGGCGGCGCGGCCGCTGCAGGAGCAGATGGAGCAGGCACGCTCGGCACACTTGGTGCCTGCACCTTTGGCTGTGTGGCCTGTTTCTTCACGTCGTCCTCGCCGATCACGTGCGAGTCGTTTCTTCTGGCATTGATCTGGGCCAGGAAAGGAAGCGCTCCTGCCGAAGCACCAGGCTCTGCCGCCGGTGTGGGTAGTTTGCTTGGTGTCGATGATTTGGACGGTGCTGGCGCTGCTGGCGCCGAAGGGATGGGAGGAGGTGCTGGGGCCGAGCTCGATGGCAGCGGTGGAGGGGCCGGGGCACCACCAGAAGGCAGTGGTGGGGGAGGTGGTGCAGATGTGGCTGGGGCCTTGGGAGCAGCTGGAGCACCAAAGCTAGGGATCGCTGGGGGTTTTGGTGCCGAGGACGATGGCAGCGGCGGTGGGGCAGGAGCAGAGTTCGATGGCAGAGGAGGAGGTGCTGGTGCTGACGTGGATGGTAGAGGAGGTGGTAGAGGAGCAGCCGAGGTTGGCACCGACGGAGCCTTTGGAGCAGACGATGTTGGCAGCGGTGGGGGAGGAGGTGCCGCCGAGTTCGGAAGAGACGGGGCCTTTGGTGCAGAACTGGCAGGTACCGGTGGTATTGGTGCAGAACTTCCAGGGATCGGTGGAGGGGCTCCAGGGACGGGTGGGGCCGATAATGAGGGCACGGCTGGCGCCGACGATCCGGTGGACTCGCGTTTGGGTCTTGACGACGGCAATTTAGGCGCCGAGTTGGCTGGTGGCGGTCTCGAGACCGGGTCTCCTCTGTGTTTGAGCTTTGGAATTCCACCCGCAAAGATGTCTCCTAATTGGGGTGCTCCTGACGGGATGGCTGGCGCCGATGGGGCAGAAGGAATAGCCGGGGCACTGGCCATGCCCATTGACGGCGCCTGGGACGATCCCCCAGACGAAGACCCTGCAACAAGCGGTTTGGACCTGTCGTTGGTGACGGCCTTTTTCAGGGCCTTTCCCTTGCGAATGTCGCCCAGAAGCGCGCCTCTGTCCGGCGTGACCTTGATTGCGCTGATCGGAGTGCTGGAAGGCGGGCCTCCCATTGGGGGCGCCGGAGGTGGTGGAGGTGGCGGAGGAGCTGACATGGTTATTACGAAAACCAGTTTTGGAAAACATCTTAGCACCAGAAAATTTTGTATGTTACGACGGTGGTACTCGTTAAACAGAACGCTGTTGGTGAGCAAGCTGCCTTTCAACGTCACCGAGCAGCAGGTCGGCGACGTTTTCAAGGTGGTGGGCGGACTGCGCAAAGTCGAGCTGGCCAAAGAGCACGGGAAACTGAAAGGATACGGGTACGCAGAGTTTGAGAGCGAGGAACAGGCTCGTGCGGCCCAGGTCCAGCTCCAAGGCAAGGTGGTGAACAATATGCCGATCCGGTTGGACCTGCGGAGCGAGGTGGAGCAACGACAGAAGTATCTGGAAGATAAAAAATACGAGGTGCTATTAATACGAAATCTGCCCTACGATGCCACCGAGAAGAGCGTTTTAGACTTGTTCTCGCCAATGCAAGGGATCCGGTGCGGGCTTGCCAAGGCTCCGATCAGCGACCAGTGTCTGGGGTACGGGTTTGTGCGGTTTCTGGACGCCAACGTGGCATTGAACGCTGTTCGCAAGATCAAACGGAGTCCGCTACATCTGAACGGCCGCAAACTCAAGGTGGAGTTTGCTAAGAAGAAAGTCAACGGATACAGACACATTGTCTAATACATCTCATTGTCATTAAAACTATGTACATTTTAACATGACCAATTATTCTCTCACGATACCAACCTTGGCAGCACGAAGAACACGTCCGTTAAGCTCGAAACCAGGCTGTTGCACATGGAAAACGGTTCCTGGCTCTTTGCCCTCGACAGGAGCCTGGAAAGTGGCCTCGTGACGGTTAGGATCAAATGGCTCGTCAACAGGGTCGATCTTGGTCAATCCGTGTTTGGCCAAGGTCTTTTCGAAAACGTCTCTGGTCATCTTAACACCATCGTACAATTGAGCAACTTCCTCGTTGGTCTTCAAGGTATCTTCTTTAACAGCGTTAAGAGCGTGGCCAAAGTTGTCTACGCTCTCGATCAAGTCCTTTGCGAACTTCTGCAGGGCAAAGTCCTTAGCCTTCTGGATCTCTCTTTTGGTTGTTTCCTGTAAGTTACGGAAATCGGCCACAGACCGCAAATATCTGTCCTTGAACTCGACACACTCCTTGTCCTTTGCCAGCAACTTCTCCTTGGTGGCGGCCAGCTCTGCCTCCAGTGGATTGGCATTCTCGGCAGCGGTCTCGGAGGCCTCCTTCTTGGCCTCGTTCAGCCAAACTCTCGCAGAGGAGAATCCTCTGTACTGTCTTGTTCCTTGTCTCACTGCTCTAACCCACATTGACATTGACAAAAAAAAAGGTTTGACTTTTTTTTACTTGTTTTTTTTATTTTACCCGGCATGTCGTCGTCCCTCCAGTTTGGCAATGATTACTACGATTCATTGCAAACGCTCACTTTCAATTCGCGCCCAATCATCGAGAGCCACACACAACTCGCCCAGGAAAACGTCGAGCATGCTACCGAGATCGTAAAAGCCGTGGAAAAGCGTATTTCCAAGGCCATCCCAACACAGAAACTGTTTGCCCTCTACCTTCTGGATTCTATCTGTAAAGTGGTGGGGAGCCCGTATACAAGGCTTTTCAGCATAAACCTGTACAAGACGTTTACGCAGACGTACTCGTTGGTCGACGACCCAACTCGGGTCCGGATGATCAAGGTATTCAAGACATGGAAAATGGCCAACCCGGTGACAGGCCTCCCGCTTTTCAACGACGACCAACTGGATTTGATCGAAAAGTTCCTGATCAAGGCAACGGCTAATAATAAGATCGAGGAGCCGCTCTCGAAAGACGGCCTGATCAGAGACATTGAGGATCTGAAAAAGATGGTGGGTGACCGTTTGAGCAGGGGATCTGATCAAAAAACACGTCAAAGATACGACCTGCTCGACCAACTAAGAGCAATAATCAGTCAGCCTACACAGATCCCCATTCAACAGCTGGAAGTGGTGAGAAAACAGCTTTCTGGCATTCGGGAAGACGAGTACAGACGGCTACAACAACAGCAGCCGCCTGTCCAGCTGCCAAACATCCCGCAATTGCCCGCCTCGTTGCCACAGATCCCCAGTGTTCCTGCTGCTCCCGTCAGTGCTCCGAAATCAGCGGCAACTCCAGCCATTTTCTCGACTCCAGAATTGCAGAAACTTCTGGGACTCAACCCTGCCAAGACCGCCACCCCGTCTCCTCCAGCACCGCAGCCCGTGCAGCCCGTGACTAACTCTGCGGGCTTTATTATGCTTTCGATCGATCTGAACCAAACACTGCTCAATAGTCACACCCCGACCCCTGACGAGATCTCTCTCATTTACTCGTCCAAGCCGAACCAGTGCTCAAACTGCGCCAAGAGATTCAGTAACACCCCGGACGGCCTAATTGCCCGGCAACAACACTTGGACTGGCATTTCCGTACCAACAAAAAGCTCAAAGATACCGGTAAACAGCTTTACAACCGCGCATGGTATCTGAACGACCCAAAATGGATCGAGTTCAAAGAGGACGAGATCGTCGGCTACAGTTCTGACACTTTGGAAGCCAACAAAGTTACCACCAAAGAAGTTCTTACAGAAGACGATCTCAACAAACAAACCGTGGCTATTCCTGAAGACAGCGACAACGAGACCGTTTGCGGAATATGTAGAGAGAAACTCGTTGGTGTGTTTGACGACGAGCTGGGCGAATGGATATGGCGCAATGCCGTGCTCAAGAAGGGTAAGGTGTATCACTATAGCTGTTGGGTAGAGACCAAAGGTAACAACAGAGACCGGTCTCCAGAGCGAAAGTAAACAGGGATTCTTGATTCCTGTCGATTCTCATAGATATAGAATGCAATTAGCATCGAATATGGTCAAAGTAGCTGTCAAGATCTGTGATTTCTTTTAAATTTCTACATATGGTGAAAAAAAAAATTTAAATCTTTATATTTATGACTGAAACCGCTGGAGAGTCTCTTTTAGAAGAACTGCGACGCGGAGAGTACACCTGTTTGGTGTGCACGGGCGAGATGGACAAGACTTCCAAGATCTGGGCCTGCCACCACTGTTTTCGGGCGTTCGATCTCTCGTGTATCCGGGATTGGGCAAAAAGGGGATCTTCAACGGCCCAAGATCGATCCTGGAGATGTCCGTCTTGCAACAACACACACCTCAAGCTCCCGAAACAGTACACATGTTGGTGTGGCAAGGTGATCAATCCGCCAGAAAATGAGTTCGAGCCGCATTCATGTGGCCAAACGTGCAACTCTCCGTTACCAAATTGTGTTCACGGATGCTCTCTTCCCTGCCATCCGGGCCCCCACATCAAGAAATGCACAGCCATGGGGCCTGTAATCAAGTGCAACTGCGGATCCTCCGAGCAACAGCTTCCCTGCGTCATCACTCCTTACAAAACCGGGTGGTCTTGTGGCCGTCCGTGTGAAGACATTATGCCTTGTAATTTGCATAAGTGTGAGCGCAACTGTCACACGGGACTTTGCGGGCCCTGTGAAAAACCAATTACCGCCCGCTGTTTCTGTGGCCGTCACACAGCAGAACTCAAATGTCATGAACGTGCCCCAGAACAGTCGCAGACTCCCGACTCCTCGTGGATCGGGTCGTTCCAATGTGACGAGATCTGCGACGATCTTCTCGACTGCGGCAACCACAGGTGCACGGACCTCTGCCACGTCAAGACCTTGGCGGGCCACAAGTGCACGCGGTCGCCGAAACTGCTCACACACTGTCCCTGCGGCAAACACCGTCTCGAGCAGCTGGCCCCCGCCCGAGCCTCGTGTCTCGACCCGGTCGCCACATGCGGCGAGATCTGCGGTAAGACGCTCGAGTGCGGTCACACATGCTACTGGCCATGCCACGAAGGCGAGTGTTCGCCGTGCTTTGCCACAGTCGACGCCAAGTGCCGCTGCAACTACACCCAATACACCATCGCCTGCAAATTGGCACAGCAGGGCTACGTTCCCGAGTGCAACCACAAGTGCCAGGCCCTGATGAGCTGTCGTCGCCACAGATGTTTCGAGATCTGCTGCGAGTACGAGCCCGTTGCTGCCGTGAGAGAACGCCAGCGACTCAAGGGCATCCGGAAGAACGTTATTGACTCCAGAACTGCCACCGACCAGATGTCCATCGAGGCAGTGCATCTGTGCACCAAAGAGTGCGGCAAGTTGCTGTCGTGCGGTCTGCATCGGTGCCAAATGACCTGCCATCTCGGGCCCTGCAGACCGTGTCTGGAGTCCTCATCCGTGGATCTGGTGTGCCATTGTGGCCAAACAGTGGTTCCTGCTCCCGTGAGATGCGGCACAAAACTGCCCGTCTGTCTGAACCAGTGTCAGCGACCAACGAAGTGTGGCCATCGTCCAGAGCTGCACAACTGCCACGAGGACGACAAGGACTGTCCTCGTTGCACAGAACGTATGCCTAAGAAGTGCAAGTGTTCAAAAGCCATTGAGATCCAAAACTCCATGTGCTACCAAACGGTTGTTTCCTGTGGCCGGGTTTGTGGCGAGCTGCTTGCCTGTGGAGTTCACAAGTGTACCAAGGTGTGCCACGTTCCGGGAGACTGCCAGACCAAGTGCACAAATCCGTGCGGTAAGACACGCTCGTGCGGCCATCCGTGCCGCCAAACGTGCCACGCCCCGGCAAAGTGCAACGAGTCGATCCCGTGCCAGGGAAAGGTCACTGTCTATTGCTCCTGCAAGCGTCTTTCGCGCACGCTGCTGTGCTCGTTAAACCCAGACTCGCTGGAGTGTGACGAGGAGTGCGAGCGCGAAAAGCGGAACAGGGTTCTGCTTGAGGCCCTGGCAGAGTCTCCAGAAAGCGCCATTGAGGGAGACGTGATTTCGCGGTTCCTTCTTCTGGAAAAGACGTACTCGCCGTTTGTGATCTCGCTGTACTCTCAGCAGAAGGTCTGGTGCGAGAGCATCGAGACTGTGCTGCAAAGTCTTGTGAATAGAGAGCTCGACAGACAAACGTACCATTTCCGGCCAATGAAGAAGATCCAGAGACAGTTTATCCACGAATTGGCGGACGCGTACAAGGTGTACAGCGAGAGCCAGGACCCAGAGCCTAAGAGAAGTGTGTTCTTGCGGCTCGAGAGCGGGTCGAGACTGCCCAAGATCGGACTCAAGGAGGCATTCTTTGTGTCGAACAAGATGAAAGACAAAGAAAAGATGAAAAGAGAACACGCTGTGCAGATCGAGGAGCACAGAAAGCTCAACGGAGCATACAACGCTGTTCTGGTGAAAGATGCGTTCATGGGCGTGACTGCGGAGCGATTGGAGGCCGAATTGCCAGAAGAGCTTTCTGCCAAATGGATATCCGACTCGTTTGTGATCTACGGAGACTTTGACGAGGACCAATTGCGCTCGTTCAAGCCCGACATCAAGGATCTGTTGGTGTCGAACAATCTGGCCATGGACTGTGTACTAGCAAAGACAGACACAGACCGGACGTTCGTGTACGACGAAGAGTCCAAGGAGGAAGTCAAGGTGGAGTCTGTGGCTCCGTCCATGCCACAGCCACTTCTGGTCAATACCGACTTCGACTGGTACTGATTTTACTGATGTATATTTATTTGTCTGCCACCATTTTAAATGGAGAGCACAGCCTGGATAGAAAATAAACAAATTAAATACCCAAATGGTTGTTATAAAGTCCCGACCGAGCACACAAGAGTTGCAGAACGACCCGTTTGATTTCCACTCAGAGGGCCAGCACGCCGAGTTTCTGCGGTCGCGCGGCGAGTACCGCGGATTGCCGGGCTCAGACACCCAATCGGCCAGTACTCATCTTGATACGCTTATCCACCGGCCCTCGCCGCTTGTTCTCACGCTCACGATTCTGGCTTCTATTTCCGGGTTCATGTTTGGCTACGACACGGGCTACATCTCCTCTGTGCTGGTGACCATCGGGTCGGACCTCGACGGGAGAGAATTGTTGGTTGAAGAGAAAGAGTGGATCACCAGTGGAACCTCGCTTGGAGCGCTGATAGCCTGTATTTTTGCCGGGTTTATAGCAGACACTTGTGGCCGCAAGTTCACTGTTGTTCTCTGCAACGTTCTGTTTGTCACCGGGGCGTTAATGCAGCTGACGGCCTCGAAAGTCGTCAATATGATTTGCGGACGACTGGTTATGGGTCTTGGTGTTGGTATTGGGTCTCTGATTGCACCGCTGTACATTGGAGAGCTATCGCCAGCCAAGTTTCGCGGAAAAATGGTGATTATCAACTGTCTGGCCATCACAGGCGGACAGCTCGTTGCTTACGGCATCGGGGCTGCCCTTAGTAATTGCCACGGGGGCTGGAGAGCAGTCATTGGGATCTCGCTTGTTCCGTCGGTGATCCAGCTCGTTGCGTTCGTGTTTCTCCCAGACACCCCACGGTACCTTATTTCCAAAGGGGACCACCAGCGGGCCCAGCAGGTACTCCACAAGGTGTATCTTGGGTGTCCGCCCGAACTGATCGAGGCCAGCATCGCCGAGATCCACCAGCTCAACTCGTGCATTCCCGGATCGAGTGTTCTGGACCGTCTTAAGAACAGCTCCATTGAGCTGTTCAGCACTCCGGCCAACCAGCGGGCGCTGATCATCGGGTGCGGTCTCCAGGCAGCACAGCAGCTGGTCGGAATCAACTCGCTGATGTACTTTTCTGGAACGATCTTCAAGATGGTCGGGTACAACAACAGCACGGCCGTTAGCTGTTTCATAGCTGGAACCAACTTTATCTTCACGATCGTTGCGTTCTCCGTCGTTGACAGGATCGGCCGACGCAACATCCTGTTGATATCCATCCCGTTGCTGGTCTGTGCACAGCTGCTCTGTGCGCTATCGTTCTTCCACATCGACGTGAGCGTGCAGGTGGCCAGCGTCGGGCTCTGGGAGTTTGCCATTCTGCTGGGTCTGGTGCTCTTTGTTGCGTTTTACGCTATTGGTCTTGGCAACGTCCCGTGGCAGCAGGCCGAGCTGTTCCCGCAGTCTGTGCGTGGCGTGGGCACGTCTTTAGCCACGGCCACCAACTGGACAGGGTCTGTGGTGATTTCGGCGTGTTTCCTGACCCTGATGCAGCTGCTGTCTCCGGCCGGAGCGTTCGTCCTGTTTGCACTGATCACCACTGGTTCGTGGATCTTCATTTATTACACCTACCCGGAACTCGGCAACCTCCAGCTCGAGGAAGTGCAAAACCTGCTCAAAGACGGTTTCAACGTCGAACAGAGCATCCAGATCAACAAGGAACGAAACGCATATAGATAAATTTAATAATCACTCGTCTTTAATATCACGACAAATATATTTGTGGTATGCAAGATCTAATATTACAATTAAGTCTCTAGTAGGTGTTCACACGTTTAAGGTCGTCGGAGAACTTGCGCCAGGCCTTGGAGTGCTGTTTCTTGGCCAGATCGGCCACCATGTTGGCTGCATCTATGCTACCAAAAGTTGCAGCCAGCTCGAGGAACTCGACCCCGTGGCTCAGATCCTTTGGACACCCCCATCCGTGGACGAAGGAGCGTCCGATCTCGAAGTAGATGGTGGCCTGCGGTTGCACGGCCGCGCGCGGCTTGATCTTCCGCGGGTCGATGTGGAAATGGTGTTTCTCGTTAGGGTCGACTGCTCCAGCCATGCAGATCCACTGAAAGCTCTGGTAAAGGGCCTTTTCATCCTTCCCGCGAAGACTGAGGCCGTACATGAGCATTTCGTGCGCGTTATCGAGCGAGTGGAAGTGCTGCGACAGAGCGGTTTCCTGGACATCTGGCGAAGACATAGTTGGTTTCCCGCGGAAAGCCTTGAGCGGCGACTTGATTAGGGACGACAGCGACGAGCCAGACCCGGTGGCCGTGTGTTTTCTCACGAAAGTGGGCGACATAAGCGGCTCTGCCACGGGATCGACAAAAGAGTCTGCAGAAGGAGGAGGCGACAGGGGACCCAGTCTGTTGGGGTCTTTGGTGCTCGAATGCACTTCTTGTGGGAACGTCTGGGCAATTGGCGTCGACTCTACCGACTCGGGCGACCGTTGCTGCATGTACTTGTTACTGACAAAATAATCTTCTCTGGAAGCCACACGTCTGTGCTGAGGCGGCTTAAGCACGGGTTTGTTTTCGAGTCTTTCTCCGTTGAAAACAAAGCCGCGCGTGTCTGATTCCAACGATGAGTCCACATCGCGCTGTTTCTGGTCGTACCAGAACGGCTTGAGCGACTTGAACTGGTTGGCTGGCTCGTAGTTCCTGGACTCGTGAATTTCCTCAAAGCTCTCGTAATCGTCGTCCGGCAATCCGAGTCGATCCAACAGACGGTCGTTTGTCTTGATCGAATCCGTGGACATGATGCTCATTCGCGTGTCGAGCGTGTCGAGCGGCGAATTCTGCGACAGCCTGATTCGGTGGGTCATAACACGTTTAGGAAAAAACAACAAAGATTATTTTTTTAATTACTTGAATTCTATGTGGAAATTGTCCTCCGGTAGGGGACGTTTTTCAGGCAGAACAAAACGGCCCTTTGCCTCCATGGTGCGCCACTGGATCACGTGCAACAGGTTGTACAACACAGTGAGCGTTGGAGCAGGAACGTTGTTCTGCTTGGCCACATCCAAAGCGTTACCAACAATGACCTGGTACTCGGTGTAGTTACCCTTTCTGATGTCGATGAGCATCGAAGGAGGGTACCATTCACCGTCATCGGACCGGATCATGAAGTCGATGATGGATTCTGGCAGGTCCACGCCGTCGCTCTTGGCAATGGCAAGGATCTCTTTCATGGCTGGACGAACGATCGAGTCGATACCTCCAAACAGCTCGAGTCTGCCAATGTCCACGTTGGTGAGCGCGGCGGTAGAGTTGACCGTGGCGTTGTACACGAGCTTTCTCCATCTCGAGTAGTTCACGTCCTCGTCGTAGACGATGTCGTTCTTGTCGTTGCTGTAGAGATCAATAAAGTCCTTACATTTCTGCTCCTGCTTGGCATAGTCTAGCTTGCCGTTGTCGCAAACACCCACCTTGACGGCGTCCTGGCCAACGTGCTTGATCACCCGGCCGTACAGTGTCGATGAGATCATCGACACGCCGGAAATAACGTATGCGGTGGGGAATTTTTTCAACACAGATTTGTGAATACCGTAACCATTCTGCATTAGGACAATTCCGATACCTTCGTGGTAGCACTTTTCAATGAGCGGCTCGATAGGCTGGATGTCTGGGGTGTTCTTCATGGAGAACACAACGTAGTCGAACGGACCGTGTTTGGAAACCGCATCGTCAACGCTCTTGTAAACATTGGTTGGACGGAAACCCTTGACGTTTCCGTAATCCACGGACTCGAGGTCGAACCCTTGAGTAGTAAGGGTATCGTAATCGGAACGAACAACAGCAGTAACGTCTGCCTTTCCGGTGTATTGGATACCATAAGCAACAATGGTTCCAACACCACCCATACCAACAAGAAGAACCTTAGGTTTGGTAGTCATAATGAAATATATAAAATCCGACGACAATTATTTCACTAAGGATCAATTTATAGATGCAAGAAAATCCACGCGATTACCCAGAAAGGAAATCGCGATAACTCAATCTCGCGGATAATTTCCCCCTAAATTAATTTCCATCTCCATTAGTACGTTATCTATAGTGACTCGATGACAAATCACGGTTGCCATTGAGCGTCGGGAACAAACTGATTCAGCTTGTCCCAAATGTCTTTATCTTGCTCTTCCATTTCGAGCGTGTCGGTGAGCATATTCAAGTAGTAGTTTTCGTTTTCTTGCACTTTGGTGATTGTGTCCTGTAGCATGATGGCCGTTGGAACAAGCTTCTCCACCGCGCGCAGCAATCGGAGGAACCCTTCAAGGGCCTCTTTTGCTCGGTCCCGCACAACAGGGTCCACATTTCTTAAATGGTACGTCATGTTGATGGCTGATCCAAACGTGCCAAATAAGCTGTACACGGCAAAGTACGTGTAGCCGCATCTTTTTCTTTCTGCCTCCATCAGCTGGTAAAACGACCACGAAGCGTCGAAAGTCATCTGCCACGAGGTGAAGTGGCTCGGCATGTCTGTGAGCCGTCGCGAGTACTGGATCGCACGCGAACTCTTGTGAGTATTGATCACAAGCACCAGAGTGCAGTATCCTGCATGCAATGACGCCGACCACACGGTCTGCGACTCGGGGTCGCTGGCTAGATATTTCAGGTGGCTAGGAAGCCTGGAGTAGTAGTCCCGAAGCATAAACTCCGACTTCTCAAACACATGGAGGTAAGACTGACCGCTTTCAACAAGAGCAGCAATCTGCACCCGATGTCCATCAATCTCCTCGGCAACGCTGCAGATCTCGAACGCCCACACCAAAAAGTCTTGTACCATCGGCTTCACAGTGTACAGCTCTTCTTTGGTGAGCACCTTAATTGTTCGGTCTTTGCTGCTGAAAAATAGCTGCGACTCTGCAGCAAGCGCCCGGAATTGACCTTTGATTTGCAAAACCATCCATAACAGACGGTACATGTACTTTTCGTACTCGGAAAGGTCATGGTTGTCTGATTGATCCAAATGCATGCCGTAGAATCGAGAACACGCAACGGCCTGCCGAAGATGGTCTGTCACACTCTTTTCTATATACCCGTTCACGGTGGACATGAATACCAACAGCGTCTGCATGATGGGGATCGGGTTGTACTGCTCGAAACCCAATTCCAGCAGTAACCGCGCTCGCTTACCGATTATCTGGGCTGTTTCCATGGCTTCCTGCTTTGTGAGCAGATTTCCCGAAATTCCCGGCCGGTACGTGAACGCGCCACCGTACAGAACGGTCTGCAACAGAAGAATGCTGGGTGGATTGGTCAGGTCTTTGTAGTCCTCCATAAATTTGTCCTCATACACCACAGGTAGCAGCGGCATCATTTCGGCGAAAAATGATCTCACAAGCTCCCAACAAATTTCCACGGAGGGCAATTGAAAACATCCACATGTCTGCATCATGTTGAACTCGAGCTCATCTATTAGGATCTTTACATCTTGTTTAGCTGTGATAATGGTCTTCTTACCAGGAACAGACATAAACTGTCCATTGAAACCGTTTTTGTATCTCTGGTTATATCGTTGGATCAAATAAGGTTCCGGATCAAGATGAATTCGGGACAACTGGCCCATCAAACGCACACTGTACTGCTGGATATATGGAGGAAGGCCGCGGACTCTTTTAGATTCTCTTTTTTTCCGAACATGATCCACACATTCAAAGCCTGCGTTGAAACAATTGACACAGGGCTGTGCGCCTACGCGTTCGCATCGAACCTTGCGATTGTGACATCGCTCACACACTCGAGGCATAGGTGGGCCAAGGAGAGAAAAATATGCCCAGATTTATACCGGCAGGCCCTGCCTCTATTTTGGCAGACCGTCTGATACGAAATAAGGGACCGGATTTTTTTTTTTTTCAAGCCATGAATAAGCACGGCTGTAACACTTTGTTTCCGAACAATTCTATATACACTACATGCAGAAAAAAAGGCCCTGTTGCCATGACAAGGCCTTGCATATGGTTCAAGCGAACGTATTCAGTTTTTCCAGAACCAGATCTGGCGATTCTTCCATCTCCAGTTGCAAGATCTTGTACAGAACCATCAACTGGTACGACTCGTTTTCTTGGATTTTGGTCAAAATCTCGTACATGAGCCGAACAACAGGACACCGATGCTTTAAGTCTAGTAGCACGCCGCGAACCCCGTTCACCACCTCGTGCGATCGCTCCACCACCTCTGGGTTGGTGTTGCGGAAATGGTAAGTCATGGTGACTGCTGCTGCATACGAGCAATGAGCCAATGGTAGCAACAAACATGTGCAGCCAAGACGCGATCTTTCTGACTGGTATATCTGGTAGATGGACCACGAAGCCTGATACGTGACCTCCCACGAGGTGACAAGCTCGGGCGTTTCAATATCCAGTGGAGACGACTTGATTGCTCGCACACTGTTGAATCTATTGATCGAGATCAATGCCGCAAAGTACTCCATACTGAGCAGGGCAGAAAGTGAGTTTTGCGACTTGGGTCTGTCCTTGTCATAGCGCAGCTGTGGAGGCAGCGAGATGTAGAAACCTTGAAGCAGCGAATGGGCCTCTTCGCTAAGATGCAGCGTGGATTCGCCGGTCAGCATTTTCTGCGTGACTGTGTCTAAGTAACTAGCGAGTTTTTCCACAATGAGAGACAGCTCATATGCAAAGAGAAAATAGTCCTTTTGGACATTGTCGAGCGTGTATAGTTCGTCTCGCGTGAACATCTTGGCCGTGCAGCCCGAACGCCTCAACGTCACATCGAAAGACGCGACAATCGCCCGCGAGTGGTCTGTGATGAAAAGCTGCGCCCAAATAAGCCGGTACATGTACTTTTCGTAGTCGGTGAGCTGCTTATTTTCCGACTGGTCAAGATGCATTCCGAACGAGCAGCACGTGGTGATGGCCTGCTTGAGCTGGTACGCCGTGTCTCCGTCGCCAAATCCGCTGGGAACAGAGTTGAAGATCACCAGAGATTGCATCAATGGAATCGCGTTATACAGGTCGAATCCCATATTAAGCAGCAACCGTGCTCTTCGGTAGAGCGTGAAAGATATGTCTGTGATCTGGTCGAACGGGAGGTCCAATTCGGTCTCACGGCGGTAGCACGTGAACGCGCCAGCAAATAGAATAGTTTGCAGTAGCAAAATACTAGGACCCTTGGTAAGATCTCTATACTCGGCCATAAACCGGTCTTTGTCGAGGATCGGACTTGAAGGATATACTTCGGAAAAATACACCTTGATCAGTTCCCAGCACACCTTCATTGATGGCAGATTGAAACAACCTGCATTCATTAACGTGTTGTAGTCCACGTCGTCGATGATTCCGTCCAGAATCTCCTCTTCTTCCGAGGCCTGTAGAGCAGGCAGACCGTTCATTCTCACCACAAATGCCATCGAACTCTTTTCCCTCTTCCATCGCTTCAGATGCGGAGCAGGATCTACCTGGACCTCGTTCAAGATCTTGCTTAGCCCAGGATCTGTTTTTCTAACATAATCCGGATATTGGTTGGCTTTATTCTTCCTCACCTTGCGAACATGTGTAATACACTCCACTCCGGCATCGACGCACTTTGTGCAAGGGCCGTCGTGTTCTCTCTCGCACCTCACCTTCCGAGAATAGCAACGTTCACAAACCTTAGTCATATTTAGTCAGGATGAGGAATTTCGGGTAGACTTTTGCCCAGCCCAGCTGACTGTCCCCAAATTGCACCACGGATAAATAAAAAAGTTACGTAATTGCGAGAAAGGGAGTGGTCAAGTGATGTCGAAGAGAGGTTTCTAGAACTTCGGAGCCAGAAAGCAGGCAACTCGAACACCATAATGGCCTCTAGATGTCCAATTGCGGTCTCAGAGAGGCTCTGAAGAGGCGGGGGCCGGCCGGTTCGGACACGTTTGAAAACTCAGTCGCGTGGTCGGCATTTCGGCGTTATTTTGTGGTCTCTTCGGCCGACTGTTTTTGCGGAATTTCGCATTCGCCAATTGGCCGAATTTCGCAATAGCGTGATCGTCCTCAGCTGGCTAGATCTTGCTGGCGTGTTTGCGGCTGGCCTGGCTATGCAAACTTTAAAGCTCGCTTAATAAATTTAGCAAATCTGCACTGCTGAGTAAACCAGGCTTGGCAAAAACCTGGGGTAGGTGGGGGCACAGAATTCTATTAATATCAGGTTATCCTAAATACGACCGGCAGTTTTTGGTTGCATAACTCCATTCAGGTAAAAGTGTTAAGTCTCTCCATGACCCCGGAAACTTCCTCGAAATCCAACTCCAACGCCTTGTACAGCATAATGAGCTGGTTTGACTCGTTTTCCTGGATTCGCGTCAGCAGATGGTACATCACCTTGGCCATCAGACACCGGCTGCTGAACTCGTACAACACGTCTCTGACGCCGTTGACAACCTCGTGCGCTTTGCTCACCACGCCAGGGTCTGTGTTTCTAAAATGGTAGGTCATAGTGATGGCTGCTTGGTAGGCCAGTAAGGCCAATGGTAGCAAGGAGCATCTGATCCCGATCCGGTTGCGCTCGTTCTGGTAGATCTGGAAGGCCGACCATGAAGCGGTATGGGTGATCTCCCAGGATGTGAGAAAGTCGGGAGGCATCACCTGGAATGGTGATGCCCTGATGGAGCATACACTAGTGTATCTGTTGACGGACAAAATCGACATGTAGTAAGTAATACCAATCACAGCAGACCAGCCACTGTGACTTGCGGGATTGTCCAAAGTGTATTTGAGCTCCGATGGCAGCGTGGCATAGAACTCGTTCAGCAGCCTGTTCCCTTCCTCTGAAACGGGGATCACTGGCCGACCCGTGCGCAGGTTATAGGTACCAATCTCTGTATAACCGATGATTTTCTCAATAACCAGGGACAGATTGTAGATGTAGAGGAAATACTCCCTTTGAAGCGGGCTGAGCGAATACATTTCTTCTCTGGTGAACATCTTGACTGTACAGCCAGAACGAAGAAGCATGATGTCATAGGAGGCCACCATTCCACGTGCATGTTCTCCTATAAATAGCTGCAACCAAATTAATCGGTACATGTATTTTTCATAGTCTGTCAGAAATTTATTGGCAGATTGGTCTAGATGCAGACCTAGAGAGCAGCAGGTAATGATGGCTTGTTTCAAGTGACTGGTTGATTCTCTTCCCACATGTCCGTTCGGGATGGCACAGAACACCAAAAGCGTCTGCATTAGTGGAATCACGTTGTACGCGTCGAATCCCATGTCCAGCAGCAGGTGTGCTCTTTTGTAGAACACGTTCGAAGCCTCGAACGCCTCGTCGTGCGTCAACGACGTGGTAGCCTGGGTTCCTGAGGCCGAAAATGCCCCAGCGTACAAAATAGCGTGCACAAGCATTATACTGGGACCTTTGGCCAGGTTCTTGTACTCAAACATGAACTTCTCCTTTACCACTATGGGAGCCAAAGGATACACCTCTTGGAAAAACATTTTGATTAGCTCCCAGCAGAGACCTTCTGGTGGCAGAGTGAAACAACCGGCGGCCATTAAAATGTCGTAGTCTAGGTTATCAGCAATTCCGTCGGTGGACAAAGGGTCCGGGTCCTCGAGAGGGTCCAGGCCGTTCATACGAGAAAGAAAGTCAAACGTTGGTTTCTCCGAGCTTCGATGTCGAAAATGAGGTATTGGGTCGACTTTCACCTTGCTCAACAACTTCATGAGATCAGAGTTGGCTCGTCTAACATAACTTGGAAGTATTGCAGACTTGGTGGATCTCATCTTGCGAACATGAGAAACACACTCGACCCCAGCGTTGACACATCGAGCACAAGGACCGTCCCCCACCCTGGGACACTTCACCTTGCGCGAATGACACCTTTCGCACCCTTTTGACAAATTGCCAGCTGACATGAAAGTGGAAAACAAAAATTCAGGGCCATGCTATTATTTTCGCCAAGGCCGTTCCTAGCTATGATAGGAAACGTCTAAAAAAAGATAACTCGAGGCCAGAAACTGATAAACCTGTAGTTTATGTGATTACTATTTACCAAAGAGTCAATTCAGATGATCAAAGCCACCTGCGGTTCCTCCAGTACTGCCAACCATACTGGGTTTTGTGTCTGTGGCAGCTGCAGACGATCCACCCAGCACATAGATCATCAACATCATAACCAGCAAATGCAGCCCAAGACAGTATCCAACAAACATCAGCCGCGAGTACTTTGTGCTCAGCACGTATCTGGTCACCTGGATAAATATCCGCTCGAACGGAGACATTCTCGAGTTGATCCGTTGGGTCTCCAGAATCCGGAACTGCTCGATCGGATGCAGTTCCTGCTCATAGCTGTCTTTGTACTTGGTCTCCAGCTCTCTGGATGCAGCAGCCACCTGGGCATTCTTCGTGTCTTGGTGGAACTGCAAGAACCTGATCCGTTCGTACAATCCCTTATTATCGTTCTTCAGAGCATTCACCTCTCTTCTCAGCTCAACAATCTTGGAAAATTGTTTCTTGGTCTCGTCTTCCAGCTCCTTGTTACGCACACGGAACCGGTCACGTTGCTGTGTAATGATCGGCAAAATCGAGTTGTTCTGAGCAGGCCCAGGCTCAAATCCTCCAGCAATCGACGAAGCAGGCGACAGTCTGCCTCCCTTGGATGCAATAGATGGTGCTATGGAGCCGGCCATCGAAGGAGCCACCGACGAAATCATCGACATGGTCTCCCATTTGTCGTTGTTGCCAGATCCGCTTTCGAAGTTGACCAGATCGGACTCCAGCTTGGTGTTCAACTCCTTCAGCTGCTCCAGTTGTTTAGTGTATTCATTGACCTGGATCTCCAGCGCCTCGCACCGTTTGGTCAGGTCTTCGTTCTTTGATCTGTACTCAATGATCTCATTACTCAGCTTCTTGTTCCGTGCAACAATAGCCGAATCGAGTTGAGGAACTTCCTCGTCGTCTCCGAGCTCTATCTGTCTCAAAACTTCCAGCTCCTTTTTGATGTCGTCGTAATCGTGTGTCTTGTTGATACGTTCACGCAACACCTCGCCCTCACTGGTCAATTGCGACACCTCGCGTTGCGAGGCATCAAGCTTACCTTGCATCTCGGATTTCAGCTTGTCAAGGTTCTTGCGCTCATGCTCCAAACGTGCAACCAACAACGCGTTCTCGCTCTCCAACTCCCCAATCCGCTTGTTGTTCTTCTCCTTCACTTTGTCCATCTCCACGTCGCTACGAGCAACGCTGATCTCACGGCGGAGCTCTTCGTTACGACGCTCCAGCTCCATGATCCGCAGCTTAGCAGTCTCGGCATCACGACTCAACATCTGAAGCTCCACGGTGTCTGCAGCACGCTCTTTTAAGTCCGAGCCGCCAATCAGGTCGTCCGCGTTACCGTCTTCGTCATCATCATTCAAAGTATGAGCGTGGCTCTTAAGCCGAAGACGCATGATCTCATCGTTCACTTTGAGCTCCTCGATCTCCTTTTTGAGATTTCCAACCGTGTCGTCAAGCTCGGCCTCCTTCTTTCTCCAGTTGAGCTCTTTCTCCTCCAACAAGGACTTCCACTCGTCATCTTTGGCCTGTATGCTTGTCTCGACGGCCTTGGCCAGTTCTTCCTCTGTTTTCGTGATCTTGTTCTTGAGCTGGTCATAATCAGCAAAACCCAACAACTTCTCCTCAAGCTCTGCTTTCTCCTGTTTCACCTTCTCCGCGTCTTTCAGCGAAAGAACAGCTTCCACACTGATTTGAAGCAATTTTTTAGGGTCCGGAGCCTCGGCGATGGCCCGATACACGTGGAAAAAGGTGTTTTCGATCATCTTGTTCTTCTTGGCAAGATTGTCGATCTCGTTCTGGTAAGATTTGAGCAATTGATTAATCTGATCCAACTTCTCCTCTTCTGGCAGCTTTTTGAAACTCTTTGTCTTTGTTGCCAGATCTTTTCTACCCAACAGCGATTCTTTTTGAGAGGCCTGGATCTCCAGCCCCTTGGCATCCATCTCCTTCTGGAGACTTGGAAGATCCACCACGGCCCACGAATTCAATGCCTTCTCAAAAACTCCCGTGCTAGAGGCCACATCAGAACCTAGTGTTTTGTCCTCTTCACTCATGACCAAACGCGCTTTGTACCTGAATGATTCAACGACTACCTGAAAATAAAACCTGTCAATAGAGCTCTTATCGCAAAAGCAAAAAGTAAGCTAATGCAGATGATCAATCAGTAACCTATTTATTTCAACAGGTTCAGCGATTCAGTTGGAGTTTTAACTTATTTATTTTTTTCTAGTCGTTGACACCGCCTCCAGCACCGCCACACGCCTTACCATACTTAATCTACTTTTCCTAATCCAGATCCAGAACCACCGTTGGCCTCCGGGTCGGAGAAGAATGGACTCAGCGCTCTATACTTGTTGGAAGAGAATCCGAGTCGCATGCGAAGTCGCAGCTTGCCCAATGAAAGCACAACCAGACAGAACACCACAAATATGGTCAATGAGCTGCAAACGGTAGCAAACGAGAACACAGAACGCAGGCCCCTTCCGGACAGTTTCTTAAAACTTGACGCGTAAAGAACGTCCACCACGTCTGGAATCGTGTCGCACGTCAGTTTCTTGCCCTTCAGCGAGGTGGTCCAGTAGTTATTTGTGAATCTTGACACAATAATCACGTCTCCGGCATTGTAGTCACGAGCATGAAGATAGGTCCAGCCAAAACGGTTCGCAATTGATGCCAATGTCTTCTTCTCAACATAGACAAGATGGACCGCATTGTCCTGGATCTGGAACACCGGTGGAACCTCCTCTTTCAAGGCCCTGATGATGTCAACGTTGTCCTTACCTTTGGCTTTCATCTTATCCACTTTTGCGTATTTTGCACCTCTCAACTGCGTGAGTTTCTTGAACTGCTCGGCCATCTTCATATACCAGAAACGATGGCCAATCTGAGACAGAGCGTATCCTTGTCTAAAGAGTTTTCCATGGTCGTTGGAGTCGGTCACCATGAGAACAACTTTTTCGTTCTTAGCCATAATGGCAGGGTCGATTGTTTTTGGGAAGATCTGATTGCGGTTCGAGTCGGTCAACTGTGTGATAAAAGGCTCAGAGTTGACCTTGATGAACTCTGAAACAGCCTTGAAGTTTCTGATATCATCTGGACCAAAACTTTTGAGAATGTGCGACACGAAAGAGCCGTCTTTGAAACACAAAAGCGTAGGGTATGTGGTCAAGGTTCTTGCCGTGAACATCTCATCGTTAAATTGTAGTTGCTGTGTCTCATCAGGAATCTCTTTATTCACGTATTCCAGAAGAGTGTTCTCCTGGCTTTCAAGCAAATCCATAAACTTCATATCGGAACTCTTGTATAGGCGCACATTGCTAGGAAGATCCATAATCGGTTGCACAAGATGGTTCAGAAGCCAGAAGTCTTCCTCGACATACGACTCATTTGGATAAAGATAGACAAAGCTGATCACCGGATCCACGTGCACCTCGGCAAAATCCTCTCTTCTGTACGGTTTGTTTGCGACTTTCATTTTCTTATCCAAATCCTCTCGCGTAATATCCTCAAATTTGCTCACTTCGATCAATCTTTTCGTCCAACCAAGAACCTGCTTTGCATTAAGCACAGATGCCTTGTACCGGATTTTATTTCCTCCTTTGTCACTTGGCAGAAACATAAAGATCTTTGGATCGTAGGTGCTATAATCATCGGTCAGTAAATCCTCCATTCCCAAAGACCGACAAAGCCCTTGGTTGGACTGACAATTTAAGTAACCGACAGACAAGTCGCCCGTCTGAATAAGACCCGATAGTCGCCGCCCAACCATGCTCCACAGGTTGCGGAACTCCATGCATCTCGGACACTTGCCAAAAAGCTTATTTTCTTTCACGTCTCCCGAAAACGTGTTAACATTTAATTCTTCGTCCGTGGACGGCCAAAAAGAAATCAGGTAAGGCTTGTTGTAGTTTCCTGCAATCACATCAATCATCTCCTGGGATGAGATCGCGTCGATGTTGACCGATTTCATCAGATCGGTGACTTCTTTGTTTGACTGTAGCAATTCATCTTTGGAGTCTATAGCTTGTTCGCGCACAAATGCCGTAAGTCCTTCAACTGTTTTCTCGTAGCCTCTTCCAAACGATGCCAAAACCTTGCCAGACGTGCCTTTGTCGTTCGGTCCATACAATCTCAACGATGGATACATAAAGATATTTTCGCGGTCGCAGAGATCACCACTGGCAACACAGTCCACCTGGTGGATATAAACATCGTAGGACTCGGCCTCCTTGTGGAAAGTTTGGTAGAATTCGTGCCAAATTGGTGCCAAAGCCTTGCAATGATGGCAATGTGGAGAGAAAAACTCGACGAAATGGACACCTTTCGAAACCACCTGGTCGAAATTTGCTCCGGTCAGAGGCTCTGGAAAGTCGTCCTCAACGACTTGCTCTTCAGCATTCGTCAACACAAAGAAGATCAATTGGATTAAGCCAGTAATGAAAAACCTCATGTTGACCTTAGCACCAAAAGTTTATGATTTATTTTCTAAACACTTGGGGGAAGCGCACACCTGTACACCATGAATATTATCTATCTATAGCACTTCTTGCAAATAGTTCTTGAAGAACTCGAAAGAAACAAGCGTGATCGCGCTGGCAGGCAAGGTTCTTGCGAGATTGACCAGGAAACCCGCGTAATAACCGCGCATTCCCTCGGTTTTGTAGATGGAGACAACAGTTCTCACCAGTCCTGCGCTAGGTTTGCTAGCGTCGCTATTGACGATCTGTAATCTAGTTCTGACTATTTCGTGAGGATATGTGACAGCAGAGGCAAGAATCTTGGACATGGAAGAGGAAAGCACGAGTTTGGAAAACTGGTCAAGTCCCATGTATTTTCCGTCAAAACTTTGGCTATCAATTTTGAATATCTTTTTGAAGTTCTCATACAACGGGAATTGGATGGCAACATGTAAGAGTCCGAAGTACGAGGGAAGAAGACCTCTGTAGAATGACCGTAGCCCTTCACTGCGGTACATCTTAACAAAGGCGTCCAATGTGCCGTTGTAGTATTCTCTTTTTATTCCACCAGGGGTGGCTGCTGCACCAACGGTGTCGCCGAATCTATCGTAGATGGTGCGTCCGTTGTCCATTTGCAACATGAGTCTGGTCTTGACAACCCAAATAGGGTTTGTTAGAGTGGTCGAAAATGCTCCCGACGAGATGGCGCTCGCAAAGTAACCTATAGTGTCGTCCTTAATGACGTATGAGTACATCTTTTTGAAATTCTCGTAGCATGTGAAATATATCATCCATGTGGGGAAATACCCAAGCGTGATGGGAACCAATCCTCTATACAATCCTCGAACGCCCTCCTCGTTCCATATCATTCCTAATGTCTTTAATATTCCTGTGTATCTGTGTTGTGCGAAACTTTTAATCTTGGATGGGTCTTCAAGGTTTCGGAGGAACGAACCTTGAGCCTGGAGCCGAGTCTTGGTCACATCCAGTGGACACACAATCACTCCAGCCATAAATCCGGCCATTCCTCCCGATAATGTAACAATTTGACTGTCAGTAAGCCGAGATCGGTGAACGTCCCGCATAGGATGGGGTTCATCTATTATATTGGGCGTATTAGTACGCGGCTTGCGAGCAAATTTCCTTTCTTCAAGGGCCGGGACAGGTGGTTCTGGGCTCATACTTGCTGTCCATCGAGCTGGCTGTATAAAAGGTAAATAAAATTTTCTTCCCCTGTAAAAAAACCAATTTTTCCAACCACCCAGCTTTTCTTGTACTTCACCCTTGAAGTTGATGGGAAATGACGCGGGGTGCGAGAATTACCCAATTAGGTTCTTGATCGTCTACGTCTACTCTGGGGTTATTATTTAAAACGTACAATGTGTTTAGTAGTTCTATTTGGTCTGGCTCTTATAGGCCGTTGGAAATGACGTAAACTTAGTTGCTACCAAATTTACGGTCCATCTCTCTCAAGCAATTCACAACACTCTCAACCTCCACGTACATTCCTTTGGTGTTGAGATTGCTGATGATGTTGTTGAAACCAGCAGTTTGGAAATTGATATGTCTGGATAAGGTCTTGTAGGCGTCTGCACAAGGAATGAAGTGCTTTCCTGGATGGTTGATTTCGAGTTCGTTCAAAGCAGGCAGAGAAGTCACACTGCTATTGCGACGTGTGCTCTCCAATTTCGGAAGCGATGATGGCGGTGATGGGAGCCCAGGCTCGTTTTGATGTGCTATTGTGGTGCAGAAAAGGGTCGACATTGGGTCCGACTGGCACTGTGCGCAGTTGCCAGGGTCTCCAGAACAAGCTGCTGTTTCTTCGCCAGTAATTTGGTCGCTGTTTTCTTGCTTCACCTTTGGTTGTTCCGGACTGCCCTTATTGAGCTCGCTTGTGATCAGATTGTCCTTCATCTGGACCATCTCTTTCTGCTTCGCAATCTCTCGGCACACACAAGGTGTGTCGTCCGAGCAAAATCCGCACTGTTCTTCCGGCTGACTCAAACTTGCTCTGCCACTGAATTCAACGGTCTCCTCGCTCAGCGAGTTGGACGGCGATCTGAAGAACATATCGTTCTGTTCCAGGGTCTTGAAAACTGGGAGTTTCTTAGCGCGCTTGAAACTGTCGGTGAAATCAGTCTCTTGATCCAGTTTTCTCGTTCTTTTCAACGGCACGGCAGGTGCAGGCACAAACGCCTCGAAATTGATCGGCTCCTCTTTCTTGCGGAGCCCTATCGATTCGCAAAGACAGTCGTCTTTGAAACAGATGGCACAGCCCGAGGACCGCGAGTTGTCTGACGGGTTTGAAGGAGCAGGTGAAATTTGCTGCAAACTGAGCCCGCTGCTGCTGCTGCTGCTGCTGCTGTCATGCTCCCGTCTACCCGAAGAAGCAGAGGATATGCTGTTGTGCCGCGAACTGTTTTTGAAGTTGATCATCATCGAGGCAGCTTTCGTCAGGTCGGCATCAGAAATCGACGCCATTTTCCGACGCGACGGGAGATTGGACTGCGATTGTGGAGTAGCAGGACTATCGCTCTTGGGCGAAATCCCAGGTGAAGCAGCAGAGCTAGCAGAGCTAGTCGACGCTCCGTTCACTTGCCGTTGAGAAAGATGCATTCCGGCGCGCATCTCCTCCAAAGCCTTTTTCAAATGCTCATTCTGAGTTTCAAGTCGTTTAATGGTATTCGTCAATATTCCCTCCTTGACACTGCGCTCTCGCTCCAACTCGAGGATCTGGGTCTCGAGCTCGCTCACGCGGTTTGCCCGACGCTCGCGGAACGCCCGCTGAGCAGCCCTGTTTTGTGCCTTGCGTTTTGTAGCGGGAGTGTCAATGCTGGGTTTCCGCCCCGGTTTTGGCCTTGGAGGAAGAACCCACTCTCTCGAGGTCATGATCTTGGTTATCTTTGGGGCCTCCGGTCCAGAGGACGGGACGATAGAGGCATTCGTCCTTGGTGCTATAGATGGAGAGCTCATAGGAAGTTGGAATATTTTTTAGCAGGATTCCGCATCATATATACACTAGGACCGATAATTCCAAATCTTTTTTAGACTCGAACTTTACTGGTGTAAAGATGAGAAATGATAGCAGAATAAATACGCAATTGTCTTGGAAAACGTCAAGATTACAATCACGACTTTGATTAGCGGGATTCGGGCGAACTATCGTCTCTGAAGAAAAGCACAAGTAATCCATTATTCTAGTCGTACTTATCGTGATCAAGACTTTGCCTTCTCGAAGACCTTAGCATAGTTATTCAGCTAGTACCATTATACCGATACTGGGTGGTGCAGGGGTTTGATGACCAATAATGCTTAAAAATATTCCGTCTTGTTATCAAATAAACCATGTCTAAGCGATCGAGATTGGCTTGCGAGAGATGCAAACGGTCGAAACGCAAGTGTGACGGTGTTCCTGACCTCAAACAGTGCACTGTTTGCCAAAAAGCTGGGGTCGAATGCTCCATCTTGTTCCAGAAAGACGAGTCCGCACGCTACATTGCCAGTCTGGAGGCCAAAATCAGACACCTGGAGGCAACAGCCGCTAGTGCGAGCCCTAAACCCGCAAAAAATGAGCCAAGAAAGTATGTGTCATTGATGGGACCCAATTTAGCATTTCTGTTGCATAGATCACTGGATGGATCCCCATTGAACGCGCACAGCAACAAGTTTTTCCCCGAAACGACCGAGCCTCTGCCACCGGCTGAAGGGGCCTACGATTTTGGCTACCTGATTGAGAACGGAACTCTTGGCAGTGAAATGATCGATTCATGTCTGCGATTGTTATATCCTCGATTTCCTATTATTCATTTTAAACATGCTCATCAGCTACATGAAGACCGGGTTCGTGTGCTTGGTCCTCCACAGACCAGAGAGGACTTGGTCAACAAGTTTATTTTGCTGATGCTCTATGCCGTTGGGTTGAGGGTCAGACAGATAGTAAAGACAGGGGTCAGCGATGAAAGCCTGGCTCACAACCCGGACGAGGTTTATGCGGCCGCAATCGAAGATCTAGAGACAATCACCCAAGTGGTGGACATCGACTCAGTCAGATGTTTGATCCTAGTCGCATTCTACATGCTGAGATCCGCATATGGTCAACAGATATGGCATCTTTGCGGTCTGATCATGCGGTATTGCATTGATCTCAACATGCACCGTCGCGAGGCCGGCCCAATTACTATAGACCAGCTACCGGACTCGATGATGCGAAGACGGGTTTTCTGGAGCGCGTACGTTTTGGAGCGCAGTGTCTGTATGCACTTCAACCGTCCCCTGTGTCTGTCAGACTACGATATCAACGCAGAGTTGCCATATAATATTGACGATTCAGTTATGGAAGCTGAAGAGCTTAATGAAATTATCAACGTCCACCCTGAGAGAATGGGGCCCAATGTGATCACAGACATGAGCATTGGAATTTGCATGATGAAGCTCCGCAGAATCGACTCGTTTATTCAACATAGCATCTATCGTGTCGATAAAGAGCTTGATATGCCTACCCTTCTGAATGATATCACTTTGATGTACAATCGGGTGCAAAAGTGGAAAGAAGACCTTCCTCCGTTCAAAGAAGAACATAATCGCATTTTTATGACACTGCTTTACCACAAAACCATGAGAATCATGCTTGTGCCTCTGATTTCCAAGGAAGTTGACGTTTCTTCTTCGCCACAGGCCCAATTCTACATTGACCAGTGTGTCAAGTCGTGCGGATCAATTTGTCTGATTGCCAAACAGATGATTCAGTATGAATGGTACTGTCACAGTTTTATTGCTCTTCACAGCTTATATGTGAGTGCCATGACGTTAATTTATTGTGTTCTCACTGAGAAACTGGAGTGGTCGATAGAGGTGTCCACTTGTTTGCAGTCATGTTCAACAGCACTTTTCGTGATCGGAGAACGCATGCCGTTCACCAAGACGTATTTGAGAGACGCTTACGAACAGGTGCTCAACAGAACTATGGAACAGATGGCAAAGAAAGAGTCTGCTTCCAAAACGAGACATTTCCGTATTGGAGGAGTCAACGTGTTGGACAAGCCAGACAAGTCTCCCGAGATCGAAATATATCCAACTCAGAAATACGTGGACATGCCTCTGGAGGAGGCGCTCGAGGTGCCTATTTCCGATGATTTTGAGGACCTTTGGCAGATCATCAGCGACCAAAAGCCTTTGAACTTTGACGACAAGTCCATTTCGCAGTTCAACTTCGGACTCGACTATAATTTCCAGTACTGAGTCTGTATTTTCTATTTAATCAACCCACCTTTTTGGCGTCCACGCCCCTATCCCTGTATAAACGATCTAGCCTGATCTGGTATGCTTCGAAGTTGTCGAACTCCGCGTATGTTGAAACTCTTGGTGCAACACTATCACCGATCAGTTTCTGGCCGTTGGCGTATGAGAAATGGCGCAGAAACCGACTGTCTTCGTAGTCGATAACGTCCTCTGGTTGCAAAGTGGCACATAAAACGATGTTCAAGTCTGGTTGCTCTAGCAGCTGGTTTGAAGCCATGTTCTCTGTCACACGGCCTTCCAACACCAGCGCGTGTCCGCTTGGCAACGCGTCTGCCGAGCTGAGATGGACAAGACAGATGTACGGATACGCCACGCTGTGCTTGCGTAGCAGTAGCTGTTTGAAGTCTCCTGCATTGGGCCTGGCGAAATGGGCGATCTCGTAGCCCATACAGACCTTCAGACCAAACCCACTGATCGAACTGATGGCGCGCGCTGTTTCTGGGTGGGTGAATGCCTGGTAGGTAAACGGTAAAATAGAAGCACAATCATGAAGTTTCGGAGAAACAAATGCTGACTTGGATCTGGTAGCAGGGTCGAGCGACGAGAGATATGTTTGGAACTCGTGGCGAAGTAGATCGATACATTCCTGCGAAAACAACAGGAACGACCCTTCTCCAACCAGTTGCAACGATTGCGAGTCCGGATCTATCTGGAGTGTCTGTATACTAACCGGCTTTGGGAGCTTGGAACTGGTGAATGCCAGATGCTGAACGGGATCGAACGTAGGAACCTCTCGATAGTCCCCTGCCATAGCAAAAAACAGACTTATTTTGCAACTGATAACGTTTCATGCCTTGACAGGACAGAACGGGGTCTTTTTATTTAATATGTGATGGTCCTTCTAAATCGGGCAAATTTTTCCTTATCGATGAAGACTGGTGCAATGGGAGCCGGTGCTAAAATCCGGGGCGGTTTTGGGAAGGTGGAATAGCAATTTGCTCTCACTTGTAATAATGTTGGCGACCAACTTGCACAAAGCAAAAGGCTCTGGAGACTTCCACCAACACGAGAAAATTAAACCGTGTGTTTGGTTCTATTTAGTAAAATTTTCCAGCCTTGATTTAATTTCTCAAGCTTGTAACTAGATGTCAAAACTGGCCGTTATTCCCGTGACATTGAGAAATGGCAGCGCTGCAACGATCGTCCCATTCGAGTCGGTTGACCAGGTACCAAAATCGCTGGTCAATGAGATGCGAAAAGAGTACAATCTAGAAGTAGAGCAAGGTAACACTTTATCTCAGATAGAGCCACTTTCCGAGCAAGAGTTTCTGGACTACTACTGCCCCAAGTTCCTGGCCATTTTGGTGGACGGCGAGTTCAAGTCAACAAAGGAAGTTGCTGATTTTGCCAAAACTCAGGACGTTGGGTCCAAGTTCTTGGGATCCTACTACATCAAGCCCAACTATCCAGGCAGATCTGGCCACAACTGCAACGCGGGTTTTTTAGTTTCAAGCAAAACTAGAGGACTAGGTATCGGGAAAATCCTGGGGAAAAGCTATTTGGAATACGCTCCCAAATTAGGATACAGATACAGCGTTTTCAACCTCGTGTACGAAACGAACCAGGCCAGCGCACGGATCTGGGACCAGCTTGGGTTTGAAAGAATTGGAAGGGTGAAAGGAGCCGGAAATCTGAAAGATCACGGATACACCGACGCCATCATCTTCGGTTACGATTTCACCAAAAAAACGGAATAATTGTACCGATTAGTCAAGTAGAATGATGCAGGATGACCGAATATCTCACCATTTACTTGAAATGACACAAATGCTTAGCTAAGCCAATGACGAGTAGAGGTAGTTTTTCTTTTTGAGGTATTATGAGTCAGAAAAAAATATTACTCACACCTTTTATATAAAAAACAGACATTCTATCATCATTTACATTGAGCTTGAAGAGGTTCAGAATGAGCTCCAGAATGAATTCCGTTAATTAAGGATGTACAGAGCAAGCAACATGACAGGTAAGGATTCCAACCATTCAACATTGGATATGGTTCCGGACCTGGTTAGCGATTCAGACACAGATGACGAAATGAACAACTACACATACGAACGTTCTTATATGCACCATTTCTCGGCTATCGACAACGAGCGCAAGGAGGTCATGTACCTGGTAGTTCGCGTTGCATGTGAAAACATCGCGCTTCGCCAGGGAATTAACCAGGCCTCTTTGGAGAGATTTGTTAGGCGTATTTTGGAACGTTCCGGATTAGGGATGGCCACTTTTATCAGAGGATTATCGATTCTTCAACGATCTACGAGTCCAGATTGTATTTATAGACGCATTTTGTATTCGATGATTGTGGCCAGAGGAATCCCGCAGGACTTGACTCGGTGGTCAAGAGTCAGCGGGATTAGCAGCGAAAGGTTACAGAGCGAGGTAAGAACTTTTGCCCAAGGATTGGGTAAAACCGCAGTTCAAGACGAGGAGGTTTATGTGCTAAACCAAAACATAAAGACCGAGGTCTTAAAGTATGTAAAAATAGCACGTGAATACTGCTAAAAAAACGATTCAATTAAAAGACAGAGGCTAATTAAATAATTAATTTACTTATCTTTGATTAATCATGGGTCTTTTCTACTATCACGACGATCTGCCAGGTGACTTTACCGAAGATCATAATTCCGGCGAAAAGGTCTCCGAAGAACAGCTTTCGAAGCTTGGTGTTTTCTACAGATACTTGGAAACGGTGGATGAGGTCAACGAAGTGGCCAAGGAGCGCAACTACAAGAACAGAGACGAAATTGTTCTGTCACCTGCCACTTTCCCCGGTGGCCCCGATGCCCTACAGGCCAAGCTGGAAGTTTTCTACAGGGAACATCTCCACGAGGACGAGGAGATCCGGTACATTTTGGACGGTGAAGGATTTTTCGACGTGAGAGACAACAACGACAGATGGGTCCGTGCCAAACTGACTAAGGGCGATCTGTTGATTCTTCCAGCTGGAATCTACCACCGTTTTACTTTGAGTACTTCCAAATACGTGAAAGCTCTGAGACTTTTCAAGGACGAGCCTAAATGGGTGGCCTTGGACAGAGGAACCACACAGGCTGAGACCAGTGTTTCCAGAGACGAGTACATTCGCAGCGTGAAGGTCAATTAGTTGGTTTTGGTGCATTTAGTCGATCCTTTATCTGGATGTAGCTGATTATTTATTTACGAAATGAGATAATATTTATTAATTCATGATTATAAACAGGACAGGTATTTTCAGATTGTACACTCTTCAAGCGCCGAGATCTTTCAGCAGAGATGCTGTCAGACTGCTGAGTGTCAAGCCCGAGCCACAGAACAACGTCAAACCACTGTCGTCGTTCGATCTCAAGATGATGGAAAAAGTTAGCAATTTCGAGCAAAGCGGGTGGTACAGATGGACTCCGCGGATTTTCAGGCCGTATATGCGCGGGATCATGACTCGACCACTTGGGTTTGGTGCCAGTTTCCTGATTCTACACGAATTGACTGCGATTATCCCGTTTGCTGGGCTCTGGTGGTGGTTTCTCCATTTTGACTGGATCCCGTTGGACGTCCCGCAAGAGTTTGTGGCCAAGGGAATCGACATTCTGTCGCGCAAGGTGATCAACTGGGATATCGGCCTGGTGGACAAGACCAAGGTCGTGATGGCCGGGGCCAACGCTTACGCTGCTACAAAACTACTACTTCCGGTGCGCTTACCGATCAGTTTTGTTTTTGCACCGCTTTTCGATAGCTGGGTGATGCGGCCAATCCAGTCAGCATGGTCTCGGTTCAGAAACCGTAAAAACCGTAGTGTTCCAAAAGAACAGTCCAACAAGGAGCCTTAGATAAGCTAAAAATTTAATTCCGTCTTCTCTCAGCCAATGGACAGCTTTCGACAATATCCATACGTGTCGACTGGACAGCCGATGCGCGTGGCGTCGACGGACTTCTTCACAATTGGGCCGTACCGCAAGCGAAAAGACCAGAGTCGGATCTCTGTGGTGCAAAAGTATGAGATTCTTGGATATATTGCGGCTGGAACGTATGGAAAAGTGTACAAGGCACGAGGCAAGACCAAACAGCTTGGAAACAACCTGTATGCGATCAAGAAGTTCAAAACTGATTCAAAAGACAATGAGGTGGTTCATTACACTGGAATCAGCCAGAGTGCCATACGAGAGATGTCTCTATGTAAGGAAGTTGTTCACAAGAACATCTCCAAACTGATCGAGATCATTCTTGAGCGCAAATGTATCTACATGGTGTTCGAGTTTGCTGAGCACGACTTGTTGCAAGTTATCCATTACCATTCGCAGCCGGAACCAAGACCCATCCCCGAGGCGACGCTCAAATCAGCCATGTACCAGATTCTGGATGGCTTGTCATTCTTGCATCAGAACTGGGTGCTCCATAGAGACCTGAAACCGGCAAACATCATGGTGACGAACGAAGGTGTGGTTAAGATTGGAGATCTGGGACTCGCAAGAAGATTCAATAACCCGCTACAAAGTTTGTACTCTGGAGATAAAGTGGTGGTGACTATTTGGTACAGAGCGCCAGAACTGCTTCTTGGCGCCCGCCATTATACGCCGGCGATTGATCTGTGGGCCGTTGGATGCATTTTGGCGGAGATGTTTTCGTTGCGGCCGCTATTCAAAGGAGAAGAGACCAAAATGGATAATAAGAAACAGGTTCCGTTCCAGGAGAACCAGCTGATCAAAATCCTCGAGATTTTGGGAACGCCCACCTTGGAAAAATGGCCAAGTCTGAACAATTACCCCGAGTACCAGCAACTGTCCAAGATCTCGATGTTTCCGCCAAACTTGAAAGCTTGGTACCATTCAAACGGGGGCAGCAACAAGAATTGTCTGAAACTGCTCACAAGTCTGCTGGAGTACGACCCGGCAAAAAGGATCAACGCTCTGGAGTCGCTCGACCACAAGTGGTTCCAGGAGTCGCCGAAACCGACCGAAAATATCTTCGCAAACTCTCCGTTCAAGTATCCGCAGCGCAAGATCAAAAAGGACGACAGCGACATTCTGGGAGGACAGGTCTACGCAAACGGAAAGCGTCCGTTTGGAGGGTACGAGGATTCGAGGAAAAGAAGGTGACAATAATACATTAGATGATCAGATCGGGGATATTCTGCCTGGCAGCCTGAAGAGCCTCGTCTTGGATCTGTTGCTCTGTTTTTTCTCCACAGTAAATAGCAACAGCGTTCTGTTCGTGTTCTGGAACTTCCATGGCGTCGAATTGGCTCTTCAACATGCTGCTTTTCATGAAATGGCCCTTTCTCTGGCTCATTCGGTCGTAGATAATGCTGTAGTCGTTATACAGGAAGATCATAAAGAGCGTGATATTTGGGTTCTTTTTGGCAGCAACTTCTTTGATGAAGTCTCTGTACTTCTTGTTGAGCATCGAACAGCTCACTACCACCGTCTTGCTTTCGCTCGTTGCATCGGCAGCAATGTTGGTGAGGTTTTCCAGCCAGCCCCACCGATCGTCATCGGTAAGAGCGATGCCCTGCGACATTTTGTCGATATTTGCTTTCGGATGGAATGCATCGCCTTCCACAAACCGGCATCTCAAACTCTGGCTAAGGCTCTCACCCACTGTGGATTTGCCCGTTCCTGACGGTCCACCGACAACAATTATGGTTGGCATGTTTGGACGGAAAAAAAGTCGATCGACGTGAAAAATAAATACAAGCTGATATTTTTTTCTTCCTTTTTTGAGTGCTATTTCAATGTCTCGCATCTTTGTGCGACATCTTTCCAAGGCTGTTCCCGACACGAAGGATGTGATCCGAACCGCGATTGAGACGGTTCGGAACAACTTTCTGAGCGGAAAACCGTTCCAATACCCGCTTTACAAAACAATACCCAACGAATTTGTAAGAACCGGGGTCTTGTTTGAGTCGATCTTGACCAAGACCAAGTACGATTTGCTTCAGCCGCCCGAAGAGTTCCAAGGAGTATCCGAGTTTCTTACCAAGGAGCTAAATTACAATACAGCAAAGTCCCACATTCACTTCCTGGTCCGCAACCAAGACAAGCTAGATACATTACCCATCAAGCTATCTCCAGAGGCCGAGGGTCGAACCGCGCTACAACGCACAATCGAGAACATGATCGAAAAAATAGTCTTCTTCGAGCTGAGACCCCACTACATACTAAAGCTCCGAAACAACCCGGCAAACTACTATAATTACGACAAGAAAATGTCCATCAAGGCTCTAGATCTGAGTAACCCATGCAGCTGGTACCCAGAAGCACGCAAACTGAAGCGGAAAATTGTGATGCATGTTGGACCAACAAACAGTGGTAAGACGTTCAACGCGTTGAAGAAACTGGAGGCCAGTGCTAAGGGCTACTACGCCGGTCCGCTCCGATTACTTGCAAGAGAAGTTTATGAAAAGTTCCAGAGCAAGGGCATCAGATGTAACTTGATGACGGGAGAGGAGGTTTTGTTAGACGCAGATAAGTTTGGAAATAAAGCTGGATTGACGTCGGGAACCATCGAGATGATCCCGTTGAATGAGCTCTTCGACATTGTTGTTGTGGACGAGATTCAGATGATTGGCGATCAGTTCAGAGGCTCTGCGTGGACCAACGTGATTTTGGGAGCCCGTGCCAAGGAGATTCATCTTTGTGGAGAGGTTTCTGCGGTCCCGTTAGTGGAAAGGCTGGTTGCTCTGACTGGTGACGATATCGAGGTGAACAACTACAACCGGTTGGGAAAGCTGGTTGTTGACAACGAGCCGATTTCCTTGGACGAGGTGCAGCCTGGAGACTGTGTTGTTGCCTTCAGCAAGAAGCAGATTTTGAACATGAAGGTCGAGATCGAGAAGGAGACCAAGCTCAAGTGTGCTGTGATCTACGGTGCTCTGCCTCCAGAGACCCGTTCTGAAGAGGCACGGTTGTTTAACGAAGGAAAGTACGACGTTGTTGTGGCATCTGACGCAATTGGAATGGGATTGAACTTGAAGATCAACAGAGTGGTTTTCACCACTCTTGAGAAGTACGATGGTCGTCGGATGACGTCGCTGTCGGACTCGAGCGTCAAGCAGATTGGAGGCAGAGCAGGAAGATTTGGGGTTGGCGAAGGAATCGGACACATCACAGCCATGTCTGGTGCAGATCTGCGCAAAGTCGACACTGTGATGAAAGCTCCTTTCAATTCCCTGGACCAGGCTGTGATTTGGCCTACCGATGAACAATGGGTCAGATACCATTCTATGTTCCCTAAGGGGTCTTCTCTTTTGGCCATGTACCGCAAGTTCGAAGCCGACATGGAGAAAGAGGAGAGACTCAATTCCAAGGACTCTCTTTTTTCGATCCAGCACATGGACGAGCCCAAAATATTGGCCAACTTCTTCGACAAGCACAATGTGACCAACGATATGTCCATCAGTGACCAACTGAAGTTCGTGTCCTGTCCATCGGTGCTAAAAATCAGAGACTCTCCAATGCAACCAGTTTTGCACGACGTGTTCAAGCAGTATATGTTTACCGTGTCCAAGAGACTCAAGCAGTCTGTGATCGACTTTGATTCAATGCCATTGTATTTAACCACCACAGGAAACATCCGCATTCGTCCAACAGATCCCAAGCTTTACAACAACTTTTCAGAAGCGTTCCCATTGGAGGTGGTTCCTGCTTCCAAGAAGCAGAAATACATTAGGGCAGCTAGAAAAAGCCTGAAAGACCCTAGACACGGACGCAAAGTGTTCATGGCCAGTGTGAACCCTATAGAAGACAGACTCTCCAAGTTGGAACAGTTCCATAGACTATTGACCGCATACTTGTGGCTGAGCTACCGGTTCCCTCGAAACTTTGTGCACCTGGAACTGGCTGCCAAATTGATTTCGTTTGTGGAAAAGAAGATCACCGAAATGCTCGACAACGTTGCCATCGCAAAACAGTTACAAAGTAGAGAAATTTGATAATTAATGTACATAGCTATTATAAAGCCCATTCGTTCTGTTCCTTGTCGTTGCTCTTAATCAACGGCTCCTCGATGCTATTAATTTTGATGTCACTGCACAAACAGCACTTGGCAGACAGCAGGCGATCGATCTCCAATCTCAATTCCTCCATCAGCTGCTTGTTGCCTCTTGCGGCTTGCAAACGTTTTTGGATCTTGTAGATAGCATTCTTGAACTTGTAGTCTGTGGAGTCTAGCACTTCTCTCACTAGACAGTCCTGGTGGAAAGAGTGAAGACACGGGAACACGATGAATTTCCGAATCACCAGGATCTTCCCACAAAGACCGCACGATTCGTTTGGCTCGATGATCTGGAACTGGTCTTGCTGGAACTCCTTGATCTGCTTGTTGATCTTCTCCGATTGGTTGAGCGAGGCAGTCATCTCCAAGGACAGAGAGTCCATCTCCACGGCCAGAGTCTCCAAAGATTGCACGACCTCTTCTTTGAAGTCGTCAATGACGACAAAGTCTGGGAAAAGAGGCAGCAGGTCCTTCATTGTGAGCAGATCGCATTTTTCCATGAGATATTTCAAAACGCCACGGATCTTGTTGCCTTCGCCGATATCCAGCTCCAACGGCTCGTTAGTGACAACCTTCTTGATGAGAACCTCAGCCACACGGACCCAGAGTTTCTTCCGCTCTACCGGTTCTTTTGGCTTGTCTGCAACCAATAAGGCGGATTCCAGCAAATCTTGACTCAGAGCCAGACTCAAGGCATCTTCGTACTCCTCAAGCATCGAATAGATGAATATTGCGCTTTGGATCCGTTTGTGCTTGAAACAGAGTCGCAGAATGAAGTCCGTGTCAAAGAGAATCTCGTAGCTTTTTTCACGATTGAACAAAGTCTTGGACCTGCTTTCCAAATATTTCAACACATGGTTTTCCCTTTGAACAGGGTACGTCACCAAAAGCGAAAGAAGAGTATTGTGCACCATTTTCTCTTTGCTCTCTTTCTCCTTAACTAGAAAGTTCAAGAACCTGATGGCTTGGTTGTGATCTGGAGCGATTCCTTGACCGGTTCCTATAGCTTTGTTGTAAGTGAGGATAGCTGGTAGCAACTTTCTGAAATCCAAGTCGTCTATCAAACGTTGCCATAGATCTACAGTTTTGATCGGGTAGTGTATGAGCAACGCAGTAGAGCACTTGTAGACCAGTTGTGGACTTTCTTCCTTTGCCAAAATCTCCAATGCCTTGTCCCATTGTTGCAAGTTGAGGTAATACTTCAACAAGAACGGATTATCGTTGATCAACGATGAAAAATGAACAAGTTCTTCTGTCCGATTGTGTGAAAGTAAAAGTTGGTAGACCGTCTCTTTGTCCAGAGAGTCTTTATATTTTTCAAAAAATGCGTACAGCTCTTGTGAATTGTCGTTTGCTGGATTCTTCACATACAACTCGACAATCCAACTGCTCAGCATCACCCGCTGCATGTACATAGACTTTGGAAGACTCTCGAGTTTTGCATGGAGATACACCAATAGGCTTGGACTTTTGATAAATTTTAAAACCACTTGCTCAAAGGACTCAGATGTGTTGGCTAGAATGCGCGCTGCTTCGTCCATTTCTCCTTTTTGTAAGAGATCATTTCCCTTATTGATCAGAACAACGTCGCGTTTGAGAGGATCGTCAGACACCACCGCTAGCGCATCGTCGTACAGTTTTTTCTCAATCATAATCTTCCAAACATCCGAATGCTCGTTGTCCACCACCAATTCATAAACATTTGAATTCGAGTAGACCCAAAAAGTTTCCAGTCTGTAGTCTGAGGTAGAATCAGTGACCTCGAACGATAAAGTTTCATGGTGCACTAGTTTCCCGTTTAACTGGTTAAATACTATCATTTCTGTGCTGGTAAAGGCTACCACATGGTATTTTGTCACCAGTAGCGATTTATACTGTCTGTTTTCGATTTCGTACCTCTTAAGATCGTTTCGTGTTTGAAATCCAATTTCGCCAATAACGAGCTTGGTGACGTTGTCCTCAGACACCTCGATAAAAGCAAAGACGGTCTCATTGGCGGAAAATGCAGATATCGTTCCAAAAGAAAGCAACAACGGGTCTTTCTTCATCAAAGAGGTTCCAAGTGCGCCATGGAATCTTGCGAGTTTTGTATTTGCGAGCGATGCCACCACGAACGTTTCGTCCTTCTCACCTTTCTCGGCATATAGCGAGCCTATTGTATCCTTTCCCTTCCACAGCTGTTTAAAGTATTTCTCTCTGTTCGATTCAATCAACAACTCATAAATGTTTCCTGTTGTTGTAGCAACCAACACCGGGCCGGTGCTTTTGGATGTAACGTTCGAGTCAAAATACACCATAGAACATATCAGGCTCCCCTTTAGTTTGGAAAGGTTTCTGAACTGTAGCGAATGGAGACTCAAATAAAAATACTCTCTTTTGGTGGTTTGAACAATCAGATGATACCCGAACGGGTCCAAATACGCATTGGCCACCGTCACATTGTTGGAGTCGATTTGTATCTTGTCAACCTTCTCCGGGTTATCCAAGTAGATTCTGTACACCAAACCGTTGATCAAAACCAGGTAGAAAACATTGCCTTTCACTAGAAGCTTGCGGATCTGTGATTGGATCTGGAATTGCAACTGAACCTCTTCGAAACTGAACATATTTGGCTGGTTCTTAATATCCTAGTGGCACATAACCAACTAAAAAAAACAATTACAATTAAAAATATTTCTTGTTTAGAATGGGTATAAGTATACCAGTGAAACTACTCAACGAGGCACAGGTAAGTACTCATGAACTATCACATATTTACTAACATTTATAGGGACACATTATTTCCGTGGAACTTGTCTCTGGAGTGTCCTACAAGGGGAAACTAGTCGAGAGTGAAGACACTATGAATGTTCAATTAAAAGACGTTACTATGACCAACACCAACGGGTCTACACAATACCAACCCCAAGTTTTCCTTAGAGGATCGCAAATACGATTTTTCTCTGTGCCTGAGATCCTCAGACACGCACCGATGTTCGATCCTAATCATGTTAAACCCCCAGCTCCTATTAGAGGACCAAGAAAAAGATAAGTTTAATCAAAACCCTCCAATGCGCTCAACACCCGCTCCAAACGATCACATCCTTGTTTATATCTGTTTGGATTGAGCATCATGTTGGCCGTTAGTCTCGAGATCGAATCCACGATTTGTTCTATGAGATACTTTTCATCGGCTGGAATATCCAAGTTTGCGAATTCCTGCCCAATCACGATGCCGTCCGTGGCATTCAACAGGCGTGCGAGAGTGTCGTAAGAGAATGGCTTGATCTTGGATTTGGTTTTCTTTGCGCGCTTCTTCTTGGAAGAGTCTTTCACTGGCTCAGGGACCTCATCAGGCTCCTCAACATCCTCGTACTCGTCCTCAGGCCCGTCCTCGGCAACCACCAGTTTCACATTCTGTGTGTTCATGTCGAAAATAGAGTCTTCCGAGAGAGTGGAGCCCGAATTTTGTTTCGTGAGAGGATGCATTTCGTCTTCCTGGCCGTCATGGATCGATCTTGCAGTATGGAAAGACTCTGCACCAGTTCTAATGCTCGTGGCTGCAGATGGCGAGTATTTATGCATAGCTGGCGATTGTTTGAGGGCTCTTGGAGCCCTTTCCTCGTGGACAGAAGATTCACTGTCTGCCTCTGCCTCGATCTTGGACCGCAAATCCTCGAATTCTTTCATAATATCATCGAATTTTCCACTGGCACGGCCGCTGGATCTGTCAGATGAGTTGCTCGAGTCCACAGATGGACGTTGTGGAGGTCTTTCAAAGGTATCGAGCGGTCTAAAATTTCCGGAATTAGGACGTCTTGGCGATCTTGCTGGGATTGTGAAATTAAGTTCCGTGTACTGCTCCATGTCTGGGGCTCTAACAGCTTTGCTGCTAAGAGGCTTTGATGGATGCGAGGCTGGAACAGTGCGTGCCACTTTGATGCTCTCTTTGTCGCTTTCTTCCATCACTGGGGATGTATCTCTTAGATAATCAGTGAGATCTTTTGCACCAGAAGAATGCTGGAGCTTGACGCTCTTGACTTTCTTGACCTCGGACAGTCTGTCTGAAGGAACACTGACAGAGTCCGAGTCCTGGTCAACCACAAACTTGACGGTGTCGATATCAACGTGCTGAACAACACCCGAGTACTCCGAGAAAACAGACGATCTGTTGCCCGGAACGTTGGACATATTGGAAACTCTCTTGTTCCATGTTTCGCTTCCAGAAGACCGTGGAAGCAGAGGAGAAGAGCTATGGACACTGGAGCCACTGTGGGGACTTCCGTCACGAGGAGACTCTCTATGGATATCTGGGTTGGTGACGGTCAACTTTTGCAATGGCATTTCAGAGTAGACACTGGAACGCTCTGACATGGTGGAAAAGACAGTTGTATCTACAAAGCAAAAACCAATGAAGCGATCTTTCAGATCATTTAATTAGAAATGGCTGGTTTATCTAGCTGCGGCTTATAATAAATTATTTTACTATTACCTAATACAGAAATAGCACCAAAAATACAAAGATCATTATCGTTTAGACGGCTTCCTCTCATCTGGCGGAAACTCGAGCCGTTCATAAGAATCGTTCCACACGTAGCACAAACTTTGTCGTGAAGTATTCAATTCTTCCGTCTTGGTTACAAACTGGGTATTATTTTCAATCACAATTTTGTGTAGTATATCTACCATCACCTTTACCGAGCGGAACTCGTACCCTTCGAAGAAGTCCATATATCGCAAGTCCTGGTCTGTCAAACCGTCCACCAAGATCCCATCAATTGAGTGGTTCTTGAACGGAATAGCGGCGGAATACTTAGCGTCCTTAACTGCTACCTGGTTGTAGCCGGGTAACCTCGCTTGGTAAACGTCTATCTTTGGAGTGTCGCGGTTCACGTCCAGCACGTCAAGCACCACCTGTGGTGACATTGCTGACCCATAACAACTAATATGTTAGACAACTTTTAACTGATACATACAACAATGACTTTCTGTTCATGTCATTACTTTCGTCTGTCCTCTCCGTCAATATTTAAAATTACAGTCATTTGCTCTGTTTGGCAAAGCAAGCTCATGCACGGAACAATATTTACCCGACCGTCACAGTGCGATCGGTCCAGGAGATTGCTGTTAAAATCTGTGCCGAGACTTTGTAATTAGGGTTCTACGTCATAGTTTATTCACAGTTCTGTAATATCCGAGTCCGAGGCCTTCAATCCCATAACGTTGAGGAACAGGTTCAAGTTGGTCAGATGCTTGTCGGCGGTTTGTAAATCGCCAGACTCCTTCAGAGCCTTACTGACACCCATACTACCAAAGATTTCATTTCTGATTTCGTCCACAACAATTCTTTGGTGACTCAATTGCCCAGCAAGAGATAGGGAGGCCAAGAATTGCCAGATGTACGAATCGTCACTGTTCGATTGGGAGTTGCGCACCTTGCGTGAATCATCATTGGAGAGGTAAGGCGGGAAGATAGTAGCAAGTCTTCCTTCCAGTGCCTGGAAAAGATGGTCGTAAACTGTTTGCCATTGGGCCAGATCCTGTGCACTAAGTCCTCCTGCATATTCTTGTTTGATCAACTCCAACCTGGAAACAAGAATGGTAATTAGAGAAAGTCCGATCTTGGTCGTGGTCAAGAAAAGAATGTTATTGCTTCCATTCTCCACAATGTGGGCGATAAACCGCAACACTTGCTGGAAATTCGACTCACTAACAAATAAGACCAACGTCTTCATCACAGTGAGTTGGAAAAGCTCAATCTTTTTCACCTCAGCTTCCGGAATTTCGTAGTTGCTTTCCACGTAGTTGGCATAAGAGCCTTTCATCACCACGTCGATGTTTTGTAAGTTTGAGAAAATGATCTCAATCAGCTCAATTTGCTGCTGAGAGTCTAGGAAATGGAACAGTCTGTTGAAAACCTTCATGGCTTTGTCAATGGAAAGAACAGAAATGAATGGAGGAACAAGGGTATTGGAGGTCTCGATTTTATCAGAGAGACGAAGAGCATTCCAAAGGTCTTTAGAGTCGCGGCTTTGGTCCTCACGCTCTAGGGACTCGAGCTTTAGGATCTGCGAGTAGATGTTTTCAATAATGGACAATTGGAAAGCCCTAGACGACTTAGAGTACACGTTCTCTTTAGGAACAACCACTTCGTCCGACTTCTCGGAGCTGTTGATCACCAATTGTCTTCTTGGCTGCTTACCCGAGCTGACGGAAACCTTACCAAGGGCACCTTCTCTGGTAAGAACACCGGTTCTTTCTCCACGCTCCTTCGCAACAGTCACAGCTTTAGAAACCTGTTGCTGCATTCTTTGCAAAGCAACGTCTGCTCTCTTCTCTCTACCTCCAAGTCTGTGACCAGATTGGTCCAAGTACTTCTGCGCAATAGAGTTCATATCCTCTTCACCAACCGAGGAGTTGAGGACTTTGTACACCTGACAGTAGAAATCCTCATTGTATGGGTCATCAGTGACAATTTGAGATAATTGCACTCTCGTGACGAAATCTTTATCTCTAGGGTTCATGAATCCTGAACATCTGATGATCGCCGAGACTTTGTGTTGTCTTTTCCAAAGTTTTTCTTTCTCGTCTTTGGATAAACTGTCCAAGCTTTGTTTCTGTGGTCTTGGTCTCCGTGGCTTTTCATCCGAGCCAAAGGCTGGGAAGTCGCCAGAAAGAGCAGCATCTGTCTTTGTCACTCTCGAGACTGGTGCTGGTGCCGAGGCTGGTGCTTGAGGTGGAGATGAAGTCTTTTCAATTTCCTTTGGTGCAGGCTGACTGGCTGGAGCTTCTGGCTGAACTGGGGCTGAAGGAGCTTGTTGTACCGGCTGTGCAGACTGAACTGGTTGAGCTGGCTGAGATTGTGGAGCTGCAGCAGCCTGTGGAGCTGGAGGCTGTTGAGGAGGCTGATTTGGGAAGCCCTGGGACATTGCTCCCTGTTGCATCATTTGCTGCATCTGGAAAGGCATGAATGGCATCATTCCGGACTGAAAAGATGGAACATATCCCTGCGACAAGGCCTGGATGGCTGCGGCAGGGTTAGGGAATTGTCCCGAAGCCATTGCAGCGGCCAAAAGCTGCTGTTGTTGTTGGAACATGTATGGGTTCATCTGAGGCATTTGGGGCACCGGGGGCACCTGTTGCTGTGGTTGACGCAGTCTGGCTTCAATTTCTTCCAATGAGAGCACTTTCTGTTCTGGAACCGGTTGCGACGAAGGAGCAGAGGCTGGTTTCGCTTCGTCATTCCACAAGGAAGCCATTGGGCCCACGACTTGATCAACTTGGGCGGCCTTGGCATACGACAAACCTGGATTGACGGCCTGTGACTGGGCCGGTTGTTTAAGACCGCCGGAGAAATCGAAATTGGTGCCAATCTCGTTTGTATCTGCTCCAAAGGTCTCGTCATTGAATGCATCCTCATCTTGGTCTCCTAGTCCTTCGTAAGTTTCTTCGAAATCGTAGGTTTCGAGTTTCCGGTCCTTCGACTTTGACGAAGGCGGACCGGATGGGTCGAATCCGAAAAAGGACATGGTACTGGTATTCAATGTAGTACTATGGGTGATTGTTTGGCTGGCTTTTGCCTCATAAATTTTCGACGAAAAGTTTTGGGAGGCCGTACACGACCAATTTAAAAAGTATCTATGGATAAACAGTATACAAGCTGTAGATAGGACATCATGCCCGCATTTCGAAACGTCTTCCGCTGGCGGTCTTTCTTTCATTTCTGTGTTCCTCATCGGCAACTTCTCTGCGGGCGCGGTTCAAGATTTTGGTGAAACTGTTGACTCTGAATCTCATTCTTTGGTGCAGGTAACATTTCACGATTTTAATATGGTAGTGGAAGTAGGACCGGAACAATTGGATGTGGGTGATGGAGTTCCATTTGACGTCTTCGGTGCTCAGGTGTCTTGGGAACAGAACAAACGTGATGTAGGTCTTGTTGTGAGTGTTTTCGGATTCCAGGTGCTTGATTTCCAGTGGAATTTCCTGGTGTGAGTTGATCACCTGTGGAGCCTTTTGGATGCTCCGCTTTCTGGCGTCACTAAACTCTTGCAAGAACACTTTCGAGAAGATCTTGTCTGTTTCGTCCTGGAACACCGTGGAGAAGATCACAGTGACTCTGTCGTTGGATGGCTTAATGTAAATCGACTCCATGTCTCTGTAGTGCAACTGCAGCACTTGTTCATTGGAGTTATTTGGCGAGTCCTCACCATACAAGTTGTTTGGGTCCACGGGTTGCTCTTTGGATAGCACCTCGTATCTCTCGAAAGCCTGCAAAAATGGAGCAGCGAAACAGTTGCGTTTCAACAAAGACAGCTCGGCAACAAGTTGTTGTTTCTCCTCCTCGTCAGAAAACGAAAGCTGTTCCAAGTCAATGTACAAACTGTAGTCGTATCCAACCTCCGGCTGGGTTTCCTGGATAAATCCGGATTTGGAGTACTTGGAATGGAGCAATTCCTTCACGCCATAGTTGACAAGGTCGTTCCAACATTTAATCCCGATGGAAAGGAGTATTTTTGTTTTCGACTCCGGCGTTGACAGATGGTAAGTGGTGAAATCGAAGTCGGTGATAATTCTGTCAAGGAAGATTGGAGTGTAATCGGCGGCGAAAGCCTGGCCAATTGCCTCCTCCAACAACAAATTCTGTGGTTGTAGTTGTAACATGGAGAATACGTAGCGAAATTAAAAAAATAGTTGGCACAGTAAATAATTACAGCAATATGGAATAAAATGTAGCAGCTACGCCGCAATTTAGAGAGTCTTTTAATAATTCAATTGCCCACCTTCATTCTATCAAGCTCGGTCAGAACAGTATCGTAGATGGTTTGTAGCGGAGGGGCAGAATCTAAATCTTCGTTGATGGACGAGTCGTCCGGTTGGCTCTTTCTTCTGTTTCTCAAGGTATTATTTTTGGTGACACCCAAGGAATACAAATCCTTGATGGAAATTCCGGTTTCTTTCAGCTTTTTCACCGCATCAAGATACTTCGTAACGTCGTTCGAGTCCAGTAAAACAGATCCGAGTGAAGAAAGCCGGTCTGCTAATGGACAGTCCTTGTTGGTGAGGCTCGACTCTTTGAACGTTGAGGCCTCCTCTTGGATTGTAGAGTTAGTCACTGATTCGTGCGGCACCATTGGCGATGACTCGGCATTTAACTCGGTGGTGTCAGACTCCGCAAGAGAGTACGAAGATGGGTTCTTTATGTCCTGGCCTTCAATGAAGAAATCAAGAGGTTTATGCGCATTCTCCTGAACATCAAGACCTGGATGCTTTCTCCTAATGAGCTGAACACACTTTTCGAGAGACGACCGGATCATAAGCAGTCTTATAAGAGTCTCTTTTCCTTCAAAACTGAGCTTCCTTTCGAGCTGGATTGCTGCCAATTCAGATATAGTCGCCTGTAGCTCGTTCGTTAGTTTGTGGGCATGGGTGAAGAAATCCTTCACTTCCTGGTCCGATGGATTGATATCCGCTTTCAACATATCCGTCACTAGCTGAGTAAACGATTTTTCTCCTGGAGAAATGGAGAGCAACGAGTTTAGTTCTGCGTCTCCCCCCTTGTCTCCATAGAGCGTTCTTTCCATGTTCCGCATAGTAAGGAGACCAATGCGTTCTTGGAATCCGGCTGGGGTACCTTCAGGGTCGAAATCAAGGTTGAAAAGAGATTTCGAGTACTTCAATGAACGACAGATAGATTCGCAGCAGGCTTCTGTTAGTCTGTTGTCTTTGATAGAAAGATAGTTGAGCTTTTTGAGAAGCGGAAGCGTTTCACTTAATTGAATGATGGCCACAGGTGTGAAATCATTTCCATCGAGATTTAAGCGGGTCAGATCTGGAAACAATGGAAGATAAGTAACAAACTTGTTCATGAACGTCTGGAAAAGCTTGCGATTGTTCGAAACGTCGAGATATTTCAGATGAGGCAACTTGGAAAACGAATCAAACACAGCCACTGTATCCTCAGAATCCAACAAATTGCAACTGTTCAACGAAAGCAACGACAAACCGGCGTTGAAGTCGCTTCTCTTGGTGTAATCAATGAACGGACGTAGCAGGGACGAAAGGTCATTGTACCCAAGATCAATTCCAACCAAATCTTTGTTAGCGGACATCCAGTCCACAACGACCTCGCAGTGTTGCAATGTCAACTCGTTGTAAGCCAATCCAATCTTGAATGAATTCTTGAGTCCCAGTTTGAGGAAATTCTTGAAAACGTCCAAATCGTTAATTTTGCAACCACTCAACACCATTTCTTTCATTCCACCACGGATCATCAGCGTTGCCGTCATCAAAGACCAGTCCATATCGGATCTGTTCTGAACGTTACATTGCATACGCTCCTGATCTTTAGATGGCCGCTTCAGCTTCTGAACGTTGAGCTCCAAAGATGGACATTGCGTCAGGTCTAGTCTTCTAAGCACATTGTTCATCGACAAAAACCAACAGAGCGACTTCCACCCAGCCTGGTCAATAGGGGTGTTTCTGAGCGACAGCTTCTCGAGATACCGTTTATTAAGTAAGGATGCCAAGATGATGCGAAACATTTCGAGCGTCAAATGAACACCATCCAAAGAAACACAGTTGATAGGCGCGATTCTCACAAAATCTGCAAATGATAAAACTTCAATCAACGATGGATATGGATTGCGCAATTGAAGTAAAGCCAATGGTTCGGTGGTTCCCTTAGGGATCTGCTTCAGAGTAGCGGGAATAGGAAGAATTTCTCTCAGATGGCAACATCTGGTATACAACTCATCAAGCTTCAGTGTAACGACTGGAGCTTCCATCCGTTTCTTTCTCTTGACCATTGGTTTATCAATCTTGATATCGTCAAGGTTGCGAGTAGAATCTTTATCTGTTCTTGCCTTTTGGGCAGCCAGGTCTTTATCCTGGCGATTGATGGTGAGATCCGACGAACTTCTACCCATTTCTGCAGAAGCTTCACCGTCTTGATGAATCAGTCTCAAATGACCCGACCCACCAACAACGATTCCGCCAGCTGCATTCTTCTGGTCTTCAGGATTTATTTTATGGATAACCAATTCCCCATCTGGGCCAACCTCGACATTTCCCTTTCGAGGGTGTCTTGAAGGAATCTGCTGTGGAGGATCGTTGATGAACGTTGTGGTTGCAAACGCCACTTTGCGTATTGGTTTAACGTCCTTGAGAACTTTGATTGGTGGAGACTTTTCATGTTTAGGCGGTGGAGCAGTATACGAGGTAGAAGTGGACGTGCCAGAACTGACAGAGTCTGACCGAGTAGCCGGTTCTGACTCTTTATTTCTGGAAATTCTCAAAAGAGAGCCCAGAACACCTTCCTTCGACTCTTTGTGGCCTGATGATCCGACTTCAGCCGGCTTGTCATATTTCGGATGCAGTGCGAAAGCACTTGGCAATTTTGGTTTATCAGGATGAGGTGGGATTTCATCAGGGGCGTACTTGACTGACGACTCGATAGTTGGTGCGAAAACAGAATATCTTGGTGTCTCCGTGTTGCTTATGGTTTCCTCAATGTCTTTGAGATATTCGTACAGTTTGGGATCTGCACCTTTGTATTTCTCGGATAATGGTTTGCGAGCGGGAGGGTGCACTGGAGAGGTTTCCGGTGATGATTGTGGCCTGGAGATGGATGCTTTTCTTGGTCTTGAAGATTCCGGACTGATCTCACGAGGCTTTGAAACAGACGAAGAGCGAGACCGTGGATGTTCTTTTTCGCCAAATAATTTGTGAAAGAATCCGTGCTTTTTAGGCTCTGCCACCGGAGGAGCAGCCATGACGTTTGTTGACGATCTGGCCAAGGTTGACGTACCAAATTCTGGTCCCTTAGTCTCGGTAGTTACGTCGACTGTTCTTGCTCGCCGAAGCGGAGCCATGTTGTCCTTGTCGGGAACTGCTTTGGTATTCGTCGTTGACAAAGAAGGAAGGGCCTTGGAGTTCGATGAAGCGGCCAAAGAAGGCGAGTGGATAGGTGTGGTCACGGAAGGACTTGTAGAGGCACCGCGCAGGAACCAGTCATAATCCGCAGCGTCCAGTGTCTCATCAGATGTCTGAAGCTCGCTTTGCAGTCTTTTCCTCAATTGATCATGTTGTTTGGAGTTATCTGTGGAGGCTGTAGCTGAGGAAGGCATTATTTAGACATAAGTTGATTAATTTGCGGGTCGATCGACTTCGGAGGAGTGTCGACATTTTCTGTCAACTCTCGACCGTCGACACAAATATAAGCAAACGTTAACGCACGGCTCACAACTGATAAAAAAATCGCTTCTGTTATCTTGGCAACATGATTACTCTGTTTGAGGTTCAAACTTGTTTGTTATAGAAAACGGAATAGGGTTCGCATTTCGAACCCCGTGTTTTTCTTCTGTACACATGCTGGACCGAATTCCTTCTTGTTATCTGTAAGCCGCACTCTTGGCACCGCCCTGGTGACTCTTTTAAACAGACTTACAATAGAGCCGTACGCTAAGCACGCTGGTTCACCGCCACATTACCCAATAATATAATAAATTAACTCGAGGCTGAGTTCACGAATTTTCCATGCCAGGGCCCTTGATTAATTTTGTTAGCTAGTTTGCATGGAACGGCACTAATTGGTTGAAACCCGAATTTTGTATTAATATCCATCTATTTGCCTCTGGTTGGTAGTCAATGAGCGTCGAAGAAACAGCCGGCACAAACCTGGCCCTACAGAAACGGTCGCTGACCTTTCTGTTTGGCAAGAAAGTGCCCCCATTACCATTGGAGGAGGAACGGAAAGTGTTTCCTCACTACCACACCAATATCATATATCGTGCCTTCTTCTGGTATCTGACCCCATTGATGAGGGTAGGATACAAAAGAACTCTTCAGCCTGAAGATATGTATCTTTTGGACGAAGAGCAAACGATAGACTACATGTACAAAAAGTTCATTGCTTCGGTCGATTCAGATCTCGAGAAGCAGAAGGCAAAACATATCTTAAAGAAGTGCAAAGAGAGAGGAGAGACTCCAGAGTCGTCCTCAGTTGATCCGGAAACCGATCTCGAGGATTTCGAGCTTCACTACGTATATTTGGTGAAAGGCTTGATCCGAGTTTTCGGATGGCAATATGGCTGGGCAACCTTCATCAAAGCCTTTGCAGACCTCTCTAGTGCGCTGTTGCCGTTGGTTCTCAAACGGCTCATCAACTTTGTCGAACGGAAAGCCTATGGTTTGGAACCACACGTCGGAAAAGGTATAGGGTACGCATTCGGGGTGTCACTTATGGTGTATTTTTCCGGATTTGCTTTCAACCATTTTTTCTACAACAGTACCACTGTGGGTGCAAAGGTGAAAGCCGTGCTCACAAAGGCACTACTTGAGAAGAGTTTCACGCTCGATGCCCGTGGAAAACATAAATTCCCTATTGGAAAAATCAATTCCATCATGGGTACCGATTTGACCAGAGTCGATCTGGCTCTGGGATTCTTCCCCTTCCTGTTGGGATTCCCTATTCCTTTGATTGTGATCATTGTGATGTTGTTGGTCAACATTGGTGTCTCTGCGCTCGCCGGTATTGGTGTTTTTGTCATGTCTATTTTCCTGACGGGATTTATCGTTCGAGAGCTGTTCAGACTCAGAGTGATCGCCAATGTGTTCACCGACGAAAGAGTCAACCTGGTGAAGGAACTGTTGAAGAACTTCAAGATGATCAAGATGTATGGTTGGGAAAACTCGTACTTCAAGGAATTCATGGATATTCGTCAAAAGGAGATGACAACAGTGCTGCGAATGCAAGTTGCCAGGAATGTGCTTATTGCCGTTGCCATTTGGCTTCCAATCGTTTCTTCGATGGTCGCCTTTTTGGTTTTGCACAAGATCGACTCCAACAGAACTGTTGGAGACATCTTCTCTTCCTTGTCGCTTTTCCAAGAACTTACCACGCAGTTCTTGATGGTTCCAGCAGCACTCGCAATGTCCACAGATATGGTCATTGCTTTTAAGAGAATCTCTCAGCTTCTTTCGTGTCCGGACGGCCAGGAACTCGCTACATTTTTCGACACGTTGGACGACCCAAAACTTGCACTTCAGTTGAAAAACGCTTCGTTCCAGTGGTTCACATTTGAGGACGAAAAGCCGGAAGATTCCAAAAGTGAGGACGAGCCAGAGTCCAGTGATCAGAAGTCAGAGAAATCAGCCGGCTCAGAAGTCGTCAAGACCGAGTTCCCCGGACTTCTTAACTTGAACCTGTCAATCGCTAAAGGCGAGTTTGTCGTCGTTACAGGCTCAATTGGATCCGGAAAGTCTTCACTTTTGAATGCTTTCTCCGGATTTATGCCAAAGACATCTGGATCTGTCGCCAAGAACGGTAGTCTGATGCTTTGCGGATACCCTTGGGTGCAAAATGCAACCATTAAAGAAAACATTGTTTTTGGCGAAGAATATGACCAGGAGAAGTATGATACAATCGTCAAGGTTTGTTCTTTAACTGGGGACTTTGAACAGTTTTCAGCAGCTGACAAGACTGAGGTCGGAGAGCGTGGTATCACGCTCTCTGGTGGTCAAAAGGCCAGAATCAATCTTGCCAGAGCCGTTTACAGCGACAAAGACATCATCCTGTTAGACGATGTTCTCAGTGCTGTGGATGCCAAGGTTGGAAAGAGTATCATGAAGGATTGTATTATGGGATACTTGAAAAACAAGACCAGGGTGCTGGCTACACATCAATTGTCGTTGATCGACTCTGCTGATAAGATCATGTTTCTGAACGGTGATGGTACCGTTGACTACGGTACTTTGGATGAAGTGAAGAGCAGAAATCCAGAGTTTGTCAGACTGATGGAGTTCAGCCATAACGTCGACGACGATGACGAGGACGAGAATGAACCAGAACAGGAAAAGAACGACGACTTCGGTGCAGACGATGACGAAGACGGAAGACTGATCCGTGCTGAAGAGAAAGCTGTCAATGCAATCTCATGGGATGTTTACAGAACGTATATCAAGGCCGGTTCTGGAAAGCTGGGATACTTCTATCCCGTTGTTGTTGTTCTGGCGTTCAGTGTTTCCACGTTCTGTTTGCTGTTTGTGAATAACTGGTTGTCTTTCTGGGAAAGTGGAAAATTCCACGAGCCAGGCAGTTTTTACGAAGGAATCTATATCATGTTTGGATTCCTGTGTTTGATCTTCTTGATCGTTGAGTTCCTGTTTTTGGTGTACTTCTGCAATATGGCTGCCAGAAGATTCAACATCCTGGCTTTCAAAAGACTGTTGCATACTCCAATGTCGTTCTTGGACACGACCCCAATGGGAAGAGTTCTGAACAGATTCACAAAAGACACAGATGCCATGGATAATGAGATTCAGGATCAATTCAGACAATTCTTCCAGCCATTGGCCACCATCGTGGGTACTTTGATTCTCTGTATCATCTATCTTCCGTGGTTTGCCATCGCTATTCCAATTGTCTATGCATTGTTCTATCTGATCTCCAACTTTTATCTTGCAAGTTCGAGAGAAATCAAAAGATTGGAAGCATTGAAGAGATCCTTTGTTTACTCTCATTTCAACGAGTCTCTTTCCGGAATGGACACCATCAAGGCACACAATTCCGAAACCAGATTCTTGAACACGAATGCTCATCTGATTAACGACATGAACGAAAGTTACTACACGTTCATCGCTGTTCAGAGATGGCTGGCCAGCAATTTGGAGTTACTGGCCAGTTTGGTGTGCTTACTGATTTGTTTGCTATGTGTTTTCCGTGTTTTCAACATCAGCGGTGCATACACAGGTCTGGTGTTGACGTACGTTGTCAACATTGTTGGATTGGTTTCGTTCATGTTGCGGTCTATGACTGAGGTCGAGAACCAAATGAACTCAGTCGAAAGACTCAAGTTTTACGCTATCGACTTGCAACAAGAAGCCGCCTACGACATCCCAGAAAGAGACCCTGAACCAACTTGGCCTGCTAGCGGCTCGATTAGTTTCCAGGACGTTTCCATGAGATATCGTGAAGGACTTCCTTACGCTGTTAAGGGGCTTTCCCTGGATGTTGCCGGGAGCGAAAAGATTGGAATATGCGGTCGTACTGGTGCTGGTAAGTCCAGTGTGATGTACTCTTTGTTCCGTCTTGCCGAGTTTGAGGGAAAGATTACGATCGACGGCGTGGATATTTCTCAGATCGGACTACACAAGCTGCGGACCAAGATCTCGATCATTCCACAGGATCCTGTCCTATTCAGTGGTAACGTCCGTTCGAACTTGGATCCATTCAACGATCGCACTGACGAAGAGTTGTGGTCGGCGTTGGAGAAGGCCGGACTGATTGACGGCTCCATTTTGGAACAAGTGAAGAAACAACAAAAAACAGACGCAAACCTGCACAAATTCCATTTGGACAGAGTTGTCGAAGACGATGGATCGAATTTCTCGCTTGGTGAAAGACAGTTGCTTGCGCTTGCCAGAGCTCTGGTCAGAGGTGCCCGGATTCTTGTTCTGGATGAGGCTACCTCGAGTGTCGACTATGAAACCGACGCGAAGGTCCAGAAGACCATCACCGAGGAATTTGCACAATGCACAGTGTTGTGTATTGCGCACAGACTGAAGACTATTGTGAAGTACGACCGGATTCTTGTTTTGGATAAGGGAGAGATCGCCGAGCTCGACACTCCGAGAAACCTGTACGAACAGAATGGCATTTTCCGCTCGATGTGCGACAAAAGTGGAATTGTCGAGGATGATTTTTAAAAGACGGCAGTTTCCGAATTGGGTAATTTGATAAGACAATCAAGTAATTAGAAATTAATAGCGAGTTTAATTATTTTTCACCACCAAGTTAACTTTGCACTCGATCTTTCTTTCCAAATGGTGTTGATGTATCGAGGTTTCAAGGCCCTCGGAGCCGTTGGATTTGCTGGAGCCGGATGGACCATGTGGAACAGACGTCAATTGAAAAATGACCCAAAGCTTGTGGTTTCCTACGAGGAATTGCAGAAGCACAACAAGGTCGAGGATTGTTGGATTGCAATCAACGAAAACGTCTACGATGTGACCCAATTCATTCAGAACCACCCTGGAGGTGTTGCTCAGATCTTCAGATATGCTGGAAAGGATGCCACCAAGGGCTTTTTGTCGATGCATCCTTTGCAACACATTGAAACGCATCTGGGTGGATTCCACGTTGGAGAGATCAACGATTTACCAACCAAAAAGAAGCAAAAAAAGAGCACAGCAACAAAGAAACAAAAGTTTGCTAAGTTCGATTTCGAAGAGGAGGAGAAACTCGAGCCAAAGTATCTTGCGCCTCCTCTATCTCAGATATTCTCGTTGTCAGATTTCGAGGCCGTTGCCAAGAAGATCCTTTCTCCGATTACCTGGGCATATATTTCCACCGGAGCAAGTGACGAGTTTACACTGAGAGAGAACCGCTATGCGCTGGGTCGGATCTTTTTCCGTCCAAGATGTCTGTTGGACGTCTCCAACACTACCATTGACACCGACATTTTAGGTGTTCATAGCGAAGCTCCATTTTATATTGGCTCGTTTGCAGGCTCGCATTTAGTTCAGCCAGAAGCAGAGTCTGTTCTGACTGGAGCTGCTGGGAAGGAGAAGATTGTTCATATCATTCCAAAACACGGTGCTGTTGGACTGGAGAAATTGCTCTCAGATACCGTTCTGCCAGGCCAAAGTGTATTCTACCAGCACGACTTCTACACCAGAAAAGACATCGAGGACGCCCCAGCATACTTCAAGCGTATTGAGGCTACTATGCCGCAGGTTAAGGCTATATTTATTAACGTTGATATTGCGACTGTTGGAAACAGAGAGAAAGACTACCGGTCGAGAAGAGTTCACGGTGGAGAAATTGCTGATGAGCTTGACAATCTCGTTTCTGACGCTGTGCAATATGCCAATCCTACATGGGAGGATTTCAAAACATTCAAGGCAAGCACCAATCTGCCTATTATTATCAAGGGACTGCAACGGAAGGAGGACGTGATTAAGGCTGCGGAACTGGGTTTCCGCGGAGCCCTGATTTCTAACCATGGTGGACGTCAACTGGACTTTTCAACACCAACCATCGAGACTCTGGTGCAGGTGCACAAGACTCTGAAGGAGAAGAAGATCGACAGAACTCAGTTCCAGGTGTTTGTGGAAGGAGGGTTCCGCCGTGGATCTGACGTGATCAAGGCGCTGTGTTTGGGAGCCATTCCAGGGTTTGGTCGTGGTATGCTGTACAGTGAGGTTTACGGCCAGGACGGAGTGGAAAAAGCCATCCAGCTGCTCAAGAAAGAGATCACCAGAGACATGATGCTATTGGGAGCCAGTAGCGTGGATCAGCTGGACGATTCTTTCTTGGACACTGCCAGTGTTGGGGTTAAGCTTGGAATCCCAGATGTCCAATATGATAGAAACTATACACAAATGTTCACCATTGGAACCAAAGCTTGAAAATTAATATATTAGACAAAGTCGAGGTACTTGTAGATTTAGCTAGACTCAGAAACATTCTCAATAGTCTCATCAGAAAACTTTCCTTTCTCGTAAGCGTCGATCTCGCCCTCTGCACCAAAGTCGCCCGTCCAGCCGTGCTTTCTCAAATAGGTAAAGTATCTTATGTCCTCAAGCATGAGATCATCTTCTCTGATGTGAGGGATGCAGATGAATGCAATGATCACACCGGTCAAACCCAGAAGAGCAGCAATGATGAAAGTCCATGGTTTACCAAGGTTCTTCTGGATAGGAGTAAAAGCTTGGGTTCCGACGGCGGCACCTGCCTTACCAACAGCGGCAGAGAGTCCGTACAGAGTCGAACGCACTGGGGTAGCATAACTCTCGGCAGAAGCGAGTCCCAAAATGTTACCTGGACCAAGGTTACCGAAGCCGTTGAAGATACCGTAGAAAATGATAAACAACGGCACAATCTTGGAGATTTTCTTGTACGCACATCCAATGATGAGACCAATCACAAGGTATCCACTGAAACCAATGCACATGGTATACTTTCTTCCAATCTTGTCGGTGAGCCAAGCTCCCACGAGCAGCATTGGAATTGGGATGATAGCCAGAAGCAAGTTCCATTCGGCAACCTTTTCGAGGTCCTTGGTGTCGGACAACACAGACGAGATGATGGTGGAGGAGAAGATACCATTAGGGAAGGTGACGAAATCGTAGATGAACCAACAACCGCACGTTCCAATCAGTCTAATCCAGTAGAATTTGAAAGTGAGCCAGTATGGAACGTTCTTCCTGATAGCTCCTTTCTTGTAGAGCACGGAGGTAGCCATCTTGAATCTGAAGTAGAAAACGGCGAGCGGCCAAATACAGCCAATACCCAGCATGACTCTCCATGTAGTTGATAGATGGGCACCGCTACCACTGGCACGATACACAATCAGGAACACAATCAGGGCGAACGGACCTCCAAGCGACAGAGGAAGGTTGGTAACTAGCACGAAAACCCCTCCTCTTTTTTTGGAAGCTTCATTGGCAGATTCGGACGCAGCTGTAGAACTGGCCGGGTATTCACCTCCAACTCCGAAACCAGTCAAACCTCTGGCAACAATCAACATCCAAAACATGCCGTCAATAGTCTTTCCGTGTGCGGCAGTAGCAAGGATTGATCCCACCACGATCATCGAGGTGGTAGCCAGAATGGCCCATTTTCTTCCCAAGTAGTCACCGGTCAAACCAACCACAACTTGACCAATGACTGCACCAACAAGCAAAGCATTGGACACACGCGTCTTCATGGTGGTATCGTACTCTTTCTTGTACTCAACAGCAAAAACGGAGTTCAACATGTTCATACAGTTGTTCTGGTATCCGTCCGAAAGCAAAGCGGCACCGGCACAAATGATGGTGAAGATGTCACTGAGGGACTTCTTCTTCTTGAACCGTTCGTTTCTAGTCTCTTTATCGTACACCATAATGTCGGAGCCAGATGGCTCCACGGTCACCTCCGAGATTTCGGATACTTTGTTCACAGACACCATTTGTTACCGAACTGAAAAGAAAATACGGGCCTATTTATGTATCGTGATAATGCCCGGCTTTGGTAATTTTTCAGCTCCCTTGTATTACCCCCCACATGGCAATTCTAAAAACGTTCATGGGGTCGCTGCTGCACGGCTAAAAATTTCGGTGACCTCCCTCTTCCAGCCAAGATTTCCATTCCGAAAGCATTTCTCGAGATATCAGCTTGTTTTGATCATCCAGAGCCCATAATGTCGATCGTTGGTTTGGTCTTGTGACTATGGAATTTCGTATTTAACCAGATTTCACTTATCTGACCCCCACGTGTCGGCCATTTAGCCTGCATTGCACGCGATTATTTTCGCTCAGATGCCGTTCTAACGTAGATGGTGGAAAAATCCACCGGGCTCTGCGCAGTGTAAGGATGTTGCATATTCGCGAAAAAAACGAAATCTGAGATATTGTTTGCCTTTACATAATCGCGTTTGTTTATAGAAGTTGGAAATGTCCTACAACAGGAGATACAAGCCCAACCCTGCAAACGAGCTAGGAATTGGTGCGGGTATCAGTCCGTCACTCAAGCGGAAAAGACTTCACGAGGACCCATCACAAAAACTTTGCAAACCCTTCAAAAGTCCCATTGTGATTTCCTCTGCTGTTTCTGCCGTGGGTAGGGAGATCCGTCAGGCTCGTGTGAACGGCCCAAAGTCGTACTTAGAGCTTGGACAGGAAAATATACCCGTTGGTGTGGGAAAGGGAGACGACGAGGCCTACGGGCTCAATAAGAAGAAAGGTGCTCTGTTGCCCCGAAATGTGCTAAACTCCATCGACCAAACAAATCGGGTTCTCACCCGCAAGTTCAGAGCTCCAGTGAAAATAGGCGCCGAGAATGAGTTTGAGATGATGAATACTCAGCCGCCTCCCCCATTGGGCAACAGGAAACGGATCTATTTCCCTCCAAAGCCTCTCCATGATCCACTAGGAGAATATGCTATTGTTCTCTATGACCCCACCGTTGACGTGATTCCTGGCATGAAAGAGGAGGAAGAGGCTGCCATTGCTGCTGCGAAGGCGGCCGCCGAGAATGAACCCGTCAAGCCTGCTAAATCTGCTCACAAGTCACTGAACGAGATATTGGGGATCAACACACGTCCCGAGGATGAGGTCCTGAAACAGTTCCCGAACGTTCCCGTGGTGATCGATCCACGTCTAGCCAAGATTCTTCGACCACATCAAGTTGCTGGAGTCAAGTTTTTATACCGCTGTACTGCAGGACTGGTGGATCCTCGCGCAAAAGGTTGCATCATGGCCGACGAGATGGGCCTCGGGAAAACGCTCCAATGCCTCACACTGATGTGGACTCTACTGAGACAGGGTCCAAGGGGCAAGAAAACGATAGATAAATGCGTCATTGTTTGTCCATCATCGCTTGTGAAAAATTGGGCAAACGAGATAGACAAATGGCTTGGGAAAGGTGTACTGAACTCGTTGGCTATGGACGGAAAAGGGTCAAAGGGTGCAGGAGACATGGCCGAGACTTTGAGACAGTGGGCCAGAGCACAAGGAAGATCCATTGTCAGACCAGTCCTGATCATCAGTTACGAGACTCTCAGAAGAAACGTCGAAAACCTGGAAGGAACAGAAATCGGTCTCATATTGGCAGATGAAGGTCATCGGTTGAAAAACGGTGACTCCTTGACATTTACAGCACTGAACTCGCTAAATTGCGAACGGAGAGTCATTTTGTCCGGTACTCCAATTCAGAATGACTTATCCGAGTATTTCTCCTTATTGAATTTCTCCAATCCTGGAGTGCTTGGATCGCGTGCCCAGTTTCGTAAAAACTACGAACTTGACATTTTGAGAGGTAGAGACTCGCTTGCTACCGAAGAAGAGCGCAAAAAGGGAGATGCCAAATTGCAGGAACTGACTGAGCTTGTGTCCCGATTCATCATCAGAAGAACAAACGATATTTTGTCAAAGTACTTGCCTGTCAAGTACGAATACGTTGTTTTCTGTAACCTGAGCGAGTTCCAGCTGAAGTTGTACCAGCACTTTGTTACCTCTCCGGACATCAAAAAGCTTTTAAGAGGGTTGGGATCACAACCATTAAAAGCTATTGGATTATTGAGAAAGCTTTGCACCCACCCACGTTTACTTGATTTGCCAAGTGACATAAGTGGAAGCGAAAACTTAATTCCAAGTGACTACGACTTTGGTGGGGGACGGAACAAAGACGTCCAAACATGGTACAGTGGTAAATTTGCCATGTTGGAGCGGTTCCTGTTCAAGATCCGCAAGGAAACCAACGACAAAATAGTTCTGATTTCCAACTTCACGCAGACTTTAGACTTGATTGAGAAGATGTGTCGTCATCACAGATTCGGCACTCTCAGACTTGACGGAACGTTGGGTATTAATAAACGTCAAAGACTGGTGGACAAGTTTAATGATCCAGACGGAGACGAATTCATCTTCTTACTCAGTTCGAAAGCTGGCGGATGCGGTATCAATCTGATTGGAGCAAACAGACTGATCTTGCTGGATCCCGACTGGAACCCAGCCAGTGACCAACAAGCATTGGCCCGTGTCTGGAGAGATGGCCAGAAGAAAAATTGCTTTATTTATCGATTCATTGCTACGGGAACTATTGAAGAGAAGATTTTCCAGCGTCAATCGGCCAAAATGGAGTTATCCTCGTGTGTGGTGGACTCCAATGAAGACGTGGAAAGACAGTTCTCCAGCGACAACCTGAAGAAATTGTTTTTGTTCAATTCAGAAACTGCCTGCGAAACGCACGACACCTACGAGTGTAAGAGATGTCAAGACGGCAAGCAGAAGATCAAATCGTCGGCCATGCTTTATGGTGACGCCACTTCGTGGAACCATATTAACCGTGACGAATTGGCAAAGAACGACGATTTCTTGATGCAGAACGAGTCTCAGTTCGACTCTGTGAGTTATGCGTTCGAGTACATTTCTCACTAAGCTGGTTTGTTGATCCAAGTGGTTGACCAATACGCCTTTTCTGGGCCCTGCGTATCTAGCCAGAGCAGTCCTATAGAGATCAGGTCATCGAGATTTGATTTGCATCTTGCGCTTTTCCAGTTGAAGTTGTCGCGCAACAGAGAAACAGTGACGTAACCTATTGCGTCTGCTGCTGTCAGAATTTGTGTCTGGTCGGCGCTGAATTCCTGCAGAATTGACTTCACATACGATTTGGAGCCGATTTTCACCAGCTTGAGCTCGCCTCCCAGCACACTGAGACTCTCAACGGCAGTCTCGACGTCCTTGTGGTCCATCCTGAATTGCCAGCCGTCCTGGATGGCACCTGTAATGATTTTAATGATCTCGTCCACAGAAATGATACCTCCATAGAGATCTCTTGTTGCTTGGCATATTTCGTATATTCTGATTGCCAGACGGTTATTGCGCTCCTGGGGGTCCAGATCGTCTTCAGCAGTCATGTATAGAGGATCAACACCAAAACTTTCACAAATCTGACTGAATTGCGTTCGTAATTGCGAATTGGCCATTAGCTCGTTCTTATGTTCCTCTTTAAAGCTCACCAGTGCGTTCTGGAACACCTGGACCTGCGTCTTGAGCTCTTCCTCACGCTGCTTCAACATCGCCTGACCCAGGTTCTGGAACTTGGACCGTTGGTCCTCGGTGTTGTCGAACGACGCGAGTCCCTTTCTGCTCATTGCCAAACCCTATAGTGAGAATCCAAAGATAAATATTTATGGTCGTGTGCAAATCACACAGATGTCGAAGTTTGCCACTGGATTAAATATCTGAAATAAATATACATCATCATGGAGACCACTGAACCTTCAATTGATGTCGTTGAAAGTAAGCAGTGCCTACAAATTTCATCCAGACTAACATTTATAGAGCTCCGCGAATTCCTCACGCTTGTTGAGCAATCAGCCGTCAAGTATGATCCAAGATACGTGCTGAAGGTGTTCCGGGAGTTGACACCACTTAGACGCGAGTTGGACGCTGGTTCGTTGTTAAAGGTAATCAAGCAAACAGTTCCGGAGTCGCAAACTCACTATGGTAACTTGGTTGGCGCCTTGGCCGACTACGACGACGCCGTGATGGACGAGGACTTCTCTGTTCCTACCCCAAGACCAGACATTGACCTGTTTTTGCATCTTTTGGTTCAAATTTTCCTTCACGACAAGAAAGACTTCAACAGATTGGAGTTGTTCAACCAGAAAACAGTCATTGCCCTCGCCCAGTACAACGAGAGAACGTTAGATCATATTGCAGCCAAGATCTGGTTCTACGTTTTCAGATCCAAGGAGGCCCTCAAGGATACTGTTTCGATCCGTCCAGCTTTGCAAACTGCTCTTAGAACGGCCACTTTGAGACACGACAATGAAATCAGAGCAGCGGCCATAACCTTGCTGCTTAGATCGTATCTTTTATCCAACGACATAAATCAGGCCTACAACCTGGTTGAGAAAACAGAGTTCCCTGAACAGGTCACCAATTCTGTGGTGGCAAGATACTACTATTATTTGGCCAGAATTCAAACCATCCAGTTGGATTACTCGTCCGCCAACGAGTGCGCTATCACGGCTATCAGAAAATGTCCACAGACCAAGTCTGCACTTGGCTTTTTGCAAGCGGCCACCAAGCTCCACATTTTAATCCAGTTGCTCACTGGAGAGATTCCGGAACTGTCCACGTTCAGAGACCTGGCGTTGGAGAAGAGTTTGACCCCATACCTTGCTGTGACCAGGGCCGTGAGACTTGGAGACCTGAACTTATTCAATGACGCTTTGACCAAGTACGGCGCCTCTCTGAAAAAAGATACTAATTACAATCTTGTTTTGCGTCTGAGACAGAATGTCATCAAGACTGGTATCCGGATCATTTCTCTCTCATACAAAAAGATTTCTCTCAAAGATATTTGCATCAAGCTACACCTCGATAGCGAACTCAGTGCCGAGTACATTGTTGCCAAGGCCATCAAGGACGGAGTCATTGATGCCACAATCGAGCATAAGGACGGGTACATGAAATCCAACGAGATGTTGGATGTGTACTCCACAAGAGCTCCGCAGGAGGAGTTTGATAGAAGAATCAAGTTCTGCATGGCTCTGAACAACGACAGCGTGCGAGCCATGAGGTACCCATTGAGTACCAACAGAGGTGAGATCAAGGCCGACGTTGATTTCAAAGAGCGTGAACAGGAAATACTACAGTATTTGCAGGAAGATGACTTTTTCTAGATTAATTCTAATTGAATGTTCAAGTATGTTCCTAGAACCCAAACGAGCACTAGACCAATGCCTATTTGCCGTGTAAATCTCCAGTTGTTGAGTGGGATGTAGACGAGCATGAACACGAGTACGAGGATGATCCAAGTACATGTCAGGGTGAAGCTCCATTTGATGTCGATGTTGACCTGACCCATGATTTTTCCGTTGACACCAACTCCCAACAGCAAATTTAGCAATGGACCTCCAAAACAGGCAGCAAGAGCCATCAGAGGGTAGCCGAGACTGGCTATGACGAGGTTGGAGATCAGATCACCGACAGAGTTTCCAATTGCAAAGATGGTGAGGCCCATTATGACGTCGGACATGTTGGTGAGCACACTGATGAATTTGAGCACGTTGATCAATTCGTCTGCTATTTGGGCGATGAATGCGATTGCGGTTACAAACCCAACAACACAGAGAAACAACTTGACAAGGTTGGATTGTTTCTGTGCCCTAATAAGGTTGTAATAGACACCAAACACTGGGAAGGGAGCAATTGCGAAGAAAACTAGCCAGCTTTGCCACGACGGGGAGTTGAAAAATGATAGGAATATGGTGCATTCAGCCAAAGACAGCGAAACGAGGATCTTGTACAGTTGGGGCAGGTTGGGTTTTGTCGAGTCGTCGCACATTGAGTACGGTACCACAGGAACATTGTACGTGAGTATCATGACCAACGGGTATGCTAAGTTGTTGAAGATTGTTTTGATGGTGGATTGAGATTCAATTTCGTCGTCTGGAAGACTAATATGGTTATTCGTGAGTCGTGACTCGTAGTTTTGCGAGTCGTTGACAAAACTTGCCAGATTGAACGGGACAGACTGTTTTTGGCTCAGACCGTCGAGGACTTTGCCGAACTCAATGCTGTTGATGATTCCGGGGTGGAAAGTGTAAGTGTCTTCAAACTCGAGGTTGTCACCGTCCATAACGATGAACGGCTCGTCGTTGTACGAGTTTCTGATGGTGTAGTCTCTGATGAGCTCTTTCTTTTTCTGGGAGAACAGGTACTGCCATATAAGCACCACACAGACATAAGTTAGATAAATGGTGATAAGAATGTTGAGCTTGACGGTGGAAAGATGGCCGTTCAGAAGACAGGCCACCAGAGTGATCATCGAGAAGAGGAAAAACGAAACGTCTCGAAGATACACGAATTTAGCGTTCTGAACCAACAGCTGCTGCGTTTGCGGGCTGTCAGCCGAAAATTGCGGGATCACGTCGAAAGGATGGGCGATGGTGATTGATCCGACGATGAAGCTGGTGATGAAGAACGCGGCGCCAATGAGTTCTCCTATTGCGAGCGAAGGGTTGTTTGTTTGAAACGAGCTGTATGTGCTGACAAGGTCCGGCGACCCATTTCCAAACGCCAACAGCGTTAGTCCTGAGATGTTTTCTGGGATCTTGAGATAGGCGGACAAGGTCGACAGGTTTGCGCAGAGGTATTCGCTGGCTGTGAGCCCTAGAAAGGCAAACAGGTAGAGCAAAATGGCCACCACGAGCGGCAGAATCAGCCATTGTCGAACTAGGGTCCAGGAAGATGTGCAATAGTACAACTTGAACAAGTTGAGGTAACCCAACTGGTGATCTGCACAGTGCTCTAGAGCAAACGAGCATTGTTCATTATTGGGCAGCTCGTATATCAAATGGCATGTGGAGTTGGTAGATGCGCCAGCCACAGCCCCAATCAGAAAAAACAACGTCCCTAAGCGTACGAGTCGTTGATAAAGCATTCGAACAAATATATAAGGACTAATAAAATGATAAAGGACGATCGGCGGGACGAGGATATATTTGGGAGAGCGGCAAGATAGGGAAATAGATTATTATTTTATCGTGATCTGTTTCAGTGGGGAACGTCTTTTTGTTAAACAACCACGGATCTTTCTCAATTGGAAGCTCTCAAGCAGACAATTTATGAGTTCAAAGGGATACGTGCCTATACCTAGTTCTTCAGATTCACAGACACATAGTTTAGGCTCTAGTTTTCCAATGCACAAACACTCGTTTGCGTCCTTAAACAGTGTGATCGAGACCCAGCCGATATCCCATGACAGCCAGGGCAATTTCGTGGAGCAGAAAACAGGCCGCAGAGTTTTGTTGCACGGCATCAATCTAGATTCCAACTCTAAGATGCCCAAAACCCCTACCCAGTACAGCTACTCTAGACCGGATAAGTGTGGGTTTTGGGAGGAGGCCGACCATGTTTCGTTTGTTGGGAGGCCATTCCCATTAGAGGAAGCGTATGAGCATCTGACCAGAATCAAGCTCTGGGGTTACAACACCATTCGATACGTGATTACCTGGGAGGCAATCGAGCACGAAGGTCCCGGTATCTACGACGAAGATTTTATTGATTATACCATTCAAATGTTGCGCAAAATTGACGAGATTGGAGGATTGTATGTGTTTATCGATCCCCACCAAGACGTGTGGTCCAGATTCACCGGAGGAAGCGGTGCTCCTTTGTGGACGCTATATGCTGCGGGACTTGAACCTCGCAACTTTCCTGTCACCGAAGCCTCGGTGCTCCACAACGCCAGCGCAGATCCTCAAAAGTTCCAGAAGATGGTGTGGGCCTCAAACTATTTCCGAATGGCTGCAGAGACAATGTTCACCCTGTTTTTCTCCGGATCCCTGTTTGCCCCCAAAGCCATTATTGACGGAGTCAACATCCAGGAGTATTTGCAATCGCATTTCCTGGACGCCATATCTTACTTGCTTGTGTCAATCAAGAAGAGTGCTCCTGAGCTGTTCAACAAGTCGATCATGGCTGTGGAGTCTCTGAACGAGCCAAACTCTGGGTATTTTGGGTTTGCCGACTTGGAAAAGTACCCTCTTTCACAAGAATTGAGGCTCGGAACGTGTCCCAAGCCTATTGAAGGAATGCGACTGGGTATGGGACTGCCTCAGGAGGTTGACCTATACTCACTTTCGGTGTTTGGCCCCAGAAAGACAGGAACAAGACTGATAGACCCGAACGGAGCAAAAGCATGGGTCTCATCGGACAAGATGGACAAACACTATGGGTTCAAGCGGGATAAAGATTGGAAACTGGGAGAGTGTATATTTGCACAGCACAAGGTTTGGAACCCAGAAACAGGAGAAGCTCTTATACCACATTATTTCAGCATACATCCAGAAACAGGCGAGACGTTGGATGAGGAGACTTTTATCAACACGCGATTTGTGGATTTCTGGACAAAATTTAAAGATACGGTGCGTAAGGTCGATACCCAGCTGTATGTGATCATGCAGCATCCGGTGATGGAGATTCCTCCGTCGTTGGAAGGAACACCATACATCGACAGCCGAACAGCGGTTGCACAGCATTATTACGACGGGATGTCTCTCATGTTCCAAACATGGAACCGGAATTACAACGTTGACACGGTTGGGATCATGAGAGGTCGGTACATCAACCCTGTGTTTGGGCTTGTTTTCGGAGAGTCGAATATCCGCAAGTCTTTCCGCAACCAGCTCAACCAACTCAAGGAGGAGGCGCAGAATGCGCTCGGTACCGATGTCCCTGTTATTATTTCCGAGACGGGCATGCCGTTTGATATGGATCAAAAGAAGGCGTACGAGACGGGCGACTACAGCTCGCAGATCAGTGCGAACGACGCGCTGTGTGCGGCGTTGGAGTCCAACAACTTGAACTGCACTTACTGGTGCTACAACTCAAGCAATTGCCACAAATGGGGAGACAACTGGAACCTGGAGGACTTTTCGCTCTTCTCGAGAGACGATATCGAGGAGAACAAGTACGACAGCCTGATGCAGAACGCCGCGTATGGCACCACGAGCATTGGCACGTACATTGAGTGGCTCACGAGCTCGTCCACCAGTTTGGAGACCGGGTCGAAGAAGTCGGAGGTGGAGGTTGAGGAGTACGAGCTGGAAAACAAGGTTGTTTCGCTGATGAGCGGGACTCGTGCTGCTTCGGCGATTGTGCGGCCGTACGGGGTGCTTGTGAACGGGACTGTGACGATCAGCGAGTTTGACTTGAAAAACGGACGGTTCACGATGGAGATCAACACGCGGGGCCAGCGCGAGACACACGCACCTACGGTGATCTACCTGCCGGAACTGCATTTTGCACCGGGCCAGTTCGAGATCCGGGTGTCTACGGGGACCACGGTGTACCGACATAACAAGTTTGTGCAGCTGGTGGAATGGGACCACGGGGTGCAAATCGGGGACGTGCGCATCGAGGTGTGCAACTACGGCAATCAGGAGACGGAAAACTACGGGGAATCAAGCACTTTAAAAGCGCTGGCCTGCGGGTACTTGTGAGGAAGACGAATCTCGTGTGCGATTTGAAAAACGTACTCTGCAGGCTGTTTAGGATTGTTCTCCGGATATTGCATGTCTTTGTGCTGATAGTATTTGATTTTTTTAGAAAGTTATATGGCTAATCGAACACGCTCAAGTACGCCTCTGCGACGAATCTTGCTCTGGAATTGAGGAACAGTTTCATCTCGCTGATTTCCTTGTCAACGTCCTCCATGAACTCGATGATGAAGTCGATGAGTTTATTTTTCATCATCACTTCATTGTGGTAGTTTGTGAGCAGGAACGAGATGTCGTAGTCTTGGATCGGTGTTCTTCTGAGAATGAGGAAGTTCTCTGCTCTTTTTGTCAAGAATCTGGTGAACTTGTCCACCAAAATGCTTTCTATTTCGTCGCTCTGTTTGATCTTGATGGACACTCTGACGGAATTGATACTTGGCTCGATCAGGACTCTTTCGTTTTCGTTTCTGGAGATCATCATCGGGTTCAGCAACACCTCCGCGGTCTTCTTGTTCTCAACTTCGGGATAGTTGTGACGCTCAACAATCTGCGACGAAAAGTTCTCCAGACACAGTGCCACGTTCAGAGAGTGTCTGACGGCGGTGAGGTACGGCTTGAGCGATTGGGACTGCTGTTAGTTTGGTTAATTGACCATCACTTACCATTTGACGATAAACAGGTATTTGCTGTTATTCGGAAGAGATGTGTTTTGCACGAAAAAAAGATTAATTTTCATCTTTATGTGGAGCGAGCTTGTGGACGAGGAGGGCCGGGTTTATTACTATAACTCGCAGACCGAACAGACGCAGTGGGACCGGCCGGACGATCTGGGCGAGAGTGTTGTGGATCAGGCGTTGGAGAAGACCCAGTGGCGGCGGTTTTTGACGGATGAGAAGGAGGTTTACTATTACAATGAGGAGACCCAACAGAGTGTTTGGACGCTTCCGGAGGAGGTGAGGAAGCTTTTGGGGGACGGCAAGGTCGAGGAAGCTCAACCGACGGAAATAGTCGCGGAGGAGACGTTGGATTCGTGCAAACTCGTGGACCTGGCTTCTTTGGTCACAGAAGACGGGCTCAAGCTCGAAGAAACCGCTGGCAACGACAACTCGCAGTTCTTGCAGATGTTGGCCGACTTTTCTGTCGGCACAGACTGGACGTTCCAGCAGGTGATGGATCGGTGTATTGGCGACAAGAGGTACTGGAGTGTGGCCGACTCGTTTGAGAGGAAGCAGACCTTTGAGGTGTATTTGTTGCGCAAAGCAGACGAGGAGTTGAGGGAGAAGGAGAGTTCAAAAGACAGCTACAGAAACGCATTTTTCCAGGTGTTGGACAAGCAAGATATCAGGTACTACACGCGGTGGAAGACGTGTGCGCGGATGATTGTGGACGAGCCGGTGTACTCGCTGATTCCGCCCAAGATGAAGCGGGAATTTTTCGAGGAGTATAGCCGCAAGCTTCGGAACGAGCACGAGGCGGCCGTGCGGGAGCTGCGGCGCAAGGAGCTCGACGAGGTGGAGGTGATTCTGCGGGGCGAGATGACGATGATGTCCAAGGTGGACGACGTTTTCAAGAGCCTGGACTTCTCCCGGCTGCCGAACATCACGCATTTGGACGTTCTGACGATTTACGAGAGCATAATGACCGAGCTGGAAAAGACGTTCGAGAAGACCGTCTCGGAGAATAATAAAAAGAACTACAGAGCCGACAGAAGGGCCCGCGACGGGTTCCGGCAGCTGCTGGACGAGGTGAGTCGCAAGACCGAGTTCACGGCGAAACTACGCTGGCACGAGCTGTTGTCGTACATCAAGGACGACGAGCGGTTCTTGGAGCTATGCGGACGCAGAGGATCGTTGCCTATTGATTTCTATTGGGATATAGTGGACCGGGAGAACCAGTCGCTGAAGGCCAAGCGGGACTTGGTCAAGCAGGTCATCAAGAGCGTGGACAACATGTCGCTCGAGGAGTTCAGCCGCGTGGTGATGGCAAAGGTCGAAAACGTGTCGGAGAGCGACTGTCGACTGATCCGCGAGATGCTTTTGGAAGAAAGCCGGCAGAAGGGCGAAGGCGACCGCAAAAAACGGCTCATGACTCTGGGATACGGGGTTTCCAAACGCTGACGGCCTCATTCGTCCTGCAACAGCGCAGAGAGCCCCAACATCGCCATCATTGCATACTTACAATAGACGTTTTCTGTAATCAGAATGGTCACGTAGCCGATCCACGGGACGTAGCCAAACACACGGCCAAGAATGTCGCGGTCTCTGTCGAGATACTGCTGGCCGTACGAGTACAATGGCAGATCGTCTCTTTCGTTGTTATCACCTTTGGTGAGCAGTTTCTGTTTCTGCTGGGGCTTTTTCACCTTCTTGCTCTTTTCCTTCACCTTGTGTTCTCTCACGACCCTGTGCACAATCGGAATATCCTTTCCGTGCAACTTGTAAACAACAATATCGCCCACGTCGACGTACTGCTCTCTGTTCCATAGAAACAGCACGTCGCCACGCTGGAACGCCGGCTCCATCGACCCGGACAGCACCACGACGATCGGCGAGTTCGACAGCGTGACAATCGAAAACAGTTTCCAAAACGCAAAGGCGCTGGCTAACACCATGGCCATGCTGAGGCCCGAACCTAGTTGTTGACGCAAATTCATAAAATTCAAGACAGAAATATTTTCTCGACGCGACGAAGACTTTTATGAGCACAAAGTAGGTATCCCCGGGTTTGAAGCACTAACACCCAGTCGCTACTCCTCCAAAGCGCACCAGCGCGAGGGCCGCACGGCGCTGTTTTCCTCCACCTCGCAGCCGGTTTCTGCCTCGCAGTCGCCGTCCAGACAGTTCAATGGGGGTTCTGCCACGTCGCCCCAAGACGACCCGTATTTGAACGGCAAGTCCACGTCTCCGTACGACGGGTCGGAACACAAAAAGAAGGACTACAACGCGTCGCTAATGTCGCAATTGGAGTCCCAGAACGACGAAACAGTGGGGAACCTCGGATCAAAAATAGCAGCACTGAAAAGCCTGTCTTTGATGATGGGAGACGAAATTAATAAAAGCAAGCTCAACTTATCGGCCCTGGGTGGAGACATGGACCAGACAAGAAACAGAATTAGAACTAACTTCAATAAGATGGTCATAATGGCCGATAAAACAGGAATCAGCTGGAAAATCTGGCTCCTTTTCTTTACCCTGGTGTTCTGGTTCTTCATGTGGGTATGGTTGGCATAAAATACATATCTCGTTCATACTTACTCTGGACTAGTCTCGTTTGGCTCTCCCGACGGCAAGTCCTGTTTCGTGTCCTCTCCTGAATGTTCGTTTGTACCGGCACCGGTGTCTGCGTGCGGCCGTGGCCGCCCGCGATACACACCGCCGCCACGGCCTGGTCTCCCGCGCCGGGGCCCGGTGGACGGCCGTCCTCCTCGCTTGGCCATGCCCGGAAAATTGGTTCTCTTTGGGGTGATTGTTAGGGCCCGTCCCAGAAACTCGTTGCCGTTCATCTGAATGGCCTTCTGCACAGCCTCGTGCGTCTCAAACTCCACAAACGCGTATCCACGCGGCATCCCGCTGTGCTTGTTGTACAGAATCGTGATTCTGTTGATGACCCCACAATCATCCAACAGCTCCTTGATGTCGCCCGGGACCGCAGAATAGTCCACATTGCCCAGATACACAGACCTCGAGTCGATCTCCTGCTGATTGCTGGGCTGGTTCGGTGCCAGCCGTGGCGTAGACGAATTGCCTTCTTCGTCAGTCATGGTCCTAAATTGATCTGGGGTAAAAGATAACAGCAGGACAGATGAGCACGGTCGATCGACGCGGCGACGTGGGATTTGGAAAAAAAAAATATTCAAAAAATCTTTTTTTTTCATCCTTTGTTCAGCTTCTCATCATGGTGTCTGTTCGCAAGCGCAAGATGGCCAGATCGTCGGTCGGCAAGGCCACCAGACGCACCAAAGACCGTCAGAGAAAGATCAAATCGTTTGGAAACCCGCTCATCGCCGCCAACTGGGACCCAAAGCTGTCTATGGCCCAGAATTATGCCAAACTCGGGCTCAAAGTCCGACTTTCGCAGCAAACGGGTGGAACAGAAAAGGAACTGGTTATTCCCAAGACAGAGAGCGACGACGAGTTTGTGGTGGACGAGAGCGAGTCGGAAGAAAGCGAGTCGGGGGTGCCAGACTCGCTTGATCCAGCAGACATCCCAAAGGGAATAGCCAAGATTGTGCGTGACGAGGACGGCAACGTCGTCAAGGTGATACACGGGACCAAGGAACCAGAGCAACAGCAGGAAGACAACAAGCCTACAGAGTTTGTCAAACAGCTCGAGGAGCTCGCACAGCATAAAACAGTTAAGGAACGCAAACAGAGCGCAAGAGAGCAAGACTGGCTTCGGGACTTGTACGAGAAGTACGGCGACAACTACGAGAAGATGAAATGGGATAAGAAATTGAACCCATTCCAGCACAGCCCGGGTGAATTGAAGAAGAGACTGACCAAATGGAAGAAGACCCATCTTTGAGTACGTAATAAACCATTTTTTCAGTCGAAATCAAACGGTGTAAAGATGGTGGCCGAATAGATATTTTGTCTTGTGGAGAGTAAAGACTCTAATTACGACTTTTGTTGGGTAGTAGCTCGAATAATCGGTTATATGTACTTGTATCGATAGACAACACTTAATGTCTTAACAGTATATGACACATTCCTTCTCAGACAACAAGGTATGCTTCCTAGGATCGGATCAAGAAATTACGTCTCGTATTCATAGCATTTTAAACCAAGATCTCTGCTGCGTAATTATGTAACACACTGTACGTTCTGTTGTCACATATGAGCCCTTTCCAAGCACAGAAACCGATTCTGTGTCAACCTACAAATCAACCCCCTCAAACGATCCCACCTTGGTAACACACCTTAGACCATGCAGTTGGTCGAGCCAGGCTGTGGAATTAAAGTTATTTTCTCACAGAATGTTGTTTCTAAGCAATTAGCTAATCAGTTGTTAATTCCAACAGGTATTTCCATTGATCTTTACAGTGTAGAATGGCGTCGCACGAGGACGATAAGTCGTCTGGTTGGAGTCGCAAACTTCACGGTGTTCCTTCCACACACGTTTCCTCCAAAATTGGCCAAACAATCAACAAAGTGATAGAGAAAGACGAAAAGACGTTTGCCGTTTTCAAGACCGATCTCAAGACAACGTTGAACAAATACAAGAAAACAAGTAATGAGAGACAGGAATCTCAAAAGAAAATACAACAATCGCTCGATAAAGCTTTAGAATCTTCGCAATGGCTTGAAAGTTAACTATTTACATAAACCATCCTTTTTTCTCCTGTCTATCAGCACCAAGACCTGCTTTGGACAGAGTGCCAGCAACGTCGCCGAACGACTCTCTGTCACCCTGGATCACGATGGTTGGTTTGGATCCGGTCAAAACTCTCGTTGCAATGTCGATCAGGTCTTTTCTGGTGACACTGTCTATTTTGGCGCACATGTCTAACACATCAACACGCTTTCCATATATCTGCACTTGACGGCCCATGTCTTCCAATTGGACCATCTTGCTCTCCAAGTTCATCATTAACGACGACTTGAGCTGGTTCTTGGACCGTTCCACCTCGTTATCTGTGATTCCGCCGTTCTTGACGTTTTCATCCATCAACAAGGCCAACTCGTACCCGATCAGTTCTCCCATGACACGGTTGGCGGCCGGAATACAGCTGAACGAAATGCCAAACAGTCCGCTGTCGGTGAAGTTGTGGATGAACGATTTACACGACTCGACAAATCCGTACTGGTTGAGAATCCGTGTGTATGCTCTGGAATACATTCCTTTACCGGGTCCACCCGCGGAAAACGATCCTCCGCCACCAACAAGCATTTGAAGAGTGGCCAGCTTGTATATTTCGTCGTTTTGGATCGGAACACCTTCAAATCCAACATGTATGTGATGGAACTCCTGGCCCATGTAGGCCAGTTCCTCAGGGTATGGAATGGAGAACTCGCCACCGGTGTACTTGGCCTCGTCCTTGATGATCTGTGTGGAGCTGTTTGCTTTGAAACTATCCAGGTGCTTGTGGGTGAGCTCCTCGGCCTGTTGCAAGCTGACCCCGCTCATTGCAACCACCAATCTATCTGGTCTGAAGAACAGGTCTCTATACTGATGCAATTTGTCCAGGGTGACGTTTTCGAGTTCCTCGGGCGGACACAACAAGGGACATCCCAAATTCTTGCCGCTGTACGCTGTTTGTTGTAATAATTCTGGAAGGATCATATCACTCTGGAGCCATAATTCATTCAGTTCGTAGCGGGCGTTGTTGATCTGTTCGCTGAGTTCCGATTCGTTCAAGTTTGGACGGGCCACGGTGTCGCTGAGCAAGGCAAACATCTTGTCAACGTCCTGGTTGAAAACACTGGCTTGATAAATAAGAGACTCTCTGGAAGAGGCACACATGTAATTACCCCCTAGAGAATTGAGTCTGTCCACCAATTCCACCCCAGACATGTTCTGGGTCGACTTGAATGCCATTTTGTCTAAAAGATGGGAACACCCAGTCAGATTGTACCTGTCCTCGTATCTGGAACCCGCATCCACATACATTCCCACTGTACTAAAATGGTTCGGGGTTTCATCCACCACGAGCCGGATGCCGTTGGAAAGCGTCTTGACCTTAGTCTGGGACGTCGTACTAAGAGCACGTCGTCCAAAAGACTTATAAATATTACTCAGCATGGCTAGAACAAAGGCTTCCGGAAGGTTGAAAAATAAATCAAGAAAAAAAGGGCAAAAGACAAATCATCGGGAGCGCAGAAAAAAATTATCCCGAGAGAAAAAAAACAAAACTTTATTTTAAAAGTTATCCTTCTTTGTTTCGTGGGGACAAAACACACTACCAAATTCTTTGGAAACGCCTTTCGTTAAAGCTCTGTCTGGCCAAATAGACTGACCAATCATTTTCCAGCAAGAAAAGACTCGGTGTTTTTGTTTACGGAAATAGCGTGATTTTTTTCTTTTTTGCTCAATATTCAAACCCCTATGAATTCCAGGCGTCTGCCACTGCTCTCCCGCAAGGAGCTGGAGGTCCACTCCACCAGCACCTCCTGCTGGGTCACCTTATACAATAGAAACGTTTACGACGTGACAGAGTTTTTGGATGAACATCCTGCCGGAGGTGATCTGATTATGGATTATGCGGGCAAAGACATCACCCAGATTTTGGCCGACCCGATTAGCCACACGCATTCAGAGAGCGCATACGAGATGCTCAACGACGAGATGCTTGTCGGATACCTTGCCACCGCTGAAGAAGAAGAGGAGCTCCTTTCCAAACACCAGAACATGGAAGTTATCCCCGATACCATTGATCTCACCGAATTTGGCGAACTGCCTTCCGAAGAGCTTTTAAAGGTCAGAACAGACTTGGACGAGGACTACAGAAAACACAAGTTTTTGGACCTTAATAAGCCTTTGTTGATGCAAGTCCTGTTTGCAGACTGGTCAAAGAGTTTCTATTTGGATCAGGTCCACAGACCAAGACATTACGGTAAAGGTTCTGCTCCTTTGTTTGGAAACTTCTTGGAACCACTATCTGTGACTCCGTGGTACGTTGTGCCGATGATCTGGCTTCCAGTGAACTTCTACTTCTTCTACATCGGATTCACCAACCAGAACAAAATTTTGGCTCTTGCATTGTGGTCTTTGGGCCTGTTTGTGTGGACGTTGCTTGAGTACCTGTTGCATCGGTTCTTGTTCCACCTGGACGAGTTCCTTCCCGAACACCAGCTGGCATTCACTGTCCATTTCCTGCTTCACGGTGTGCACCATTACTTGCCTATGGACAAGAAGAGACTTGTGATGCCTCCTACGCTGTTCATTGTGCTGTGCTATCCGTTCTACAAGCTGGTGTTTGCCATCCTGCCATACTATGCAGCCTGTTCAGGATTTGCCGGTGGCTTCTTGGGCTACATCATGTACGACTGCACACATTACATTTTGCACCACGCTAAACTACCTTCCTATCTGCAAGAACTTAAGACCTACCATTTGGAACACCATTACAAGAACTATGAGCTTGGATTTGGTGTGACCAGCAAATTCTGGGACCAGGTGTTTGGCACTTTGTTGACCCCAGAAGATGTCTACCAAAAGAAGAACTGAACTAGTGATGACGGATATGGACTATGGTATATATAAATTTAATTAATTTCACGAAGAAGCGCAATTGTCGAGTCAAAGTCCATTGTATGCGGTTCTGTTTCCATTTCGTCCAGGTCTTTGGACGGCAGCGTGGTTGCCAGGGATTTGAGCACTAGCTCGTAGATCTGGCAGTCCTCGGATTGTGCCACCATGCAGCACCAGCTCTCGTGTTCCGCGAGCAGGTCGATTTCCGACTCGTCTGTGTTGATTTCGGGCGGGTACTGGACGCTGTTGAGTGGCTCTGCGCGGTTCAGAATCGACGTTTCTCCCAGCAGGATCCGTCTTGTGCATTTGTGGCATTTCAACAGGGCCAGGTTTTTCGACCCAAACCGCTGTTGTTTGAGCTGCCAGCCGAACAGCGCAATCATCGATGCAACAAGGTTGGTGTTGTCGTACGCCTGGAGGATCTGGATCTGTGGTTTTGACAGAATGTCAAAGGTGTAATTTTTCATGAGCAGAATCTCCTGGTGATGGAGCAGGTTCTCGAGGTTGTGTTGGTATTGCAGAATGATCTCGTCCATATCGCTCAACTTCAGGTAGTACTGTTTGCGAACCAGACCGATCTCCAAATTGGCGTTTTTCCATATACAACCGGGGTAATGGTGGGTGTACAGTTTGTGCAAGTACGACTCGATAAGCTGTGCTCGTACCTGGACGAACTGGTTCTCCGACTCCTGGTCTTCCAGAAACAGGAAGTTTGTGACCGGGTTTTCGAGGGTGCGCTCGTTGAGCTTGACCAGCAGCACGGCGTTGCAGTACTGGCAATGGAGCTCGTTCTTTCTGCGATGGCACTCCCACCCGTGCACCGAGCACTCGAGGGGAGTGAGTTTCGGGTCGTCGACGGCCCAGTTGAGGATGGTGAACGAGTTGATTCTGTCGTTGAGGGCGTGTTTGTCGAACGGGTCGGCCGACGGCCGTTTGCCCACTTTGGGCGACTTGCTGAACACGATGTGGTCTGAAGAGTTGGACAGCTTGCGTTTGATCACCGACTTGGGCGTCGAGTGCGGGGTCACGTGCGGCAAATGGGACCGCAGCGACGAGGGCGACGGCGGTTTGGGCGTCAGGCAGATCGACGACAGAATGTCGAGGATCGCAGAGGTGGTGGCAGTCTCGTCCATTGCGGGAGGTAAAAAAATTTATTTTCCACGCTTATCTCCAGCATGTACAAGGTCAAGTTTCTCCAGGATGCGATGGACGTTGAGGCTCTCAAGTTCGGCAAGTTCACTTTGAAATCGGGCAGAGAGTCGCCGTACTTCTTCAACATGGGCCAGTTCTCCACCGCCCAGGCTCTGAGCAACGTTGCAACTGCGTATGCCAAGACCATCATTGAGTCCGGGATTGAGTTTGATATTCTGTTTGGTCCGGCGTACAAGGGCATTCCGCTTGCGGCCATCACGGTGGTGAAGCTGTTTGAACTCGGTGGCGAGAAGTACTCCAATATCGGCTACTCTTTCAACAGAAAGGAGAAGAAAGACCACGGCGAAGGAGGCTCGATCGTTGGGTGTGCGTTGAAGGACAAGAAGGTGCTCATAATAGACGACGTGATGACTGCGGGAACCGCCATCAACGAGGCCTTCGATATCATCAAGACAGAACACGGAAAAGCCGTTGGATGTATAATAGCTCTGGACAGACAGGAGACCGTCAAGGACCAGTCTGTGAGCGCAACCACGTCGGTTACCCAGAGATACGGCGTTCCTGTGCTGTCGATCGTGAGTCTGGACGATATCGTGGAGAGTCTCAAGACACAGCTCACGGCAGAACAGCTGGACATGATCTTGCAGTACCGTCAGAAATACGTTCCTAAATAATTACTATATAGCCGACTAAGCTCTGATTCTTTGCACTTTCTGCTTGGCGATCTTTGGGGCGGCTGCGGCCGGCGTCTGGGGCGTCTTGACGTACGCGGATTCGGTCTGCGGGTTCTTCATGGTCAGCGCAGAGTGCAACGGCACGATGGTGTTCATCTTGAACTTCTTGACCCTGCTCACCTCCACGGGGGTGTATCCGTTCATGAGTTCGGGCGGGCCGGGCAGCTGTTTCACGCTGGCCAGGGTGGTTGGGTGCGATTTCAGGTACTCGGCCACTTTCAAAAGCAGCTGTCTTTTATTCTTCACCACAGAGTTCGCCTGTTTTCCCTTGAACTTGAGCCCGACTCTCACGCGGCCCGGGTTGCCAAAGTCCTGCGGATGCGTTTTCTCCGGCTCCAGCACCGCCGTCAGGTTCAGGTGGCGGCACGCGTCCAGAATCGTCTTGGCCAGCGGGTTCTCAACGCTGTGCTCCACACCGACCCGTCTGCCCTCGCCGACCGACCGGTTCTTGTCGAAGTAGCACGGGTATATCACCTGCATGCTTCTGAGCTCGGCCAGCTCCTCCTCCGACAGCTGTTCCTGCGATCTTGTTTGTTTGGCAAAGTCGCCCGTCTCGACGTTCAGCTGCGGCAGCCCGCCAAACCCAGGCTCGGCGTCCTGCGACCGCACAACCGACGGCTTCGGCCGCGCAGGCGCAATCGGGGTCCTCAGGTCCGGGTCGAACTCGGCCAGGTCCATGTCCAAGTTGTCGACATCCTCAATGTCCTCGATCTCCTCAAGTTTAGGCATTGAAAAAATTATTCACACGCAAACTCGCTTTTATGTCAGACTCGGACTCGGACGATTTCCAGGACGCCCGCGAGCACATTGCCGTGCCGCCTGCTCGGATGGACAAACAGCTCGCCACCACGCTCAAGGACGCCCACGAGATCCTCGCCAACTTGGATAACTCCTTCGCCGCAGACCTGGCTCTCCATCTGTACATGGTGCGGCTGTTGGAGACTCGCGGGTGGTACGTGGCTAACGGCCGGTTCAGCGCGTGGCCACTTGCCCGCGACGTTGTTCCGGTGCCTCGGGCGTCCAGAGAGTACGTGGACGAGTGCAACGTCACCGCAGACCGCCAATCTGCCCTCCTAGTTCCATACAAACAGCTCAACAACGATGCCAAGGAGAAACCCAAGGAACAGTTCTTGGAATACAAGCCCGCCCGCACAAACGCCGTGGAAGAGCTCGAACTACAGCTGCGCGCAGTGTTCCAGCGCAAAATCGACTCGAAAATCCATTCCTATAACCTCTCCAACGCTGCTACGCGCATAGCTGATAAGACAGCCCCTATGGAAAAATACATGCCCATTCTAGAGCCACCAGTAGACATGGAGCCAGAAACCAAGTCCGACCTGCTGGCCAGGATCAACACCGTGTTCGATGGGCTTATCCGACAGAGAAAGGACTCGCTGGTGTCCGAAACCGTGTCTCCCTTTGACTGGACCTCGATAGCGTTGCAGGCCAAAGACTATGACGCGTACATCGACATGGCCCGTTTGATGAAACTCAAGTACCCGCCATTGTCGCGCAAGATCTTCGACCAGACCCTCACACACAACCAGCAGCAACAGCGCGAAAAACAGTGGGTCCAGCAGTCCCGTGAACACGAGCGCAAAAAAGCGTTCAAGAGACTGCTCATTAAAAAACGTGCCAGGCTCGAGGTGCGCAAAAACCGCGTCTGGACAGCAAAGAAACAGCTCGGCGAGCGTCCAATGCGCAGAGTCTAGCGTCATTGCTCGATCTCGGGGAAAAGCGCCTCCAAAGTCTCCTGAAGAATCGTCAACACCAAATGTCTATTGAGAACCTGGTTCTGCAGTAACTGGAAAGTGGTCTCCGCCGCAAGCTTCGAACACGCTGCCCCAAACACTTTCGAGCAGGTGTCGGAGATGAAGAACTCCAGTATAGTCTTGGCATGTCGTTTGCTCTGTCCCTTCTCGATCAAAGTCCGTGGTGTGCCAGATTTCCTAAACGACCCGTTTGGCCAGAGCGTGTCTTGCAACATGGTCAAAATGCTCCCGACTGTCGCAGAGTCCTTGAGCTTGCCCTCGACGTTGATCCGCACGATCTTCTCGATCGTCGAGCCCAGCAGCTGTTGCAGAACAAGAATGATAGCCCGGCCTCGCAGCCAAACCATCGAGTTCTTTAACCAGAAAACGCTAATCAGAAACTCGCTGATTGGCCGCACAAACGAAACAGACTTCGCCTGGCTGTCCATGTCGTCGTCCAAACTCGACAGTTCCTTCTCCATCTCCAAATTGGGTTGCTGGCCGTCGTCCACGGGAGAAGTCTTGTACTGCAGCTGGAGCTGGCTGGAGATGTTGTTGTACAACTTGGAGGCCATGTTAACGGCACTTTTGCCTGGACGGCCCAGGTTGCGCAGCACATTCGACGACCCCTCCACGTTCGTGTCAAACAGCTCTGAAGACAAGAAGCTTCGGAAAACCCTGTCCTGACAAACTTTCTCGATCTTGATGATCGACTGCAGATACTGCTCCAGCTTCCGTTGACGCTCAACAATCAGCGACCGTTGCTGGAACTTCATCACCACCTTCCGTTTGGGGAAATCCAGATCTGCCACCTCAGGGTACCTGTTCTTCAGGTAGTTGTTGAGCTTGAAAAATTGGCTGAATCTTCTGGCCACCATCCAGCCCGCAATCACGCTGGAATCCGCAGCCAACTTCTGCACCTCGATAATGTACAGTATGTATTCCTTTCCGTCATCGCTTCCATTAATATACGACTGTATTCGTACTCTGCTGTTGCCATACAACGTGTTTTCGTTCTCTTGTAGAATGTACTGCTGTTTTTGCAACTCTTTCAGCTGCAATTCCTTCTTCAAACTCGTTTGCGTCTTGCTCAGGATCTTGAGTTCAGAAACGTTGTTGGTGATCTCGGCCTTGTTCAACAGCGGCTCAATGATGTGTAGCTGTTGCTCGAGTTTTTCGATCTCCGTGCTCAGCTTGTCAATTTCGTCTCCCAAATCAAGATTCTCAGGAGCCGCCAATTTCAGCTCCTGCGAAGAACTCATTGTCACTTCGTCTTCGTCAAAGCTTTCGTCCTCGTCAAACAGCTTCATCGACTTTATAGACTCTTTCTCGTCGATTGGCTCAGAATTTGCGTCAAACAGTCCGTTCCCGTCATCTGTTTCTCCAAACAGGTCGCGCTGGACGTCTTTGCTCAATAGTCTGGAGTTTCGAGGCGTACTCACCCCGGAAGGCGCCTCCGAGAAGTCTTCTGACGATGAAAATGCAGAATTGGTAGGATCCAGTCCTGGACGTGCCGAGCCGTCGTTGGCAAGCTCGTTTAAAACGTCCTCAACTGCTTTCAAAACCACGTCGCTCACCTTCTGGTCGTCATTGCCTTGTTCCTGATAGTCTGCCAACGGATCGCCATTAGTCTCGTCGTCCTCCAAAAACGACTCCTGGCCTTCGCTCTTGAGTTTATGTCGCTCTTCGGCAGCAACAAGTCTCAAGTACAAGTCAGACTGCTTGAATGCAACATAGTCGGTTTTCTGCATCCGTTCAAACACCATTTCCTGGAGCTTGAAAATATTCTTCCGAGCTTTGTGGTACAGAACAGGATCCGGGGGCTGTGACTGCACAAACTGCGAAACAATTGCGTAGCACTTGGCATCGATCCTCAGCAAAGGATTATTGAAGAAATGTTCATATATCTGGCAAATGTCTTCGCTTTGTGCCATTGTCATGGAATACTCCATCTCCTCTTCGTCTTCACTATTATCCTCCACAGAAACGTCGTACACGTCGTCCAGAGGGTTCCGCATACCATTGACAACCAACCAAAGTTGCAACAAAGGAGTGCGCCTTCTTTGATCCATAAACTCTGTGAAAATAGACAGTTTTGCCGTATCGTTCAGCACCTCTGTAAGCGAGATCTCCAGATTAGCAACCACGGACTTGCTGCGTTCCATGAGCGTGCCAGATGGCTCTAGAAGATAAAGTAGCTGTTTCTCGGCCATATTGTGAACGGTGGCCAGCCGTTCTCTGTAAGTTTGGTACTGCGGTGAATCGTTTCTTGCTGCTCTGTTTAACTGAAGAGTGACGTAGTACTTGTACTGTTTCAGATCTGCCACGGACTCGCACCGATTGATTTCTCGCAAGACTCTGTGGAACTTTGCGGTATCGCTTTTAGGACTGAGTCGTCCTTTGGAAAGAAGCGAACGGGGGTTTCTCAAATTATCCATACTGTGCTTGCTCAATGCGTTTCTGAACTTCTTCACGTCGAGCCGGTCTTTCATTGCAGATCCCAGTTTGTTCTCAACTAGTTGGTTGTAGAAATCAGGATCAGAGAGCAGTCGAACAATCTGCAAAAACACACATTTTTGAAGAATCTCTCGAAGAAGCACAAACACCGGCGGAGACTGGATCTCGTTCTCGTCAACAAGATGGACCAAAATCTTAGAGATCATCTGACTCAGCCATCGCTGAATGTCATCTTCAGGATCGACGCTCTTCAACTTCACCGCAGGATGCAGCTTCCCCTTATTATAGCTCGACGCAATGATATTGTCCATATCCCAGGTATTAGTGAACGATCTGTTTCCAGCAGACTTCTTGTTCTTAACGGTGTCATGGGCTGCGATGAAATTGTTGTAATGGTCGGTGATGATGGGCAGGATACGATAGACCACAAACTCGCTCAGATCCATCTCGCTCAATCTCTGCTGTAATCGTTCTATAATACAGGTGATTTGCACCTGGAGTTCCACCAAGAATCGTTCGTCTGGCGTGATACGCGAGTACCACGACCGTACAAAATCTCGCACAATTAGCTCAATCAAGTTGTGCAACGTATCACTCACCAGGAAGTTTTCTGGGTACAACCGTTTAACACGTTCGTAGGACGCTTCGTATTCAATTGCAAACAGCTCTCTGTTCCAATTCGGTGTGCGCGTGAAATTCAATCGTGGAAATCTGGACCTGAGTTTCTTGTTGGTGTCCCCAACGGAGGTCGCAGTGTATGAATACGGGTTCAACAGTAAGAACCCTATTATCAAAAGAGGGAATACAACCACCAACAGTGTCCAATAAGCGTGCGATCTAACACCATATGCTAAAAGGGAAACGAAACCAATTATCACACACGTCTTGGTGCTGATTGGAAGTCGACTCGACTTGGTATCAACACTCGTTACGCTTTCGCTCATGACACATATTTATTTATTTATTTTTCTGATAGAATGAAAATCTAAAACTTCAATCAATTTTTTTGCTTCCAAACTGTGCTTCCTCGTTACGTTTCTTTAGAACGGCGTTTCTCACTTTCGAGAGCAGCCCGACTCGCGGCTCGCCGTACTCGGTAGCCGAGTCTCTCACCGCGCTGTCCAGGTTCACAAAGCTCGAGTTCGACGAAGAGTTTGGAGAAACTGTGTGTTCTCTTAGCCGCATGGTATCAGGGAAAATCGACACATCAGAAAGATTCGGCATTTTGTTCTCGCTGAACCCGGATTGTGTAGACGTCCGCGAAAGCGACCGCGATCTGGATCTCGACCGTGACCTTGACCGTGATCTCGACTCCCTCTCTTCGACCTCTGCTTCGTATTCTTCCTCCAAACGAGCCAGGCTCTGTCTGTCGAGTCTTGGGAACACTTTTGGACCAAGTTCGTTAACCACTTTTGTAATCTCGCCGGACAGTCTCTGTCTTTCCTCCTTCAATTCGTCCAAGTCTCTTGACTCAGGCGATAGCGACAAAATTAGTGGCCGTAAAGACTTGAAAATGTCCATACCAACCTCTCCGATCTTAAACGCAGAGTATGTGGTGGAAACAAGTAAAATCCAGCATGAAACAAACGCAACTATAGCATGCAGGAAGGTTTTGCTCAAAAATCCATACTTGAAAATCAGACAGGTGCCGAGAAGCGAGTAGGCAAAGTAGCAAATTGGCGCCACCACCAAGGCTATCAATACTTTCCACGATCCCAGCACATCAATAGCTTTGATCTTAACACTAGATCCAGCTAGTGCTTCTTTCTGTTTCTTTTGAGAAATCACCTTGCAGGCCACAAACACTGGGGAAAAGAGAACAGTTCCAGGGAGACACAAGACCAAGAGGAACAGCAGCGAAACTGTTCTCTGTGTCAACAACAAGAGCGTGTGGAACCGATTTTTCGTAATATGGTCAACCTGGTAATCTTTGATGCCCAGGTAGTTCAACTTCTTGTTGTACTTAACCACGCTTTCTTTCAAATGCTGGATTTCTGGATCGTCTTTGTACTTGCTGTATCCAATGGACAAGTTACGGTTCATCTCCACCACCAATGGCAACGGCAACGTCTTGTTTGGAGGTGAGTAAAGCCGTCTGGCAGCCTGGATAACCTGGAGGGTTTCGAAATCTGGGGTCTGGACAGTGACCGATTTCAAAGCCGTTGTGATCGCGTCCATCAGCTTGTCAACGGTTTTCCTCGAGTCGTTTCTGTATGCTGTAGCGTCTTCTGGTCCCACGGTGATTGGAGCACCAAACTCCAAAACTGCTCTCGAACGGAACTTGTGTGGGTGGAAGTAGTTCATTCCACAAGGAACGATTGTAACCTCAGTGTTTTCAAACTCAGAAACAGTTCCTAGGGCCATGATACCAACACCTGGTTTCAAAGGAAGCAGCTCCGTGCGATCGTGGGAGCCTCCTTCGCTGGCAATACCAATCAGCTCTCCCGCGTGCAATCTGCGGAAAACCTCTTTGAAAACAGCATGGTTGTCAATTTTGGGCGCGGACTTGTATGTGGTACCCCTTGTGAGCATATCCACACCTCTCTGTTTGGAAATGGGTTTTGCGAGTTTCAGCTCCGTATCACTAATGATTTCTGCGATTTTCTGATTACCACCACTTTCTGGCAGTCCAATGAGTCCCTTCACCTCGCAGTCGACCGTGAACCTTGTTCCTTCTCCAACGATGGTCAACGGGTCTTTCTTTGCGTCCTTGAAACGGATGATTCCGGTCTTGTTTGTAAGAAGGTCTTGTGCCCTCTCCACTGGGATGGCGCCACTCCACCGACTAAGAGGACCAATAATCGGTTTTCTCAAAGACACGGCAGCCTCGATGAACAGCGTTCGACGTCCATTGATTTTGTGGATGGCGTGGGTGGCCAATCCGGCGTCAAGAAATTGATTATGATGGGGTCCAATGACCACTAATGTCGCGCCCTTGGAAGGGAGGTTGTAAGAGCCGCGGATACTGACTTCTCTGAAGAATGTATCAACAATCAGACTCACAACCCATAGAAAAATCTCGTCAAGTAGGTCGTTTAATAGCGTCATATGGGGAGATCGAGATATTAAAAACGGGGCTTAAGGGATTTTCCCTGACAAAAAATTGATAGAATTTTTAGACAAGGAAATAGAACTCCTTGGAAAGCCATGCGTTTTCGACTGATATTTGGCAAACTTTGGATTTTGGCGCTGGTCTTTGTGTCGGGTCTGTCTTCCGTGAAGTGCGAGGAGGATGTTGGACTTTATGGAGACCATGTGATACCAAAATCTCTGTTGGATTTCACTGTCACCAATCTTCTACTAGCATCAGATGTGGAGGGAAATATCCATGCTTTAAATAGAGTCACCGGAGAAGTGGTATGGTCGTTCTTAGGACCAAGACCGTTGGTCGAAGTGAGCGAAAGTGTCGACCAAAATTCCACTGTTGTGGACTCTTCCATCGCCACACCATTTTCTGCATGGATGGTGGAGCCTTTCAATGAAGGGTCTATTTACTATTTCACCCAAGAAACTGGTCTACAGAAACTTCCAACGTCGGTACAACAGCTGGTTTCGAAATCTCCGTTCTCTATCGGAGACGACTTTATCTATACGGGAGCCAAAAGAACCGGAATTGTCCGTATCGACGCACGCACCGGAGACCTCATAGACTCCTACGGGATCTCCGAAACATCTCAAATGTGTCCGTTAGAAGACCACACAGATGCCTCGCAACCAGTCATAATCTTGGGCACAACCACATACGAACTCAGCATCCACTCAAAAAATAGCACGGTATGGAATATTACATACACATCCTGGGGACTCAACAACTTGCATACAAATTTGGCTACCGAAAACATACAAAGTATGGATGGACTTTACATTCAGCCATTCCACGATAACTCTCTTCTGGCTTTGGACGCAGACACAAAGTCTGTCAGATGGGTTTCCAATCTACCTTTTGTCACTGTCAATGTTTTTGACGTTTTTCTCGAGGACGGAAATAACAACAATTTCATTGTCCTTCCGCACCCATTGAAGAGCAATAACGCAAGTTCTGGAGATTCAACCTTTGTTGATCGAACCAAAAACGGGTCCTGGTTTGCCATGAGCGAGACAAACTACCCATCTTTGGTCAAATCGGCTCCAATCGCAGAGTATATTTCCAGCAAAGTGTGGAGATCTCCCACTAACAACGAGGATGTCAGTTCTCTTGAATTGGCTATCTGTGGAGTGCACGACCAGTCTCTCAGCGACCCTCCAGAGAGATTCGAACTATCAAGAACCAAACTTCCATCATCTCTCCCGTCAAGAATATTTGATGATCCACGGAACAGAATACCCACAAAGTCAAGAAAACGTCGTCCTGAACTGCCTGATGGCGAAGACTACTTATCCATCGATCCACCGTCGCAGTATGAGTTTGCTACTTTGCCTTCAACCACTACCAAGTCCACACCATTGGCCAAATTGGTTTTAAGAGCATTCGAGAACGTGTTGATGACTCTCTTGGGTGTTTTCTTGCTCGTTGTATTGTCCAGAATTGGTGTTTTACCTCCATTGACACAACTTCTTAGTCGTTTCGGACTTTTCAGACGTACGCAAAACGCTGTCGAGCTTGTGGATCTGCTGCTGAAAGATGACGTTGTTGAGCTCGAAAAGAGTTTTAGTCTGATCAAAAAGGAACGCTTTGGCGACAATTTGACCGCACAACCTGAAAAGAAAGTCACGATAGTTGAGGCAGAGAATAAGAGCGAAAACTCTTCTTCTTCTTCGTACACTTCCAGGAAAACTCTCGAAGACCCTGTTCTGATTGAAGATAAGGACGACAAAGATGACAAAGACGAAAACGCTCAACAGCAGCCGCGTAGACGCAAACGTGGTACCCGTGGTGGTAAGAAGAACAAAAAGAAAGATGCGCCGCTACCATTGGAAGACTCGCTGGACACTTCGGCAAACAAGAACGTTGCTATTGGCCAGGCAAACTCCTCCATCACGATCCCAACGTCAACGAGTAACATGACAATATCGAACGAGATTCTCGGCTATGGTTCTCATGGAACAGTTGTTTTCAAAGGAAATTTCGAAAACCGTCCTGTTGCTGTGAAACGAATGCTTCTTGACTTTTACGATGTTGCATCGCATGAGATCAATCTCCTACAAGAAAGTGACGACCACCCCAATGTTGTTCGATACTTTTGCTCTCAGCAAAGCGACAGGTTCTTGTACATTGCTTTGGAGCTCTGTGGAGCATCTTTGGAAGATGTGATTGAGTTGAAAAAAGACAATTCAAGCGAGCTTTTAGGGAAGATGAAACCGGTCAACGTTTTATGGCAGATTGCTAATGGATTGAACCATCTTCATTCTTTGAAAATTGTTCACAGAGATATCAAACCACAAAACATCTTGGTTGTGCCTCCAAAGAAAGTCGTTGGCAAGTCGGACACTGATCATCCGCTTCGATTACTGATTTCGGACTTTGGTCTGTGTAAGAAGCTGGAAAACGACCAATCGTCTTTCCGTGCAACCACTGCTCATGCTGCTGGAACTTCTGGCTGGCGTGCACCTGAACTCTTGGTGGACGACGCTCTGGAAGAAGCAGACGCCAGTCAAATACCTATGCTAAGTGACCGTCGGCTGACTCGATCAATTGACATATTTTCGGCCGGGTGTGTTTTCTACTACGTTCTTAGTGGTGGACAACACCCATTTGGTGACAGATATTCTCGTGAAAGCAACATCATCAAGAACAAGTACAACCTGGACTCGTTGGACACCTTGGACGATCGGTACGAGGTGCGCGACCTGATAGAGTCGATGATTGACCAGGAGCCGATGAGCCGTCCTGATATGAGCACGATTTTGAAACACCCATACTTCTGGTCGGTGGAGAAGAAGCTCGAGTTCTTATTAAGAGTGTCCGATCGGTTTGAAATCGAAAGAAGAGATCCGCCCTCTGATCTGTTATTGACACTCGAAAGTCTTGCTCCGACCATCTTAGGAAAAGCGGGTTGGTTCAAGAAGTTCAACCCTGCGTTCCTGGATAACCTGGGGAAATATAGGAAATACCACGAGGACAAGCTGATGGATCTGCTACGTGCATTGCGTAACAAGTACCACCATTTCCAAGATCTACCGGAGAATCTGGCCAAACAGATGGGTCCATTACCGGATGGATTCTACTACTACTTTGCAGGACGGTTTCCAAACATGCTGATGACCATCTACAGGATGGTGGAGCAGAACCTCCACGAAGACGAATATTTCAGAGCATTTCTATAAGATAGAAAATCAAGTAAATTGCATATCTAATCTGTAGGAATTACCGAGATTTTTGACGGTGCAAGGAGTTGTGGAAATAAAGGAAGGGATGCTTCTGCAATTTGCTTTTCCCAAATTGACTGATCATCAGACGATTGCGAAACTGGTGAAGGCAATTGGCTGTTTTTCTATTTCAATTTTCTGGAAAGGGGTTCATTTGTTTCCTTGCTATAATGCCTTTGGGAGAAAAGCCCACTAAGGAGGAGATCCGGCTTGCACAAGATAAGGATCACTCCAAGTATTGGAGGAGATGGGGAACATACATGGCACAGAGGGCATGGGGGTTGCCTCGTGAGGATTACACTGAGAGTGGAGATGCCTGGCAGTTTGATTTCGAAACGTCTCGGTCTAGAGTGTACAGATGGACAGAAGATGGGTTGGGGGGAGTCTGTGACAACCATCAACACATTTGTTTGAGTTTGGCCTTTTGGAACGAAAATGACGACATTTTGAAGGAAAAGCTGTTCGGTTTGCCGGGTGGAGCATCCGCCAAGAGTGGTAACCATGGTGAGGATGTCAAGGAGATGTATTATTACTTGGATAATACTCCCACCCACTCGTACTCGAAATTCCTCTACAAGTACCCAATTGGCAAGTTTCCGTACAAACAGATTTACGAGGAGAACTCCAAACGGTCTAAGTTGGACCCAGAATACGAGATCACCGACACGGACGCCTTCAAGGACAACAATTATTTTGACATCTTTTTCGAGTTTGCTAAAGACGATGAGGATCCAGAGGAGTTATATTTCAGAATCACCGTTCTGAACAGATCCCAGGCTCCTGCTCCGTTGCATATCATGCCTCAGATTTACTTCCGTAACACGTGGGCGTGGGGCGATGGCGAGGCTCATGAGAAGCCAGAATTGTCCAAAGAGTATCCAGATTCCGAGTATTCTATCAAGGTTGATCATTTCAAACTGGGTGGCCGTCGGCTGGTTTTCGCCCCGGCTCCTGGTGTGACTGATGATGCTGCCGACGTGGAGCCCAAATTGCTTTTCTGCGATAACGAAACCAACTTCAAACGGCTCTACGGTGTGGAGAACAAAACAAAGTACACTAAAGACGGTTTCCACGACTACATTATCGATGAGGTTCAGGAAGCGGTCAGCCCAGAGAATAAGGGTACCAAGGCATGTGCATGGTTTGTCTTTGACGAAAATGGAGGAATCCCACCGGGAGAGTCTGTGACTGTTCGTTACAAACTCACCAAGAGCCCAGAAATTGAAATAGATGAGGAGGAGTTCGATTCTGTTTTTGATGACAGAATTGTAGAGGCAGAAGAGTTCTACTGGAATGTTTCTCCTTTGCCATTGCCTCAAGAATTGCGTAATGTCCAGAGACAGGCGTTCAGTGGCTTGCTGTGGAATAAGCAATTCTACCACTTTATTCACGACTTCTGGTCTAGAGGTGATCCCAACTCGGACATTGCTCCTGTCATTGGTAGAGCCAATGGCAGAAACAAGGAATGGAAGCATCTTTACAACGAAGACATTTTGTCGATGCCGGACGACTTTGAGTATCCGTTCTACTGTTCTTGGGACACTGCGTTCCATACTATTCCGTTCGCCATGATTGACCCAAATTACGCCAAAAAGCAGTTGGATCTCTTGACCAGAGAGTGGTACATGTCTCCTCAAGGCCAGATCCCTGCGTATGAGTGGAACTTTTCCGATTCCAACCCGCCTGTTCAGGCCTGGGCCGCCTACAGGATCTACAAGATCGAGAAAAAGATGTATGGTACTCAAGACCGGCAATTTTTGGAGCGTGTGTTCCTGAAGTTTGTGATCAACTTTACATGGTGGGTGAATAGAAAAGATCCTGACGGAAATGGTATTTTCGAAGGAGGTTTCCTTGGTCTTGACAACATCAGTTTGTTCAACAGATCCGAGCCTCCTGCTAATGTGGAGCTGTTCCAGTCGGACTCGTCTGGATGGCTGGCCTGGTACTCTCTGGTGATGATGAACATTTCTTTAGAGCTGGCCAAGGAGAATCCTGTTTACGAAGATACCGCATCCAAGTTTTTCGAGCACTACCTGCTTATTGCCGATGCGATGTCGTACTTGAGTCCCCCGGGAGCTCGTGACGAGGATACGGTTGCTCCTACTCCAGAATCGTTGTGGGATGAGGAGGACCAGTTCTTCTACGACAAGATCCATTGGGGAGGCAATCACACTTCTGCCATGAAGGTCCGGTCTTTGGTGGGGCTGATCCCACTGTTTGCAACGTGTACGTTGGAGCCGGAACTGCTTGACAAGTTCCCCAATTTCAGAAAACGGCTCAACTGGCTCGTGGAGAACAAAAAGTACTTGATTGAGAGAAACATTGCTTCCATGGATACCAGAGGTTCTGGCGAAAGAATGCTGTTGTCCTTGGTGAGTAAGGAGCGGTTGCAGGCTATCATGGACAAGTTGTTTGACGAAGAGGAGTTCTTGTCGTCGTACGGTATCCGGTCTCTATCCAAGTACCACGAGAATCATCCTGTTTCTATGAACATCAACGGCCAGGAGTATGCGATCAAGTATCTTCCCGGCGAATCTGATTCCGGCATGTTTGGCGGAAACTCCAACTGGAGAGGACCGATTTGGTTCCCAACTAATTTTCTGCTGATCGAGTCTCTGCTGCGGTTCTATCTGTACTACGGCAGCGATTTTAAGGTGGAGGTGCCAAAGGGCAGCGGGCAGTTTATCAATTTGGCCCAGGCCGCGGAGGAGATCCAGCAGAGACTGATTTTGCTGTTTGTCCCCGACGAGAAGGGACACCGTCCGTACCACGGCCCGGACCCAGATCCTATTCTGACGAGCGAGCATTTCACGGAACTGGTCAACTACAACGAGTACTTTGACGGAGACACTGGCCGCGGTTTGGGAACCAAGTGGCAGTGCGGATGGACTGCGCTGGTGGCGAGGTTCATCCAGGACGTTGGTGTTGCATGCCGTTCTCCAACCGGCCAGAGACGGAGACGGTCGTACTACGACGAGGACGAGATCAAGAATTACACGCCGCGGCCGGCGCCGTTCCCGCTGCTTGTGCGGCGGAAGTCGGGCAAGTCGCTGCTGAACCTGACTGCCGACAAGCTAGACATTGAGGACGACGAGAAGAGCGCGCATAAGGTGCCGGGACTGAGCCGCAGAGCATCGAACAAAACGATCGGCTCGGAGTCGGAGACCCAGCCGGGCGAAGACTTCCTAAGACAGGTGCGGGACGCAATGGCCAATTACAAGGTGGACGACGAGATGATGGTGACGAGTGAAGAGTTTGAAACTAGAAAATAAGCATTTTATACACTCAACTGAATTTGCTGATAAGGGTCAGGAAGATCAGCATGATGAGCACGGCGATGATTCCATAGGTGATCATTTTGTTGGTTGCGAGTCTGCGGGTCATGGTTTTCAGAGTAGCGAGCGATCTGTCCACGTAGGTGTCTGCCTCTGTCAGGGTTTCTCTGGCGTTGAGGATCTGGTCTCTCTGGGACCTTAGGTTGTCGAGGATGCTTGTGCCGACGTTTTCCGTGTCGAGAGCCGTTCTTGTGGCGTCATTGAGCCGCTGTGTGGACCTATCGATCGAGGAGTGGGAATTGAGCAATTTCTGTCGCTGATTGTAGTCGTCCTGGCTGCTGACTCCCAGCAGGTTGACTCTGTCGTTATCGTCCATGAGCGACTTGAGGTCTGCCTTGAGCCGTTCGAGGTCCTGCTTGTACGTTCTTGTCTTTGCGTTGTACGACGAGCGTTGGTGGGTGGCGAGCTGTTGCACCTCCAAGGACATCGAGTCAATTAAGTCATATCCGTCGTCTATGAGCTTCTCGACCTCCCGCATCAGGTCCACGCGCTTATCCTGGTCGGTGAGGCCGTATATCTGGGACAATTTCTGCTGGGCCTCCGAATGGGCCAGCTTAAAATCTGTTTCGTAACCTTGGAACAGAGACATTTGCAGGTTAATATTTTGCGCAGCTTTAATTTTTGAAGGCAAGGAGGTTGGTGCTCCATAACCGGAACCCGAACCAATAATTTTCAGCTGGAAAGTAATCTTTTTCCTTTAAAATTGATGAGACTCGCAGCAGTGACCGGACTGAGACCTGTTTTGAGGGTGCCGAGGGTGGCCCGAGTGGGCTGGATGACGCGCCAGTTCCGTGCGGGCAGTCCTGTGTTCCACCACCCGCTCAAAAAGCCGAATCCGGGCGAAGAGCTGCACATCACATTCATCACCAAGGACGGAGCACAGAAGACGTTTGAGGTGGCCGAGGGCGACTCGATCCTGGATATTGCCCAGGCCAACCACATCGACATGGAGGGCGCGTGCGGAGGCTCGTGCGCCTGCTCCACGTGCCACGTTATCGTGGACCCCGAGTACTACGACTCGATCCCAGAGCCGGACGACGACGAAAACGATATGCTCGACCTGGCGTTCGGTCTTACCGAAACAAGCAGACTCGGATGCCAGGTGCACATGACCAAGGAGCTCGACGGCGTGCGGGTGGCTCTGCCCGCCATGACCAGAAACCTCCAGGTCGGTGATTTTAATTAGCCCTGTATATGCCATCAAGCCAATGAATCATGTTTCTGGGTTGCGGCCGAACCCAAACTTCGCAACTTCAATAGGAATTTTGAGCGTAGTGTTTTTCGTTGAGTGTTTTTTGAAGCTCAGCTTCAATGACAAATAATAGAGTTTGGTAAGGTTGCAGATGCTGAACCCTGGCAGCAGCGCCTGCGTCTTGACGGCGCCGTAGTCGTAGTTCAGCTTGATGCGGAACTTGGTGGTGTGTCCGTTTTCTGTTTTCGTCCAAACGGGCTGCTTCTTGAGTCTTACCTCCGAAAAAATAGGCAGCGTCTTCTGGCTCAGACTCACGTTCGATAAAGCCACCAGGTCATGAAAGAGTTGTTTCTCCACCCCGCGGCCCGTCTCCTTTGCCAACACCTTGAGCTGCGTCAGGTACTCCGTGAACTTGGTCTTCAGGTTCAGTATTGCGTACGCCGGGGTCTCTGCTCCCAAAAGAAACTGCGGGTCAAACGTCACCGGAATAGGCGCAGGAGACGAGATCGAAAACGATTTGAGCGTGGGCTTGATGCTCGACAGCTCCGGCAGGCTCGCTCCGTTGTAGTCGAGCTGGATCTCCACCTCGCTCGAAAACGGCAACGGAATTAGTTTCGACTCCAAACTATCGGACCCGGTGTCTGTCAGTGACAAACGGCTGTTCATCGGACTGATGGCTGCGGGGACCGTATTAGCAGAAGACACTGGCGAAAGCAGCGGCGACTGTAGCGGCACTTGCGATGCCGCAGCTTTGGCTTTAGTGTCAGCCCCGACAGATGCCATTTTGGACAACACACTAGGAACAATGTACCCGAGACGAACACTCTTGTCTATAGATGCGTGGAACTCTAGATTCCCCAGCACCTCGTTCGCCTTGGCGCTACCAAACGCGAAAAGCTTCTTCTTTGGCACCAATGAAATGCTCACACTGTTCTGGTACGCAGCCGGTGATTCCAGCACCGGCTGCTCGCCAGACAGGTTGAGCTCGACTTTCTTGAGGCGGTGTATCTCCGAGCTCAGCTCATCCGCCTCGCGATTGTCTTTCACACCAATCCCTTGGAGGTCCTTGATGCTTTTCAGTTTATCAATGGCCTTTTGAGCCTCCTTTGAAATCGTCTCTAACTGCGAGCTTGTAGTTGGTGGCGGTGTGATCTGATTGTCTTTATAAGAAGGAACATCCAACGACTCGTCGGGAATGAACCTGATGTAGTGTTTTTCGTCCTTTATCATAATGTATTTCTTGATAGGGTCTTTCTTGTAAATGTCGTGGTGCTTTCCGATCATGTAAGTGCACACTGCGTACGAGATGGACTGGCCGTACTCGCTCTGGTCGTTCAACAAGATCGGCGACCCAATGTCCTGGAGACGGCCGTACCCAAGAGACTCGTTGACGGCAATAATCTTGGCACGGCCTTCAAAAGCGTCTCTGTCGAGTCCAAATGACGGTGGCAGTTTCTCGAAATGGTCGTAGATCTGGTGGTTGCACGTGCACTCGAGCAACGACTCGGGAAGTTTGAAATAAAAGAACTTCTTGTACTTGCAACCGGGCTCGAGCACTTTAGTTTCCGGGAACCCGTACGAGGTCTGGTCGTGCTCGTCGAACGTGGCCACTTGTGGCGTATCGTAGTTGGGTGTAGGGAAATGGGACTTGAGATAGCACGCTCCAAAATCGAACGCACGAAGAAATGTGTGTTTAGCCACAGTGTTAGTCACAATCGACGGAATGGTGATGTATCCCTCCAAAGACACCAGAAACAGCTCGAACGGGATGGGATGAGCAGAGATGTTTGTCACCGTGACGCATCCCGTGACCAGATCGCCCGAATGGAACTCTCTCAGAGGATTGGCCCGCTCAACGTCCTTGCCCATCTGAGGAAATGTCTTGGTGATTCGAATAGATATCTTTATAGGAGACGAAATCTTCTGGATTCTGTCCAGATTGTTCAGCAAAAGACTCTCGCTGTTATGATGGGTGGCCTCTGCGAGTTCTGCCCGCGTTTGGGTTGGGCTGTAAGCCGGGGTGTCGCCATTGACCACGCTCTGATAGTCTGGGAGGTGCTCTGTGGGAGACATTTGTTCAATCTCCGAAAGCGTACGGTTGAGAAGCTCGTTGTGTGTCTCGAACGTTGGCAGAACATCGTATGGAGTTGTTTCTGCTTCTTCCATGGCTGCTTGAATAAATATAACAACCAAATCTGCGATAACAAGGAGGAACAATTAAATAATAACGTGAGTATTTAATATTTGCATTTATTTTATTCCTCAACTATGGCTGTTGTATTTAAATGGCCCTGGCTCGGGATAGCCGTAAGTAGAGACAACAAGCACAAACCAACGAGCTAACACCACCAGATCCCCTCGCTGATCATTGCATCCATCCAGATATCGTCCCATTACCTTTTTTTCAAAGACGGCAAGGATCAAACAACGTTGTCGATCCTGGCAGTTTTGGTCTGGGGATCATACTACCTGGCCATCTACACGCCTCCAGGAACGCCTCCCAAGGGCTATCGCATTGACAGAACGGTGTCTCCACAGAAAACATGGTACAAATACTGCACCAAGTGCAAACAAGACAAGCCTGAAAGGACCCACCATTGCAAAACGTGCAAACAGTGCGTTTTGCGCATGGATCACCACTGTCCTTGGACGATGAACTGCGTGGGCCACGAAAACATGCCCCATTTCATCAGATTCCTTGTCTGGGTGTTGGTGGCCACCTCGTACACGTTCTGGAACCTGTCGTCCAAACTAGCACAGTACTACACAAACAGACACTTACCGGCGTATCTGTTCAACACCAAGGACGTGTTTCTGGTCATAGCTACAGCCTTATTGTCATTCTTTGTTCTCTTTACCATCGGCATCCTGTTCATACGCACATTCTTCTCTCTCACTACAAATGAAACAACTATAGAGAATTGGGAAAGAGAACGCATTCAAACACAATTCTACACGGAAAAGTTCTGGATCAAAATCAGAAACAACTATCGGATTATCCACGGAAAGTCCTTGCCAACTCTCACGTCGTGGAAGTCAAACTATAGAGAGCTGAAACCAGACTCCAATATTCCTCCAAACTTCTCCTACGACGACCTCATTTTCCCGTACGACACCAACTCGGCGTTCCAGAACCTGTGCTCCGCGTTGGGCCCAGTCTACCTCTGGCTCTGGCCATGGGGAAGACCTCGGGAAGACGGTATCCACTTCACTAACGTCAACGAAGACGAAGACCAACTCAACCTTCCTTGGCCACCAGACGGATCTAACTTCGAGTCCCAGTCCCAGGAACAAACCGTTTCGTCGTGGTCGAACCAGCTCGGCGAAACGTTAGACGACTTCGGTGTCGACGTCTCAACGGAACCTTACGAATCATCAAAATACATCTGAAACTAATCTAATTGTATTATACATTGTTTGATAAAAAAACCATCATTCTTCGCTTCCCTTATCTGCTTCGGCAGACGTGTGGTCGGTCTGCGAAGGTGCTGTGTCGGAAATCACCGTCTCCGCGCCGGTGCTCAGAGTCTCCCCAACAGAGTGCTCTCCAACGCCGTCGCTTTGAACATAGGCCTCCGGTCCTTGTTCCTGCCACACGTTAAACCGCTTTTTGGCTTCCTCAATCTCGCCCTCGTCCAGCTCTTTTCCTAAACCGTACTCACCAATAAGAGCGTCGCGCAAACTGGCCAACCGCGACTCTTTGCTCAACCGCTTGCTGTCTGGAGCAAATGCACTCTCACGCACAAACACATCGAACGAACCAGGCTCAAACACAAGTCTGTAAGTCTCCTTGTCGATCTTCACCTTGAGCTTGGAGTTGGCCGCTCCTTCGATCTCCTCGTCCTCGTCCTCTTCCTCCTCAACGTTCGACTTCAAAAATGGAAGCAGAATGGCTCCAGAGTCAATACCTTCAGTTGGATGAGACATGGAGTAACTGGTGAGATAGTAGTTCCACTTCTCCTCGGGAGTCTTGGAGTCGTCTCTGATTGTGGTGTCGTCCAGCGCAAGGAACGTGATGCTCGTCTCGTTCAAGTCCTTGTTGAATGTGATCTTGAACATGTTCTCGTCGGAAGACATCAGGTTGCGAACCTGCATTCTGTAAATGATTTGGTCTCTAGCAGTGGTTCTGGACACGTTACGGTCTTTCTCCATCAAAAGAACAATCTCTGAACATCTCGAGTCATTCACAATACTGTGACAATGTTTCAACAGTCCGGAAATCACCTTGTCCACAGTGAACAGCTTGAATGCCTTGTTTCTGAATCCTTGACGGAGAGTCTCTTCGAAGTTGTTTTGGTCCAAAGAACCCTCAATCACCTTGGCACACAGAGCCAAAGCTTCTTTGTATGAGTCGTCACCCTTGATGTTGATGTTCATCTCTTCAAGTTGGTCGTTGATCAGACCAAGATCCTTGGCGAAAGGAGTCACTCTTCTCGACTTGATCTCCTTGTTCACCTCTGGACCAAGGTTCTTGATCTCCAACAGTCTCTCATACATGGTGTTGAGGAACCGGTAGAAAACATAAAGCTGGGTATTGCAAAACATGTTGTACTCAACACGGTCATCACCGTAAGTAACATTTGGACGGTCGTTGGTGATCCAGTTGGTTTGAGCCCTTTCAACTTCTTCAGCTTCTTCCGATTGTGGTGCAGCCTGAACAGAAGCAGCAGAGTCAGACTCGTCTTCCGCGTCGTTCTTCTTTGGCTTCTTCACCTTTTTCAAGACGTCTCTTAACAAGTCGTTTTCCCTAGATCTCTTCTTGGACTGAGACAGAGTGGTAACCGCGGAGACGGAATCAGTGTCATCAGACTCTTCCTTTTCGACCTCCTTCTCATCGTCGCCAGTTCTTTGCTTCACAGCCTCATCAATGAATTTGGAGTCCAAAAAGAAAAACTTGGCAATGAAAGAGCGCAAGAACCCTTCAACCTTCTCCTTGTCGTACTGCGAGTAAGTTTGGTTGTTCTTCAAGTAGCAATCAACTAATTGCAGGACGTCCATAAACACGTCATAGTCTTTGTACTTGTAATCGAGTTGCGACTTTGGAATTGGCATCAGCGGGTGCAACTTCTTCTGAACCTGCTCTTGCCTGATGGTCGAGATCTCGCTGACCAATTGTTTGTTAGTCAAAAGCTTCTTGTCAATTTGCTTGAACGTCAAACCAAGGTGATCAAGAGACTTGTAGAAGGCCTTTTGTTCCAGCTCTCTCCACACCTTGTTCCATTCTCTGTGAGCTCTCTTCCATTCCTCGTCCTTTTGTTTCAATCTTTTAAGGACAACAGGCACGGCAACAGCCGGATTCTCATGCAGAGCCTCAATGACTTCGAACCCCTTATCCTTGTCGTACACTTTTCTGATCACCTTCTTGTAAATAGTAACAGAAGTGTGTCCCAAACCAGGAGGAAGCTTGAACTTGGCCTTTTCATCCGCAGTCATGTTAGCTAATCTGTTTGCAATGGTTTCCAAAGTTTGAATCGTTCTGAGGTTAGCTTCCATGTAGAAGTCGTACTCGTGTCTCTCTTCTTCGGTTCTGAACAAGATGTCTTCGTACTGGTTCTTACGGTGAGCAATGAAACCGGACTCTTCAGAAGCCCAAACGGGGTGTCCTGCCCATTCGTCGTTCAAGACCTCCCAACACATCTCATCTCTTCCAGAGCACGGCATAAAGGTTTGAGACTTTGGAAGCAATCTGTAAGAAGGACCGCAAGCTTTGCACATCATGAGATCGAGCTGCTGTTTTTTGATTGCAATGTTCTCAATATGCAAAGGCTTTTCCTCCCATCCAACAAAGGACTTGAACCAGTCAAACAAGTCTGGGAAGCCACCAAGGAAACCGTCCACTTTTTCAATTAACGTGTCCTTGTCAATGACCTCGCTCGAGTAGAGCCTGAGGAACTTGAGGAATTCATTGTAAGTCTGCTTGTTGGCGATTGTTTTCTTGACCTTGTCAAAGAAGGTGATTTCGTCCGTCAGATCCGACTCTGCAGTATTTGGGAAGACTGGTTCTGGGACACCAGGGAGCAACGATGGATTCTCATCTTTGCGTCTTCTTGGCTGTAGTGTGGCACGAAGATTGGAAACAGGAGGCTCGTCATAAGGCTGAGTCATTTGGTATGGCTTCTGGCTTGCGATAGGCTGGGAAAGTTGCTGCGAACCCCACCTCTTCTTTTTATCCTTGGCAGGAAGCTGGGAAACTGGCTGACGGAAAGTTGGTGGTTGGAAGCTTCCGACAGGGGGCAATTGAACAGCCGACTGTTGGGACTGTGGCTGAGACTGACCTTGCGAAGGAGGTTGGCCGAGGTGACCAGGAGGCTTTCCATCGTAGTAGACCTGGCCATAATTATTGTACTCGCCCATTTGAGGTCCTTGCAATGACCCTGGTTGCTCTACCACTGGACCGGTGGTTTCCGGCATGAAAAGCTTGAAGTCTTCCAGCAGATCCGGCGCGTCTCTGAACAAGACAGAGATCTCTCTATACACTTCGTCGATTGGCTTGATTCCCTTTTGATACATCTGGAGGTTCTCGAGGAAGTGCTTGTAGATATCTGGCTCGTTGGCGTACCTTTGCTTGATTTTATTGACATAGTTGATGGCTTGGTCGAACTCCGCTGGAGAGCCTTGCTTGACGTCTTGTTGCTGCTGCAACGGCTGAGGTGCCGGTTGCTGTTGCACGCGGTAATAAGGAGCTTGCTGCGCGCCGTTCCCGAGCATCTCGTACTGTGCCTGGGGCTGATGGGAATACTGATACTCCATCTGGGAGGTGGGGCGTTGCTGCGGGTCGTATGGAATCGGTCCTGGATCCTGTCTAACTGTCTTACCCATAGGGGTAGTCACAATGATGGTATTTGGATCTGCAGTGGAACACTCGATGGCAAAACCCTGAGGAAGAAAGGTGTTGAATCCATCAATTAGCTTCGGATGACCTCTAAATAAAGTCGAGACTCTTTCAATGACACCAGGAGTATCAATGCTGCGAGGAAGTTAGTAATGTTGGGGGTGAAACCACAAGATCAACTTTGGAGGTGGGAGAGAAGAGGAAAAAAACACTTCAGACACACCTGCCAAAAAAAGCCTTTGGTGCGAGGAGTACTTACCTTTGACTCTTGAAGTCTTTCATTATGTCCAGGAAGTTATTGTAGACGTCTGTCTGGTTCTGGAACTGGATCTTGACCTGGTCCAGATATGACAAGGCGTCCTTGACGTTGAGTGGCCGGTACGACTGCGCGGTAGCAGCAACCTGTTGGGCTGCTTGCTGCGCGGCTTGTAGCTGGGCCTGGGTGTGATCCTGCGTGTGTTGCTGGATAGCTGTGGAAACGAGGTTCTGGTGTTGGGATGAAGGAGAAACCAGGTTCATGTTGTCGGGTGGCTAAAATTCGTTAGTTGAACAAAAGGGGGGCCGAAAATTGGCCGGCGGTACTTACGTGTGAATTGTCCATATTTTGGACCGAATATCTGCCCAGATTGTTGATTCCTGGTAAGGAGGGCAGCGGATATAGTGGTTGACCGGAACTGAGTGGTCTGTGGTCCCGTTGATATTCACCGTTCTCCAAGGAGCTTGGTGGAGGAAGCACTGGCGCACCTTGTTGGAGACTGCAAATGCGTTAGTACGTTTGCGATCTTGGATCTGAGCGTCGTTACTTACCCGTAGGACTGCATATTAGCAGGCTGGTGGTCTGAGGACTCTTTGTTTTGCCACGAATCTTGTGTTGACATCGTGCAAAATCAGGTCGGATTGGCTGCTGAAACACTAAAAATACACGCGAGACACGCCCCTCGGTTAGACTGCTGATGATCACAAGCTTGCCACGAGTTTGCACAGGATGGAAACTTGTCTTCTCCGTCTAAAGCAGAAAAAGATATTTGAAAAAGCGTGTGCATGAAGCGGGAGTTATCAGGTCGTGCACCTCCCAGATATCCCGAGGCCGGGTGACAGAGAAAAGGGGAAGCTGTAGCAGCAGGGAACCTGGCAATTGGCCAGATCGACACAACACCAAAGATCGCAATGGATGAACACATTCAAGAGCTCGAAATCGACCCGAAATTTTGGTCCAGACCCTGTTTTTTTCACCCCAAACGTAATCTTGACGGGGTGTGTCTAGATTGAGTTGTCAGTCCTGATTATAATTTTAGTACACCCCTGCACCGCTCTCGAAAATTTATCAACACTTGGTTTTGCTTCACCATGAACGCCCCAGACAGGTTTGAGCTATTTATATTACCGGACGGAGTTCCTAAGTATGTTTTTACGGTTTCCAACGCTAACATTCCAGGCTTCAGATCACGCCGGACTCGAAGGTCCCGAGCTGTGTGCTTATAAAATTTGAGAGAGAAGACCACACTCTCGGAAACTTGCTCAAACAGGAGCTTGCCACCGACCCACAAGTGCTTTTTGTCGCCTACAAAATCGAGCATCCGTTGTTTGCCAACTTCATCATGCGACTCCAGACAGAAGAAGGATACAAGCCACGAACTGCGCTGAAAAATGCATGCACAAGATTGATTTCCAAGCTGGGCATTCTCAACGACAAGTTCAAGAGAGAATGGGAGTTGAAGGCCCTGCTTGCAGAAGGAGAAACAGACGACATATAATGTACAATAGAATAGAAAACTAATCGACTACTGGAACAAAATAACTTGAAGGCTTTTTTGTGGTATTATTCATCCGTTATACAGGCCAACTGGACTCGGCTTTCTTTTTATATCGACAACTTGTCTCTGAGAGCATGCTTTATGAAATCGTATTTCACGCTGAAATACTCGTCGGGGTTATCATAGAAATTACCATTGTTCAAAGCATAGTCCAAGGGTAAAGTCTCGATTTCTTTGGCAGGCGTAATGTGTGTAATGTATTGACCATGCTCAGAAATCACCATCTTGTGGTGATCTTTGAAGTTAAACTGGTAGCTGCCATTGCTCAACTCGAACATAATGTAGTTGTCATCCCGGGTATATCTGCGTAGAAATACATCTTTGCTGCGACCAGATGTCTTGCGTGCGCCCGAAGACACATCTGAAAGGTGTGCAGTCATGTACTTGCGGAAAAAGTCCACAACCTCGATCTCGCGCGAAAGCAGAGAAGGAGTGGAGCCTTCTGTGTAGTGTGCAATTTGCCAACCGTTCTCAAAAGAGTTGGAGATGTAGAAAACGTCTGTAGTATCCACCATCTTCAACACTGTCTGACCAGAGTTGAAAAGAACGCCAATGGCTCCGGAAGTGAGCTGGTACGAGAATCCGTGCTTGTTCGAATAGTCGACCCACTTGCTCACAATCACCGGCTTCTTCATCATCTTTGGATCAGGCCTGAATCTTTGAGACTCGATCTCTTTCATGTTCATCAACGTGGTGGACAATGTATCGTTCAGTATGCGAACGGTTTGGTTTTCTTGGTGCGCGTTAGCCAGTTCCGTGGTGATTTTGCTTCTCACCGTGCTCCTCACCGAAACTGGAGCAATCTCTTTGTACTTATTCTTGGTATTATTAGGAGAGAGGGAATGAGGAAGAAGCGTTTTTGGTTGCTCGCTTTCCAAGTCGGTTTTCAAGATTTCAACAGGGTTTTTGTAGGACTCGTTGATTCCAACCCGTTGCTTGCATGTGGCAAAGTTGATGAGAGATTCTTCCTTGGTAAGGAAAGCCAAGTTTTTAGGGATTTGTTTGAGCGATTCGGTGGAAATCTGGGCTGGGAATGGTCCGCATTTAAACCAATCGTGGTCCAAGATCTCGTCTAGCGAAGGTCTGTTTGTTGGATCGGTGGAGAGCAGCTTCACAATCAAATCTTTGGATTCTGCAGAAGCCACAGAGTCTGAAGGAAATTTGTATTCGTTCTTCTTGATTCTTTCGTAGATGATCTGAACATCCTTAGCCTGGAATGGAGGCTTGCCAAACAACAATGCAAACATCATGATACCAATTGCCCAGATGTCGACCTCAAAACTGTGGCCGGTGGTTTTACCACCAAGCACCTCGGGAGCAATGTAATTAGGAGTACCGCAGATAGTGTATCTCTTATTTGAGGACGAGCTGACCACAGTGGCCAGACCGAAGTCTCCAATTTTGATGTTCATGTCTGGGTCAAAGAAGATGTTTCCAAGCTTCAAGTCTCTGTGGACGACTCTTCTTCTGTGCAAGTATTTGATAGCACCGATGATTTGAACCATGAAAAGTCTCACTTCTGGTTCACTCAAAACTTTTCTGGCCTTGAGAAGGTCCATCAGCGACTGATGAGGACAAATCTCCAACAAAATGTAGACATTAACATCGTCTTCGAAACAGTCAACGAACTGGACAATGTTGGGATGAGACATGCTCTTGTGGATTTTGATCTCACTCAAAAGCTTGGTCTTGGTCTTCTCGTTCTTGATGGACGCCTTAGCAACGGTCTTGGCAGCGTAGATACGGCCACTCTCGTCTTTCATTTGGAAACATCTGGCAAATCCTCCTTCACCAAGGAACAGTCCTCTATGATAACCTCTTCCATTTCTGGTGCGAACCACACTTGGCGGAGTCTTACACAGCGAGCTGAGCTTCTCCTTCTTCTTTTTGGTTTTTGTCTCCGGCTTGGAAACTGAGCTGCGAACCGGCGTCTTAATGATTCCACTAGACGGGACAGCTTTGGTGTTCAATTGGACGTTGTTTAACGCCTGAAGTGCTCTTCCAGTGCTCATAAGTACAAAGAGACAGGAACGACGTTAGATGAGGTGGGACAGGTTTCTTTTTATGTTCTAAATGGACGTCCTTAATAGGAAAACTAAAATATTCTTGTTTACTTTGATTGTTTATAGATTTCCAAATCGGGACGTAATAGAGAAATTATTTGTATTTAGCCACATCGTGCACAGCCACAGGGTCAATGGTAGCCGTTTGAGCAAGCCTCTATCTGATCCTAATCGGGACCCTTGTAGCAATCGCCTTACTGTTTAGAAAACAGGATGTTTTCTCCACATAAATCTTTGATAAGGCTTTTGCTTCTTCCTTCGATGATTTCCTCAATTTCCAGTTCGTTTTGGTATCGATTTCGGATCTGCTCTGCCACCTCTCTTTTCTCTCTCAAGTCTCTGGTTAGGTCTTTCAATGCGTAAGGATCGACTCTGGTAAGTCTGTTTCGTTCCTCCTCGTCCAGTTGCACCTCTTTGGTCTCCACTTCCTTTACCAGCTCACTGGCATGGTTCAGACAGAATTGGATGCGGCTTGTTCTGGCTCTCCATTGTGGGAGCAGCAGCTCGTCCACAAATTGCTGGCAAGACTCCGACCGCGGCAAAATCGACCCGCGCGACTGCGTCTCGTGATGGTTTAAAATGCTATTGAGTCTGGTGCGTAGTTTGTCGTCGATAAGCGTTCGCGAGATCCGTAGAAAGTCGTTCAATGAGCGCGTCGACCCCGTGCACATCTCCTGCGATGAAGCAGGCGGGATGGGGATGTTTCTTTCCGGGGCTATTTCTAAATCCATTGCTTCTTTCTTGGTCCACATAAGATCGGATTAAATAATTTTCACACCTAAATTCCGTTGCCACCAATTCCACTAGGGCAGAGCAAACACCGTTCGGAGAGAACTAATTGCAACAAAACCACTACCAGACTAAACCGCTTAGTGTAGCTAACCCATCACCACTTTCGTCGCCTCGGTGACGCCCCAAATCAGTGCAAAGTCAACAGCCCTGCTAGCGACCTGTTCCAGGCTGTGCTTGGTAAAATATTACCTTTGAAGAATTCTTCGCCATGTCGGTACAAGAACTCAGACAGAAGGGCAATGAAAAGTTCCATAGCTCCAACTACCCGGGAGCTCTGATTCTGTACACCGAATGCATCAACTTAGATCCACAGGCCTTTGCCATATACTGCAACAGGGCGGCGACGTTGATCAAGCTCGATTGCATGAAGGAGGCGGAAGAGGACTTGGTGAAATCGCTGCAGATCAACCCTGAATACGTGCCGAGCCTGTGCAGACTCGGGTTTCTGTATTTGTACGAGGGAAACACAGTCAAGTCGCTTGAAAACTACGTCAAGGCGGTCCAGGTGTGTGCGAAGGAGCCTCACCAGCTAGATAGATTTAAAGGCAGGCTCAAGGAGGCGGTGCGCTTGGCTGAAGGACGGGCCAAACAGCAGGGCTACTCGCAGGAGTATATCGACACGCTGATCCCGGCAACTGTGAGAGCCACTTTGGACAACTACCGGGGATTGGCCAGCGAAGGTGAGGGCCAGACCACCGTTGCCCCCAGACCCACGGCCCAGGGCGCGGAGCCATCGCAGGGCAGACCGCGTGCGTTTGCAACGGCCATCACCGGCACTCCTGCCTCGCTGGCTAGCTTGTTCGGACAAGCACAGGGCCCAGCAAGAACCGGCACTACTTCTGTGACGTTCGACACGAGACCGCAACCACGTGACGAGCCTGCCCAGGCAGATAGGATGGACGAGGACCCAGAGGTTGAGCTACGAGACGTGGATGCCACACACCGCCAAATACACGAGCGGGTGCAGAACTTCATGCGGCAGCAGCAGGGCCAGCCGGTGCAGCCCATCACGTTTGCAAGGAACCTGGCGTCCACCATCACGTCGCAATTCCAAAGTCAGCCTGCTGGCGGAAACCTGGCAGAGCAAATAGCCCGTGGAATTTCCACGTTCATGGGACAGACACAGGAAGACCAGGCACAGCCGGCACAGCAGGCTCAGCAAGCGCAGCAGCCGCAATTGTCAGACAACTTGCATGGGATGGGGGACGTTCCCGAAGACTTGGATTGAGTGTAGTAATATAAGTTAATGTTGGCTGTATCAATTATTTTGCTTATTTAAATTGCTTAGATGCTTCCAGATCTCTTGAGTTGGACGTAGACGGCAAAGAATGGGATACCGAATCCAAGAGCTTGAATGTTAGTGGGGGAAACCAAAAGTTGTTACTTACCGAAATACAAAAAGTGAGGAACGGCGTATGGAATTCTTCTGTTGTGAACCTTGAAAGGCAAGTTGGTGTATGGACCCTCTGGGAAGTGACCGCTGAGCTTAGTCAGGGAAGAGGAGAAAGGTCTGGTGCTTTGTCTTGACTGTCTGGCGATGACTCTGGCAAACATGTTTGGAAGAAAAAAAAAATTAGCCACAACGAAGAGAAATTTCCACCAGAGGCACGCACTGTCCGCCCGGGGAACGAAATATTTGTCGAGCGGCCACGCTCGCGAATTTTCAGTGCACTGTTTAAAATTCAGTGCGCGTGATTGGCCCAATCATAAATAACACCATTTTCTTTGCCCCAAGGTGGCGGTGTTTTTGTGGCTGGAGGCCCAGTTCTTCCTGCTCGAAAATTAAAACAAAAGTTTTAATCATTAGCATATCCTTGGTTTAACATAAAGATGGCTATCGCTCCAATTCAAGGTTTCATGAAGAGAAAGATTATCACCGACATTTCGGTCGGTAAGTGACCCAAATTTCCCCCGTTCGAGTCCTCGTTTCTAACAGTTATAGGTGTTGTTACCGGTCTAACACTCGGCAGTCTTTGGTGGTGGGGTTACCACAAGCCAACTGTTGCTAAAAGAGAAGCTTACTATGCTGAGTTGGCTAAGAAGAAGGAGATTGAAGACTCCGCTTAGATACACGGTTACTAGATAATAAACTCGACATTACATTTACCAGTTCTCAACTCTGTACTTTAGTAAAATCCAAGGCTAGAAAAGCGTGCAAGGGTGCGTTTTTGCAAAACTAATGGGTGTTTTGTTTGACACTAGGACCGTTTCTCAGAGCGCTTTGGAGGAATTGGGCGCCATATTCCGCCAGATATCGTTGCTAGGCACTGCGTCCGAACATCTGTTTGTGGTGCAGAAGGATCTGTCTCGGTCGATCGATTTCTTAACCAGTTTCTCCAACTTGAAGAAACTTACAAAGATTAGTAAAGTCATATGGATAGATGATGCATTGTTCGACCACGAACACCTGCTGCCCTTGTTCCCTAGCATTGTGTTTTTATGTGAGGGCAGTATGGAGATGCTGGACTCGGTGGCCGGCATTTTGAAGCGCAAGATCTTGCCCTTCTCCAAGACCCACCAGGTGTCGCTTATTGTTGCCAGCCGGCTAGTCACCGCCACGGAGCTAGTCATAGAGAATCTCGGCATCAAGGGCGACGTGAGTGTGTACTTTTGGCCCGAATTGAGACCGCTGGCGCTCGAGCCGGACGTGCTCAGTCTGTGTCTTTCCCAGGGTGGCCTGGGAGACCTGTTTGCTGGGTCAATTGCGCCGCTGGACCAGCTGGCAAGCGCACTGTTGGACTTGGTGATCCAGTCGAACTACAAAATTAGACTCACCAACGCGTTTCTCAAAGGAGAGCACTCGATCAAACTATGGACTATCTATCAGAACAAATACCAGGCTCATTTGACCAAAGTGGATGCCAAAACAAAGAAACTCATCTTGGACCAGGACGACACTCTTTTCCTGGACCAGCACTCGTTCATGAACAGAAACGTGGACTTTGTGTGCCTGGACCGGTCCGTGGACCTTGTGAGCGCGGTTCTGACCCAATTGACCTACACGGGGCTGTGCGACGAGTACCTGGGAGTGAACCTGGGGTCTACAACTGTGCCGGAAGAGGATCTCAAGATCAAGTTTGGCGACCCGGACGACGAGATTTATCCGGTGGTGAGAAATTTGAACTTTTCGATGGTTGGTTCGGTGCTCAATTCCAAAGCACGCGTGTTACAGGCCGAGTACGACAAAAAGAACAACCTCACAGACATTGAAGAGATGAAGAAGTTTGTTGGAGAGCTCAACTCGTTAAAGGAGAGCCAGAAATGGGTGCAAAAACATACCGTGGTGGCTGAAAATATATTAAAAGCCGTGAGAAACGGCGACGTTGAAACTCGAGTTGTTCCTGGCTTAGAGGCAGACACTCCGAGCAGCAACAAGTTCAATGCGTTTCTCGAACTTCAGCAGGAGATTTTGAGCGATAACCTTGACAACAAACGCAACTGTGCCGCCATATTGCAGTACATGTACGAGTTTGAGCCTCCGCTGAGCGAGGTGCTACGGTTGATCGTTCTCACGAGCATTGTCAAGAAAGGGATTCGCGAACAGGAGTTTGAGCAGCTCAAGACAGAGGTGTACAACACGTACGGCTTGGAAGGGTTCAAAACATTGCTCAATATGAGGGAGTTGAAATTAGTATATGCAAGAGAATCGTTATCGTTTCTGCCATCGAGCATGAGCGAGGAGGCCACGACGAGCGCGCACCAGCTGATCCGCGATTTTGGAGCCATCAGTACCACGTTGAACTTGATGCCTATTAGCGACCATGTGGACCCGGAAAACCCCAAGGACGCTGACTTTGGGCTCGCTGGCTACGTGCCGATGGTGGCACGGCTGGTGGAAGCCATCTACAGCAGAGAGTTTCTGGCCGGGCCACGGGACGTGCGTGTGCGCAAGCACGGGTGGGACAACCTTGATCTGAGCGCGCTGGACGGAGAACTGCGGCAGGAGTTTTTAATTCCCGAGACCAAAAAGCCGTTGTTCAGCTCGCTGATTCCGTCAAAATCTGGCCGGCTGGCAGACCGCAAAGACCTGGTTATTGTGAGCGTTGTGGGTGGAATGACCTATAGTGAGATGTCAATGGTGCGGTTCGTGCTAGGGAAAAACAGTTTCACCAAGGACAAACAGATAATTTTCCTGACAACGGGGATAATCAAAGGTGACGATATTATTGAGAGTGTCAGGTACAATTGCTGAAAATAGCAATTATTTTTTTTTATCAATTGCAGAATTTCACGTCAACATGTGTTTCTTCTTTCTGTTTGGAGGTAAGCCCAATTGTTAATGGAACTCGAGCAAACTAACCGCCAGCCAAGTCGTTCAAAAAACCACTCAAGGATTACGAGGGGAAACAGGTTTACTGTCCCAGATGTCACAACAACTCGATGATATACGTTCGAAATTGGAACTTCATCACCCTCTTCTTCATTCCTATCATCCCTTTCAGCTGGTATAAGGAAATCAGCTGTCCGATATGCGGCAACCATACAATGGATGCAAATATAGCGTGAATGTCATGTTTCTTATGTCACAGGTAGTACCCGTCAACCAATTTTTGTTCGTACTCTTCCAAAAGAGCCACAAGCGAGTAGAAACATGCCTTCAGACCGTCTGTGGCCGCCTGTTTTTTGGCGACCGAAAACGCCAAAGCTTTGGAAGGCATGAATTGCGACACCCCATAGCCCGTTTTGCATGTCACGGTGCCATCTGCCAACATGAGCCGGGTCTCGATCGAGTACTCGATCCCGTACCGGGTCTCTCGTTCGTCGTCAAATTCCTGTTTTTTGTACCGCACCACGCGCGCAGACTCCTCCACGAGCCCGCTGCTCCAGTTGTCAAACCCGAACGACCGGTTCGCGATGTTGATCAGCGACGAGATCGACGCATTCGTGAACAGAGCAAACCCGCGCAGGTTGCCAAACCGCTGCTTGTCGTTCGACAGCCGCTCCAGCAGGTGGTAGAACGTGTTAATTGCGCCCACTGACCAAACAGATGCCGGCCGCAGCGCCACCTCGCCCGTCCACTCCTGGATCTCCAGAATATCCCACCCACTGATGTCAGGGAAGAACTGCACCGGCGCGGGGGGCTCTGACTCCACGACAGCGTCCTCACAGCACCGCTGCTCCAAAGACCGCCGTCCGAGAAACTCGTGGCGCTCGCGCGCAAACCGCTGCGTCGCCGTCTCTACCAAGTACATTGTATTACAAACTTTTGCAAAAGGTCTCTTGTTTATTTTTCGTTTTCTGCTTACCTAATCACAGCATCGTAGACGGGCTGGAATGGTGGCATGTACCCCGTGAACCGTTCGAATTGGAACAGGCCCTGGTTGACTAGCATGTCGCGACCAGGGATCACTTTCCAGCCGTGCGACTTGCTGGCGAGCCTCATGATCGGTGTTTCCAGCGGCTTGTAGGCGGCTTCCAGCAGCATCTTGGTGCCGCAGCCGTTGGACAGAGCAGCGTCCAATTTCTCCAAGAAAACAGGCTCAAAGTCCAAGTGGCCGGGCACAGTCGACACCACGAGCGACACCTTGTCCATGTTCTTGATGGAGTCCAGCGAGTCCAGCACCTCGATGTTGTACGAATCTGGGAAGTGGTCTTTCACGGCCTGTGTCTTGGCCACGGTTCTTCCAAGAATGTAGATCTTTTCGCAGCCCATGTGGTGCAGAGCGTAGATGGCTGCGCGCGAAGTTCCACCCGCGCCAATCACCAGGCCGTTCGCAGACAGTTTCGACGCACACCCGTGGTACACAAACGACTGGGTGATTCCAAGCCAGTCGGTGTTGTCTCCTCTGCGCTTGCCTCCAGCGACCGGGAACAGCGTGTTGATGGCGCCGATGGTCTTGGCGCTGTGCGACAGCTCGTCCGCGTACTTCATCATGTCGATCTTGAGCGGCATCGTGACACACAGTCCGCCCAGGTTTGGCTCGCCAAGCAGTTTCTGCTCCACCTCTGCAGCACTGGCCGTCTCGTGGATATCAAACACGTGCGGCAGCCCCAGAGCGTCGTACCCGGCGTGGTGCAAGGCTGGCGATCTCGAATGCGCAATTGGAGACCCAACAATCACAAACCGTTTTGGGGTCTCGAGACCAACAAGCGTCAGTCCCTGGTTGATCTGTTTGATGGTCAATTGACCCGGAGCAGACGAGTTCGGCAACAGTTCGTGGGTCACCGGCGTCAACACCGGGTTCACGATCCGCGAGTACTGGCCAAACCGGCCCATGTTGATTGCAATCATTGGCTTCTCAGTGTGAGTGGCTCTGAATTGCTCCAACAAGTTGTTGTCGTTGTACTCCTTTGCCATACCCACAAACTTGACCACATCAACGTTCAGACGCGTGGCGAGTTGGTACTTGCTCTCCCATTCGGCAGAGTCCCACTTGAAAGCGCCAGCAAAGTCGTGGTGCGAACCAATGATCTTGGTGTACCGTCTTTTGGAGCTCAAGGTGTCCAGCAAACCGTCAGGCAGCGACAACTCCAAGTCCAGATAGCCGACTCCCAGCTTGAATGCCAGCTCGCACAGCTCTTGCACCTTGGCAAAGTCGTCGTCAGGGAACTTTCCGCCCTGGGCCTTGGTTCTCAAGGTGAAGACAATTGGAATACTAGTATGGTTTCTTAAAAGACCAACTTGCTCAGAAACAAAAGTTGTGTCGTACGACTTGAGCAAGTCAACACGCAGCTCCACAGCGTCACAGGCAGTAGTGATGGCTTCAATGTCCGGCAAAGCCTGTCTCAGGTCTGGGTACGTCAAGCAGACGAAGAAAGATCTCTTGGAAGGAACAGAAACGACTTTCTCGCCGGTGATTTCCTGAATAAACAGTGCCATCGACCGCTTCAAAGTATCAAACTGGTGAGAAGAGGCACAGTGAGGAGAGAAAAAGTAGTAGTTCGAACACTCGTCGTACCAGTTGCGTCTTCTTTCCCAAACAGAAGCGATCTCGTCCTTATAAGCCGGTCTAGTCGAGTCTTTCTCTGATAAGAAGGACGTGGTCTCAGCAATGTCTCTTTGCAGATGAAGCACAATTCCCGTCTTGCAGTAGTCCTGGAGCAACTTTCTGGCCTCCGGAGTTTCCACCAGGCCACCTCCAGTGGAAATAACATACCCTTCCTTGTGCTCAACAAGGTACTTCTTGGTAATCTCGAGCTCCTTGCTGCGGAACTCCTCCCAGCTGTTGTCCTGAATAAACTGCTTCACAGTGACACCGCTGGCCTTCTCGAACTCCTCGTCAAGATCAACATACTTGAGTCCGGTCTGCTCAGCAATCACGTTCGACATCGAAGTCTTACCAGCAGCTCTCATTCCAATAACCACGATACTCTTCTTGCCGTTCTTCTCAGGAATAAAAGACTTGTTTTCAACATGCTGCGACTCGTAGCCGTCCAACTGGGCGTTGAACTTGGTGTGCAGCACGTCCCACCATCCAGGCCACGTCTTGGCCGTGCATCTTCTTTCCTGGATAACAACAGGCTCTTTACAGAACCCGGCCAACAAAGAGAAACTCATGGCAACTCTGTGGTCGTCGTATGGGTAAACACCCGGAAGTTGAGGAACTTGCAGATTGTTGTGGTCAATACCGTAGATGGTGATACCATCCTCGAGCTCCTCGGCCTTCACGCCAAACTTGGCGAGCTGGACACGCATGGCCTCAATACGGTTGCACTCCTTCACACGCTGGTTGGCAATACCGACGATCGACGTCGACTTCGAGTCGTTGGCAATAGCTGCAACCACAGACGCCGTCAAGAATGCATCGGTCATTGGCTCCATATCAATCAGAGGAAGAGACTTCAAGCCACCAACTGGGGGTCCTTGTACGGTGGTGGAAGTCTCTGTTTGAGTAACAGTGCATCCCATTGGTCTGAGCACGTCGGTAGCAAACCGCGAGTCTCCTTGCAACGAAGAAGATCCAATGTTAGGAATCGTGCACTTGGTTCCGTTCATAGCAGCAAATGCAAGCGGATAAGTGGCAGACGAGGCATCGCTCTCAATAACGTACTCGGCAGGGTTAACGTAATGGGCCTTTGGAATATGGTAGGTGTGCTCCTCGGTCGTGGATTTGGTCACGTGAACGCCGAACGCGCTCATCATTCTGATGGTCATGTCGATGTACAACTGAGAAATTGGCTTACCTCCCACCAACGACAAGGTGACAGGCTCATCGGCGTAGGGAGCGCAAATCAAAATAGACGAGACATATTGGGACGAAATAGTGGCCTCAAGCTCGATTCTTCCTCCCTTGAGTCCCTTACCACACTGAATCTTCAACGGAAGAGAACCAACATTGTTCTGATACTGGATGTTGGATCCGTTGGCCTTCAAAGCGTCCACAAGAGGACCGATTGGTCTCTTTTGCATCCAGCTGTTTCCTGTGAGAATGACACTGGTGAGATCTCCATTAACACCAACCAAGGATGCAACAGAAGTCAAGAACCGCGAGGCTGTTCCTGCATTTCCAAGGTAAACCTCCTCCTCACAAGCAACAAGGTTACCACCGTTTCCGTTCAAAACAAGGGTTTCTCCCTTGTCCTCCCAAGAAACCTCGGCAGCTTTCAATGCAGTCATCGCGGTCAGCATGTGAGCAGTGTCATCGGAATGAAGCAAGTTCTTGATACGGCAAACACCTTTACCCAAGGCAGCCATCACCAAAGCACGGTTAGAGATAGATTTGGATCCCGGTGGAGTGACTACCACCTCGGAAGGAGCAGCAGTGAAAGGTTTCACGAAAATGTCGTCGGTCAAAATGACTCTAAGATCCTCGTCGTTGACATAAGATGCCTTTGGCTCGTAGCACTCTCCAATGCTCTTCAACAACACAACCTTCTTCTTGGAACCGTCGTTCTTCTTGTCCACAGCCATCTTCTTCAGCAAAAGATCAACAGGACACTTCTTGCCGTTGATTCTGGACTGCACAATTTTATCCTCTAAGGAAACAGGTAGTCCGTAGCCGGCAAGACACTTGGACAATCTAGAAACGGCCACCGGAGGCAAGATACCCAGGTATCTACTAAGCTCTGCTTCCTTGACGGCACCAATGGAAACACACTCTCCGTGAAGTGCCTGTGGAGTAAGAATAGCCTCGTATGCGTGTCCGATGGAGTGACCAAAGTTCAAAAGATTGCGCAATCCTCCTTCTCTTTCATCCAAAGTGACGACCTCGGCTTTCACTCTGATGGATCCAAGAACAAGCTTGAAAATGTGGTCGAGAATAGGAGTCAGATCAACACTGTTGTCTGGCTTTCTGTTTCTAACGACTTCCAAGAACGCTTCGGTGTGTTTCTCGAGTCTTGCGAACTCGGTCTCGTCCCAAATGGCTGCTGTCTTGATCACCTCTGCCATACCGTTGATAAACTCTCTTTCTGGTAGCGTTTCGAGGAAAGAAATGTCGGCAAACACATAGTCTGGTTGCCAAAAAGATCCAATAAAGTTCTTTCCAAGCGGAGTGTCAACGGCCGTTTTTCCACCAATGGACGAGTCCACCATGGAAAGCAACGTGGTGGGAATTTGGGCAAACCGCACACCTCTCATGAAAGTGGCAGCCACAAACCCGATCATATCGCCAATAACTCCCCCTCCAACGGCAAGAATAAATGTATCTCTGGTACACCCTTCAGATAAAAGGTAGTCCTCGATAGCAGCCTTGGTAGCCCGGTTCTTGTTGGACTCGCCGGGGGATATCACGTATGTGAGCAGTCTAGACTGAGGTCTCAATCTCTTGATCGAATCCAGCATGCTGCTTTTGTAAGATTCCAAATGACCTGCTTTAGCGAGATTCGAATCGGTGATGATCACATAAGTAGAAGAGGCCTTGTTTCCAACCACCTCATCGCACACATGTGCTTTCATTTGGTAGCCAACATGGATGGTTTTGGCACCGAGGATCTCAACTTTCTCAATTCGAGTGGCCATGGTGTAAAAGACTATCGAAATCGCTCCGGTTCAGGAATGGTGACTCAAAACTTTTTCTGTCCTGGTGTAATCTCGAGGAAAAATTTTGGACGGCTTGAATTAGATCGGCGCGTCGATCGACTGCTCGACGATGGACAGGTTCTTGAGACACAGCGCCAGGTCGGCAAAGTACTCGGTGAGTCTTCTGTTGAGCGAGGCGAACTGCTGGAAGTCTTGTGAGTGGAACGACGAGCTGTTGTTTGGGGACTGTCCTGGTTTGTCAATCACAACCATCGAGTCGTACAGTTCGTTAATATCTGCTTTTCTCTTGGTGGGGACAAGTTTCTCGTCGATTCCGCAGTTGATGAACGGAATCAGCAGTTCTTGGTATACGTAGATGAACTGAGGTTTGATCTGTTGCAAGAGTTCGTCCTTTCTGTTACATTTGCGAAGACACTCGCTCATCTGGGCGGTTGCCTCCATTTTCTCTGTCTGGGCCTGGGTCAGCTCCTTTCGCAGCTGTCTGAGCTCGTCCTTCATGTCGTTCTGAACCTGTTCGTCCAGACTGTTGATTTTCTCTGAAAACTTCTGGATATAGTTTGTGAGGTTGGTCGTTGGTGGAGTCGAGCCGCCACGGATAGACTCCAGCACAGACTCGATAAATGTGCGTTCTGACGAGTGGGTGTCCTGCGAACACTCTTTGGATATTTTTCCCCAGCAGGTGTCCAGAACAGAGTGCAGGTTTTCGAGCTCCTTTTGGATCTCGTCTCGCTCGGCAAGGGCCTGGTCGCGTTCTGTTTTGAAATGGTTGATGATGGAGTCGACGTTGGTTTTCGACTCAACAGGCTTGTGGTGTTTGACCCGATGACGTTTAGCAGGTTTCTGGTGCATAGGCGGGATGAAATGTTTGAGTTCTGTCTCATTTTCCAAGACGCTCACACTTGCTTCGTTTTGGAAGCTAGGCGTGGAGTCTTCAGGATAGTAATGTTCTTTCTGGCGATTGTCTTTGTTCTGCTGGACGTTGAGCAGTTTGTTCATGGCGACCGGTTTCAATGGCGCCACCTTGTGGTGTGCAAGATCGGGGATATTGTCAACGAGAGGTGGTGGTCCATTGTCTCGGTGCGATCTCGTTGGAGAAGAGTCGCGAGACTCGTCGTTCTGGTACGTCGGCACCTCGAGCCCGTAGTCTGGCCCATCCGGCCTGCGTGGAGAGTTCATTGGGTTGTCGTGGATCGTGCTCCCGTCCTTGTAAACGTCGTCTTCCTTGATCGGCGACGAAGTGACAAAGTCGTGCTTCGTAAACAAACTCACCAAGTCGGCGCCCCTCATTTCCTGCAGCCGCCGCTGTTCCTCAAGGTCCTCGAGCGAGTCGCTACTCAACGACTCGGTGTACTCGCTCTCGTTGACCGAGCGCTCGTTGATCTGGTTCCTGTCCTCGTCAAACACCACCGTCTTCTTGCCGCTGGCGTACGCGGAAACAGGCGGGTCTTCCGAGTGGTACGCCTCGTCCTCGACGTTTTGCGACTCCTGTGTTGTTACGGAGTCCTGGTCCGCGATCTGGTTGGCCTCGCTGTCACTGTCCATAATGTCTATAAAGAAAAGGGAGACAACTAAACGCTGCACTGCCAGCATTTAAAAAATATCCACCAAATAATCCTCCACCGATGAGCTGGCTCGTTTACACTGGGTTCCAGCCGGGACAATTGGATTTTGGGTGGCCCGTGTGGCTGCTGATTGCGCTGTGGTTGAGCCTGCCGGTGATCTTCTACTCGCTACTTGCTAAGGTGACCTACTACACACGCATGCGCGACCGACGGCTCGTGAACGGGGTCCAGGGCACGGACGTGGCCGTGTTTGTGCTGGGCGACCTGGGCCACTCGCCGCGCATGGCGTACCATGTGCGCAGTCTCGTGAAAAGGGGGCGCTCCGTGAGTCTGTGCGGGTACCTCGAGAGCGCTTTGCCCGAGTTCTTATACGACGACGACACCGTGCAATTGTACGAGATCCCCGTTTACAGACGCCGCAGCTGGATACCATTCCCCGTGTTTGCCGTGTACAAGGTGCTGGCTCAGTGCTGGGACCTGACAAAGCTGATGAGCACCGTTGTCGACGATAACACGCAGTTTGTGCTGCTCCAGAACCCTCCCTCGATCCCGCTGCTGGCCATCGCCGTGCTGCTCCAGAAAACCATCTGTCCGCAGATCAAGATCGTCGTGGACTGGCACAATCTCAACTACTCGGTGCTAAACCTCAAGTACCAGAACCTGGACCATCCTGCCGTCAGGTTGCTGCGCAGCTACGAAGCCCAGTTTGGAAAACGGGCAGACTACCATTTCACAGTGACACAGAAAATGAAAGACTATTTGGTGAGCGAGTTCAAAATCCCTGCCAAGAACGTGTTTGTTGTGTACGACCGGCCGGCCGACGAGTTTGTGCCGCTTGCCGAGCCCAAACACACTGCGGTCACCCGGCTGTCGGTGCTTGACGGGTTTGGTGGCTCCGACAAACTCGTTGTGTCGTCCACGTCGTTTACGCCGGACGAGGACTTTGGGGTGTTTGTGGAGGCTCTCAAGCGGCTGGACACGCGGCTGGAGTCGCGCGTGTTTGTGGTTGTCACGGGAAAAGGCCCGTTGCAACGCGAGTTCTTGGACATGGTGGCCGCACACTCCTGGAGCAAAAACATTGTGATCAAGAACGTGTGGCTACCAATCGCAGAGTACCCGAAACTCCTGCAGGTAGCCGACGTTGGGGTCTCGTTGCATTACTCGTCGTCGGGTCTAGACCTGCCAATGAAGATTGTGGATCTGTTTGGATGCGGAGTGCCGGTTGTGTCGATGAAATTCCCAGCCATTTCTGAATTGGTGACCAAAGAAAACGGACTGGTCCTGGACAATAACAAGGACGCGTCTGAATTGAGCGAGAAAATCCACCAGCTCCTGTTCACAACCAACCTCAAACCGGGAGCTGTTAAAGAAGCTTCCCACAGATGGGACTACGAATGGCATAAAACTAAGATATTTGAATAAGTATGACTATATTCTATTCAACACTAATCAGCAGATCAAAAGAAAAATTAAACCTCTGGCTCTTGAGGCTTCTCAAGAATACCCTCGTTCAGCTCAGCAGAAGGCTTGGTATCATCCATGTCGAACAGACCAAGTCTGTTACCTTCTGCCTCGAGCTCCTGGTTGTTCAACTTGGCCATTCTGTTGGCCACAATGAAAGCAGGAACACCCTCGTCGTAGGATCTGGCGAAAATGATATCAATTTCCTCAAGAGATCTACCAGCAGTCTCCGGGTAGAAGAAGTAGATGATTGGCACGTAAATGAAATTAATGATGGCAAAGAACAAGTAGCATCCCCACTTGGACTGGTTGATGAAGATTGGAGTGAACATGACAACGGCAAAGTTCGACAACCAGTTAGTACAGGTGGAGATAGATGTGGCCACAGTTCTGGCTCTCAATGCATTGATTTCAGGTGGATACACCCATGGAAGTGGCAGGATTGTGAAGGCAAAGAAGGCAATGAACAAGAAGAGACCGACAGCGGCACCCTTAGCGTTGTTAGCGTTCTCCTTAACCAAACATCCGAAAGCAATGATGAAAGCAACACCTTGACCAGCAGCACCGATCAGGAAAAGAGGTCTTCTACCCAATCTGTCGATAAGGAAGAAGGATGGGATGGTGAACACGGCATAAACGATGGAGAAGATACCACCCATCACCAAAGCCTTTCTTCTGGCAAAGTCCAGAGTGTTTTCGAACAAGACAGTAGCATAGTAGATGGAGGCGTTACATCCAGTAAATTGCTGGAAGAACTGAGCACTGGCACCCAACATCATTCTTCTGAAATATTGGTGCTTTCCACCGCTGAAAAGCTCTCTCCATCCAAGTTGTGCGTTATCGAATCTGTTCACGGCATCGGCAATCATAGTGGACTCAGCAATAACACCATCGTCGTTAGGATCGACGTCGTTGATGCTTCCCAAAATGTATCTGGCTTCCTCCATTCTACCTTTAGAAATGAGCCATCTTGGAGACTCTGGCAGACCAAGGATAGACAGGAGCAAGAACAGGGCAAACAGAATTTGCAAAGCAATTGGCAATCTCCACGAAACAGAGCTGTTAGCGTAGGACAAACCGAAATCGACCCAGTAAGCAATCAGAGTACCAACCGCAATGACAGAACCTTCCAAGTTAACCAGACGACCTCTGTTCTCTGGCTTGGATTGTTCAGATTGCCACACAGGAATAGTAGCAGTGTTCATACCGTTACCAATACCGGTAACCGATCTAGCAATGATGAAGTGACCCAATTGCCAGTGTGGTCTGAATGGGAAGATAGAGATGAAAGTACCAATGATGATGATAGTGGCACCGATAATAATAAGAAGACGTCTTCCGAGACGGTCACCAACAATCATGGCAAACAAGGCACCGAAGAAACATCCAATTTCGTAACAAGCTGTGACAATACCTTGGACCACAGTAGCGTGTCTACTGGATCCACTGACTGGAGGGAAGTCTCTTTGAAACTGTGGGGCGGTGATAATACCACTCATAAGACCCTGGTCATATCCAAACAAACTGAAACCCACCACAGAGGTCAAGGTGACTGCCCATCTGAGCTTTCTACCTTTGAGACCAAAAGTGTTGTGCTTATTTCTGAGATTCCAGAATCCAGGCTCGATGGAGCCCGAACCTTTGTTAATTTCGGTCGATGAAGATTGGGACATGACGCGTTGGCCAAGATTCTGAGGAGGAGCTGGGTTTTTATGTTAAAAGAGGCCTTTTCTTTTTCGTGCTGATGGATAGGTGGTGCACAATAGTTTTTTTTCCCACATTTATGCAAAAAAAAAATATGACGTAACAATGACGTAGAGGTTCCTGAAACCGAACGGCAGACTACATGCCTTCCATACAGCAACTCCGAACAAGACTGACGGGCAAGCGACCCGGTGGTGGAGCGAGAAATTTCAAGTCCTGGGCATGTTCGGAGCACTCTTCAGATACCCCACTGCAAGCTGCGGTCTGGGGAATCATGGTTTTAGTGGCTGTTCCGCATTCCCTAATTGGGAAGCGGCTCTTGCAGAAAAAAAAAAAATTGAGCCGTTCACTAGATTGTGAAATTCTTTTTTCCCAAGTGGAGAATCGCTCTTTGTAAGCGCATTAAATATTCGTCGGAGTTGGTGTCGAGCATATTCCGCGGATTATCATTCTGCCAAAACTCCATTTCCCGAAAGTCCAAGAGATCGCCGCTCATATCTGGCAGCGCATCCCATCTGTCCGCGTCCTTGCCTAAAACCAGCCCGGTGATGTAACACCACAACTTGCATGTCTCCAAGGCATTGTAGCCTCCCCCACCTAATAGCATTGTTGGGATTCGCGCAGTATTGACGATCTTGTTCACCGTACGACCATAATTACGTAGCGTCAAATTCCATTCACGAAAATTTAGGTCAGTGCACAGCCCGTCTCCTCCACACTGAATCACCATGCACTCTGGCGAAAAGTTGACAAGTTTCGGCAGCACGATATTGTCCACGATCCATGTAAACGACCGGTCGCTTAAACCTTTCTTTGTTGGAATGTTTACGTCGTAGCCCACCCCTCGTCCGAATCCGTCAACAGGCTGTTTACCTGACCCGGGGAAAAAATGCATATCTGTCCGATGCACAGAAATGGTCAAAACGTTCCGGGAAAACTTGAACGCTTCACTTACCCCGTCGCCGTGGTGAAGATCCAGGTCGATATACGCGACCCGCTTGTATTTCTGTCGAAGTCTCAGAATCGCAAGCACAACATCGTTCACATAGCAGAACCCTGACGCCTCTGATTTGTGTGCATGATGCCGTCCCCCAGACCAATTGATCACAGTTGAATGGGTTTCTATTAAAAACTCGGCTGCAGTCAGGGACGCACCTGCAGTAACGGAACAGTACTCGTCAAGAAACGGAAAAACGGGACAGTCGAAAACCAGTCCAAATCGGGTGTCGTCCGCGTCGGTCGACGCGTCTGGCCGTGTGCCCCCGTTGTTGTTGTTGTTGTGGTTGTCTTGCACCACACGGCGCTGTGTGGGGGACAGTGGGTTGACGTGGAGGGACCAGTCGCGTTTCCGCAACAGATGGGCTGCGTACTCTCTGTCGTGGAATTTTGCCAGGTCGTCCACTGACGCGTTTGCGGGCGTCAACAATCGCGTCTGCGCGTCGTCCAGCAGACCGTACCCTCCCATGAGCTGTTGCACAATGCTCTGGCGGCCCTCGTTCGACGGCAAGAGGTCCACCGCGTCCAGCTGGTTGTTCTCCAGGTGCACTATGCCAATCATGGTTTTTGCGAAAAAAATCCGGTGTCGGGTGGGTTCCCCACATAGCATGTGCTTTTGAGTATAAGTACCCAGGGTCCGCAAGCAAGACAGTAATGGAGAGATTACAACAGATAGGAAACCACATATTTGCAAGACAGGGCGTCAACACGAAGAGCCCCGACGACGTGGTGATAGTGAGCGCGTACAGAACCGCGCTGACAAAGGCTGGTAAGGGGAAGTTCAAAGATGTCAACTCCGACGAGCTGCTGATGAAGCTGGTGGCCAATATGATCCAAAAGGACAAGTTGGACGCGAGTCTGGTTGAGGAGGTTGTGGTGGGCAACGTGCTGAATCCGGGTGCCGGCGTCAACGAGCACCGGGCCGCGGTGCTGGCAGCAGGGATTCCTGCCTCGTCCTCGTTCGAGGCTGTCAATCGGCAATGTTCCTCGGGACTAATGGCTGTCAACAGCATTGCAAACAAAATCCTGCTTGGTCAGATCAGCTGTGGATTGGCCGCGGGTGTTGAGAGCATGTCACAGAACTACGGTCCGCAGGCTGCCCCGAAGATTAGCGACGCAGTGCTCAAGAAGAACAGGGACGCCAAAGGGTGTCTTTTGCCAATGGGCACTACAAGCGAGAACGTGAACGAGGCTTACAGCATTTCTCGGCAAGACCAAGACGAGTTTGCAGCCAGGTCGTACCAGAAAGCCGAGTCTGCAGTGAAAGGCGGTCTGTTCAAGGAAGAGATCATGCCGATCGAGGTGGAAATTGCCGAGGATGACGACGAGGACGAGGAAAATGGTGGGGTGACCGCAAAAGTGACAGTCGACACCGATGAAGGAGTCCGAGCAGGTGTCACCGCTGCGTCGCTTGCTAAACTTCGGCCCGCGTTCAAGAAAGACGGCAGCTCGCATGCGGGGAACTCTTCTCAGGTCACTGACGGTGCTGCGGCTGTCTTATTAATGCGTCGTTCCTTGGCAACGGAATTGGGGCTTAGTATTCTCGGCAAGTACGTTGCTACCACCTCTGTTGGTGTTGCTCCCGAGATTATGGGTGTGGGGCCCGCATATGCCATCCCAAAGCTGCTTGAGCGGTGCGGCATTGCTGCAGACCAGATTTCCGCTTTCGAAATCAATGAGGCCTTTGCAGGCCAAGCATTGTTCACCGCCAAGCACAACAACATCCCGCTCGAGAAGGTCAACCCACGCGGCGGAGCCATTGCTCTGGGACATCCGCTAGGAGCCACCGGGGCTCGTCAGGTGTGTACTCTGCTACGCGAGCTCGAGCCAGGCCAGCTGGGTGTCACCAGCATGTGCATTGCCGGAGGCCAAGGAGCTGCTGCCCTATTTGTCAGAGAGTAGCTCACCATGAGTGTTAGCAAACGTCATTTTATAATTTTAACGGTGTTACGAGTTTCTACAACTGTGAAAAGTGCCAATTTATTTTCTTGAAATTTTTAATTCTCCATGAGCCAACAAGAGCCGGCCCCAAAGCCGAAGAATAAGCCCAACAAGCCGCGCAAACAGGGCAAGTCGGGCAAGAAGACCAACCCGCAGCTGCTGGAGCTGACAAAACTCACCAAAAACTTCAAACCAATCACCGTGAATGGTATCCCCATCAGTTCGCTCTCAAAGCCCTTACCGGAGTTTCTGAACTCAGCGACGGCCGACCAATCCAACGACCTGTACCTGTCGTTTCTGATAAAGCCATCTGACCCCGACTTCCCGTTCGATCTGGATTTCCTCAAACTGTCGCTATGCATTCCAGGGGGTTACCCCCACAAGGGCCCAAACCCGTCGGTTGTTGTCTTAAACGAGGAAATACCCAAGGGATACAGCGCTAACGTGGAGATCGGGTTCCGTGAGATTTCCCGTGTGGCCATGGACAGACGCAGAAGACGTCCGGTCGAGTCGGAGATCCAAATGGTGGCCGGAAACGATCTGCTCAGCATGTTTCTGACGCTCGACAAGAACCTGGAACGGTTTCTGTCGATGGAGAAGAAGGACACAATCAAGTTCGTCAAGACAATAAAGAAGGAGAAACCAAAACCGCAGCCAACACAGAAACAAGAACCAAAGAAAAGTGAAAAAACCAAGAAACCGGCTCCCGCAGAGCTGAGTCTCCGTGCCAAGGAGATTGACAGATTTCTTCATCGACTCGGTTTCCTGGACATCAAGCTGTTCAAGGAAACCAATCAGAACTCGATCTACAAGTTTGTGCTCCCGTTCGAGGACAACTCGTTCACCATAGCCATAGATAACCTGCCAGACATTGTGATTCACCAACTGGCCATGAAACTGATCGTGCCCAAGGACTACCTGACAAGCGAGAGAAGCGGACTCAAGCTGGAGATCGACATGTCTAACAGCCAGAACATCGGCTTGGTCAACTCTATCGAGGATAAGAGCCTCAAACTGATCTTTGGTAAGCTCATCAGCAACATCAACGGCAACTTCTACCATTCGTCGCTGGAAATGGTCAAACACAACAACACAAGCATCACGTCGCAGGTCAACATGTTTGTGCAGAACATCGAGAAGTTTCTGCGTCCGCCCGCCGACTTCTCGCGCTGGCTCGCTGCCAACGAGGTGCTCAACGGTACCTTGCAGACGGTGTAAGGGTGTATAAAATTTCTGTAAATCTCGAACACACTTGCAGTGAAAAGTAAACAAGATCAACACCAATGGAGGCCAACGGAGAGTTTCTTCGGGCACTTCAAAATAGCCGCCAATCCCACAGCGGATCACCCACACGTGTGCCCATTAGCTCGGGCAACGTGGTGGACCTGGGACTCGATCTTGCCGGTAAGGGGTTGGGATCAGGTTTGCGGGCAGGGTTTGAGTTTCATTCTGATACAACCGCGAGAGACGGCCATCGGCGGCCTGTAAGCAGGTTCATCTTCAAGTTGCGCGACAGAACTTTGGATGTGGCCGGTTTGCGCGACCTGGAGTCTGTTTGTGCGGAGATCGACCGCAACAGGGGCTGGATCGGTGAATTTATCGCTGGTAATGGAGTCGAACTAATTGCCATCAACATCGGCGAATTGTACGAGACAGGGCTGGTGTCGGCAGAGTTCGAGTTTCTTGCGCTGACGTGCATCAAACACATCATGTCGTGTTTCCAGGACCTTGCTGGCCGGATCAGCTACGATGTGGCTACGCTTTTAGTGTCGTGTTTGGTTTCGCGGGATATTGTGAACCGGAACCTGGTGACCGGCGTGTTTACGTTGAGCATCGCGCACAGCAAACAGTGTGCGAAGGATATTGTGCACGCGATCCAGAAAACCGTCGGGTTACAGACCTGGCTGGACTCGGCAAGAGACACAATTTCGCATACCAAGGTTTACGAAACGGCAGGCCTTTTGGACAGAGCGCACCCTGTTTACTTGGTGAACGAGTATGCGTTGCTGACCACGTTTTTCATCTCGTCTTTGGTCATGGAAACAAGAGGCTTGCGGTATAACCTGGAAAAGTACGGTCTGATTTCGTTTTTTGAGTCTGCTGCCAAACTCAACAACGATGGCATCAACGACCTGATCCGCAACTATTTCGAGACCGACAGAGCTCCATCCGACCAGTCGATGGTGTCGGAGAGTTCAGTTTCGTTTGAAAATCCGCATCTAGAGAAGTACGCTGGCCAGATCTTGCGCTCGCTGACTCACCTGAGCGAGATAAAGAAGCCGAAAGACGCAGAGAAATGTTTCAAACTGATCTCGCTGCTTGTGGACCACGTGAGCGAGCTGCGATCGGTCGGAGACGACAACATAGCGTTCTCGATCCAGATGCTGTTTGACAGACTCAGCTCAGACGATATGGCTATCCGTGCCACCACAGAGTCGCGCCATGCACTCAAGCTGCTTAGAGAGTACAAGAAGGAGATTGGCGAGCTCCAAAAGGAGATCCACAACCTCACGCATCTGAGAAAGCCGTTGGTGCGTGTCAACGATAGACAGTCGTCGGTGATTCGAATCAGCTCCGGCCGACCAATAGATACAAAGGATAAGGAGAACATACATGAGAGTGCGGCCAAGTCCGTGAAAGAGGTGCACATAAAGCGTGCTGCTTCGAACTCGAACGGATACTTTGAGCCGTATGATAACTACCAGTTGACCAACGACGCGGGTCTCGCGAGCACAACACCCCCAGCGGCCTTAGCAGCTCCACCGCCGCCTCCGCTTCCACCAACACTGGCAGGAGTAGCTTCTTCGGTGCCGCCACCGCCGCTGCCGCCGTTCCTCCAGAAGGGGCATCCAACTCCGCCGAAAACTGCAGGCTCTGTGCCTCCGCCTCCACCTCCTCCAGCATTTCTCAAACCAGCCGGTGGTGCAGCACCGCCAGCGCCTCCACCGCCGCCGTTCCTCAAACCAAGCGTGCCAGCAGCTCCGCCCGTGCCGCCGCCCGTGCCCAAACTCGTCTCTGATACGAGTCAAATTGTCGTTCAAAAGAAAAATGCGGCCACGGAGCCACACGTAGAGCCTACTAGGCCATACGTTCCGCGCAGACCAAGCTCGAAACTCAAGCAGATCCACTGGGACAAGCTCGAGGATACCTCCAACACCATCTGGAGGTCTGCGGACGACCGCCAGCTGAGCGACAAGCTGAACGAGCTGGGCATCCTTGAGGAGCTGGAGAACCAGTTTTACGCAGTGGAAGCCAAGAAGTTCAAGACCAAGCCTGTGGAAAAGAGACAGACCAAACTCAGCTTCCTATCCAGAGACTTACAACAGCAGTTTGGAATCAACCTGTACCAATTTGCCAGTCTGTCTGAGGACGAGCTGGTGACCAAAGTTTTGAGATGCGACAAGTCGATTGTGCAAAACAGCAGTCTGGTGGACTTTTTCTGCAACGAGTCGCTGACCGACGTGTCGCCGAACCTGATGCGGTCGTTTGCGCCGTACTCGCGCGACTTCACCAAGGACCACGAGCCCACCAAGGACCCGGCAGAGCTAGACCGGCTCGACAGAGTGTATTTGGAGCTGTGCTACAATCTGCGCAGGTACTGGACGCCGCGGTCCAAGTGCGTGGCCATGTGTCTGAACTACGAGCATGACCTCGAGGACCTTAGGCAGGACATCCAGCTGGTGAAAACCGCCGTGGACGCCGTCAGCAACTCCAAGGCCCTTGTGCAGGTACTGTACATCATCAAGAACCTCGGCAACTTCATGAACGATGTTTCCAAGACAGCTGATGGGTTCAAGCTGAGCACGCTGCAACGGCTCAAGTTCCTCAAGGACGCCAAGAACACCACCACGCTGCTCAACTACATCGAGCGCATCGTGCGCACCCGGTTCAGCGAGTACGCGTCGTTTGTGGACGAGATCAAGTCTGTGCACCAGGCGCACAACATCTCGATCAGCAACCTGGAGACAGAGTTTAGAGACATGAAAAACGGGATCGACGTGTGCATGAAGGCGCTCACCACAGGCGCACTGAGCGACTCGAAGCTGCTGCATCCAAAGGACCGGATTGTGGCCTATGCTAAACCGATTCTCGAGAAGGCCTCAGATAAGGTGAGCGAGCTTGAGACATTGCTGCAGACCACGATGGCCGATTACAACCGGCTGATGGAGCACTACGGCGAGAAACCGGGCGACGAGGGCGCTAGAAACTCGTTCCTGGCCAAGTTCAAGACGTTTGTGGACGACTACAAGAAGGCCCAGGTCGATAGTCTGCGTGTGGAACAGGAAGAGAAAGCGTACCAGAAACGGAAGCAGATGATGGAGGAGTTCCGCAAGAGCAAGTCTGAGAAGGACAAACCGGCGGAGAACATTGTTGAAAACCTGCTGGACCAGCTGCGCACGAAAAGACCAGCCTCCAAGCCGCGAGAGCTGCCAGAACACGAGGAGACCAAAGACATTAGCAACAAGGCATTGGAGCTTCTAAACAGCCTGCCGAAACTTGGCAACGCCCCGGAACTGACAGCTACGTGTCCTGCGACGCCCGAAAGCCAATCAAAGGTTTCAAGAACCGGTCAAGGGTCGCCAGATAAACTGTCAATGATTCCGTACTTAATCACCGAGACAATGAGCCCTAGCAAATTGAAAGACAACTGATGCATTTTATCATTACATAGCATTTCGAGAACATTGCATTATGCGGAAGGTTTGATGGAGAGGTCGATTTTCCGCAGGAAGAACAGACCAAGCAAGGCTCCAAAAATGTACACGGACGCAGCCAGAGGCTTGCGGAGCAGACCAGCCAGTCCATACTCGTACTCCACAAGCACCTCCAAGTCTCTCATCTCGTCCACCAGGTTGTCGTACACCAGCGTGACCTTGGTGTGGCCCGTGGTGATGTCTAGGTAGGAGAACTCCTGGCTAACAGTAAGCTCCTTGTAGTCGATTGGACTCTCGATGTTGATAAACTTGGCTCCTTCAGGAAGATACACCGAGAACTCGACGTTTTCGTAGGTTGCGTCGTTCAGCCCGTTGAGAAGAGGCACGCGCAGCACGTGGTTGTCGTTGTTGTGTTTCAGGAAGCTCGAGAGCTTGTTGGACCATCCAATGGTGAAGTTGTAGTTCCAGCCACCAAAAATAGGGAACCGGGGCTTGAGCACGAGCTCGCCGTTGTGGAACAGCGAGGTGCTCACGTTGCCGACCTTGTCGACGAAGTAAACGTCTGTGGTGTCCACGTCCTTTGGCAAAGGTATCTGGATCGAGGTGATCACAGGTGTTGGTCTCATTGTGTACTTACCGTTCATCCAGTCGACTCTGGAGAAGCCCTGGCTGAGCTGGATTCCGTGGTTGGTGAGCTCGTAGTACTCCTCCAACTGCAACGAGTCGCTCCAGTGCGACACCCAGAAGTCTCTCTTGAGGCTGTGCACGAAGGGGAGCGGCTGGATCTTGGTGAAAATCAACACCAACGGCAGGTTGCTGTGTGCTTTGAACCGTTTGGTGTACGGACCGTAAACAAGGAACCTGTTTTGCACAGACGGCTTGAACTCCTCGGGATCAACGTTGGCGGGCAGGTCGACCAACACTTCCTGAGCCTCGTTGGCACCGAGAATTTTCAGCTCGTATTGGAGAGTGTCGTAGGCAGAAAGAGCCAGTCTTGTGGTTTTGAAGAAGATTGTCTGTTTGGCGCCCATTGGGCCTTCTTTAGGAGCCGCCTCGAGCTGGTTTGTGAGGATAAACGAGAAAGACAGATGGATCTCGGATTTTGGAGCAATTGGGTACGGAAGCTTAGTTTTGTAGTAGGCAATTTCGTCCGACGACAGGTCCTCGACCAATTCGGCCGTCAGAAGCGGGTCCTGGTACCGCGGCTTGTCGATGATCGCCACGAACAGCGAAACCTCGTCTTTCAGGTAGCTGGGGATCGCAAAGTAGTACTCGTCGGTGGGCTCGACGGCTATGTTCTTGGCATGGATAACGTGCCGTTCCTTGACGTAGGACTTGAGAACGTCCACCATTCTTTCGTACTTGACGTTTTCCCAGTTCTGTGCGGGCGGCTGGGCCTGCACGACGAGAAGGAAAGAGCAAATCAGCGAGAAAAGCGTGAGGAATCTCATTTGACTTGTTTGAACAAACTATACATGTTTTTTTTTTGTCATGACACGTTGGTGAGCGAGTCCAAATCGACGCGTCGATTTGAGCTGGATTGGTCGAGCTCGTCGTCAGAGGACATGTCCGGGTCGTCTGTGTAGAGGGACGAGATCGGGTAGGAGCGGAGCAGGGTGGGGGCGAGCGTGGACATGGTGGACTGGTGGTCGTCCTTGTAGAGGTTGTTTAGGTGGATTTCGTCGGACACGTCGTTGAGTGCTGCGTACGACTTTCTGGAACTGATGGTTCTTCTGGTGATGCAGAGCATGGTTCCGCACATGGCGGTACAGAACGCGCACACCAAGATCGTCCAGGGACACCAGCTGAGGTGGGGCACAAACAAAATAAGGTCCACCAGGAAAGACAGCAACGACAGCAGGAACGTGGGGAGCGACCAGATAAGCACCGCAAGCAGGAAATCCGACGAGGACGAGAACCGCGGGTACAGCGACATGAGCGTCATGGAGAGCTGGATGAACGTGGCCACCAGCGAGATCGGGTGCACCACCAGCAGGTAGCTAAGGCTATGTCTTGAGTTTGAAGGAAGCGAGAACCCGCTCAAGTTGCTGAGCTCCGACGGCATGTACCCTATTCGCGGTTCTGTGCACGAGTCGGAGTCGCAGAGCCCAAACACTCCAAACTTGTACCCCTGGAATCTGCAGAGGTATATTTTGCTGGTGAGCGGGACGGACAGCACCGACACCAGCTGGAACACAAACGATAAGAACAGTAGCGAAGACTGAACGATGGCCAGGTTCTGGTGGAAAGACGTGGTGAGCATGGCGCGACAGCTTGTGGGGCCCGGGCGTGCTAATACTGGAAGCGGCTTATTTTTTTAGTACACAGCCTGCCAAAATTTTCAACTCCATGAGACAGAACAGGAAGATCAAGTTTGGAGACGTGCCGGCTGGCGTGGCGTCCACGCGGTCGGAGGAGCTGCGCCACAGGAAGAGGGAGCGGGTCGGCAGGCCTGTTTCTGTTGAGTACGGGTCGGACGAAGGCAGTGAGGCCGAGAACGAGAGAATCGCTTCCGGTGAGAGAACAGTGGATATGGGCAAAATCCGGCTGCGGGCACGCCAGCTGGCCAGTGTTCGCGAATCGTTGCCTGTGTACCAGGTGAAGGACGAGCTTTTGGCACAGATCAAACCATCCAAGGTGTGTGTGCTAATTGGAGAGACCGGATCTGGAAAATCGACCCAGATCCCACAGTTTCTGATGGACACGAGCCCCAAGGGCATTGCAGTGACACAGCCGCGTCGAGTGGCCGCCATAAACCTGGCAACGCGTGTGGCCGAGGAGCACGGGTGTGTTTTGGGCCGCGAGGTGGGGTATTCGGTGCGTTTCAACAACGTTTCCAATAAGCGGACCAAACTGAAATATATCACCGACGGTATGTTGCTAAGAGAGCTAATGCTAGACCCGATGTTGTCCAGGTACAGCACGGTGATCATTGACGAAGCTCACGAACGGACGATTCTCACGGATCTGTTGCTCGGGTTTCTGAAAGACCTGGTGTTCAACAAACGACAGAACGACCAGTTCCAGGTGATCATCATGTCTGCCACGCTGGACGCGGACAAATTCTCGCAGTTTTTCAACAACGCACCAATTTTCTTCGTCGAGGGTCGAATGTACCCGGTGGAGCGTCTGTACTTGCCGCAGCCGGTCGAGGATATCGTTGACACCGTCACTAAGACAGTGGTGCAGCTCAACCAGACAGAACCAACGGGAGATATTTTGTGCTTTCTGTCGGGACAGGAGGACATCGACAAGATCGTCGACATGCTGGCGAAGCTGGCACCGATTTTGCCCAAAGAGGCGCCGATCTTGGTGCCTGTTCCGCTGTACGCCGCGCTTCCGTCGCACGTCCAGATGGAGGTGTTTAAGAAACTCAAGCCAAACCAGCGCAAAGTTATCTTGGCTACCAATATTGCAGAGACGTCCATCACAGTGCCCGGGATCAGGTACGTGGTGGACTCGGGACTGCGTAAGGTGAAGGTCTGGCGACACCAGCTGGGACTGTCGACGTTGCTGATCGCTCCGATTTCCAAAGCTTCTGCTGCGCAAAGAGCAGGAAGAGCAGGAAGAGAGGCTCCGGGAAAATGCTACCGTCTGTACCGGGAATCGGACTACCTCAAGCTGAGCGACAACACGGAGCCGGAGATTTTGCGGTCGGACGTGGTTTCGCCGGTGTTGATGCTCAAGAAAATGGGGGTCAACGACATTCTGAAATGGCACTGGCTGGAAAACCCGGGCCGCGACAGTTTGGTGGCCGCGTTGCACCAGCTGTACTCTCTGAACGCGCTGAACGACCGCGGCCAGATCACAGAGCTCGGACAGCAGCTCGTGGTGTTGCCTGTGGCTCCGCACCTGGCAGCCGTTCTGATCCGTGCTAGCACGCTGGGATGTCTTGGCCCGGTGATAGATATCGTTGCGTGTCTTTCTGTGGATAATCTGCTGATGTCTCCACCGAGCGAGCGCAGAGACGAGGTCAACGAGCAGCGCAGGGAAACGTGCAAGCTGGGCTCAATCCATGGCGACCTGGTGATGCTGAAAGAACTGTTTGATCTGTTCAACTCATTTGCAGACATTGACGAGAAAAAAGACTGGTGCAGACAGCTGTGTCTCAACTACAAAGGGTTCAAGGACGTGGAGCGTGTCAGAAGACAGATTAGTGAGTACATGAAGATGCTCAAGATGGACGAGGCCGACTCAGAGACAGACTTCGATGCCACGCTCGTGCTCAAGGCGTTTGTTTCCGGGTTCATCACCAACACGGCGATTGGGATGCCCGACAGAAGCTACCGTACGCTTGCCACGGGCGACCTTGTCAGTATCCACCCCTCGTCGCTGTTGTTTGGCCAGCGCAAACCGGCCATCATGTACATCGAGTACGTCTACACGGTCAAGGGCTACGCGCGAGCCGTTTCCGCAATCGACCTCGAGTGGTTGCAGGAAGTGGCTCCGCATCTGCTAGGAACTCGGGAGAAGGTCTAGAGTGTAATCTATATATCTATCAGTACACCAGCTCTGTGTGGACGTAGTCTTTCTTTTCCAACGTTTCAATGTAGCGTTTCCACAGGTCGTCGGTTTTCAGACACTTGACGTCGCCAACAAGCAACAAACTGCACCGCGCCCGGGTCAGCGCAACGTTCAGCCGTCTGCGGTCCCGCAGGAACCCAATACCCTTATCCTCGTTCGACCGAACGCACGACATCACCACAAAGTCTGTCTCGCGACCCTGAAAAGCGTCGATCGACGCAACAAGAATGCCGTTGATCTGGTGCACAGTGACGGCCTTGGAGTCGGTCTCAACGTCCTCCTTGTCGACCTGGACCTCGACGGCCTCGTGTTTCGGGTTGATCACGAGATTTTCCTCGAAGCTCTTGGAAAGCAGGTCTCTCTGGCCCGCGTAAGGGGTGATCACGCCAATGCGCGACGGGTCCACCTGCTTGTCGACAATCAGCTTCTCCACCACGCGCGAAACAAGGTCCACCTCGCCCCGGTTCACGAACGTGTACCCGCCCTCATCACCGTGGCGTGCAAACACCCGGCTTTCGCGCGCCTGGCCCTGGTGATCCCAGAAATACACCGGGTACTGGATTCCAGCCACCGCGCGCGACTCCGCCGTGATACCGTCCTGCAACTTGTCGTCGTAGAACTCCTTCCGCGGGAACTCGCTGATCTCCGGGTGCATTCTGTACTGCGTGTCGAACATGAGCGGCTTCTCGAACGTGCCGTTGCGCAGCACCCGCTCAAACAGCGACACCTCCAGCGACTTGACTCTAGTAAACGCACTTAACTGAGCCTCGTCTCCAACAAAGATCACCTTCTGGATGTTGGGAGCAGCCAGCGGGATCAACGAGCTGGGCTCCGACGACTGCGTTGCCTCGTCCACAATCACCACCGGCAACTGGGCCAGGTCTTTCAGGTACGGCCCGCCAATGGCCACCGTGGTGGAGAAAATCACCTTGGCCTGTCCGATCAGCAGCTGGCTCAACTCCTTGGACTCCTGAAGGTACTTGCGGAACTGGTTCTTCGACACTTTGTGCGCCTTGCCGGAGCGCAACAGTTGCACCGTGTCTTTTGCTGAAGCGCTCAGTCTGTCGGCGATCTTGTGGTGGAGACAGATGCTTCCCAACGGATGGTCTCTTTTATACTCGCTCTCTTTAGCAAACGAGAGCACTCGGATGATGTCGTCTTTGTGGTTCTTCATCATCTTCTCGGCAATGTTGTCCACGGCGATGTTGGAAGCGGCAACCACCAAGATGGGATGGTAGTGCAGAACGCTCATTAGTTGCAGCACAATCTCGTAGATTGTGGACGTTTTTCCAGACCCTGGCGGACCCTTCAAAACGGTGATGGCGTTGTTCAAGGCAAACTGCAGGGCCACCGTCTGCGACTCGTTCAGCGTGTTGGTGAGCTGCGAGATCCGGTTCTTGAAAAACACCTGCTTGATCGGTTTCTGGCCAAGAAGCATGTCTCTAATACGCGGGTTTTCGAGTCTCGATATGGCCTGCATAATCCGCGACACAACGGCTCCGCACGGTAGCAAAGCATAGCCGTTTGGTCTCGAGCCAGCCGGAATCGGGTCCACGTTCCACGGATACGCTTTCATTTGGATCTGGACACGGTCTGGTCGTTTCAGTTGCTTGGAGAAGTCGGCAGAGCAACACCAGAACGTAGTCTCCTCAGAAAGAGCAGTAGCAGATTTCGGAACCAGGAAAAAGCCCTGATTCACACTGAACGGCCCGCTCTTGAGGTGCGACAACGGGTCGTTCTTCGAGTACTTGTCGGCCTCCTTCTGGTCCACCTTCACTGTGAATTCGCCGTACGGGTCCTCCCTTGACCACTCGACGCTGATTTTGGTTAGATACTCTGTTTCGTGCAGCTCCTCCAGAAGCAGAGCGTAGCAGAAATGGTGGAAGTACTCGTCCAGAGACTCAAACTTGAGCGGAATCTCCGACGCGGTGGTGCTCACCAGTTCACCAATGCGCTGCGACCGCTTCTTCTGCTGGTCCTCGTTGGCTGGAGCATTTTCTGGCTCTGATTTGGTCTTTTGCTGAGACTTGCCTTTTGGCTCCGGTTTGGACTTTGACTGGGACTTGGCCTTGCCTGCTGGAGCCCCCTTGTTAGGCTTCCCAGACTTCGAAGCGGACGGACCCTTGGGTGTCTGCTTTTTCACTGGTTTCCTTGATGGGGCCTGTTCACTAGCCACACCTGGCTCGACAGCTCCCAGGTCTTTTTCCGCCCGTTTCGTGGGCGTCTTGTGCTCCTGTTTCTTCTTGGGGTCTCTTGCAACTTTGGGAGTTCTCTCGCGCGGCTTGCCTCTGCCCTTGCCCTTCTTCTCCCGCAATAAATACTTGTCGTCCTTGGTGACCGTGGCTAAGTAATTGTCTGTCTCGCCCGGACCCGCGGCCTTGTACGCGTGGAAATCGGCCACCACCTTCAGAAAGTCCTCTGTTGTGGCCGGGTCGTACTGGCGCATGCTTTTGACGCTCTCCGCGCACTTGCGACACACCAGATCCAGCCTGTTTCCTCCAAACTGCTGGACAACAAGCTGCGACACGTTCATCATTCCGCAGCGCTCGCACTTGACCTCCGCGCCCCCCAGCTTCAACCGATAGTGTTTCTGAGTACTCAGATGTTTCTGGGCCTTGCGAAAGCCCCCAAACCGCTCGCTACACACATCGCAGGTGAACTCGGACATGGAGCAAAAAATACTGAAAAATCTATTAAGCAGTGGTGTCTAGTGTGCTATCTAATAAAGTTTAATCACGTCGGTGAAATCTGTTTGCTCCACGTGAAAGCCGTCGTCGAGCGGTCTTTGCGTGGAGACGTCTTTCCACGAAGCAATGTAATCGCGCACCACCTTAGAGTACCACATATCGCCCGAGGGGTCGACATATGCCAGATGAGAGCCCTTGTCGGAGGTAGCCATGTACAAATACGGGTGTCGCTTCACCTCGGCGTACGGATACGACTGGGAGATGAACGGGTCTGAAAGGTCGTTGAGCATCACGACGGGCGTTCTGATCTTGAAAATCCGTAGAATGGGCGATCCTGCCATGTAGTAAGTGGAGGCAGACGGGAATCCAGTAATTGGAGCCGTGAATCTGTCGTCGATCTCAGAAACATGCTTGCACGTCTTGCACAGCTGATTGAACTCGTCAAGATCGAACTTCGGGTTCTCAATCAGTCCCTGGGCGTTGGACTTGTAGATGCGAGCTAGAATCTGTTTGATGAAAGGCCCGTAAACATACTCGCCAAACAGATTGCCCTTGAGAACATCCTCATCCTTGATCAGGTTCCAAGAAGACCCGATAGTGAATGCGCTGGTCACCACCGACCGGTCACCCTGTTGGGCCAGGTAGTTGTAGATCAACAGGCCGCCAAACGACTGGCCAACAAGATGGATCTGTTTCGAGGGAAACAGCTTGTGGAGCATGTCAACCGTCTCGGCGAGGTCGTCCGTGTGCAGTGCGGAAAACATAGTAGGGGTGGTGATCTTGGACCGGCTGCAACCCCTGCAGTTAAGTACCGCAACGTTGGCTACTCCATGCAATCTGCTCACCACGCTTCGAACAACAACCTCGTGCGAGCCACCGCCGAGTCCGTGCATGAGCAGCACGATTGGCAGATCGTTTGCGGCCCAGCTCTTGTGCACGTCTGCTATCTCGTCCCGAGTGTAGTACCTGGTTCTCGGGTGCAGCTTAGGGTAGTTTTCGGGCTGTGTAGCAGCGAGGTTCCGAGCAAACTCGACCGGGTCCTCGGGAGGAACTGCGTAGTCGAGAGTGAACTGGCCCGGGCGCGACTGCGACTCGATGATTTCGCGGCCGTAATACACCGTGTATGTTTTGGAATAGTCCGCCTTGCCCAGATACATGGTTTGCAGAAAATGGTGGAACAGCAGCGGATGGAGTTTGAATCTATGGCCGTGCTCAAGCCCCGGCACCGAAGACGCCAGCGACGCAAACGGGATCTCGGAACCTGGCGCGGAGTCGTTCAGACGAAGGCGCACACTGGTTTCAGGCCTCGTAACACGGATGGTCGAGGTGTTCATTGAAGATGAATTTTTCGGTAAAAGATTATTTTTCAGCAGCGTCTTAGCCGAGCAAGTAGCAGTGATGAAGTCATAAATCGTACGTTACTACAAAACTTGATAGAAACCCTGGGAATTGTGTGTGATGGGCCTGGACAGGACAGCGAGCCCATGTTACCTGAATTAATCCTTTTTCTCGGGTCTAACAGCGTTGGGCAGGTACATCGGCTTGATAACGAAGTAACTGTTTGTTTCGTCCACCAAACCGGCCAACATGTTGTAGAACCCAACAACGCCACTTAACCAGCAAATGACACCTCCTGCTCGGAAAGTGTCAACCGAGCTGATGAACTGGGCAATAGTGAAGAGCAGAATGAAAAACCAGATCAAAAATAGCAGCAAACTCAAACTCCATGTGGATCTCCAAGTACAGGCAAACAATCCAAACGAGAACAGAGCCCATGGTAGGAAGTAGAATGCCACAGCCTGACCGTACTCTGCATCCGACGAGTATGCGGATTGGATTCCACCAACATCCATCAGCAAAAAGGAGTACGAGCTCCAGAAACCACCAAACATCAAGAAGGTGCAGCACGCCCAGGTGTTGCCCACAATAAAGCACAAAATACCAACAATCAGCTCAACCAAACCAGAAGTGGTGAGGAAAGCCCCAAGCAGCACGTTGGGGGCGTGCACGTGACGCGCACGCATTTGAACAAAACCTAATGAAAAAGCAGAGCAACTGAAAGCTGCCAAACCAGCAGGGACTGGATCACCGAAAATCTCAACGTTCTTTGTTTGTTTTCTGGCACCCACGTTCAAGGAGCCTCCGAAAGCATACATAAACTCATCTTTGCCAATGGCTTGGTCGTTGATGTAAATGTGGTGCTCGTCGTGGCGGAAGCCAGATCCAGTAGAAGGCTTGTGGGGATTGTTTTGGACAGCGTCCAAAGTGATTTGTTTCTCAATGTCGTGAGTGAAAGAGTCAGAATTGGACATGTTTCAGAAAGCTTACACAGGGGGACACAAGGGAGGCCGGCTCGGCCTATTTATAATGGTTGAACCGGAGTCCACCTCCTCTTTTTGTTCTGCAGAGGAAAAAAAATACTGGGGGACACCCTCGGAGTCCACCCAGAATTACCGAATTGGGTTAACGCCGCACCCCTAAAACCACCGTCCTGACGGGGTACGCGGTCGTGCGCTCGCAGTTGTAGAATTATTTGCCCCACTTTGCAATCACCCTACACCCCTGCCTGAGTATGACAAGGGGACCAGCCTGGGCGTACAAATTCCGTTGGTGCGAGGTTGATGAAACAGGACGATTGCTGGCACCAGAAAACAATCAAACCCGCCTTCCTCCCTCCCGCTTGTAAATAGCCTACCCATGTGCTGGTGTGGGGAAGAGGGGCGAATGGGGATAGATGTTAGAAAGCGGTGCTAAATTCTGTCGATGGGGGTCGATCATAGTCGTCGACTCAAGTTTAGCCGACGTCGATTACGACGATTTTTTTTTTCTTGCCGTGGTGAAAAAATCTTTACACCTGGTTTCAGTGTTTTAATTTTAACTTGTTGTCATGATTGCATTCAAACAGGTGCGGTATTTGGTGCCGTTACTGGCGCTTATTGGCCTTGTTTGGCTGATTTTTGGCGGCAGCAGCACCAGCAAGCCAAATAGCCCTTACACATACAAGAAAATCAAGAAAAACGACGCGATTCCTAGAAACTTGCCTGCGGACCACATTTCCCACTACGATCTCAACAAGTTGGCGTCCACGCCAATGGCTGCATATAATAAAGAGCGTGTGTTGATTCTCACGCCGCTGGCAAAGTTCCTGGATGGGTACTGGGACAATTTGCTGAAGCTGTCGTACCCTAGAGAGCAGATAGAGCTTGGATTTATTGTTCCTCGGACGGCGGACGGAGATGCCGCGTTGAGAAAGCTGGAAGTTGCTGTGAAGCAGGTGCAGAACCCGAAAAACACCAAGGAGCCGAAGTTCGCCAAGGTGACGATCCTCAGACAGGACAACGAGGCGTTGGAGTCGCAGTCGGAGAAGGATAGACACGCTTTCAAGATCCAGAAGGAGAGACGGGCGCAGATGGCTGTTGCGCGCAATTCGCTACTGTTCACGACGATCGGCCCGTACACGTCGTGGGTGCTATGGCTGGACGCGGACATCGTGGAGTCTCCGCGCACGCTTATCCAGGACCTGGTTTCGCACGACAAGCCTGTGATTGCAGCCAACTGTTACCAACGGTACTACGACAACGACAAGAAGGAGGATGCGATCAGACCGTACGACTTCAACAACTGGATCGAGAGCGACGAGGGTCTGAGAATCGCGTCGACTTTGGGCGACGACGAGATCATTGTGGAAGGGTATGCAGAGATCGCTAGTTACCGGCCTTTGATGGGCCATTTCTACGACCCGAACGGCGACGTGAACACGGAGATGCAACTGGACGGTGTGGGTGGAACGTGTTTGATGGTGAAGGCCGACGTGCACCGAGACGGAGCCATGTTCCCAAGCTTCCCATTCTACCACCTAATAGAAACTGAAGGTTTTGCCAAGATGGCCAAAAGACTGGGATATGAGGTGTTTGGTCTGCCAAACTACCTTGTCTACCATTTCAACGAGTGATACAGCACAATAAAAGCAACATAGACTCAAATAGTAGTCGCGTTTAGTGTATATCTCCGTAAGAATGGGTGTGGCTGCCGGTTAACTTTTAAACAGCTCCCACGAGCAACAAATGTTTACGCAATCTCCAGGCGTTGCTGCCAAAACTTGTGCCGTTTCACTTATCTGTGTGATGACCTAATTTTCTGCCAAAATTATTCTTATCTCTGATTCTAACAGAGGAGAGCCATTTTTGCAAATGGTGGATACCAACAAGAGCCCAACGAACAAAAGTGAGTAGCCCAAGTCCGGCCCCTTTGTCTCTAACACGAAAACTTAGATCTTTCGCACGTGCCGTGTAAGTTTTTCCGGCAGGGAGCCTGCCAAGCAGGGAACTCGTGTCCCTTTTCTCATTCCAGCCAATCGTCCGCAGAGCCCAGCGTTTGCAAGTACTTTCAAAAGGGCAACTGTCGGTTTGGAGCCAAGTGTGCCCTGGCACACATTCTGCCTGACGGCCGCAGGGTGAACGGGAAGCCTGCGAAGCCGGTGCGTGCTCGCACGTCCACGTCAAGCTTTTCGAGCGACTCTGGCGACCAATGGACCCGTCCGAAACAGGGCCAGTACACGCCGCAACTGACGCAATCGATCTGGTCGTCGTCGTCGGTCGGGTCGGGTAAAGGGTTTGGATCCAGCTTCTACACGTCAGTCTCCACGGTGAACGACACAGCCGTGGAGTCGGACGACAACATGGACAGCATGGAAGACTTTGTTCCCGGATCGCTGAGCGATCTACTAACAGCAGAGGAACTACGCAGAAGAAGCAAGCCGACAGAAGACACGATTGTGGACCGGTCCGAATTCACCGAGTTTCGCAACCGCATGGAACGCTTGGAGCGCACAGGACACACCGAACATGGCGTCTGGGAGATGCAGTTCGTGATGGAGTAAACGGGTAAAATGGACTAATATACAAGGCAAATTTGGGTATATAGAAGTGTAACAGGTTTATCGTAATTATTGGCTGTACGTAGGATGTGCGAATTATATATATTTCTGCCTATCTTCTGTCGGTCTTTCCGATTCCACGCTTTCCGCTCATCAGGTGCTTTGGCATCATGGCCACCTCTCTTCTGTCGGCCTCTCCTGCTCTGGCCTGTCTGTTTCTTTCTCTTCTTTCTGCCTTGGCCATTCTCTCAGCCTTGCTACGCAAAGCTCCGTCCGTTAGACCGCTGTTAAGACGGTCTGTCTGGTTGACCGGCATTCCCGCGCTTCTCTCCTCGTCCGTGGCACGCACAAAGTCCGCACCAGCAAGATCAGACTTGCGGGCGCTGTCTGCCCTGTCGCGCTTCTCTCTCAGCTTCGTCACGTCGTGACCAACCTTGTACATGTGGTCCTCCATGTCCGCGTAGCTCTTGGTGATCTTGCTCCGTGGCATCACAGACTTGTTGTTGAGCGCCTTTCTCGACCGCGCAGCCTGGATCATCTGCTTCTGCTTGTTGCGGATCCACTCGGCCTTCTCTCTCAGCTCCAAAACAGCATCGTCCTCGATCTCCTCGTCGGAGTCGTAGAACCCGTCCTGCTCCAGTCTCTCCTCCTCTTCCTCAAGAGCCTGCAGCTTAGCGCTGATGTCCGGGTCCAAAAAGTCGTACACGTTGCGGCCGTCCAGGATCTCCGGCATCACGTCGTTCTTCCACTCGTCGTCGTCCAAAAGATACTTGTCCTTCAGGTTGACGTTGTAAACACCGGCACCCCCATTTTCGGCCTCGATGTCACGTGCAAGACGCCGTCTGTTAGGATCGGCTGGGTCGTAGCGGGCCACCTGCTTGGCTCCCTCGGGCACAAACGCAGCACGCTCGATGTCGTCTCTGGCCTGCGGTCTGGCAACGTGGATCTTGTTCAGCACGTTGTTCACTCTGGCGGTTCCCTTGAGCTTCTGCTCGATTCTCGACGTGAGCAGCTTCTCACAGGCCTTGTTTCTCACCCCCATCACGTTCTCCTCGTTGTGGCAGGACGTTTGCATGATCTCGACTCCCGGCACCTCCAACACGGTTTTCAGCAGAGCAGCCTGCGCCTCATCCACGTCATCCATGCTGATGATGTCCGTCTTGTTCACCACCACAAGCACAGACTTGTTGGCAAACAGCGGCTTGATAGAGTGGAACAGCTTGACCTGGGCCTCGATGCTGAAACCACACTGCTCAGAAAGATCCATGAAATACAGGACACACGACCGCAGATGCGCAATCGCATAGATACTCTGCATCTCGATGTTGTTCATCTCCTCTGTAGGACGGTCCAAGATACCAGGGGTGTCAATGGCCTGGAAACGCAGGTACTTGTAGTCGAAATGACCCACGTACAACGACTTGGTGGTGAACGCGTACGGCTGCACCTCGACGTCGGCCTTGGTGATGCATCTGAGGAAACTGGACTTACCAACGTTGGGGTAACCGCAAATTAGGAGTGTTCTTGTGTTTGGGTCGATCGACGGCAGACGGCCCAAATGCTGTCTAACCTGCTCCAAGTACGCGAACGGGTCCTTCAACTTCTTCACGATCGTGGCCATACGTCCCAAAGCAGCACGTTTCAGCTGCTTGCACTGGAAAAGCGACTGACCAAACTTCAAAAGTCGCACATAGTCTCGGGAAACCTGCTCGATCAAGGTTTTCGCACGCGAAACAGCAGCAAGCGAGATCTTGTAGTGGTTCTTCTCGTACAAGGTGTCCATCAGATCTCTGTGGAAAGGATGAACGTCGTTGATGTTTGGGAATCCCTTCAAAACATCGTCAAACTTCTCGGTAAAGCCCTCTGCTGTGAACTTGACTTTCCGCATGTAAAACGCCCGGATACGCGTGATCTTGAATCCAGGCCGGATCACAGTGGGGGTCTTTCTTTGGGTACGGTTAAGCACAATGTCCAACATGTCGTTGGACGTTGGCACCGTCGGGATGTCCTTCCATGTGAGCTGCATGATAGGCGATATGATTTAGAAAATTTTTTGTAAATTTTTTTAAAATTTTTTTAGGCAGCGAAAAGGCTGCGAGCCAGTGTACGGGTGTTTTGGCCAAGACCTAATTTAATTTTTTTGCTCCATGGGACAAGGCAGCCAGGAAATAATTTAGCAACAGTTACGACAGATTGCAAAACTGGGCAGTACTCTTTAGCCTGACGCCGCCAAGGCATGCATCTGCATGACACGACCAGAAATTGGGTATGGGTTATGCAGTGAGGGCAAGGGGCCTGCTTTGTTGGTGAGCATGGGGCGTGCGCCCACCAGAGCGTTTTCGGACATAACACCTGTCAAATCTGGATATTGGCCAGAAAGTATCGGAGGAACATGCATGAATCAATCTGGCATGCATCAGCACAAGGATGAGGAAATTCCGGATTCTGAGTGTGATGGTGTTTTCCGTTAAGGCACGCCAAAGAGGGGTAGGGAGGCTATTTAACTTGCTCTCGATTGGATAGAGTGGACGAGCCATTTAATTTTACCGTGGTGAATCTCACTATGGGCCAAGCAGTATTGTTTCTTGGCTAACGTTTAGTTCGATCGAAGGACGATCACCACAGGCAAGCAGAGATGACAGGTTCTACATGTAATGCGTCAGTAGTCCCCCCCTTAACCCCAGAGACGTCAGCTTAAACATTTCCGGAATACCCAACGGAGCAGGCAGTTGCTTGATAAGGTGCTAATGTCAGTAATCATGTTAGTTCCTGACTTCGCAGAAAGCTGCACGGCAGATAACGCTGTTTTCAGGATGCACATATTTTACCACTCTCTATCTGTGTGACCTGCAGGACGAAAACCGTTACTGTACAAGAATCCTGCATATTGCTCCCTTGTTGTATATAAATTAAGATATTTCTCAGCTCTAGTAGTGTTGAGGTTATTTTCCGGTGTTAATGCCATATGGACTCTTCTTCGTCCGTTCCGTATAATGACATCAATGAGGTGCTGGCTTATAACCAGTATTTTCAGCAACCTCAACTCGTGCCCCAGTTCCACCATCTCGAAACGGTCCCAAGTATAAACAGTTATCCTTCTCCTGCGCAGGTCCGCCAACAGGGACCGAGACTCAACGCCTCTGCGTTCGACCTGGTGCCCCAGGATACATTTTCGCTCGTTCAACCCCAGAACACCGGCAATTACTCGCTGATGTCCAACGAGACCCAACAGTACCAGCCGCTTCCCACGCCTCCGCAATCATTCAATAAAGGTGCCAATCCGTTCGACAAAACTGCCTCGCTCACCCTTTCTGACGCTTTTTATACAAACACACAACCACAAGCTCCCGGACCGATGCCTATGGCCGTCACGGTCCCGATGTCTACAACGCCGCTACTGCAGCCGTCGTTGGCGCAAGGTTTCCACGAGCTGGGCGACTTCAAGGAGGTTCCCCGGGTGCACTCGCTGAATCTGAACCCTCCCGAGGCTATAAAACGCAGACACACGCTGCCGGAGAAATCTCTCGACGACCAGATCAAGGACCACAAGCGATCCAAGGGTAGTCGCAAGAACAGGTGCTGTGTTATCTGCCACAAGGTGTTCAATCGGCCATCTGGGTTACGGATACACATGATGAGCCATACAGGAGAGAAGCCATTCAAGTGCGAATGGGAAACATGCGGGAAAATGTTTTCTGTGCGGTCTAATTTGCTGAGACATCACAAGATCCACATTCGCGATGAACAGAAGGAGCAGCACCGCTAAAGGTCTAGAATGGGTACTCGATAATTGTATACAACCTTAATTCCAGCTACAGATTTGAAACACGACTAATAGCTGCAACACTCCTTAAACGGCATTGCCTTTTTGGGCAATCTGGCCAGGGACAAGAAAAATTTGTGGCCACGGTCCGTTGGCGGGCTGGTGGAGTTCAGTTTTCCCAAACAAGCCACAACTGGCCTAGATTTGACCTCCGATATGCAAACATCACGCTGTCGCCAGATTTTGCTTTGTCCGCTGGTGCGAGGAGTTCAACCTCGGACCTCACTGTGTAACAGCGTGGACCTTTGAAACCAGGACAATGTCTGGATTTGAACTAAACGTGCATTGCTGACCCACACTACGATGGGGGTCGATGGCATAGAAAATGCAGAAACCACGCCTCTATACTGTCACATGCTTGAAAGCTCACTCTACCCATGCCCAGACTGTTTGCCAACCGCTCCCGTACCACAAATACGTTGCATTCCCAGAATTGCCCTTTTGTCCTTTTATCGGAACTATCTCTGCTGCATGAATGTGCGTCGGCGAAGCTTTCCAGATAGGAAATCAAGCAGTTACGATGAGAAGGTAATTGTGCTACCTTAACTAAACAATAAAATACCTCCTTTTTGGCATGAGCACCGTTTGCCAGTAACTTGTACACGTCAACAAGCCACTATTATTGTCAAAGTCTCCTGATCTTTAAAGCCTCTGCCACAGAAGCAAGTGTCACTAACGTCAAGACATGTCGTCTCCATCGTCTGCTTATACCCACACATTTCCCAAATAATAGAACGTTTTCAGCAATACAGTGATATCTAACCGCGGATACTGGCCGAATTCCGCCTTTTCTAATACATCTAGTTGCATACTAATTTATTATCTAGAAGCCGCTGCTAATTCCATAGTGTTTGCAGCAGTTGACGTACTGATCGATCGAGAAGGTCGAAACATAGCAGTAGAATTGTTCGCAGTGGTCGGAGCTCGAGCAGTCGTATGTGTACGGCGAGAACCGGGTCGCGTAGTTTTCGTACTTTTGCAGAGCTGTTTTCGACGTCTTCACCTGCTGCGCAACTTCGTGCCAGTAGGTGGCATTCAATGGCGACGACTTTGGCCAGTTGATGTCGTATGCGCTACGTGCGTCGTATTCCAGCAGCCATTCGGGCTCGGTCCCGTTGTTGGTGAACGTCTCGTTCAGCTTGAGGTAGTAAGTGTATGCGTTCATAATGGAGTGAGTTTTGGTGTCCACCTCTAGGAAACGGAACGAGGGGTTCAACTCGGTGTACGTGGTGACCGAAGGGGCGATCCACGTGTGTGCAATGGCGTTGTCGGCCGTCTGGGCGTCCGTGTTGGACCCGTTGAAGTTGGAGTACAGGACCTTGAACTCGTCTCTATGGGTGTGGCCATTGAAAATACCAGCAATTGTGTACGGGGAGAACCGCTCAATCACCTGCGAAAGCACGTTGGACGCGGTCGGGAGCATGTCCTCGCCGGCAGGAACGTGCATCATCAGCCAGACTCGCTGGCCGTTCTTTTCGGACTCCAAGAGCTCGTCCACAAGAAACTTGAACTGGCCAAACGAGTCGTAGTCGCTCACCATGTTGATGAACGCGTACTGGTTCTGCATGTGCCAGGTGTTGGAGTTCAGCGCAATCACCTTCAGTCCGCGCTTCGTGGTGACACTGAACCCGGTATAGTGGCTCTTGACCTCTTGCTCCGTGTCGTAGTCGATCCAGCCGTAGTCGCGCCACATCTCGGCCATCAGCTCGTTGTTCCAGTCGAACTTGTTCGAGAACCCGTACTTGCTCTGTGCAACCTGCGCGTACGGGAAACTGTCGTGGTTGCCAAGCACAGAGTACATCGGGATGTTGCCAAGCATTGTCTTGGAGTCTCTGAACGCAGTGGTTTCTGCCTTCAGTGCCGAGTCAAACGTCACATGGTTGTTCTCGTCGTGGTCCACCAGGTCGCCCGTGAAGATCGCAAACTCCACGCCCAGATTCAGCTTCTTGTCGTACTTCATGGCAGCACGCAGCGAGCTGTTGATCAGCAGCTCCGGAGCGTCGCACTTGTAGTGGCCGTAGCTGAACGCCGGCGACCAGTTCGACTCGTTGTACCCGATGTACGAACCTTTCTGGTACGAAGTGCCGTCGTACGTGGAATTGTAAAAGTCCCAGCCGTCCTTTGGTCCGTTCTCAAATAGCTCGCCGTCAGAAAAGTGGTAGCCCTTAGGAATAGCGTCTCTGTTCCACGAGGTTGGCGTGCAACACATGCCCCCGGTACAGTTACCCTCTCCTCCAACAACGTAGTCGTTCTCGATATGGAAATCGGAAACATGGAGAACATAAAATGTCTCATTACCCGGTTCGGGAGCAACGTTATATTTAGAGGGTTTGGTTCCGTTCCAAAGGTGCGAGGCATCGATCTTTGGTGGTTCGACGAAGTCACACTGGTCCTCCATGTAGTAGCAGTAGTACTCGCCGTCGTAGGTTGTCGGGTCCATCAGCGAAACCATATCGGCGAAATTAGAGCCCATATTATTTCTTTCAACAGTATTTCTGCCAAAATGGTGGCCGCAGTCGTCCGAGTTGTACAGCCCGGTATCTGTGCACCACTGGGTGAACACGTTGGGAACGAGGTCGATCCGCTTCTGGGCCAGCTTCTTGCCGTAGCTGAGACGCTCTTTGCACTTGTCACAGTGGCTCAGTGTCGAGTTGCTGCTGATTTTCTTCAAATCGGCCACACTTTGCTTGATCAGATCCTGGTCGCTAGAACTCAACGAGCTCTGAGCTGGGGCAACCGCTGCAGTGCTCAGAGTGTACTCCTGGACCACCTGGCTAGCATAGTCTGCTTGAACAGCTCCCAATAGACACAATATCGAAACAAATCTCATGGTTGCCGATGTTACCAAAGCCAAGATTTGTCGTCCATTTATTTATAGATTTCCCAGATCAAGATCTCGCGTCGGCCCATGTGCTCCACAGACTGAAAAATTATATCTTATCTGTGCGAAATTAGGCTCGAAATGGAAAAATCTTAACACAACGTGGTCCTAGGGGCGCTCACAGGGGCACGTCAATTGTCTGACCCGCCAAATTTGCTGCGAGGCACAGGAACCGGGCCAATCACAGCGCAAAAACAGCAAGTTTCGGAACCATTCTAATTAAGCACGTTATACACCAACTATAATGCCAACGTGGGTGTCAGCCGTCTGGCACAAAACGTCCAATAGGATTTTTCACCGCGCAAGGGGAAATTCCAAGTCTATTGTCTCTTGCCAAGAAACCCAAACCTCTCCATGTAGAACATGTCCTCGAAACAGCACACCTCCGGTGCGCCAAGCTCAACAACACGCGCCTCCTGGTGGAACTTGTCAACAAGCGCTTTCAGCTGGGCCGATTCCTCCGGGGTGAACTCTTCATTGATGTACGCTATGGTCATGTGGAATTTGTACGACGCCAGAGTTGGCAGCGGAATGCCCAATGCAGTAGCAATGCCAACGCGAAGCTGCTTGATTTTCTGCTCCTCCTCCGAGTTCAGCGGCAAAAGCGCAACTTTCCACGTATCCATTCCGCCGTGGCTCGTCTGCTCCACGTAGCTGCTGTCCACCTGCAGTCTGATAGGCAGGTCGATGTCGAAAGAGGTCTCAGTCAGCGTTTTGACCATCCACTCGTTGCACTGCTCGATCGGCGGGTCTCTAGGCAGGTCTTTGGGCCAGCCCTCCGACTCTCTTTTGAACTCGTGTATGCAGTCAAACATGGTCATGTGCAGATTCGAGCTTGGGAGCATGGTAATCTTGTTCTTGAACAGAAGAATCGGGAACTCCTTGTAAAAGTCCAACAGCCGCTTAAAAAGATCTCTGCCGGGGCCCTGCTGCGGCAAATGACACAGCACGGTATTCCCGCGAAACTTGTTCACAGTGCCGTCCGCCTTGAATTTCCTTCCCATTGAACAGCTTGGTCAAAACTCGGTGCAGTTTGAAATATTTTAGCACATGCCGGTGCGAGGTGTGGTGCTAGCTTCAGATATCTGCAATCGCAGGCGGTGCATCTCCGCCAAAGAAGAACTCCAGGAACTCGTACCAGCCCTTGTCGTCAAGCACCGACGACGTGAGAATATTGTTGTGCGGGTTGTCGATGTTGCCCGACGTGGCTGACAAGTAGCCAGGCGCCCCATACAGCTCCTTGGCGTTGCCAAACCGCAGATACTGCGACTCCTGCAAATCTGGCACCAGCTTCGGCCTAGAGAACTTGGGCACAGACGGGTTGATGATCTCCATCTCGCGCAGAAACTCGCGCAGCGAGATCGCCTCGATCGCCTCGTTTTTCAGGTGGTCCATGCGCACACGTGACACCAGGTAGCTCAACTTCTCGATAATAGCAAAGCCAACCTTGACGGTGAAGTACGAGCGCAGTTTCTTGATGGTTGGGAACGTCATTCGCACGCATTCGAGCTTGTGCTGGTCGTCCGGGCTCTGGAACATCAACATGTCCAGCAGCATGAACAGACACGAGTAGATTAGGTGTTGGATGACAATCCAGTACCTGTTGTAGAAGTAGGGGATGTTGTCGGAGGTGCTGTGGAAAAGTAGCTGGTTTGCAAGACTTAGACACTTTTCGCGATACTGCGTGGCCCAAATCTCGGTCCCCACGACAGTTTGCAGCCGGATACCCAGCTCAAGACTTTCTCTAGTGACGGAGGAGAATAGCAGGTATTTGGCGTACTGGCGAATGGAGTAGTCATCTTTGGACCGTTTTTGGGTGCCAAAGTAGGTGTCGAGACGTTTGACGAGGTGCTGCATCTTGTCAAGACACGAGATCAGCACGCTGGCGGTCGGCGTGATGTAGCTTTCGTGTTTGAGCTGCCCGAGCTCCACCATGAGTCGCTCGTACACGACTCCGGCAATGTCGTCGTTGGCGCAAGCCTCGGGGAACGACTGCAGGTCGGAGTCTGTGCGGCCCAGGAGATGGTCAGTGGAGTAGATCGACGGCAGCGGCGTGGAGTAGTCCTCGATGAACCGTTTTGGGTAGTTCGACAGCGAGTCGATGATCAACAGACTGTGGAACAGTCGTTTGCAGATTTCCGTCTGGTAGTCTACGGTCGAGTCGCCGGTTTCCTTGATGCTATCCAGACCCAGCGTCTTGGTAGCCTCGATGGAGACCCGTAGCAGAATTCTGTGGAGGTACGTGCTACCAAGCGCGTGCAAGCACATCGATAGAACGCAGAAGATCTGGATGCCGCGCACGTCGGCGTGCTCGAACGCGCCAGCTTTAAACAGACAGTCGATCGACGCTCGGAAGAAGACTCGCGGGAAGTCCGCCAATTGCTCGGGCGTGAACACAGACTTGGATTGCAGATCGTCGGCTCCAAAATACATTCCGGTCGACAGAATTGCATAAAAGAGCGACATCCAGTAGTAATAGTCCTTGGACGACATGGTTTTGATTGTGTTTTCTGTAAAGTGGTTGAGACAGTCTCTGTCGTTGGAAGCGTAGATGTCCCAGAAGTTATCATGGTCTTTCATGAATAATTCGTTGACTATGCCTTGGTGGATAAATGTGGTGTAATTGCACGCGTAACCGCAAATAGTCCTGGACAACTCTGGGGTGAGTTTTCCAACCAAAATAGGAAAGTCTCTGGCGTACTGATCCCAATTGGTGAACTTGAAGTGCTCATCCGTAGACACGAGGCCGGCGATCTGCGTGGTTCCGTGGGTCAGCAGTCGAAGGGAGTACAGATAGTGGAAAATTTTGGTGTCATTGAATAACTTGGGGTCTGTTTGAGGTGTATCATGGGGTTTATTTATAATTGGAACCGGCTCTTTTCGACGGCACTCATGAGCAAGCTTGCGTCGTACGCAATTGCGACACGGAATGTTCTTGTCGCACTTCACCTTGCGCAAGGTGCACGGGATACACGCGAACGAAGGCCGGTTATTTCCTCGCATTGGTTTCGGGTTATACATGTAAATAGATTAAAATTATTATAACAGCGGCTCGAAAAATTTATCGCACTCGTTTCTCCATTTTTCCTTGGTGGCTTCATCCACCCACGCACTGTAAATAGCGTTGTATGCGAACCGTTTGAGATCTGGAACTGTGGCGTCAAAGTCTTTCACCATCATCAACCACGCCTTGGCTGGATCAACACAATGGAACGCTGGATCGTCTGTGTTTGGATAGATCACCAGACCCAGCTTGATCATTTTTCTAATTGGGTGTTTCTGGGCCCATTCCTCAGGATCAAACAACCGCATGTAGTACGAGTTTGTAGGAACAACGGTGATTGGAATTTTTTCTCTCACAAATTGGTCCACCAGTTTCGGGTTATCAATGATGGTGTAGCCGTGGTCGACTCTGTCAGCCTTGATCTTGTTAGCGACGAAATCGATGTTGGTCCACGAAGCACCAAATTCTCCGGCATGAGCAGTGATCTTAAATCCGTTGGCCTTGGCACGCAGGAAAGTGTCCTCAAACAGCTGTGGAGGGAAGTCTGTCTCTTTATAATCGATACCAATACCAATGGTCTTTGGCGAAGGAGACTCGAGCATCCAGTCCAACATTAAGGAGGCCTTCTCGGGCTCTGCTTGTCTGTCGATAGCGCAAATCAACCGACTCTTAATTCCGAACTTGACCTCGCAATCGTCCATGGCATCCACGATGGCCTTCTGGGCGTCTGCATACGGAATCTTGGACTCTAAAACTGTACCTGTCGGGTTCCACGATAACTCGATGTATATAACATTCTGTTCACTGGATCTCTCCAAATGCTCGTAAGTAATTCTGTAAAGGTCCTGTGGATATTTGATCAAAGAAGCGTCCAGACCTCTGAAAATGGCCAAAACCCCCACAGGTTTGGTGCCACGAATGTAAAAATGCGCAACTTCATCGTCCGTAAATGGTTTACCAGCTCTATCGTTGAAGTAACTGATGGTCTCCTTGCAAATAGTTCCGTAAAGATGGCAATGTGTCTCCACCTTTGGAACCTTCAAGCAGATATCAGACAACGAGACTTGTTCTTTGGTCATGCTAGATAGTGCTGGGGTGAGATTAATCGCAAAACACAATTTATTATACCTGTTATCGTGCAAACCTGTTATCCCTCGGCCGAGATTCACCGCCTCAAAAAAAATTTCCCCTCGGCCGAGCCCATTTTTCAATACACCGATGTGGCATTGTTGCCTAGTCTGGGATAATGAAGTGCATCACGAGCACCGTTTTGGTGCAAGTATCCTCCAACATCCATTATGTTGAGCAGCAAAGGCTTTGGTAGCCCAATTTCCGACTAATTTCGCAAATAACTTGATAACGACCGAAGATAAGGTCTCGTGTGGTGGAAAAATATTTATTACGCCAAAAATCCTGTCATTTCTCTAATGGATTCGCTGGAAAAAGAAGATAGATCCTCTGACAAGGGAGACTTGCACGTCTCCGAAGCTAATATGTACGTCGACCTCCATCGGATGTTCCGTAAGGTCGACTGGCACATTCTTCCAATTCTGCTCATCACCTACGGTATGCAGTTTATGGACAAGCTAGCCTTGAGTCAGGCTGCGGTGTTTGGTTTGAGAAAAGACCTCCATCTGGTTGGCCAGGACTACTCCTGGACCTCCTCTGTGTTCTACTTCGGTTACATGCTTGGTAACTTGCTCTATGTTAGAGTTTTGCAACTTGTTCCAATCGGCAAGTTCGTTTCTATTGCCGTGTGCCTGTGGGGAATTACCCTTGCTTGCTCCGCTGCCTGCACCTCGTACGGTGGTCTGATCACCGCCAGATTCTTCCTGGGATTCCTCGAGAGTGCTGTCAGTCCTTCGTTTGTGCTGATCACCGGTATGTGGTGGACCCCGAAGCAACAGTCTTCCAGAGCTGGTATTTGGTTTGCCGGTAACGACGTGGGAGCCATTGTTGGTTCTTTCCTGTCGTTCGGTCTCGGACACATCTCCGGAAAGATCGCTCCATGGAAGTATATCTTCATTGTCTACGGTTGCATCTCGTTCGTGTGGAGTTTCTTCATGTTCTTCTTCCTGCCAGACTCCCCTGAAAGCTGCAGATTCTTAGACCAGGAAGAAAAACAATACTATGCCGAGCACATGAAGCTCCAGAAGATCGAGAATGACTGGGAATGGAAAGAGTTCACCTCTTTGATGCTCGACACCAACTACTGGTTGTTGCTCGGATCTATCGTGCTCTCGATCTTGCCAAACAGTGGTGTCCAAAGTTACGGTTTTATTATTCTCGAGGACTTTGGTTTCACCTCCATTGAAACCACTTTGTTGAACATCCCTGCGTCCGTGGTTGCATGGACTTTCATCACCTTCTCCGGTATCATTGCCAGCAGAAAAGTTGGACTCAGATGCATTTTGATCGCCATCATCTGCATGTTTGGTATTATTGGTGGATGTTTGATCTACAAGGGTCCTAACAAGGGAGCCAAGCTGACTGGATTCTACTTCTCGTTGGCACAGACCGCTGTTTTCCCATTGCTGTTGTCTATTGGTTCGTCCAACTTCTTCGGTTCTACCAAGAAGGCTGTGGTCAGTAACAGTATGTTCCTGATCTACTGTGCGTGTAACATTGCTGGTCCACAATTGTTCCGCAGCAAGGATGCCCCAACCTACGGTTATGCTTTCAGATCCTGGATTATCTGTTTCTGCTTGAACGTGGCCACTGCTGCTGTGATGGCTGTCAAACTGCGTTACGATAATGCCAAGCTCAACAAAGAACAAGAGGCTGCTGGTATCAGACCAGAAGACATGGTTCGTTTCTTATACTAATTAAACTCTACGCGCTTTTCTTCGTTTAACCACGTTTAGATGGCTATTAGGATAGCTAATTAATACACTAGTCGTGATATTCGTGACACTACCGAGAACACCTACTCGAGTTTCCAGACTTCTTTGAATCTGAAGTGCAACAGGTTGTTCCACGTGTGTCTGAGGTTGCGGATGTTGGTGTACATCGTATCGGTCAACGGACGTTGGAAGATCTCTCCAACTTCCTCCAAAGTTAGGCCCTTGGTCTCTGGCATGAAGAAGAGCAGGTACAGGGCTCCAAGCAGCAGCAGGCCACAGTAGAGACCAGCAAACACACCAGTAGAGGTCATTGCGTCGGCCATGTACTGGAACGGATACGTTGTGATGAAAGTTCCTGTCCAGTTGCAGAACGAAGCAAGACTCATACCGTAACTTCTCAGATAGGTTGGGTACACCTCGGCAGACAACAGATACGGAACTGGACCCAGTCCTGGAGCCCAGAACATGTTGTAGGTGATGATTCCCCAGAAGTACAGTCCAAGCTTGACCCCAAGGTTGTCTGCCAGGAACGAGCAACCGGTGATGATGAGACCAATAGCTATTCCTGGGATCAGCGACAGTGTCAAGGTCCGTCTTCCCAAACGGTCCATCAAATAAATGGCTGGAATAGTGGACAAAAACATGACACCTCCACCGACAAGACTGCTGTACACGGCGTTTTCTGGCGACAGGCCAGCAGCCTGCACCAAAGTAGCCTGGTAGTATTCGATCGAGTTGACTCCGGACATTTGCTGACAGATCAAACTGCACGTGACAGCAACCGAAATAGCACGCAGACAACGTTTAGTTCCAAACAGCTCAAGGAACAACCATTTCTCTTGGGACTTCTCCTTCTCGTAAAGCACAACGTTTTCCATGATGAAAAACTCTTGTCTCTCATCGATCGAGTCCAATCCCCGCGCATGTTTCCAGACCTGGTACGCGTCTAGCTTGCGGCCTTTCTTCATGAGCCATCTGGTTGATTCGGGCAGAGTGAGCATACCAAAGAACAAAACCGTGGAAAACACCACAGAACTTCCCAGAACGTATCTCCAGTTACCTTTCACCGAGTTGAAAATAGCAGCAATAACATAGCCCATCATGACTCCAAAACCAACCATCACCTGGTAGAGCGACACAAGACCTCCACGCCATTTACGTGCACAGTTCTCGGAAATGTATGCAGGAACAGTACCGGAAAGCATACCAAGAGCCAGACCCAAGACAATTCTTCCAACCAACATCACAGCAAAGCCTTGAGCGGCAGCTTCCATGATGGCTCCCACAGTGAAGACGATCGACGAGATGATGATTGTTCCACGTCTTCCAAAAATGTCGTTCAATGGCATTAATGTGAGAGCTCCTCCCATGGCTCCCAACGGAGTAAAACCAACAACCATCGACTGCTGGGAGCTGTCGAGGTTCAAGTCGTGGGGTAGGTATAAACTGGCACCACTAATCAGCGACTGGTCGACTCCAAAAAGCAGTCCACCAACAGAGGCCAACGAGGCAAGGTACCAGATAAACTTGTCTGGTTTTTTCAACCACCTGCTGGCCAGAAACGGTTTCTTTCCTGAAGCCAGAAGCTCCTCGTCCAGAGCGTCGATCTGCTGGGCAATGCTCGTATGGTTCACCTCAAGATACTTGCCGGCATCTATCTGCACCATACAGACATTGTTATCGTTTTCATCTTCGACATGTTCCACGTCGTGTTTTTCTTGGCTCTCGATGGAACTCATTTTAGGTGACCCAAACAGGGGGGATTATTGGGCCATTTATAGGACAACAAAATTCAACAGGACCTTTCCCCAGGTCTATTTGCGGAGATACAGATGCATGACATTGTGTCTTGTTCAAATTGTCCGCCATAAGACCTGAAACCTGGGGTAAAATCAGCTAGGAAGTTATTTTGGAGAACCAGTAATCATAGGTTCAGACAATCAGTGTACACCACTCTGTCACCTGTGTAGCACCTTTATGAGCCCGTAACAACCCCCAGATTGCTCTACTCAAGATCTCCAGTAACCACTCTTGGTGTATGACGAAATCGCGCAGCAATTTCTCCACGAAATTCTGCAGAGTCGCGCTTACTTCTTGGCCCTCCATGCATGGTTTCGGCCGAATTGAGAATTTTCTATTGTTCTCCATACTTCTCCAAACAACCTCCCAGTCCGGGGTAAGACGAATGCAGGTAAAAAGAGCCGACATCCACTCTGAGATTGCTAATTGAGTATCTAGCCGCACCACGGAGTTCCAATTACCCAATTTATGCAGCTTCCACCGGAAGTCCGCCTCCAATCTAACCTCTCAAGATAGCCGAGCGGACAGGTTGCTGGTTTAGTCTCATCGTCTGCAAATGTAACTAATTCGCTAAAATGTATAATGAAAATCGTATATTATAGAACGTACCTGTACGTTGGGGCCTTATCACCGAGGTCGGCAATCTGGTCCAAAGAGTAAGAGTCAATAACACCTTGAGGAATGGCATCCCTCTTTTGGTTCTGTCTCTTGAGATAAATATAGTTGCACATACAAGGAATCATTGCTCCCAGAACGGTACAGCCGACGGAAAATCCGAAACCAAGTGGGTAGTATGGAGCTTGTGAGTCAAGGTAGATATTGGAGCCGATACCTCCTCCTCCAATGGACCCGAGAAGCATCATGAACCCAATAGCAGACGCTCTCTTAGTTGGGTTGGGGATGTTCAAGGAGAGCCACGCTCCAATCCCTGGGGCTTGTGCGTTGTAACCGGAGGCCGCAAGGAAAATAGCAAAGTACGACACTCCAGGCAGGTTCTTGTGGTGGACGGTGATCCACAGGATAATAATTCCAATAAGTCCAATAGTGTAGCAGATCATGATGGTGCGGGCACGCTGTTGAGTCTTGTCTGCCCAGATGGCCATTCCAACAGTCAAAATAGTGGCTGCCACGTATGGAGGGGTGGTCATAGCCTGAGCTCTGACTGCAGAGTATCCAAGGTTCTTCACCATGGTTGGCAAAGTGTAGGAAAGAGAGTACGTTGGCACAGAACCTCCGAACCAGAACATGAGCATGACAAAGTACACTTGAGGGTCCTTCAAAGCGTTCAGAGCCTGGTGCATTTCAAACTTCTGCTCAGTTCCAGCCGGACCGTTGTCGTACTTCTTACGCAAATGGAGGTAGTCCAGCTCCTTCTCGGTAAAGAACTTGATTTTTCCCTCGCCAGGGAAGTTTGGAAGAATGAGGTATCCTGCCAAGGCAACGGCCACCGTAGCGACACCTTCGATCAAGAAGAGCCATCTCCAAGCACGCCATCCACGAGCATAATCCAAAGTCGCAATACCGTACGCCAAGACACCCCCGAAGGCACCAGCTAAGGTGTTAGCACCATAGAAGATACCCATTCTTGTCTGCAGCTCAGAACGCGTGTACCAACAACTCAAGATGAAGTAGGAACCCGGATAAATAACACTTTCGGCCGCACCGAGGCAGAGTCTGACTCCAATGTACTGGTGCCAAGTGTGGACGAAAGCCGTGCAAAGTGCAACAACTCCCCAGATAGTCATCATGGTAGGAACCCAGAGCTTTGGTCCGACCTTTTTCAACGCCAGGTTCGAGATCGGCTCAAACAACCCATAGGTGAAGAACAGACAGGTAAGAGCTAAGTTGAACTGCTTGCTCGACATCCCGGTGTCCGTCAAAAAGCCAAACAGCTTGGCGTTGCCGGCATTGGACTTGTCCAGAGTACACCATAGATAGCAGAAGGACAGGTATGGCAGAAGACGCAGATCGACCTTGGTCAACAATTTACGTTTTTCTGCAGGATTTTGGACATAATATTCCTCGAGCTCTTGGAACATTTTGTAGGAATATTTTCCCTCACCGGTATCAGTCATTTCTGAAGTTGCGGTGATCTCCACCTCGCATCCTTTCTCGCCGCTAGACATTGTTTCTACCGAGGACATCTTTGGAGGATTATTTAAATAAAAATTCTGAAATCTTATCGAGTCTTATCAATTTTCTTATCAATTTTTTTTGTCGGAGTGTCGGAACACAATCACCGACGCATCTAATCATAAAGATACTCGTCGAGCCGCTCGTCGTCTGATTCGGGCTCTGCCGGAATTGGCTTGTTGGCTAGCGGCGTAAGTCTGAATCCATGCCGACGGTACTTATCAATCGGATAGTCCAGAGTCTGGGAGTGGCATGTGATTCTTTGGTCCCAAACGACCACAGTACCTTTTTCATATCTCACACGACAAGCGAAATCCTGACCTCTAATGATGTGGGCAAACAGAAAGGCCAAAAGAGCATCGCTTTCCTCCTTTTGCATTCCCACAATACTCTCCGTGTAGACTGGAGTCACATACAGAGCCTTGCGCTTGGTAACCGGGTGAACAACCACAACAGGGTGGACAGTACGACAAACATCCCTTCTCTGAATAGCACTGTTTCCGTTGTTCGAAAGCTCAGCGTTTGCAACACCAACATTACAGTGAACGGCACGCAAACCGTCCAGTCTCTTTCTGAATTTTGGAGAAAGTCTCTCGTAGGCCAAGTAGCCACTAGAAAAAATGGTATCACCTCCAGCAGTTGGTGGGCATTCGAGCATGCAAAGAATCGATGTTCCAGGGGTTTGTGGCTCTGCCGACTGGTCGGAGTGGAACTGAACAGGACTACGGCCTTTCCAGGACTTTCTGACTCTCAAATCGTCCTTATCGTCATAGATAATCATGAATTCTGGTGGACCCTTGGCTGGATGAGGCGCCCATCCATGGATGTGCAGAGGTCCAAAGTGACGAGCTATTGCAAGCTGCTTATCAAAGCCAATGTCGGCAAAATCCTGGTCTCTAAAAACCAAAACTCCTCTCTTGGCTGCCAACAGAGCAAGCTCGTCCAGCCCCTCAGATGAAAGCTTAGACAGTTGGGTGCCGTGGATCTCGGTTCCAATAGCAGGAGCCAGCTCAACAATCTTTGTGGCGTCTTTCAGCAGGTTTTTCAAGCTTGGATCGGCTCTTGCTCCGGGATCCTCGTGTTTGAATTCGCCAATGTCCTCGACTTTTTCAAGCGGGTCATAAAACGGCAGGTAGTCAGGATAAAGTGGCTTTCCGTCTGTCTCGGTTGGTCTGGTGGCAATGATAGTTTCCATGGTTGATTGTACGGAAAAGACCCTGGAGGAGTCGATGTATTTAAGTTGGCTATACAGGTCGTCGCTGAAATGGGCCGATCGACTTTCCATCGGAGTCTTCGCCGAAAGCCTCCGACGCAAGATAATCTGACTACAAACTTTTTTCAACCTCCAAGACCCGAACAATCGCCGGATTGTTCACCAGCTCAGATACGGCATCTTTCGGCGCTGCAAGCAGTGGGCTCCGAACGTTGGCTGGAGTTCCATAGAGCTCGTGGAGCAAACCCTTAACACCTGCGATTCCTGCCTTAGATGCGACCGCATCGGCGTTCGCCGTGATCAAGTGCAATGCATTGATTTCCTTGAGAGTTTCGCCAGTCAGAGGCTGCTGGCACATGTTCCAGAGCTTCTGGCAGGTTTTTGGTGCGAAGTTGGCGACACCTGTAATTGATCCGCCTGCCCCAACGGTTATTCCTGGTAGCAGGAAATCAAGAAATCCACACAGAGCCAAGAAGGGCTTGCCTGTGGTCCTTGGCGGCAGAGGTGTTTGAGCAATGCGGCCAAGCTTAGCAACAGAAGCGCACGTCAGCTTGCAACCAACCACGTTTGGAGATTTGCTGGCAATCTCGAGGATCAGGTCACTACTCATGTCAATGCCTCCAGAAACTGCTGGGAAATTGTAGATGAGCACCGGAATCGGAGAAGCAGCTGCAATCTTGGTGTAGTAATCTGTTAGATTTGCTTCGCCGAGTCCGTAATAGCCTGGAGCAATCACAAGAACCGAAACAGCACCGGCCTCCGCAGCGTCGGTTGCAAACTGAATGGCCTGTTTTGTAGACAGTCCACCAGCACCTGCCATAATTGGAATGCTGTCCAGATCAGCGGCATCCAAGGCTTTCCTTGTTTCTTTGATCAGTTTGATACGTTCGTCGCGTTCAAGGTGGATAGCTTCCCCCATAGAGCCCGACACAACAGGCATGACACCAGCAACAGCTAGACGGACCACATGTTCTGTGAAAGCCGCGTAGTCAATCTCTTCGTTCTCGTCAAAAAAGCAAGGCACTGGTGCTAGAATTCCCTCAGTTAGTTCGGACATGATACTAGTACATTTAGGATAATGAAATGTATTTATGTCGGCATCGACCGACAATCGCCGATTCTTATCAGTATAAATTAGACCCAAGAAATATTAATTTGGTAATGCCAAACAGTCTGGAATACGGTCCACGAGACTTGCTCGGGTACGGTGAGAAAACGCCAGATCCCAAGTGGCCTGGTGATGCCAAGATCGCCATATCATTTGTTTTGAACTACGAAGAGGGAAGTGAAGTTTGTCCCGAAAACGGTGATAATGTCACCGAGGTGTTAGCCACTGAGCTTGGACCAGGTGTCCAGCCTTGCACTGGAGGAGTGAGAGATGTCAATGTCGAGTCGCTGTATGAATACGGAAGCAGGGCAGGTGTGTGGAGAATCCTCAGACTATTTAAGCAGTACGATTGCAAAGTGACAGCCTTTGCTGTTGGACAAGCATTGCTGAAAAACCCAGAGGTTGGCAAAGCTCTCGTGAGAGACGGTCACGAAATTGCTTCCCACGGCTGGAGATGGGTTGATCGCTCTGAATGGACGATTGAAGAAGAAAAGGAAAACGTGAAGAGGTGTGTTGAGGCGATCCAGAAGACTTCGGGAAATCCACCTAGAGGGTGGTACTACGGCATGATCCATAGCAAGGCCGCTGAGCGGTCGAGGTCTGTGCTTGCAACGACTTTCAAGGAGCTTGGTCTGCCGTTGCTTTGGTACGGTGATTCCTACAGCGACGACCTTCCGTACTGGGTCCCATATCCAGGCGGAGAGGCCGACGAAGGCTTGTTGATCATTCCATACACCATGGACACCAACGATTACAAGAACGCAGGATACCAGGCTTATATCACAGGAGGTCAGTTTTTTGAGTACTTGAAAGACTCATTTGACGAGCTGTACGCTGAAGGTGAGAATGGGTCGCCAAAGATGCTGAGCATTGGACTCCATTCGCGTTTGGTTGGAAGACCAGGAAGAATAGCTGGACTGAGAAAGTTTGTTGAATATATTAAGAAGAAGGATGGGGTTTGGGTGGCCACCCGCGAGGAGATTGCAAACCACTGGAGAGAGCAGTTCCCATACAAGGCTAGTTTATGACTGCTGGGCTAAATAAAGACCCAAATCAAATCCGTCATCCAAAGGAATAGGAAACACGTCTTCCACGTAGTTTGTATTGCTGTCGATCATGCTGATGGACTCAAAAACTTTTGCAACCAGATTGCCCAAGTGAGCGGCTGGATGGTTGTGGCCGACTTGTGTGAACACCTCAAGCCCCACCTGTAGCAGTTTGGCCAGAGGAGAGCTCTGTGATGGTGGACCAGTGGCACGGTCTATCTGAGAGGGTATATGGCAGAACAGCATGTCGTCTATGGCACCACGGGCATAGAGAATGCATAGAAGCACAAACGCAAACGTGTGGGTCATCCAATACGAGTCAATTGCATACTTGAATCTGGCCAGCAAAGGCATGTCGAGTGCCACGTTATTCCACTGAGCCGCGGATGCAGGCCTGCCACCAACAAAAAAACAGGCAAACATATCTGTTGCGGATTCGACACTGTACTTCAATGCAGTCAGGATGGTATGTTCCTCTGCTTCCTCTACAGAGGCTCCAGAGCACAGTCCTGCTAGAGGTATACTATTGAGACTCAGCCGATACCATCTTTGAGAAGTAAATGGCATTTCTGACGGAGACGGCGTGATTGCGTCTGTTCTCGGGTATTTGGACCACTCCACTGCCCACTGGTCAAGGAAGAAGTTGATGTAGTGCAAGTCTGTTGGGTATTTCAAAGCGTTTGTCAGTTCGCAAAGGCCAAGCAGACGGTGGTCATCAGGCTGGCAATCTTTGGAAGCACATAATCTTCTTGCCAGTGGTAATAACGGATTAGGATCGATGGTTGCACGAAGTCGTGTTGAAAGCATAGTTTGGTAGTCCAGCGATAGCAAATTAAGCATGATGCGCAGAATCCGTAGATCCTCGGTCCGTGACACTGATTTCTTGTAGTTCCACTCGTTCCCGTTTGTTCCAAAAGCGGCTGCTAATTTTCCCTCGAGGTCCATGAACTTTGCCCATCTGATGGCAAGTCCTATCACATTCCAGACGGACACCTCGTTATACCGTCTTGCCGCAGCCCCATTTCGCAGTGGCATCCAATGAGCATATATTTGGAGCGATTCCAATAGCTCAAGAGTTATGTCTCCCGTGCGGGCTCCGTGAACAACCTGTCCGAGAGAAAAGTCGAGTAATGCAGCCATGTCGTAGATCCTGGGAGTATCGCTAGCAGGTAATCCACGGGCCCCTACACAGCATACTGTCAAAAATAGCTGTGTGGATGCTTTTCTCAGGTTTTCAGCGTTGGAGTAGAGGCTCTGAGTCAGCAATGGGGCCATGCAGTGCATCTTCTCAAAGTATGCGTCTACCAGGCGCTGAGCTTCTGCAGAGGTGATCATTCCCAGAGCAATAGGATCGCAACACCAGTAATCTGGGCCCTGGTTGAGTTGATTTAGGAGATTCAAAGGAGATCGGAGTAACGAGGCGGGTTGCGAAGTGGATCTGGATTTTTGGGAGGTGGCCCCAGTTGTGTCGCACGCAGACTGGACGGTACCCATAGGAGTTCCCTGTAGTGATATGGTCTGGATTTCCACTCTTGCACGTTTCATAGAGGACGGGAAGGATTCCACCAGCGATGGATGATGGTGATCGAAATGACCATGGTCCTCATCTTCGTAATAAGTGCGGTCTTCTTGCTCATACAGCAGTCTTGAATTTGCAGGACACGATTGCTGGACATCAGCGTTCAACCGCGACTCGATGCTTGCCATCCTCTCGCCCAAGGACGTGAGTGCGGCGGTCACTGACTTGGTGAACTCGACGAGATCGCTATTACCATTATCCATACGGACTTCGGGGCCACCTGTGTATATACACTCCTTGCCATCTCTAGCACACCGAAAGCACGGTTTCAGGCCGTCGCACCTCTGTTTTCTCGAGTGACAACTATCACATGCTCGCCGAACACTTCTTCTCTTGGACATGATAAGAGATAAATTCTCAACAGATGTCGTGCAAAGTCGGATATCATTTAGGTAGTGCATCCATATTGTGAGGCCGGAAAAACTGTCGGAAACTCGGGACAAGAGTGGTTGTATGACGGTTTGGGCCTGGTATATAGCTCTGCGCGAGTCCGCATGGTTAGGCGAGACTGAGATATCATGTGCTGAGGTTAACTGATTATCTTATTATATGATTCTGAGATTTGGTGGAACGAGTTGTACAGCCTGAATTTAATTGTAGCAATTTATTAAAACCAGTCATCGGTACCCAACGGACCCGACTTCTGCTTGGAAACTTATTTCGTTTATCACTTAGCACATATTACATGTGCCAAGTTGCCCGACCCGTCCCTTTTGCCGGAACAAAAACTGACAAATGTGGATGTAGCATGCTATCTGCAACAAAAAAAGTTTCCGTCAAATTTTATGCTTATCTGACGCACGGCTTTGGAAAATGTCCCTATCTTATCATATATTTATTAAGTGTTGCTCCCCTTAAATTTGAATTCTCATTTTGACAGGCAAATTTTCAATTGCACAACATGGAAGAGAAACAAGGCGAACGGATTGAGATCCTCACCAAAGAGGACAGCTTCGACCAGGTCGACACTGGCGAAATCATCGAAGAAACCCAAAAATATGACAAGAAGATGGAATACAAGATATGTCGCAAGCTGGACTTCAGAATCTTGCCGGTTATTTCGTTGATGTACCTTTTCAACTCTCTTGATAAAGGAAACATTTCCAACGCCAAGACGGATGGAATTGAAAAGGATCTTGGCATTGGTGGCCAGGAGTGGAACAACATGGTGATGATTTTCTACGTTCCGTTCTGCCTTTGCGGTTTCCCTCTTTCAATTGTGATAAGAAAGTTCGGCCCTGCAAACACCATCCCGCTGTTCATGTTTGGTTTTGGATGCGTCACTCTATTATCTGCGTCTGCTTTCAATTACGGTTCTTTGATGGCTGCTCGTTGGTTCCTGGGAATTTTCGAGTCTGCTTTTTTCCCTGGTATTATTTTCTATCTGAGTACTTTTTACCGGCGTAACGAGCTGGCTAGAAGGTTGTCCATTTTTTACGCCGCTTCCAACATCGCCAACGCTTTTTCAGGTCTCCTGGCCTTTGGTGTGTTCCAAATCAACTCCAACACAGTTAAAGGGTGGCAGATTCTCTACATCATCGAAGGAGGAGCTTCTGTTGTTTGGGCCACATTCTCGTTCTGGTGGCTGCCAAGAAAAATCGAGTCTTGCAAGTTCTTCTCCGAGGAAGAGCGTGAATACGCACTGTACAGAATCAATGTCGATGCGTCGGCTTCTCACACCGAAGGTATGAAGATTTGGGACTCAATCAAAGTTTTCTTCCATCCGGTTGCAGTGATTTGGCTAATCCAAGAGTTCTGCCTTGGTGTTCCATTAAACTCTGTTAACTCGTGGTTCCCGCAAATCATTGGATCCTTCGGTAAGAGCACCGTCATGACTAACCTCTACACTGTTGCACCAAACGTGTGGGGAGCCATTTCGTTGCTGTTGCTATGTTTCGGATCTGACCTCACAAGAATGAGATCTGCGTTCGTTCTGATTGCTCTGATTGGTACACTTCTTGGATTCGTGGTGTTTGGGTGCATCGATATCAAGAGCAACTTGGGAGCTGCCTACTTCTGCTGTTTCTTGATGACCACCGGTACATCCGCTTCCTCAGTGCTTACATCAACATGGTACAACAACAACACACCAAACGAGAACCGTCGTCTTGTTATGTCGGCCATTGGAGTTCCTATCTGTAACTCTGCAGGACTGATCTCTGCAAATATCTTCAGATCCAAGGACGCTCCCAAATACGTTCCAGCACTGGCTATAACGGCGGCCTTTGGGGGTGTTTCTGCCTGCTGTGTTGTGATTATCCTTGTCTACATGATTATCGATAACAAGCGCAGAAACAGAGCACAAAATGTCAACTGGACATACAAAGACGTTCCGACCCATTTGCTGGCAGAGGGTCCAAAAAATCCAAACTACAGATGGATGTACTAGTCTGCTATGTATAATTGTCAAGAAAGGATTACACTTATCCAGGAAATTTACGCGTAGTTCATCAAGAGATCCTTTGCTAGATGATGTAATGCACAGTTTTTTTTACTATCGTACTTTATCTTGCATTTGATTATTTATTCACCAAATAATTTGATCCATGAAGACGTTCACAAGCATCATCCAGATTGACAAAAAACGCCAATTGACCGACATTGAGTACAGCAGTTCTGTTATATCGGAGATAGGATTCTATGTATACGATAGTACGTTCAGATCCTTAATTGGAGAGTCCCCTGAACTCCAACTCGTGGAGTCCCGAAAGTTCAGATTTGCACACGAGGCAGGAGTTTACCACAAAGAGACTAATTCGATTTACTTCACGGCAAACTTTCTTTCTTGCGACCCAGTCACCCTCTACCGCATCAATTGCAGCACTTTCAAAATTGAGGAGTTAACCTATCAGCAGGTCATTCAGGCAAACGGAGCCTGTCAGCACCGTGGAAACATCCTTTATTGTTCTCAGGGTGATTTTGACAATCCATCTGCATTAGTTGAGGTTGAGCCCGTGAGCGGAGAGTCCAAGGTCTTGATTAACAATTTCTTCGGACGGGAGTTCTCTTCAATCAACGACGTGGTTGTGCATCACGAAACCGGTGATATCTGGTTCACCGATCCAACATACGGTTTCGAGCAAGGGTTTCGCAGAGACGCGGTTCTCCCTAACCAAGTTTACAGATTTAATCCGGAATCTGGTGAGCTCTGTGTGGTTGCTGATGGATTTGATATGTGCAATGGTTTGTGTTTCAACGAGGATTACACTAAAATGTACATTACCGATACAGGAGCAATTAAGATTGACAAGACCACGAACCAGTTTGGGCACAACCCCAAGGGCCCTAGTGCTATTTACGTCTACGATGTGATTGGCCGCAAGAGACTGGAAAATCGTCGCTTATTTGCGTACTGCGACGATGGGGTCCCTGATGGAATAAAGAGCGACCAATTCGGTAACATATACTCTGGATGCGGTCACGGAATTCACGTTTGGAGACCAGACGGCGTCCTCATCGGGAAAATAGTCACGGGGGAGGTTGTTGCTAATTTTTGTTTCTCGGCCGAAGCTATCTGGATTTTTTCAGAATATCATCTGTTCCGCTGCAAGATTCAAGCCCAAGGCGCTTTAGTGGAAATCGAGTGCTGAGTTCTCGGCGAAAAGTAAACAAACACCGAGCCTCGGTAGAAAATTTTTAGACCTATTAAAGCTCGACCCTTTATCATTGAGCCGCAACTTCGTAACCCCACAGCCGCAGATTTTTCGAAGTAGAATAAAAAATTCTCAATCGAGAAAGTAGAGACGACTCAAATTGGTAACTAGTTCTTCATAGGGCAAGATTACTATAGATAAGAACCCTAGGACAGTTTTTTTTAAGAAGGTTAGCGTTAGGGTAGTAAAAACCGGCCTCGGGTGAAGATATCGCACCCATTGACCGTTTTTGTCGACGGGTACTGGGGTAACTAGGGCAATCGGAACAGGTTGCACAGATATTGATCTGCGTAAGTTCTGGTGGATTAGTTGCGAGGTTTTCAGAAACTCCATTAGATGTTAGCAGCCAAATCCGAATCCCAGTGAGCTATTTACGAGATGTAAACGAATTCCTTGGCAAGTTCGGGTCATATGGGATGTATATCCCGACAATTGTAGATTAATAATTATTACCAGAAGAAGAAATCATATTATCTACATCATGCAGGCTCTTTAGTATAAAGTGGCCGGGAGATCCAACCGAATTCTGCATCAGATGTTGGTTCTCGTTCTTCTACTAAGTGTTGCTTCGGCACTGTCTGTCTCCAAGCAGGTCAAGCTTGGAAACATCTCTTACTACGTTCCAGATACGCCATGGAAGACTTTTACTGAATATGAGCTATCTCCACTTTTTGGAGAGCTCAAACCATCGTTTCTTTTCCCTCTCACTGTGCTGAACGAGACCAGTCTCAACTACTCTGTTGTGCAGACACTGAGCGATGACTTCTCCGAGAAAGACGACGTTTTCTCCGAGTTCTTTTTGGAGAACATTTTCCTAAACTCCGGTGACTCGGTCTCTTCTACCAAAAACCACTCCTTGTCCGGATTCAATGTCTCTAGTGTCAGTACATTGTCCACTGCTCTTCCAAATGGTCCATACTTTGCCTCCTATTTGGATGGTGTCGTTAGTGTTTTCCCAGCTTACCGTCTATACGCAGACACTCACGCTGCTTTCCAAATCGGAATTGTTCCTTCAGGAGATGGCTTCATGGCTCTTCCTGCAGGTGTCGAGGTGGCTCACGCTCAAACAATTGCAGTTCCTTCTAGATTGTACTACACTCCAACCGACGAGCAACCACTAGCTGGATTCCGTATTGGTGTGAAGGACCTTTACGATATTGCTGGTATCAAAACTGGAGGATCTTCCAGACACTACTACGATGTTTATGACCCCGCTAACGCAACTTGTCCATCTATCCAACGTTTGATCGATCTGGGTGCTGTGATTGTCGGAAAACTCAAACTCACCCAATTTGCTAACGGAGAAACTGCTACCGCTGACTACGTCGACTACCATGCCCCATTTAACCCTCGTGGAGATGGTTACCAAAGTCCTTCTTCCTCTTCCTGTGGATCTGGCGCTGCTGAGGCTGCCTATGATTGGTTGGATGTCACTATTGGATCCGACACTGGATGCTCTGTCCGTTGTCCCGCCTCCGCTCAAGGTATCTTTGGACTGAGACCAACTTTTGATGCTATCACTTTGGAAGGCGTTATCCCAATGAACGATGTCATGGACACTGCTGGTTACCTTACCAGAACCGCAGAGATGTTCAGAATCGTGGGTGAGGCCTGGTACGCAGAGAACGCAAACATCTCGACCGACTACATCGACTTCCCAACTACTGTTTACACTTTCGAGGGTAACAACACCAACTACATCGAAAATGAGGTCAGCGAGGATGCTCTTAACATTTTCTACGATTTCGTCGATGAGGTGACCGAGTTCCTGAACGGTACTCACGAAAAGTTGAACTTGTTTGACGAATTCGACAAGACTGGTGAAGATATTCTGGATGTCTTCAACCACACGTGGTCCGGATTGGCTGGATACTACCAATACGTTCACGTTTGGGAACCATTTGCGCATGACTACCAACAAAAGTTCAATAACGACACTCCTTTCTTGGATCCTGTTCCAAAGTTCAGATGGGACTGGGGTTACTTCAACTTGACTGAAGAAGGATACAACAAAGCTCTTGACAACAAGCAATTGTTCGATGACTGGTGGAACGAGAACGTCACTGCTTCCGACCCAGACACTTGCTCCTCTTCGCTCTACATCTATTTGACAAACGGTGGAGCAACCACCTACAGAAACAAATACCTTAAAGCTCCATCCGAGACTGGTCTTTCTGGATTTTCGGAGCTTTACATCTCTTCGTTTGCCCGTACTCCTGAGGCCGTTGTTCCTCTTGCAGAACTTCCTTATAATTCTACCATTACACTGACCGAAAAGTATCTTCCTGTCGCTGCTGCCATTGGTGCTGCTCCAGGATGTGATTTCATGGTTTTGGACTTGATTGAACAGCTCACCATTGCTGGAATCATCAACGATGTCGCTGCAGGTCCTCAGATGTATCCATAAACGTGACATATTCTCATGTACACTATTTGAATGATATCCTTTAGAAGCTGATAATATCTTAGTATTTATAAAACCGTGTAGACTATTCAGGAGTTAAAATGGAATCACAGAACGGTCAGCGACATCAATAAACTTGCCATTGGTAGCTGGGTCTTCAATTGCTTGGATGATTCTAGTAGCACTGAGTGCAGGAGAAACAGTCGTACCATCCTCAACAACAGGCTTAGAATCTTCACTTAGAGCATTGAAGGTATCAAATCCGTATCTACCCATAGTTGTCTCAACCATACCTGGATGCAACATGGATGTGACCAGTTCTGGATGCTGTTCGCCAATCTTCTTGACAATGTAGTTCAAGGCAGCTTTGGAAGCACCGTATGCTCCAACCTGGAACGGCAATTCATAGCCGATGGATCCAGCAACACTGGAGATAAAGTGGGCAGCAGGGTGATCGGACTTCTTCAGATACGGATACACCTGCTGAAAAATTAGTACTGGACCAAAAGTATTGGTCTGGAAGTGCTCTTGCCAAACAGACAAGGGAGTTTTCAAAATAGGGATGTAAGAATCCGCAATAGCCGCATTGAAAATCACGATATCCAACTTGGAAGTGATCGCATCCAGCTGTTTAGGCAATAATTTGATTGAGGCCTCGTCGCTCACGTCAAGTTTGACAGTGTCAACGTTCTTTCTTTTGGAAGCAAGCTCAAAGAGCTGTTTGGCAGAACTGTCGGAACGGTACGTACCAATCACGTGGTTGGATTCGTTCTCGCTCAACTGTTTTGCCAATTCGATGCCAATACCTCTGGTTGCACCGGTAATAAGATAAGTAGTAGACATGTTGATGGTGATGAGAAAGAGTAACGAGGATCGAAGCCTGCTTTTATAGCGTGTAAGATACTATCCTTTGGCTATTGGAATTATATATATCAATTACTAAGTGGCCTTACAAATCAATGCCTTCTTCAAAGGCGTATCTACTTCGGCTTTGGTGAATTACCAGATGCTTTTAAGCCAGTAAAAAGAGGGTAAATAAGAAAAATAGCAAGCTCGTCCTCTCACGAGCAAGAAAAATCGGTCTACACAAATAAAGTCCGAAATGGACTCCAGATTGAAGTCCGAATTGTGCTTACCAATAACAAATGCAGGCCAACTATTTATAAGAAAAGAGGGGAATCAACTTCGAGTCCTGCTAGTTTAGATGGTGTACTGGTGGAAAGCTTAATCACTCAGCCTTTTGACTTTGGGCGACTCCACAAGCGTTAGAACGTTCCAGCAGTCCTGTCCAATAGTAATATAATCATTCTGCTCTGTGTCGCGGAATGTCCCGACACTCGTAAGAGTTCACTGCCTCCACAATTGACGTAATTAAATCGTCTGATTCGTGGAGACGAGTCTTACTATGATGCAACAATTCTGGTGAGCCGGACTCAACTCATCGCGCAGTTGATGCTTGCGTAGCTACCAGAGCTGGATCAGCTGTTTCAAGAATTTTTCATCCAAAAATATCAAGACGATCTATTGCTGATGCCAACTTCCAAACGAGTAACTAGTTTGATGGCAATCGCGATATCCAGCCTGTGAATCATAAAGCTATTGTTCGAGCGTTGATCCGTTTCCTCTCACCGTGGGTCAGGATAATTAGTAATACAACCAACGCCACAACGGTTATTTCCTTGAGAGCAGGCAGGACGCCACACTACATGCTCAAGGATATATAGTGGACCCACTTCTCATCAGTAGCTCCTCTCATAATGACATCTACCTCTACACTCAAACTTCAGGCTGTTCCAGTCGACAAAGAAATCGAAAACCTCATCAGATCAACCAAGGGATTAAGTGTTGGCTATTCCGAACAGGATACGCAGCATTTCGGCCCTGATCCAGATGGGTTGCCAATTCTTCCTGAAAGTACCCGTAAGAGATTGACCGATGCTGGCATCGACATCTCTCAGGGGTATCCATCCAGACCAGACAAGTCTTTGATTCCTGTCTTTGTTGACGAGGCTGCCGCCATCCGTGACGATGATTACGAATACGTTGACAGAGCAAAGAATGTAGACCCAGAAAAGAAGGCGTTGCTGGGTGCTGCAACTGAAGTGATCAACCTGACCAAACATATTGGTACCGAGATTGTTGGTCTTCAATTGAGCGACTTGACTGATCAGCAAAGAGACGAGCTTGCTCTGTTGGTTGCTGAAAGAGTTGTGGTTTTCTTCAGAGACCAGAAACTTTCCCCTCAAAAGCAAAGAGAGATTGGTGCTTATTGGGGCCGTGTTGAAGAACACCCTCAAGCCTCCTATGTCAACGGACTTCCTGGCATTTCGGTCATCTGGTTGGACTACTTCCGCAAGTCTTTCGGTTTGAACTTGACTTTCAAGAACAACAATGCTCGTAACTGGGATCCAGTCAAGCACAAGGTTCAAGGAACTCAAGTCTGGCACACGGACTTGACCCACGAGAAGCGTCCAGCTGGATACACCCACTTGCACTTGGATGCCATCCCAGAAACCGGTGGCGACACTAACTGGGCCTCTGGATACGCAGCTTACGATAAGCTTTCTGAGGAATTCAAAAAGTTCCTTGATGGAAAGGAAGCTGTCTATGTTTCTGCTCACGGCTACCTGGACAGAAAGAACCCATTTGCTGGTCCAAAGAGTATCGAGAGAGTTCATCCAATCATCAGAACCCACCCTGTTACTGGCTGGAAGTCTCTGTTTGTCAACAGATCTTACACCAAGAGAATTTTGGGTCTATCTTCTGTTGAGTCTGACATTATCTTGAAGTATTTATTCGAAGTGTTTGAGAAGAATGCCGACATCCAGGTTCGGTTTAAGTGGACTCCTTCCAAGCCAGGTTACGGTACATCTGCAATTTGGGATAACAGAGTTTCTCAGCACTCCGCTACTTGGGACCACGAAGGCAAGGATGCCCGTCATGGAACCAGAGTCACCACTCTGGGAGACTTGCCAAAGTTCGATCCTAACTCTAAGTCTCAAAGAGAGGCTCTCGGATTGTCTCTTGACGAAAAAGACTTTTACTAAGTATTTACTACTGAATTGCAACTTCCAGGTTTTCAACTACTTTCCCGCCTCTTAAATAGAGTAAATGCGGGTGTCAACACCCCTTATTGTTCCTAAAAGGGTGAAATCTGGGGTAATTTTGAAATTTCAAACTTAACCAATAAAAAAAAAACAGTAGATCCTCACTCAGACTTGATCAACACTTTTAATTGGACAGCTTGAACCAGTCAAACTGCTCAAGAGAAATTCATCAAACAATGAATCTCCATCTCACGTCGTCGTCTCCTTGGAAATCAGGCTCGCTGATGAAGGACTGGTCTTTTGGTGGTCCATCGGTGATCACATCCCGGCGGGCATTCTCTCTATTCAGAAGGAACCACAGCAATGTAGATGCGACTATACTGATTACCAGAAATCCCAAAGACATTCCATGTCCAAGCCAGTACCTTGGAACCTGGTTTGGCCGGTACATTTGACATCCAATGACCGCACCAATGTCACCAAACGAGATCTGGATAGCTGTAGCAACGGCACGCTTTGTCTGACCTGAAACGTTAGTGGCAACCCAGGTGAATTGAAGCGCAGAGGCGGTCATCATTCCGCATGTTGCAAAGAAAGTTCCTAGATATTGCACGCAGACAGTTGCATCAGTTAGCAGGATAATGTACCCCATTGAAGCAATCGATAACGCGAAAATGATAATTGGAGCACGACGGCTGATCTTCTGAGATAATAGTGCACCACCAACTGCACAGAAGAAAGCAACTGCATTAGGAGGAACCGTAAGCAACTGAGCTTTGGCAGCAGTATAGCCCAAGTTCTTGATAATTGTTGGCAGGAACAAGGTCAGCGAGTATTCTGGCAAAGCAATACCCATCCATGAGATCATATAAAGCCAACATTTGTAATCATTGAATGCTTTGCGCACCTCGCTCCAAGAGAATTTTTCATCTCTGAAGGAATCATTATCTTCTCTCAAAATTGTTTCCAAAGTACTCTTTTCCCGTTCACTCAAGAATTTATCTTCTCTTGGAAATCTTCTGACAAAGAAGTAACCACTTAATGCAACTAAAATAGTTGCTATTCCTTCGAGGGTAAAGATCCAAAACCATCCAGATTTATGTCCGATTCCATCCATTTTTCCTATAGCCCAGGCAAGTAATCCACCAAATGCACCAGCAATGGAAATACTGCTGTTAAATAGAGTCAGTCTTGTGACAAGAGCACGGCGACCATACCACATGGATAGATAAAAGATTGCACCGGGAAACACACCTGCCTCTGTTGCTCCGAGCAAAAATCTTGCCGTAAGCAGTCCTCCGTAGGAACTAGACAAAGCCATAAGTGTCGAAACAAGACCCCAGACGATCATGATTGTTGGAAGCCACACCTTTGGCGATAGCAGCTTCAACATAATGTTGGATGGAATCTCAAAAGCACAGTACCCAACAAAAAACACAGACAAGCACACAAGGTATTCCTCAGAGGTCATGTTCAGGTCTGCTAGCAAATTGTAGAGCTTGGCATTTCCAATGTTGGAACGATCAAGGTACGCCAAAAAGAACAAAATCGATATCGGAGGCAGGACGTACAAGTCAATCTTGCGTAGCAGTCTGACCCTCTCAGAAGGAGTCACGGGGTACTTCTCATCACCCGCACTTGGAACAGATCCCTCGATATCATGTGCCCGCTCCTCAGTCAATTCGACAACTTCTTTAGTTTTTGCATCGCCTGATTCAATACTCATATTCAGCAGATTGTGAATTCCAGCCAGAAGAATTAAAGTTGAGCGGACATTCGCAACAATCGGACCTACTTATATATGCACCCTGGTTTACATTGTCCGATCCGTTTTCTTGGTGGCTCGTGGGATCCATAGATTACAGAATGCATAATTTGCTTCGCTAAAATTATCTCAGATGATGAAATCGTAATTCCCTTGATTATCGAGGATAACCTATCGAGGAAATCAGTTAATATAGCCAGTCCCCTCCATCTCCAATAAACAGTTTGCCTAATTCACATTACGTCTATTTGTAACTGCCCTGCCTTAAAAAAATATTCAAACCGGAAGAACATTGTTCTATCAAAATTTGGCAAATATGTCTTAGCTCTCCAACTCGATCTCGTTCAACCCCTCCAAGAGTATGGTCGATAAGAGTATCTCGTATTCTCGGGATTCATCAGGGGGTTCGGGTCCCCGACTCGTAACGCCACACTTTGAGATAAGTTGATCTGAGTGCTTTAGCCACACTTCTCTGAAGCCACATCCAGTGCGTATAAGTTATGTGCAATTCTCAACAGGAAGTCATACAGACAAAATGACGGCCGATAGTGAGACAAGACCACTGAGGATTGCCATTCTTGGAGCCGGCCTAGTGGGTGCGTTTGCTGCAGTCGCTTTGTCAAAACTTCCAAACGTTGAAATTACCGTTTACGAGAAAAGTCAAGGCATCCGGGAGGTCGGTGCCGCAATTACTCTTACCGAAGGTGGTTTGGTAACCCTTAGTAAGGTGTTCGACCTGGAGGAACTTGAACCAATCTTGTATAGATCACCAAAACATGGACACATCACTAGACGTCATTGGAAGACAGGCGAATACTTTAAAGAGCCGGAACCAACACATCCCGATGAGCTCAAGTACTCTCATGCAAAAGCCCAAAGAATTCTACTCTTAGAGTTCATTCTGAAGCATGTGCCTGAAGGATTGATCAAGTACGATCATGAAGTGAAGGGTGTTGACGTGAAGCCTGATGGGGCTACGATTAATTTCAAAGATCGAACTCCAGTCAGGGCAGATCTCGTCATCTCTGCAGATGGAATTTATTCCAAAATACGTCGTCAGTTCACCAACGACAAGATCATTTACAAAGGCGCAGTCGCATACAGAAATGTTTTTGACGATAGTATTGTGAACGACATTCCAGGTGTTCCAGACGACGTTACTGTCTGGATCGGAAAAGGATCAGCCATGTTTATGACCAGGCTCACTCCAGGGAAATTCAATGTCGCTGCACATTTGAGAGATCCTCCAGATGTTGCTTCCAAGCTCAAATGGGACAGAGGAACCGGTGATTGGGGAAAACAACGTCTTATTGAGCACTTCAAAGATTGGGATCCAGTCATTGGTAAAATTCTTGATGTCATGCCAGAGTCCATTGCTTTCCCTTTGGAGCGTGCTCCATGGCTGAGAAACCTAGTCGTTGGAAATCGGATAGTTTTCGTTGGTGATGCTGCGCATCCAACGTCTGGTGTGTATGGTGCTGGAGCGAACATGGGATGGGACGATGTCTGGGCTTTGTACAAGTCTCTTACGGAGACTTCTGACAGAGACTACGACTTGCCAAGTGCCCTTTTCTTATTCAACGAGACTCGAGTCCCGTTCTTGAAACGCGTTGAGGAGCAGATTGACATCGATCAGGCAATCGGTGCAAAGTACCTTGCTACAGCCTCAGACGACGATGAATGGCGGAAGAGAATTGAAAAAAGAGGTTTATCAGCTAAGTGGATAACTGCACACAATGTTAACCTCGAGTTTGAAAAGGTAAGAGACAAGCATTTCCTGGATGTTTTTGCCTGAGACAGCTTAAGGTGATAGATTTCAGATGTATTAAAGTTTTTCAGCTCTATACGTTAGAGGTTGAGCACGTTTATCGTAAATAATTTGGCAATTATCCCTAAATCAAAGCAGTCTGAAAGCAAGTTCTAAATTCCATGTCCATGGTAGAATCAATCAATGAATCGTATCCAGAATGATTTGTAAGCAAGTCTACCAAATCCTTATCTGCGCAACTGCCTTATTGGGTCATCCGACAAAAATAATCAGCCAAGAATTTTAATTTCCTACTTCTACCCAGATTTTGACATAGAAAGAGCGGTACGATACTATTTGTTAACTGACAACTAAACAGAAAACAACTGAGCATATTATCTCACCATGGTATTGAGAAAAGTATGTACAACTTCGTTAGTTGCATAGACATAGTTTCTTGGGCGCAACCAGTTTCCCCAGCTACCACACCACCCTCGTTTTTGTCGTGCAGCAAGCGAGGAGTCTTATCTTGATGTGCAAGTTTATCTGGTTTTGCGGCATCATATGTTTTGATTATAAGTACCGTAGATTTTGCATTTGCCTAATCTCAAACAGATGACTGCCGATATTGCAGGCCCTTACCCCCATCCCAAAAAAGAGTTGGGACATGCAATTAATTACTTGACCGGAAACCATGACTACGATATTCCTGAGAAAACCAAGATGGACGAGCTGGCAACTCTGCGGGCTCGGCTGGAAACCAAGCCTTCGTTTAACCCCAATTTGAAGTTTGATCCAAAAAAGCATTTCGTATTCAAAGATGAGTATTATGAAACAGTCAAGCAGTTCTCACTTTCAGATCTCAACATCAAAAAGACAAGAGTTAAACCAGTATCTGATTTTGCTGCAGCCTATCCTTTCCCATTGTTATCTCCGGAAGCAGTTGATATGGTATTATGGGAAGCAGTTCGGCCAGACATTGTCGAAAAGTATGGCCGGCTTCCCAACCTTGCCAAGAGTGCTACCAGACTAGATTTTCATATTGGCGGACACTGCAGCAGACAAGGTCCCTTCACTCAAGCCATGCTGACGTCTCCAATACTTTATAAGATAATTGAGGGATTTTGCAAGGTTAAGGTGAAAGCCCTATTTAGTGCAGGACATTTCAACTTTTCACTTGCTTCCAATGATCCAGAGGAAATCTTGCGGACTGAAAAAAGCAAAGATGAACAGTTCCGTATTTACGAGGCGCAAAGCAAGGAAGGAGGAGATGAAATACCATCCAGCTTGGGATTACACTACGATTCTTCAAGTTTTGCACTTGTCATCATGATGGACATGGGAGATGATGCAGTGGGAGGTGAAACCGGTATTGTTACAGGGGATGATAAATTTGTGCGGGTCCCAGATCCAAAAGTTGGGTATGCTACCTTGATTCAAGGCATGGTTTTGAAACACGTCGCTACTAAGCCCATATCGAATTCAAACAGAATTACAGCTGTTGGCGGATACTGTGTTTCTGGGCCAGAGATGCTTGATAATATCTTGCTGACAAGTGTCAAACCGTCCATTCTCCCACGAAACAATTACGACGAGTTCTATAATGACTGGGCACAATTCAGGCTTAAGAATCTTGAAGAACATATTGGCTTCTATCGCAAAAAGCTCATGAAAGCAGCAGATGAGGGTAAAACTTTCAATCAGTTATCCTTCATCAAAAGATGCAGGGAAATGGAAAGATATTTGGTGAAATGTTGGGATGAGATGGAGGCATACAATAACCCCCCATTCCCCCCGGCGGAGTTTAGCACACCTTACAGTGAGCTTCCTGATTTGGAAGAGTAAGAGTGACTATCCGTTTTGAGACTCAGAATGAATTGAGCGTTCACGCAACACAAACTACCAACAGCGATTTACCTATTTATATCGTCACAGCAGTAACCGTAAGTTATGTATGAGACAAGTTAATCACGCAATTAAAGCTCATAGTAGGGCCTGCACAAAACAAACAAAACAGCTATAGAGCATCTGCGTGTGTCCCAGTCACTGCCTGATTTGCAAGCTCTTTGGCCCCTGCTGGTCAATCCTTAAATATAAAGACGGCGATAGTCCTCCGAATTAGATAAAAGTATCATTTATATTGTGAAGAATTGAGAAGAATGAAATATCATCCTTAACTAATGACCATCCATACTCAAAGTCGTCCAAAAGTACTCTATATCCCTGCAAATGATTCTGTGCACGACGACCAAGCATGGAAAATTCTCAATGAGAGATTTGAGCTGATCTATTACGATTGTAAAACAGAGCAGGAGTATATTGAAGAAGTTCAGAAGCCAAACGGTAGATTTTCAGGGATCAGAGCTATTTGCCGACCAACTTGGCTGAAAGGATATCCATATGTAAACCACTTCCTGTTCCGCAATGAGCCTGTCAAGCACTTGCCTGATTCTGTTGAGATTATAGTCCAGTCTGGCCATGGATACGATATTGTCGATCTTGAGTAGCTTACCAGACGCGGTGTTTTATTCTGCAACTCACCTAACTGCTGTTCGATTGCCACAGCTGATGTCGGCATTTCCTTGGTATTGCAATCGTTTAGATATTTGACTTATGCAGAAAATTGTGTTTGGAAAGGTGATTACTACGGTGCAGCTCCCTTAACATACTGGGGAGATAATCCTAGTGGAAGAACACTCGGAATTATTGGCCTCGGAAGCATTGCTATCCGCGTCGCTCGAGCATGCAAGGCAATGGATATGAACGTTGTCTATCATAATAGGTCTCAAAAGCCTGATTATGAGCTAGAAATCGAAGGTTTGAAGTTCTATCCAGATTTGAACGAAATGCTTGCAATCACTGATTGCATATTTATCAGCTGTCCATATACTCCAGCTACTAAGCACTTAATCAATTTTGATCGTTTCAAATATATGAAAGACAAGGTCAGACTGGTTAATATCGCGCGCGGTCCGATTGTTGAAGAAGCCGCAATCATTGATGCTTTAGAAAGGGGCCAGCTTGTCGGTGCAGGGTTTGATGTCCATGAATTTGAACCCAAGATTCATCCCAAGCTTCTTGCCGACTATAGGGTCACTTTGCTTCCTCATATTGGAGTTGCTTCAAAGGATAGCTTCAAGGCATTTGAACGCAAATGCGTGGAAAACTTGGTTGAATATTTTTACGGAAATGGGAAACCGTCTGCGGTCAATAAAGAGCTTTTAGAGGACATCAATTGAAGATAGTATGTAAATTCCGGTGTCTAATTTCCTTCTGCCAAGCCTCTCATAATGTCTACTGTACCGTTTGCTCTGGGGAAAAATGTGTAATCGGCGTCCTTATGTGGGTCCTTCATTTTGTTGAATGTACCTGGGTGACCGTATCCGCCACCACCAGGAGTAAGAATGAAAATTCGATCACCTGGCTGAACTGAGATGGAGCTCTTTCCTCCCATGTTGATTTTACTGCCATTAGTTCGAATCACAAACGTTTCACCCTTCTTTCCAGGATGTCCCCCGTTCATTCCGTATGGGGCAAACACTCGTCTTTCTGATAGAATACAGGCAACCAATGGAGTCGTAGCCTCAATTTCTCGAAGAGCTCCATTACCACCCTTGTACTCACCTAAGCCACCACTGTTTTCTCTAACTGCAAATTTGCGCAACAGAACTGGATAGCGTTGTTCGTAATGCTCGGGATCTGTAATTTTTGTGTTGGTCATATTAGTTTGGACAGCGTCTGATCCATTCCATCCTAAGCCTGCTCCGCTTCCATTACAGACTGTTTCATAATATCCGAACCCATCTGCTCCATCAACTCCAATGGTGAAATTTGACATATCTCCACCGCAGGCTGCTGCGAAACCAAAAGCCTTGAAAATGACATCGACAATTCTTTGAGATGTTAGACCGTTACCAGCACAGACAGCAACTCCTTCATCAGGTCTTAAGAAACTTCCTTGTGGAATGCGAATATCAATAGGTGCAAGACATCCCTGATTCAAAGGTATATCACCTTCGACCATACAACGCAAGCTGAAAATGATCGACGAGTGAGTGACTGCAATAGGTGCATTCCAGTTTCCATTAACCTGTCCACCGGTTCCTGCGAAGTCAAAAACAGCGGAACCAGTATCAGAATTGATGGAGATTTTGAGATGTATAGCTGTTCCATCGTCCATGCAATCTTCTGCTTCCAACGCCAATCCCGAATATCTCGAACTAATACCCTTCAGAAGATTTCTAATAGCAAGTTCTGATGACAGCTGGATCTCGTCCATATATAGCTGGACAACTTCGCGCCCATATTCATCCATCAGATCGTGTATGAGTGCAGCGCCCTTGCTATTAGCAGCAATTTGTGCTCTAATGTCCGCTATGTTATCATTAAGGGTACGCGTTCCATGGTTTCCAGGGATACTAGCTGGTTTGGTGTATAGAAGATATTTTGCAGTAACTTCATCAAATAGATCATCCTTGACAATTTTGACGGCTTTCATAATTGCCCCTTCTTGCCAAAGTTCAGTGGAATTTGGGGGCATAGATCCAGGCAATATTCCACCGATATCTGCATGATGACCTCTGGATGCTGTCCAAAAGATAATGTTTTGACCTTCTTTATCGAAGACGGGAGTCATGAGAGTAATATCAGGTAAGTGAGTCCCCCCAGATATTGGCGAGTTTGAAATTATAACATCTCCCGGGTGTAAATCCTCTCCCCAATGATCAATTTGCCACTTGACTGCAAACGCCATTGAACCAATCATTGCCGGAACATGAGGTGCATTAGCAACTAGCCCACCAGATGCGGAAAACACGGAACAAGTAAAATCTAGTCGTTCCTTAATATTGGTACTGACACTGGATCTTTGTAGCGATCTTCCCATTTGCTCTGCTACACTCATAAATCTATGATTGAATATAGAGAGCTCAATTGGATCCACTTTAGATTCAAGACTCTTGCTATCGAGCTTGGGCACTTCTATCAAAACTGAAGATTTCAGAACTTTTGCAATTGCTTTAGGCACTATTACCAACGTTTGTGTTGCATCAACAATAAAGGCAGGTCCAATAACTAGGTCACCAACAATAAGGTCACTCAAATGATAAACGGGGGCAGACACAAACTCAGAATTGACAAACGTCTTCTGAAGAGAAAACGGCTTGGCTTTTGTTTCGGTAAAAGTGACAGATTCTTGCTCTACTAGAGGTGAAACAAGAGGATTTGAAAAGCTTTTACCCACTGAACGAACTCGAAGACTCTCAACGACAACCTCTCGGTTTGATTTCAAGCCGAACTCCCTCAAATGTTTCTGTGCAAATGTCTCCAAAATATCTTCATCGTCAATCCATTCGCACATGAGAGCAGTATTACTTCCTTTGTATTTCATGTTCAGAAACATCTCAGAATGGACAATCTTGACATTTTGGGAGTTGCAAAGCAGATGACTTTCTGAAGCTTGTTTCATTTTCAATAGCTCTTGAGCAAAATATCGTTTCAGCTTAACAGTGTAAACTGCTGAAGAAGGTCTATGCTCTTCATGAACAGTATCCGCCAAAGAAAATCCGTAGGCCGACAGTAATGAAGAGTGCTTATGAATGCTTATTTGCTCAATTCCTAGGTACTGTGCAATCTGGCATGCGTGCTGCCCCCCAGCCCCACCAAATGAACAGAGGATATGATTTGATGTTTTGAAACCCTTCGACTCCGTTAGCGTCCTTATAGGACGGCACATTGATTCGTTAGCGACTTTGAGAAATCCTTCAGCAACCTCAAAAATAGAAAAGGATTTGCCGGTCTCCAAATTAATCTCATTAGTGAGGTCATGGAACTTCTGCAACGGGCTTTCATAGTCTAGTGGTTCATCTTCGTTTGGTCCAAAGATTTTTGGAAAATTCTCAATGATCAGTCTTCCGGTAATTAGATTTGCATCGGTCACCGTCAATGGGCCCCCTTTCCGGTAACATGCAGGGCCCGGATGAGAAGATGCAGATTCAGGACCAACTGTCATCAATCCATTTTTCCACTGCAAAATTGAACCTCCTCCAGCTGCAACGGTATTAATGTCCAATTGTGGAGCTCTAATAGATACACCTGCTGTAGTAGTCTCAAAAACATGCTCAAGTTTACCATCGTAACGAGAAACATCAGTCGATGTTCCTCCCATATCGAATCCTATCAGGGCTATTCGCTTGTTGGAATCATAAACACTTTGACTATAGCCAATGACACCACCGGCAGGGCCCGACAGCAAGGAATGAAGTCCTGTGATCTTTTGGAAATTTACTAGACCGCCATCAGATTGCATAATCTGGCAGTTCACCTTGTCAAGAGCACCAGCCTTGAATCTAGAGCTAAAGTTTGAGACGTATTCTTTAATCACTGGGGTCACATAAGCATCGGCAACGGATGAGTTCGTACGACCAACAAATCCAGCTAAAGAGGAAACTTCGGAGGAAACAACAATGCTCTCAAATCCCACTTCTTGAGCAAGTTTTCGAGCACTTTCTTCATGATCAGGAAAAATATAGGAGTGCAAAAAAGAAAAAGCCACGCATTTATAGCCTTTCTGTTTGGCCTCTGTCAATTTAGCTCTTGTGGTCTCAACATTTAGCGGCTCCAGAACTCTAATCCCATCTCCACTTAGCCCTGTGACCTTTTCATATCTTTGAAAATACTCCAAGTTTGCCGATTTGTATTCAGAAGATGTTTCGATTGTAACTCTTTCGTCGACTTCCCATACTTCTTTCGCGAGAACGTCTCTTCTGCTGATCTTGAAGTCGAACATATACGGCCGACTTTGGTCACCAATTTTCAAAACGTCGCTAAAACCTTTTGTCACAAACAATGCGACGTCCTTTCCCTTTCTTTCCAGCAGCGCATTGGTGCTGACAGTTGTCCCTAATCTAATCTCCGAAACATCGTACAAGTCAAGTAACTCATTTCTTGGAATATCTTGATTTCTGTGGATCTCCAGAACTCGACGTATAGCTTCAGATGGTGCATCAATGTAGTTATTCGGGTCAACAGAAAGAATTTTAATAACAATTTCCGATCCATCGTCTCTGGAGGCAATACAGTCGGTGAAAGTTCCACCCCGATCTTAAATTAGTCAGTTAGCCTATCTTGATACCTACCGATTGAGATACTAAGTTGTCCTGAGCTTCGAGCCATTTGTTGATCATACAAAAATGATGCGATTTCCAATATATATTACAAAATGAAGGAGGTTTTTCGCCGAGATTCTCAAAAGGTTGGTAGATTTTCTTATCGTAGTTTAGCGGTTTTCTACCGCCGATAGATTTCGAATAGGAAATTCCTAAGATAAGAAAAGCGGATGATTATTTTTGGGTTTAAAAGAAGCTAGCTGTAAAGAACATTTGCAGCATTCGATTTTCTCAAATGACGACCTACTCTACCACTTCGCCCGAGGAGTTCAGACTTCTTTGTAGAAAAGGAGAATTTACAGGGGATACTGCCGGAGCCTGTGCTGAATATGCTCAGGCAAATCTCATTGTCCTGCCGAAAAAGTACGCTAACGACTTTGTGAGTCTTTGTTACAGGAACAGCGCTCCATGTCCGTTATTATGTCGGACTCCAGCTGGGAATCCCAAGAAAGTGAACAGTACCAAGTTTTTCAAAAGTACGGAGGTTGACTTAAGTACAGATTTCCCTTCATATTGCGTGTACGAGAAGGGTATCTTGAAAGAGACCACAACTAGTATTTCAAGTATATGGTCTGAGAATCATGTCGGATTTCTGATAGGGTGTTCATACTCATTTGAAAACGATTTGGCAAGAAACGGGTTGATTCCAAGACATCAAACATTAAATCGGGGTGTTCCTGTTTACAAAACCAGCAAGTACCTGGATCCTGCAGGCATATTTTCCAAATGCACCTACGTTGTCAGTATGAGGCCTTACAAAAAATCCGAGCTTGAAAAAGTGAGATCTATTACTAGAAAGTTTGAAGAAACACATGGAGAACCTGTTGATTGGGGTTACGATGGCGCGGAAAGATTGGGAATCAGGGATTTAATGCACCCTGATTTTGGAGATCGACCTGAAATCCATGAAGATGAAATTCCTGTTTTCTGGGGATGCGGTGTTACACCACAGCTATGTGTTATGCAAATGGGCGATGCTATAGAAGGAACTGTGATGTCTCACAAAACTGGAAGTATGCTTGTGATGGATATCACGGGGGACAATATCAAAAATTTGTAGGGTGTTCAGAATGTGATGAAATGTTTATGTCAAGCAACAGTGAATTGTTTTGGTTTTCTGTCAATGAAGGTCTTCACCTTAGCTTCTCAAGTGCTATGTTTTCTATCAGTTTGAAATGTTCAAAACTTTGATAGTCAAACGCAGAATTATCGAAATCATCGCATACATCTTTTCTAGCACCAACAGTGATAATACTCTCTTTACCAGTAGTTGGGTGCTCCAGCGTATAATTCAATTGTAGTAAAAGAATTCGCAACTTTTGCAATCTGATGAGATGATCATTAGCGGTAACACTCCCACTATTTGTCAAATCGCGAAAGATAGTTGTGCAGTCATTGAGTAGCAAACTAGTATTTCTTGATTTTAGGTTATCGTCAAGATACTCTGTAAGCATGAGAACAATAGCGGAAAGAAAGAGAAAGTTGGAATCTATGAATCCAAAAAATGAAACATCACCCCTTGATGAAAGAAGTTTGTAGACACGAATGTTAGAAATTGCAGCAGCCAGGCACATGTTGCTCAACTTAAAATCCAAAGAGTTTGACGATGTGGGAGAATTTGTGGAATTTTTGTCGGAAATCGTACGGGTAGTTTGTGGCTGGATATTTCTTAGAAATGATTGAATGGTGACTAAGATAATGCATTCATTTAGACGAAAAACTAATGCAAACAAGAGGCGCCAAAATAACTTTTTGTCGTCGAAATGTAACATCTTTGAAGTTTCCGAAGTGATCGAACGGGAGCGTTCACACAAGCTTTCTAAGATATCGTCAATATTTGCAACAAGCCCATTTCTAGAGTTGATAGAGGCGCAGGTAAGAATTTTCTGTTTCAATTTCGTTAAAACAATCTTTTCTTTCAAAAAGAATGATGTGGGTAACTCCCCACCATACTTCCCATCTTCGGGGAGATCAATGTCCGGGACCACCTCAATTGGAAGTAATGCGGGCGTTCCCAGGCAAGATGCTGCAAAGAAGTCCACATTGGTAACCGACCACCATAATCTTTTCATACGTTCCTTTTCAATCTGTGAATGATTGTCCTCATATGTTGTAATCATGTTCAGGCGAAGCAGGCTCGCTACTCTCACCGCATTTCCTGAATACATATATGCAAAATCAAGTTTGTTGAGTCCAATCAGGTATATGGTCACTAGGTGAAGACATTCCACATATGCAAGAGTTGGAGCTCCATAGTAATCTTGAAGTAACGAGAACACGAGACGGAAATAAGAAAGACCGGGATATTGATCTGAGACAACGTCTCCACCATGTAATCTTCCAATTGCAAAGAGTAAGAACAATCGAATTACCTCAAGCCTGGTTTCAATATTTTCAAGAGACACAATACAGTCATTATCATAAGTCTCTTTCATAAAATTGTATGTGGATTTGATCTTCATTACTTGATTGTCAATTCCAACAATATCGAGAGCATTTTTGAACAACTCATTGGCAGTGTCCCAAGATGGAAACTCATCAGGATTCACTTTATTGATAAGGTTTCCCCTCATGAGAAACGAGACGTCAAGAAATAGTTCATTGAAATTGATATCTGGTGGTTCCTGGACTTCCAAAGTTTCAATATTTCCACCAGCATCAACATACGTCCTACGTAGCCCATTGTAAACAAAATCAAAAAGTTGTAATGAGTTAGACAAGGCATGCCCCAATCCTTTTCTATTCTGGCCACAGTTGTTGTGATTGTGTTTCAATGACGTATAGTATGTACTCATTGGCTTTCGCTTAATGCAATCTGTCTTTGATCTTATACAAGTATTGCACTTATCGTTTCCTTCTAACCTTATGCATTTCACTTTTCGACGGTAACAGTGTTCGCACGCGCTGACCGTTCGAGGACCAAACTGAGTCTGCTTGACTTTTGCCCTAGGATGGAACAAGTTAGACATTTGCGAACTAAAGACTCAAGATGATTATCAAATCTTCGGGCAATTTTAGTTTTTTCTTTCGAATTCTGAATCGAAATCAAAATTACATTTTCCGTAATCTCCAATAAACCCTAGAAAGATTTTTGGTCCCATATGAGCTTGCCGACAAGGGAGCCACTATATATGGTCAGAAAAATCTTGCAAAAGCGTGTTACGCTTTCCCGAAATTTTGGATAACGTCACTAAGAATATGTTGTCTGATTACTGATTGAGCACTACTTTTATCGTTATGGAAAACAATCTCAAATTGGATCAAAAAAAATCAACAAGTTGACTTACAGCGCAAATCAACCCCCGAGCAACTCATTTTCTGCAACAATCCAAAGAAACCCACCAAGTGATAAGCTCGGAGGAGAACTACCGATCTGCCAAAAATAGAATGTAAGATAAAGTTTTAACAATAGAATTTTATCGGAATCTGCACGAGATATAATTGCTGGATGTAATTAACTTTGTGCCTTATCGTGTCCATAAGATCACTGGAGATAAAATGCGGAAACCCAAATAATATAAACTTGCGAATCCTTCTGCCTACTAATCCATCTTCAAATGACCGAGATTAACGAGAAAGAAGTCGATGTCTCAATCGAAGTCGAAGCTGTAACCGATGATTCGTGCCCATTCCCTGAGGCAGAGAAAAGATTTGTCCGACGCATGGACAGGAGAATTATGCCAATTCTCTCATTGATGTATTTCTTTTCGGCTCTAGACAGATCGAATATTGGTAATGCCAAGGTTGCCGGTATGAACAAAGACATCGGTATCAACGATTCACAGTATTCGACGGCGGTTTCGATCGTGTATGCAACCTATCTTCCATTCATGTTACCTGGTGTCTTGATAATGTTGAGATTCTTCGACAACAAAAAGAGACAGTATTTAGGGTGCATGGTTGCTTCTTGGTCGATAGTCACAATCTTCACATTGTTCGTAGATAGCTACGGATCGCTCATCGCATGCCGGCTGTTGTTGGGGCTGTGCGAAGCATCGTTTTTCTCATCAATATCGGTTATTATTTCGAATTTTTATTTTCAAAGTGAGTTGTCCCAACGTACTGCTTATTTATTTGCAGCATCGGCATTTTCGAGTGCATTTGGTGGTCTGATTGGAACTGGGATCACCAAGATTCAATCGGGAAAGTTAGCTTCCTGGAAATACATCTATTTGATTGAAGGACTTCTTTCTTTCTTTTCAAGTTTCTGGATTTATTTCGGAATGCCCAACAATCCAGAGGAAATTGTCCATGGAGAGGAGGAAGCCAAAGCACTAGCATGGAGATCGGAGCGTCGTCATCTGTTCATCATGGCAGATGGAGATAAAAAAACTGAAGCACTCTCCGCGATCAAAGATGTGAAACTATACCTCTCAACTCTTATCCAATTCTGTGGCGATGTCCTAATGTATGGGTTCTCTACATTTTTGCCTTCTATCCTTCAAAGCGACCTTGGCTATGATTCGTTGAAGTCCCAATATTTGACTGTGCCTGTCTACATTTTTGCAGGAATTATCTTTGTTGTGTTCGCAAGAATCTCAGACAAAACGAGAATCAGAGGACCAATGATAGTTGGCCTTTACACTTTTGGAGTTGTTGGATACGCACTACTGTTAGCCAATACCAGTAGTGGTGTCAAGTACTTTGCTTGCTACCTGATTTGCTTTTGTCTTTATCTTCCGGGAATGAACGAATCCTGGATTGCAACTAATTCCGCGCCTCAATTTAAAAGAGCAGTTTCGATTGGCGTCAACCAATCGCTGGGAAATATTGCTGGTGTCATTAGCCCACAGGTGTATCGCAAAAGTCCAAAATACACGCTAGGACACGCTTTCACTTTGGGATGCATAGTTGTGGCAATGATTGCAGCCTCCATAAGCTCTCTTATGTTGGTCAAAAGAAACAGAGAGAATGCAAAAGTCTTGAAAAGTGGAGTGGACAATAGGGGATTAAAAAGAACCATTGGGGACGACGCTCCTGACTTTAATTTCGTCATTTGAGTTCTGTACCGGTATAGAATAAATTTCCATTGAATCCAATGCAATACAAACACGAACAACAAAAAATACTATCATGAGCCTCTCATCAATGTATTATAGCAAGGAATGCAATCCAGTTACTGCGAACTCTACGTATCCACACTTGAAGACTCTTCCGCTTCGTGACGAAATATTCCCCTGTGTCAAAAAGTTCCTCGACGGGAAGAAGGCTGTTTTTGTTTCCGCACACGGCTACCTTGACAGGAACAATC